TTTCACCTTTCTAAGTTTCTCTTTACTATCCTTAACCTCTCATCCCTCCAACACCTAGCTCGATCTCTCCATTATATAAGCCATATAACAGCCCAAATAGATGCAAGAATGATTTATTATACCGAGCCATGCAAGCAAGTTATTCAACATAGTATTTCGACTTATAAGCCGAAGTTCCCAGTACCAAAAGAGCTAGAACGTCCCTAATATATAACGCCCTACGTTAAAGTTTACCTGCCAGCTGAATTGTATCAGATCCAGGTAAATATTGGTATTATATTCAGTGCTCAGTGTTCATATTTAAATGTTTATTTGCCTGGATATTGTTTAAGTGGGCTAAAATGAGGGCACTAAAAGAGGTTCAAAGACTCCCCAGAAAAAAAAACCCATAACTCCCAAGTAGCTTTAGAGAGGTTTATTTAGACTTCACAACCAAGCGACAAGTGTAAGACTATGGCTTTGCCAACCAAAGGGGCGAGCAGAGAATCCATACAATCTTACAATACTAAAATCAGACTAAAGGCCAAAGGGGTTGGTATGAGCCGGAGCTTACAAGTATCATACCGCATGAATTTCATCTCAGGCCATTACCCTTATATAGTCACACAACATTAGTACCTATTTGTTAACACCTGAATTTTATTATCAGATTCTTCTTCATAGCAGCATGAAAGTAACACGAAGGAATTCTACTAAGCATAGGAGGTGGGGGCATTATGATTCTGACACAAGTTCAAGCAGCAACACATGCCCCTTCATACTAGTATCACTTCTAAGGCAATCTACCCGTTTTCTTACTATTACTGTAGGAATAGCTTTAAACCGGCCATTATATCCATACCGGTATATGCCCCGGGGTATATGCCAATATCCGTCCGGTCCGGGCCGGGCCGGGCCCCACACTTCACGCTACTTAACACGGCCGGCGTGACTTCTACAGACACGGCCAATCAATAAGATCATGTTGCTATTCAGCTTGGCAACTTCCTCATCGGCGTGACTTCTTTATGTAGATGCTATTCATTCATAGGCTAGTGCTATTATTAAGCTTTGAGAACTTCCCTGTCGGCGCCACTTCCATAAAACATGAATCTATTCACGGGAGCTTGTCTTTGTTTAACTTGGTAGACTTCCCGTCGTCGTTTCCTTGAAGGCATAGTTACTTCGATCATTTGAGGCATTCGCCGTCCTTTCCAGTTAGATATAGGCTGCTTACGCAGCTGCTTAGTGAATGGACCAAGATATACACTCGCCGCTCCTCCCTTGGGATACGACAAATATCATTCCAGCCCCTAAATATGCTTAATTGTAGCCAATCATTGTTAAGACTATTAGTTACTAGCCCTCTTCATTCCTACCCCTAGAAGGAACTTGCTCGCCGCTGCCTCTGAGACAGGCCTATACGCATTCGCATTTGGTGATTTCCCTATTGAATCCCCTGGCCATAGAGATATCTGGACCAAAGAGCTCCTGCCTTAGGCACTTAACATCAATTCCTGGTCTGGTCTTGCCTAAGTTCCTAGTTCCTTCTTCTTCAACAAGCAGGTCACCTGGGTACAGATGTTCTCACTTAGGTGCATTCTCACGTAACTGGCAGGACAGTCAGGACAGTCAGGATCGTCAGGGCGATTCATCAAAATAGCAACAAATCGCCCTAGAGATTGATTTAATTCCTTAGGCACTCTCAGACTCTTCTCTATTCCCCACAGTTATCTTCTATTTAATACCACCCTTCTCCCACTCAGCCCAGCAATTCAAACCTTTCCTCTTCATCCTCCTTCCAACACTCTAACCTAATACAATAAATTCTTCCCTTCAACATCAACTAAAGCATAATACAACACAGCACTACACAAGCTTAACTTTAAATTATTTAAATACTTTACCCTAATACACTCCTAACTACCTACCATACTATTGGACCCCCATGCACGTCACTGTAAGCAGAGGAAGAGGCGACATGGTTGACCTGTTGCTTCAACATGGGGCCGAGATTAATGTCCTCTCCAAAGGAGGTTGCAGCCGTCTTCTCCCAAACGAGGGACTGATATTCAAAGCAAAGTACTACATCCAACCTGGCATCCATGGATGCCTCTTCATACCGCAATCTGTCACGGCAGTCAACTAGACTTACAGGTTTCAAGGTTAGTATTCCCCCTCTATTTATGCCTAGTGATATCTCCCCCATTGAATCCAAACTTTTCGTTGGCATACTATGACTACTACTATCATCATCATCATTACACCTCTGTACACAAACACGCGCCCAAACACAACCCAATTCCCACAATAATCCCTTCGCATCACATATGACTCTACCACTACACACAACCCCCATCCGAAACACTAAAACAAACCCAATACCTTCATATCCAACGCGCATTTAACTGAGCCGGCGAAAGTATCGTCGTTTTCAGGCTGCAAAACCTGTACTAGATATACACCTATTCCGGAGGACCTCTTCTCTAACAGCCAGCTACAGTACTCGGTTAACCACTTGGCGATACATATTCCAATCAAGGTAAGCCACGGAATTTTCAATTAACTATTTATGACCACATAATTATTTTTCCTATTCCCTTTTTATGATCATACTGTTTAGAGAGAAAGCATTTACTTATGGTGATGTTAAAATGCCACAGCTAAACTGAACAACTAACATATCATAGATCCAGGTACCTATACCTATCCTAAAGTCATACCTATGAGTCCTGGATCTTTCGAATCAGTATCCATATCAATTACTCTTAAAGATACACCATTAAGGAAAATCCCCACCTCGCCATTAGCTACACCTGACCGGGCGTCTTGAATGGTGTTGTAAAGTTTTTTATACGGGTAAGTATAGCCTTTCGTTCCATTAACCAGCATTCTTCTTACTTAAAAATTACTTTGAATGACTCCAGAGTTATTTCGACTTAATTAGCTAACCAAGACATCAATAGTCAACAAGAAACCGGTAAAACATATTCTTCGAGAAGCCCGGAATACCCTAAACCGAGACCCTCTTGTCCCCTCACTCGTCGTCCCCTCACTCGTCGCCCCCTCACTCGTCAACCAACAATTCGAGACACCGCTTTGGCAGAAATTATATAAGTTGGTCGGGCATAACGATGCTCTAGGAAAATTATTTGTTTATTCCAGAGCTTGCACTGCAGAGATGGGCCGCTGGTGCGCAGATCGGGTTTGGAAAATATGCTTGACCGAACAGGAAGCTCATAAGCTGGAAGCGAAGACAGAAAGGAATTTCATGTCCCGCAAAATGCACGCCTCTCGGAATCATTCCACGACGCTTAAATTACAGCCTACCTTTCGCTGAAGTACAACACCGCCAAAATCCTAGCAACCCCGTATCCTCCATTACGCTCCTCTCCTATCCTCCACCACCAAAAAAGAAAAGTCAAAAATCCTCTAAACTCGCCAATTAACGCGCCTGACCTCCGATACTATCAATGATGTTAAGCCTAGAGTAATTTTTGACGAGACTCATCAAAGTCGAGGTCGAATTCAAAAGACTCTTCGCCGAGACCTAACTCTAACACGGCGTTAATCCTCCATCCGATACAGCACTGGATCCACCGTTACCTAAGGAGACTCGTGGTTGCTATATGCTGGTCCTAACTTATCCCAGCCATCACACACCTCCTGAACGAGACTTCTAACAGCTTCCAAACGGAACTGAAGAAGAAGCAACAGGATGTTGATTCGCTTCATGGTTGCTGTCTCTTTACCTTATATGATGACATAACCCTTCGATCATCAACGCCAATACATCGGGCATTACAATATCCTAACCTACCTAACTTAAACTACAAGAGCCGGTGGCTATACATACCTCTAAATGTATCCTTTATTCTAAATGTCTCATCTGGAATCCTAATACCAGTAAGTCCTCCCGAATTCATAGGAACTGTCTTATATCATTAGAGCTGTAGACTGACCTCTTGACCAGGATGAGCCTAGATTAATTTCGTGGCAATAAGTTTCCCATGTCTATCGAGATACCAGCGACGATTCCTCTACTGGTGAGGACTACAACCATAAACTAAAAAACAATCCCTAAACTATACTATTGCGCTATTCCAGCAAAAAACAATATCTATGCAATCTATGCATCGTTAGTCGATGGCTAACTTACCGCGAGATATCAGGAGATACCTACCACATCGCCGATGTTGTGTTCTATCTCCACCTAAACCAAGTTGCCGGCCTTATAGGTGCAGCAAGATGTGCCGACCAAGGATTAAAATTGGCTACACTTATAATAAGTTATAAACTTAAATAATGCCGTCGTTCCGCGAGGAACTCTAAGCTAGCTATGGGAGCTTACGGCCATAAGCACTAAAATTATCCTTCGTTCTGGATATCTCATATAAAATATGTATCGACGAATCGCAAGCCGGCGACGCTCTCCTCTTTATTGGCGGTCGAAACCGTAATGCTGACTTCTACTTCCAAGACGAATGGGAAGATCTTAGGGTCTAAAATATTGACAACTCATTCAATATATATGATGAGAAGCAGAAGATCCAGATCAGACGTATAATACGGGTTGATTACCTGGCTGAACTATGAGATTAAGGGGAAGGCAGAATTCCTTATGATGCGGGAGAGAGTGGTCAGGATCTGATTCATGATGGGATGTGAGAAGATTGAGGAAATTATCTCATGGTTATTATGATAAATTCATCACCAACGAAAAATGTAATTAACGATACTGCTTATCAAAATTCTCATCCATGGTGCCGGCGTTTAAGAGAGGTAGCTGTTTGAATGGCTGAAGGCTGAGATGAGCTTGAATATGAAATTATTAATGATACTGTTCCGATACTGTGATAAGTGCCATAGTGATATGTAAAGGTCGGTGATAATCTTATAAAGAGATATGGACATGCAGCTCTGATTAGATAAGGGGAAGAGGTGGGGAAACTGCCCCGCCTAGGCTAGCCCAAAATACGATGGCTGCTGCTGGAACCACTGGTCCACCGCCACGCTGCTGCTAGCAAAGCTGCAAAGGTCGCGGAGCGATGCACGCCATGGGGGACGGGCTGTGCCTTACTGTGTACACCCTGACACCTTCTCTTTATTCCGCTACGACACAGTGACCGACTTACCGACCGACCTTATGACAAACACCTCGTGATTCTTTCCGTTTTATCCAACCTTCCCTCAACTGAAATACGACAAATAATAAGGAATAAGATCCCGACGTAATCATTTCTTCCTATCGAAAACAATTAAGAGGAAGAAACTCTCCGATACCTTCCGGATATTCTCCTGCGAACCGGAACTTACTTTCAACACAAACGTTTCATTATACCCGCTCTCCTCAGTCAAGATGGTGGTATGTTTCCCCTTACGCACATAATCAATCAATCTCCTTATGCGAGAGCATTTGTCAGTGTCCGAGAAAAGCAGAGCGTCTGCTCTGTTACTATACGAACTGCTGTTTCTCTATTTCTCTTCTACCTTGCTTGCTTGCTTGCTTGCTCTACTTCGCGACGACGCTGATCTCTGATCGATGTGTCTTCTTCCCGACAGTTTCTCAACTTGCTGACATTTGGCCTCTGGGGAAAGCTTGGACGACTCACTCACTACGCCGTGGATGCGGTCCTCAGTATGCGCCCCCTTTCTGTTCCTCTATCCATCTGCCTACCGTACGGTACAAGCAGCTAATCCGATTTACAGTCTCGACTATCCTCGCCGGCATGAGGCGCTCGACTGGCCTAACGTGAGTACCTAATATCTATATATACATACGCATATACCCGTCTCCCTGCCATCCGATCGTATGATTACCTACAGCGCGGCTATATCGCGGGGAAATTGCCAAGACGGGAGAGGCTGGAATCAAAAAGCAACAACCGCGACGACAATACTTTTTAGGGAATAGAAAGGCTGATTGATTGATTATCCGCAGTTTCAACACCGAGCGCGTGTCCGTCGGCGAGACCAAGGAGGCCAATAAGTGGATAGAAAAGTACCTGGGCGTCGGCGAATGGGTCATGGATCAGTCCGTCGCGATAGCCGGGTCCAGCGGCTGGTTCCAGCGGACCCGATGAGCGGATAGTACGAGACGAGAGGGCTGGGGATAACGCGCGGTATATTTACGACTGGAATTGATCTCCCACCATCATCATATCGCTTGGTCGTCATCGCCGTTACGATTCTTAGCATGGAACGTATCGCAACCTTATCTCCGATACGTCTTTGAACGAGCGCCGCTATGCCCTCCCCTCCACCGCATCGTACTCGATTGGAATTGTTGTCCTTTCTCTCCCCCTTTCACGAACAGGCGTTGTTGTTGTTGTTGTTGTTGTTGTTGTTATTGGGTCCATATATCCGTTTGATGAAAGTTTCTTGCTGCTGCTACCACGATATATGAAAGGAATGAAATGCTTGCCTCTGCTTGCTTCACTTGGCCACTACTCCATGCGCAAGGCGACGGTTGTCGCGACCGCATTACGTTACATAAAAATACAAAGCCACTCAGTCTCACCTGCGAGCAATGTCTTGTCCTTTTCGTGCCGCTGTGATTCGTCTTGAATAGCCAGCATCGTCGTAGCGTATATTACATTGCATAGGTTTCCAGACATACCACTTCAGCAACCACCCCCCTTTAACTTAACTCGATTGTGGGAACGCTAATACTCGTAATAAATTTCTCATTCGTAAAATAGGAGTATCTACTCCCAACGCTACTATCCTAATATGCTAAACCACCATACCCATGGTATCCGCATCAAACACCTGAACTCCGCTGGATCCCGTCGCGGTCATGTAGTTCGCAATGTAATCAATCCCGTGTACTAACTAAGCAGATAAGTAATTCCTCTACGCCCAACACCAAGCAGACCACGCCACGCTGTATTCATAACCCCGGATCCCGTCATAAACATTCGACCGCTGTATTTACGATTCGTATTCATAATCACACCGCATACATACACAATGATCTCGATAGCCGTTCAGACTAATCAACGGCATCGTCGTCTCTGCGGCTTTCGGAGAGTAGATCCGGCGGGACCCTGTTATCATCCTCGTCCTCAGCCTCGCTACTCTCCCTCCTAAGGCGACTACGGTTAGGCGTAGGCACGTCTTTCTTAATTCGGCTCTGTGGAGGACTGTGCATGGACAAGAACTCGACGGGGACATCATTGTGGCTCTCATCCTCGCTCTCGTGGTGCGGTGCTTCGCCCAGCAACTCCGGCGGCACCTCATTATCGCTCTCGTCGCGGTGCGCGACGCTGAGCAGGTCTACATGGGGGCTGCTCAGTTGCTGCGCGTCGGGATCGTCCCAACGCCGGACTACGCTACCGCTCAGTTCTTCGTTCTCGTCTAGCTCTGAAGAACGCGGTTCGACATACGAGGTCCCGTTTTCGCGCACGTCAACGAGGTCGTTGCTACCGGCAGACGTAACTGGCGTGATTATGCCGTTGTCGTACCCAGAGCTGCGAATCATGTCCGCGAGGAATTCCTTGATACCCTCGAGATGCGCTAGTTCAGCGCCGATGGCGGCGATTAGGAGGTTCCAGCCGCGGGATTCGACATAATCGTGCTGCCTTTGGATTTCACGCAACGTCCCTTTGAGGGCCTTGTACAGGTTTCGCAGAATAGATGCCGGGTCGCTAGATTCAAGATTTTGCTGCTGCTTCGTGGCATCTTGCAGCGATTGATTTAGTTGGGTCTCGAAATCAACAAGCATGGTGAGAACCTGCTGCCATATTTCGTTACCCTCCTCCAGCGCAGCCCGTTCCTTGTCAACGACAGTTTTGCGCTGCTCAAGCACGGCGACTTCGCCTTCCCACCAATCCTTCGCCATTTCCGCCGTTCGTCTCTCTGGTCGTAGAGAAAGAAAATCGACGCCGGACATATGTTTCGACATAAGAGCAGCGAAATCCTCGCCGCCCTGTTCCTTCAAATCCTCGACTTCGAGCACTTGTACACCTGGGTATTTCATCAGATCAAAAATGCCCTGATCGCACTGCTTCAATGCGCCCTTGTACCCGCTAAGGCTGGCTTCTCGGGTACTCCTGGCCTCTTCGAGTTTTCTTTCTAGGCTGGCTTTCGTTCTCCTTAACAGTCTGAGCTTCTCCTCGAGCTTCTCGATATCAGCACATACCGTGCGGTGCTGGCTCTCCATTGTCGCTATTTCGGTCTCAATCGGCATCTCGTTGTCTTCTTCCAAAGCCTTCAACTCGGCCGTGATAGATTTACGCTGAGACGATAAATTACGTAACTTTGATAAAGCGGTCTTCCGCTTAGCCAACGCGTCAGCGATGTATGCATCTTCCTCATTCTTCAAATCAGCCAACATAGTGACCGAGCGAGCGATACCTATACGTGCCTGTCGCTTCGACATAGGTCTTTTCTTAGGCTGGCGAACAGGCACGACGGATCCTTGGGATAGTTTTGTCTGAACAGAAGATGCCGTCATATCTGGGGATAACCCTTGCTTGGTGTCTTCGGAGGAAGTCTTTCCCGTATCATTCCCTTCAAGGTCTCGTTCTAGCGCAACGCCTTGCGCATCCAGTAACCTTTGAAGTTCTTTCTGTAATTGGCGTTCCCGCCGTTGTAACATTTTGAAAGTGTTATCAACGTCTGACTGTATCGTACGGTCTGCCGAACGATCAGGCCGTCCTTTGAATATGCTCTCGACAAGAGATGTATGGGTACTGGTAGTAGTATGTCTACTATCACGAGGCTCGGTGCGGATGTTTGGTCGCCAAATACCAGGAGGAACCTTAAGATCATTGCCCGTAGGCTCACTGAAGTCGTCTACGGAGCTGGGGGTTCGAGATCGCGAATACTGCGGCCGACCTTGGTAGGCGAAGGCGATAGCCTTGCCTTTACCTTTGGAGCGAGAGGAAGGATTCATGTTTGGCGTATTAGTTCCGGACCCGTTAGCAGTATCGGAAACGATGTCTTTGTAGGAGAATATACGAGTTGAATCTGGGGAAAGGAGCGCATCGTCAGGTCGGGGAGAGAGTTCGGAGAGGTCGTGTTCTTCTGGCTGACGCCGCGGCGGGGAAGTATATAGTGGCAAGAGAGTTGCCATTCTGTCTTCACCAAGTCCTAGCTTCGATAGTAAAGTATTCCCAAAACTCATGATTGTCACCTCTGGCACATGTGCGCTCGGATAACGTGATGTTAGAATTCAATACTGGAAACTCTCTCTCTCGATTGCATTTTGTTAAAGAATAATAGGCTGTAAGTTGGGGAATACAAAAGACACATGGACATGAACACCGGGATAATTAAAACAATAGAGCGCCAAAGCAAAAGAAGTCCAACTCTAATGTGATATGTCACTACCTCTTTAGGTACGATATGCGGGATGTTTGTAGGAATGTGGTGTGGAGGAAGCCCACGGTATCGATAGCTGGCAGTTAAAGCCATACACTATCGATAAATGCTTTATCTGTCTAGGTATCTACGTAGGTATCTTTCAGGGAAAGTGACAGGGTCATAAGAGCTTAGCAGGTGCCTGAACGAGAGACATGCAGATCTAAAGATGGTTTCTTATTGGTTTATTGCTGACAACCGAACTATCCAATTACCAATCACATTAGGTAAGGTATTATATATTATTTGTATTGTACATTTAGGTACTACCTGTCTTAACTTCAAAACTTCAACTCTACTGAAATAACAACTTACCAAGACCTTAGTTCGCCGGTTTAGAATAATATTTAAAAGACATCCCTTCAGATAAAATATATTGAGTGACGTCGGAAATGTAACCAGGAAATAAGGCCGTTGTGACCTTGTCGGAAGATCCTCCGCATCATTTATCCCCCCCTGTTCCGCCTCTCTATCCTTGTTCCCTTTCTTGTCATGCATCCAGGTTCTCAGGTTCTGAAACGATCTGTTCGAGATATTCGCCCAGTCACGAACTCGACTTGGACTATTCAGATATGACGATCTTCACCAGCTCGCACGAACAACCCTACGAATAGGTAAATATACCATCCTACAAGGTTGTCTCGGTGTTTTTAGTCGTATCATATATCGATGTACCTACCTTAATACAAACGGAACGTGCCCTCGTTGCTTCAACCATGGATACCATGGATACCATGTAAGATCTAATTCCGTATTAGTGTTCTCATCCACATTTACCTACGTGTATACATACGTTCATCTACATATGGGGAAGAAAATATGGGATCTCTTTCTCTGTTGGTGATCTTCGGATGGAGATCTCGAACCCAGTCGCCCTATCCCCTAATATAAGAATATAATTGAGGTAGTAATTGAACACCAACTAGGTAGCGACCCTATTCACCCCATTATCTCCCCATACCGCTTGCAGCCGTCACCGACGCAACACTGGCGACCAGTGATCTACATATCTAAATCTCCAGTAGACCAGCTGCGAGTTCTTGCGGGGAGTAATTGATTGACCTGTTGGGTGCCGAGAGACGGTTTATCTATTCGTGATCGCCACATCAACCTCGCGTGTCATTCACTCTTACAACTGTGGCCCACCGGGTTTCGTTGCGCTGCCCCTCTTGAGTCGAACAGCAAACAGTTGACAAGAGGTTTAATTCACTTGGTACCTACTTGAGATCAATTGATCAATTGGTACCTTCCTTGCAAATTATTTCCATTCAATTATTCCTTAGGGTCAGGTCAAATTTTATTGTTTGCATTAGTGAATTCCTCCTAACAAACGCCAAACATATTATAACAACCTCGCCAACAACGCCAATCCTATAAAATTTAGGACGCGGCCACCTTACTACAGGATATACTGAATTGGTTGTGATATTGTCAATCAAAATGCCGGCGCCTCTTCTCTTGAGCAAGGCGAGCATCTTGCTCGTCGCATTGTCCAGCGTTGGTGTAGTCCTTGCCGGACCCGTGGATGTACGACAGGCAGCCGAGGTAAATAACCAAAAGAAAAAAAAAAATCTACTATCTCAAGATGTTTTATTCCAATATAGTCTCTAATGCTTCATATAGGATATCGCAGCTCGTGCAGCCGGTGTTTCAACCATCAAAGGCTATGCTCATCCGTTGACGCTCACTGCTCTGTCTACACTTCGCCCTGATCAGACACCCTTGTCTTACGACTCGCCTCCCACGGCTATCACTGTTCCTACCAGACCACTACCACCTGCCGGAGACAAGGCCGCCGAAGCAACCGGTATCCAAGCCGAGGTAGCGGATGTTTCCGAGTCCGAACCTGCCGCGTCCCAGACCGACGCGCCAAGCGCAACCTCTGTCTGCACATCCATTGCGGGCAGCTATCCCACGGTTACCATCCCCAACTTCTGCAACCCCTCGGCCCAGGTCAACGCGCCCAGCTTCATCCCCAGCCGCACTGACATCCCCACCGCCACCGTCACCGTGGGCGGCGTGACTAACAAGCTCGACTGCTGCGTGCAGTGCGCCGGCATCTTCAACTGCGTCGCCTGGCGCTTCGTCCCCGTGTACACCCAGGCACCCAACCCGCACCTGCCCGGCGGCTTTGACCCTTGGGGCCGCGGCGACTGCGAGGCCGTCTACCACACGGGTAACCCGGATGACGAGACGAACGTCGCGCACGACGACTCGGCGGCGAACCTGTGCCCCAACGGCAAGGTCGGCGAGCTACTAGCTGGCGGCAGCGCTTCGACCAATGCTACTGGCAGCTGGACGAATCTGTACTACAACGGCTGGAACGAGGGTCCCTGCGCTGAGCCCGTGGCGCCGTTCGATAGTGGTAAGGATGCGGGACGAGGAGATGACGCAAGTTTGTGTTCGTAGGCTAGAGTTATGAGATGAGAACTGGTTCGGGTATGATGGACGAATAGCTCGTAGTTTACGACGGTTATTTTTAATGCGATGATTCAGCATTTCTATACTACATGCCTACCGTGATTCTACCTATGTTTCGTATTCCGTTGTCTAAACTTGGGATGCTTCTCTAGTATCACCTTTTAAGATGTTATTTGATTCATCTCTCTTACGGACATCAAGTCACGTACTCTCCTACGTGGCTATGTTGGTCAAAGATTAGGACCCTTAGTAGAGGGAACCATCACAATTCTCATAACCCGAAAATAAGGATGCATTTTAAGTATAACGGCTGGGATATAAATAGCACAGAGGGTATCTACCGAGCAGCCCTACCAAATTGTTGAAATGGTTTAGTGGTATCCTCAATTTCTTTTTCATTTGTATGGTTCTTTAGGCTAGGAGTGGGCGGTCTAGATCTTGAATCTACGCACGACAGCTTTCTTCAGTAGATGAAGATGATTGCCATTCTGTTAGCAAGATAACTGCCTATGTAACGTGAGCAATGCATATTACATTAGATATTACATCAGAAGTGGCTTCTTAGGTAATGATACTCTTAGCGATAGGGTGCTTTACTATGTATGCTACGCTCTTTAGACCCCATACCCAGTCGTCACATTGCGATAGGAGGCTCCGTCTCTAGAAATAAAATTGTATATATCGTAGACTAAAACATGTTAGTCTTTCAGAGGTTCTAAGTCATATTTCCATATACAGCTAGAAATATATACAAGAGAAGGAGATAATATTTCAGACTAACCCAACCCCTAGAGAAAATGAGACCTCGTACGAATAGATATTTTCTTGTGTTGATATCAGAACTTGATACAATATTCAACAAAGTAGACACTAGGTACCTACCTACCTAGGTACGTAATTGTATTCCAACAGTAACATTTATACTGTTAGATAAGGGGATGTATTCTTCAGCGGACCGCCAACAGTCACTGCCACGGGTGCTTTTCTAAAGCGAGGTTGTAGAATTCTTAGTTCTAGCTCCGTTGCTGCTAAAGATGGTAGGAAATATAGAAATACCTGAGCAGTACTGTGGTCATCGTCGAACCCGCGTCGACGAGCTTCGAGATAGTCACCCCAGCCTAAGAGAAGGGCGACAAGGGTAAATATATAAATGATAGTATTAGAATATCGTTACTCTCGTATCCATACGCCTAACCGAGGTAAGAAACTTGGGTGGAAGTGACTAGTTAAGTGGACTCTAGAAGGGGGGGAAATGCTATTCTCAGCCCGTCTTCACGTACATTTCTAGCCCGTAACGGATGTTGTTTTGTGGATTCAAGATACCCTCATGCTATTACTAGTAAAAACATTTGCCAGTCTATGAGCTGGCACGCCGAGCTGCAATGCATGCAGAGCCGACCCCGCAATCTCTGACGTAACTAGAATGGTGATGACCAGATACATAAACCGTTTATACATATTGTAAGTAATAAGCTCCCTTGTTTATGACATTTCCTATATTATTGCTATCAAACCTATATACCAAGATGACAACCGAAAGATCCGACTTGACGGCGAGAACCCTCCCCCAGATAGTGCTGGCCGACGGTTCCCCTCGTTCGCAGACGGCCCCACCCCCGTCTCTATCTCAAATCCCGGCGGCGTCCCGGGCCCAGGAAAGATTCCGTGTAAACGGAAACGCCATCGTTACTGGCGGAGCCGGTGACTTGGGTTTTGCAGCGAGTCGGGCTCTTCTCGAGCATGGCGTGGAAGGGCTCATGATCTTCGACATGAACCCAACGGAAGCACAAGCCAAAGTCGATTTACTCGGCTCCGAATTCCCGACTGCCAAGGTTCAGTTCTTGAAAGTTGATGTGACGGATGAATATGGCGTAGATGCAGCTGTGGGAGAGACGATCAAGCTATTCGGGAGCGTCGGTACCTTGGTGAGTTTTGCCGGAATGGTTGCCTGTGGACACGCTCTGGATTGGTCGGCGAAGGACTGGAATAGAGTAATCAATGTCAACACAATTGGTGGATTCCTTGTCGCTCGCGCGGTAGCTCGGACTATGATAGAACGCGGAATTGGAGGAAGTATGACATTTATAGCGAGTATGTCAGCACATAGAGTCAATTTCCCCCAACCGGTACGTAGTATTACGTTTCATACCCCTTCCAAGACATATGCTATCACTTGGACTGACTCTCATTATCACAGCAAGTATCTTATAACGTCTCAAAAGCTGGAGTTGTAGCTATGGTGAAGTCATTGGCTGCTGAGTGGGCAAGGTACGGAATTAGAGTAAATAGTATTTCCCCAGGATATATGGATACCATATTAAATGAAGGGGATGGTCTAGACGAAGCGAGAAAGATGTGGCTTAGTCGAAATCCATTGGGGAGAATGGGCCAGCCTGATGAACTGACCGGGGCTGTTGTGATGCTCGCAAGTCGTGCTGGGAGCTATTTCAACGGTTCAGATCTGCTGATGGACGGAGGACAGACGCTCTTTATGTAATAGTTGTAGTCGGTTACTCTCAAGTATGTACACTCTAGGTGAGAACCAGAGCTTTACATTAACTATGAGACTCGGCCTTGAGCTTTCGTATAGCCGTGCTGCTTATTTTCGTGGCAAAATTTTGCGTATCTGCTGACTTGTGCACGATTCCCTCAGTATCGAGGACGTCAACTTCAAATGTTTCCAGCTCCCGCCAGCCAAGTTGTTTTCGTTTTTCATTTACCGCACTTCCCCCGCTCCTCGTTTCTCCCGAAACTACGAGAGCATCCATATTTTCAGTTGTGATGGTAGGACCAAAGGCATCTTGGATAACCACGCAACGAACTTCGATGGTGCCGTTCCGGAATAGAGCAACGAGTTCGTCATTTTCCTTGGAAACTTCTAGATGCTGGCCTCCTTTCCAGCCGTTCTTGGACAGCTCTAGTATGGAAGACAAAAATTCGATCGTGTTCATAGCACGTTCGTCCCAAGGCTGCACATATTCTGCGTACTTCTTCCTCTTCAGTAATTCATCGCCAGTGATGCCAATGACGAATTTGCATGGGGTCGACGTGCCATTCTCGGGCACTTTTAGCAATAATACGGCAGCAGTTAAGAGCAGTTTATGTCCAGGGTGTAAGTGATCAAAGGTTCCTCCTAAACATACGACTGAATGAGGGCTAGTCTGGAGGGATGATTCCGAAGGAACCGGTGGTCCAAGTGACACGGCAAGCCCACCGTCTACAACAACCAGCTGGGACTGCTTTAAGGTCTGAATGCCCTCAAGAAGTTTGAGGTACGTTGAGAGTAATTGATAGCCTGGCTCGTTATTTGTATGGAATATGTATCTCCAAGGATGATAAGCTGCGGCGAAGGTTGCAAGATCGACTATTGTTGTGTTATTCGGTTTTATGTCTGGCTTTAAGTCAGTTGGGATTGGTTTAGATGCATCGTGATCGATTAGAACAACCCGGGCATCTACGGACCCAGGACCGGCATGAATATCGGTTGGGATTGAAAGTTTAGCACAAACAACGGATATGATGCTATATAGATCAGCTAGAATAGACTGGGCGTGAGGCCAAGAAAGCGATTTGTGCCGTGCGAATTTGCCTGCAAGAATTGGCGATGCCAGAGCAATGATCAAGACCGCTCCATCTTTTCCGCCTTTCTCGGATTTCAATCTTGAGAGGGCGGCGTTAAGCGGAGGCTCATATGCGGCGTTAAGAGCAAGCCGGGATGGGGGATGCGGAGGTGGGGGTAGCAGTAAGAGCGAAGGGAGATCTTCCATGGTGGTGCTATTTGGTTGTGGCATAAGGATGAATATGTGACTCGAATTGCTGAATCTCAATAAGTTCTTAGGTAAATCTAGGGACTTGGGTATCGTGATGAATATATAGAGTAATTTGCCAATTAAAATGAGCTCTCCTGATGGACAACAATGGTTTTGCCTGAGTGGCGTGATGGTAAGCAAGAAACCTTGAGCTAATTCCTCACGGTTAAGAATTGAGGTTAAGGATTAGTAGATAAAGAGAATAAAGTTGAAATTGTAAGAGAATAATTGTTGAGCTGTATTATGTATTATAACGCAAATGTAATAGGTAGCATACCTACAATAGGTAGATTACTGTGTTGAAGGATCGAGACTTTGTTCTACATATAAGCGTTTCTGATTAATAAGATAACCTAGGTAAAAAAGGTAAGCATGTTGCTCATGCCGCAAATCAGTGGACGGTTGTTTGATGGAGAAGCCGAACTGAAAGCCCCTGCACGCTACTAAAGTCTATACCTTATCTGCTTATGTACCTAGGTACATTGTCACTTTACTGGCAGCTGTCAATGTGGGATGTTTTCCGATATCAGGTGTTGGGCACGTATGACCATGTCTCGGATTTCTATTTAACTCTAGTTAGTTACATAGGTAAGTCTAAAGTCGAGTTTAGCTCATTCACTGCCAGAGTATAATATCAACAGGATAGATAGGTACCTGTCTATGCCTTGCTTGAATGTCAAGGTCAAGGTCCAATTCCAGTATACGGCTTTAGTGTAGATATGTAAGGAGAGACGTACAATACCTTAGGTACCTTATCTCGTACATGCAAGTACCTACCTAGGTACATACATAATGTCAAAGCCGCAAGCATCAACAAGGAAATCGCTAGTGGCTAGACGTGTACCTTGAAGTACCTACACTAAGAAACAAGCGCTGGTGAGGGGAACCTTGCGGCGATATGTACATGTACTCAGTAAAGCAGTAAAGATGAATGGAATCTTACCAAAGCATCCTGCCCAACCAGCCAACCATCTCCACACTCGTTAGACGGTATTGTTCAACACCCTTCGTTTGGAGATCAATTCCAATCGTATAAACTTACAAGAGTGACCACAAAGACAACTCCAGCCGCCAGTGTCAAAAGACATAGGCGCAAGGCGCATACGCAATCATTTTAGCACGACGCGACAAGAACTGATTGAGTACTTGGTAGTTGTCTTCCTTATTTATTATCTTATTACCTATCTTATTATCTACCTCCCTCACCAACCTGCGGCGACAACTCCAATTGCGACTTGGAAGCACCGCCACCTGCGGTACATTTCGATACATACCTGTTTGTTCACTAAGTGGTAATCGCAGAGCCCAACCGAGAATCCTCCCGCCCGACGTCGCGAAACTATTTTGAGCAGGGGCGTGCGTGTCCCGGCTTTTCAACTGCTATCGAACCTTTTTACACTCTATTTGCGACATCTAATTTTTGAAAATATTAGCAAATACCTAGTAGCCATTAATAACATCGACGTGAGCGTTGACAGGTCGAGCGACCGCCTCTCCTTACTTCCCCTCCCTCCTGCGGTTTTTGCTCGTACTTGCATCCTTTGACCGCAACACCGGCCAATAGCCGTTCGATCCAACCAGCCAGCCAGCATCTCGCAGCTCTGTCGCTGCTGCTAGCGCATCCAACATGAACCAGGCAAGCCAGTACGGAGCCGCCCCGAGACGAACTAATACATATGGCTCTCAGCATGATGAACTCCATATTTCTTCTACTATGAGCCACAGCGGCCAAATCTCTCCGCGGGACTATACTACCGCCTCCGCTCCGCACATCAAGCTTGACCAACCCGCATCGCAACCCGTCAATTCTCAATACCAAACTTCGGGTGTGCCCAACGTCCTTCAACCTGGAGGACTAGGCCCCGGTCGTCCCCCCGCCCTGAGTGCCAATACCGCACCTACCCTACCCACCATGTCCGGTGCCATACAACATTCTCCGAGCGAGTACACTTCGCCGTCCAAGCCACCGACTCTGAGTTTATCAGCACACGGTTACTCTCGCTCTAGTCCCGCCGCTCCTTACGAGAATTCTTCTACCTCGTACTCCCCCTATACTCCTACCACCCCCGGAGGATCCAACCCCGGCTCATCTCAGTACATGTCGCCGCAAGATCCTAAATATACCGCTCCCGGTTCCCAGCGAAACATCTCCAACACGCCGCTCGGCCTAGCAGACATTCGACCTCGAGCCGACTCAAGCCTATCTGACGGCCCGCCCGGTACTCTAGGCTACGAGCTCGCGAATGTTCAACCCTCTACCAGCAATTATTTGGCTCCTTGGGCGCTTTATGCATTCGACTGGTGCAAATGGGCTCCCCAAGGCAGGGGAGCCGGCAAGGTCGCCATTGGAAGCTATCTAGAAGATGGCCATAACTTTGTATGCTGACGACCCATAGCTCGAGTCTTAACCCATTCGTAGCCAGTACTGACACTCTTTCTAGATTCAAATACTCGACACACAGGTTACCAATACCCCTTCCGATATATATACCCCCGGTTCGTCCAAGTATAGCATGGAATTCACCAAGGTTGCAGAAGCGACTCATTCGTACCCCGTTACGCGCCTCTTGTGGGAGCCTCCATCTTCCCAGAAGCAATCAACTGATTTACTGGCTACTTCTGGCGATCATCTTCGGCTATGGTCCTTGCCGTCCGACGCCCAGTCATCTCATTCGAACAATATAACAAAGCCAAACCTTGGTGCACCCATAACGAAGCTTACACCGTTGGCGCTATTATCTAATTCGAAGACGCCAGACCACACTGCTCCTCTCACGTCGTTGGATTGGAACACCGTCTCACCTAGTCTTATCATCACCTCTAGCATCGACACAACTTGCACTATCTGGGACATTCCGTCCCTAACAGCCAAGACGCAACTTATTGCTCACGATAAGGAGGTCTACGATGTTCGATTTTGTGCCAATAGTGTGGACGTGTTCGTTAGCTGTGGACAAGATGGGAGTGTGCGAATGTTCGACCTTCGCAGTCTGGAGCATAGTACTATCATCTATGAACCAACCGCCAAGGATGACCGAGGTAAGTTACCAGGATGGTGTTACTAGAGATAATCATTAACCACATGACAGACGCGAATGGTGGAAGGATAAGCCCAACGCTGGCCCAGCAAACCATGTCTCACGCGCCACCCCTCCTGAGGTTGGCAACCTCGCCTCATGACACTTATCTCTTAGCCACGTTCGCGCAAGATTCTAATGTTATCCGCATTCTCGATGTACGACAGCCGGGGCAGGCGTTGCTGGAGCTACGCGGTCATGGTGGACCCCTGAGCTCGGTTGAATGGTCTCCCGGAAGGAGAGGACTACTCGCTTCCGGTGGAGATGATTGCCAAGTTCTGCTGTGGGATCTTATCAATAGTACTCCTACCCCCGGTTCGTCCTCCAACGGCCCCGGCTCGGCAGAGAAACACCTCAGTCCGGTTGCCAGCTGGCAGTGCGATTACGAGGTTGGCAACCTTGGCTGGGCTCCTCCTCTCCACAATGGAGAGGGTGTTGGCGACTGGCTTGGTGTCAGTGGTGGACGAGGAGTCTGGGGTGTCAAGATCTAAAGTGCTCTAGCTACGCATATGGAAAGCCGGTGCGGTTGGAGTACTACGAAACGAAACCCCACTATGCCAACAACAATGCTCAGCGATGATCTATAAGTTGGCACTATCCCTCAGACTGCTATATGCATTTACGAAGTAAGGCGTTATCTAGGCATGCATCACGTTTTTGGTTACGAACAAGCTCTTAGAGTTCGCGAGTGAGGGTATCGCTGAGCAGGAGACAGTCTATCGTCGGGTAGAGTAGACTGTCTTTAATGAAAATGAGGGAGCCGATTCGGTATCGAATAGGAGAGGCAAAGGCTGTGCCGTTCAACACCGATTGTCTAGGGGTATCGTACTCAGTCTTAATTTGTATATTAACAGCCATTCTAGTGGGCGAGCAGGCAGAATACCATGATGAGTCGGCAGATGGATGAATCAGTAGGCGGCAAAGTGTCAACGGTTGGTGATTGGTGGCATACAGTGAGGAACGGCCTCTTCGGTACAATAAGAAAGGCACGCACCTTAGAAAATGGGGAGCAGGTGATGAACTACGGTGTGTGTTTTGTTTATTACTGCGCTTCTAGTTTTATGCTTTGTAGTACTTTAGAGATATATACCCCGGTGGGTGCATGGGGAGTAAAAGTACTACGTATCATTATTAACCTTGGTGGCTTTTTATGTTTTATGTGAAAAGAAGAAGACCATCAAAATTAAGTAACTACCATAATACCAAAAAATGACTTTGACGCTCTGATGATACCAGTCCTTGAATACGGCCCTATTCATCATAAGCTTCAAGGCTAAAGTACCTAAACTTGTCACGCCCGGACATAAATAGGAGCTACCTAATGTACGATACATGAAAAAAGGGCCGTTTCAAAGCATGTTTTTATCTTTATTTTCACCATCAGTTTTTGTATAAATACTGTCATTCCCTCTTTGTTCAAGGTGTAACTACGTAAGGTACCTGGATACTTGACAGCTGCCAAGCCACCTGCTTCCAAAAACATTTCATCACCTATTGGCCCTCTTACTAGATTCCCACTAAACCAAATTCATATTAGCGCGATTGAAGCTTCCATTCTCCAGAATTATTCTAACCTAGAGATTTAGCACGTTGCCCGGCGGCTGCTGCAGTTGAACGTAAAAGAAACCATCCTTTCGCGTTCATCCTCCATCAACTATTCTCCATCAATTATTCATCCTGCACACCTTTTTCTCATTTCCTTTCATTCTCTTCACAACTCCTACCTCTTTTCAAATATTTACACGCGTTGGTATATGCGCTTAATAATTGGGCATCATGAGTGACCCTCGCGACCACGATCTCGAGTCGGACGAGGAAGAGGACTTCAATCCAGCACCTGCTGACATTAGCGACGAAGAGCAGGATGACCAGCCGAAGCAGCAGTCACGAAAGTCCTCGCCTCCTCGCAATGGAGGTGATAATGAAGATGATGACGAAGATGAAGATGCCGAGGATGGCATAGGAAATGACGACGATGAGGAGGATGAAGAAGAAGAAGAAGAGGACGAAGAGGATGAGGAGATTCAGGTAAGCTATTTCCTATTCATCCCATAATCTACTCTTTTCTTCATTTTACACCACTAGACGTAGTATCTAACTCAAATCCTATCTAAAGGGTCACCGTCGCAAGCGTCGTCGCGACAGACGAAACGCGTTCATCGATATCGAAGCCGAGGTCGATGATGAAGACGAAGGCGAAGATGACGAGGAAGCCGCCGAAGAGAATGAGGGATTTATCGAGCACGAAGAAGGAGGCGACTTTGGCGAGCAAAGCCGACTAGATGATGACCGACGACATCGTGAGCTCGACCGACAGCGTGACGCGGTTACACAGGAAGATCTTGAGCGCGCGGCCGAAGGCTACGTACGCAAATATGGAAACCGTCGCACTGCTAGGGGCATGGGCGATTCTGCAATCATTCCTCAAAGATTGCTCCTACCAGGCGTGGAGGACCCAGGTATCTGGGGTGTGCGATGCAAGGAAGGCAAGGAGCGCGAAGTAGTCCAAGCCATTACGAAGAGGATAGCCGAACGCTGGAATACCAAGGACCAGCTAGCTGTTACTGGTGTCTTCGAACGAGGTGGACCTAACTCCATCTTGAAGGGCCTGATCTACGTGGAAGCTCCTCGGCAAGCCGACGTGATGCTGGCGCTCGAGGACATGATGAACGTATACCCTCGTACCAAAATGCTCCTTGTTGACATCAAGGAAAGACCTGATCTATTAAGGGTTCAGAAGACACCTACTCTGGAACCTGGTGCTTGGGTACGACTTCGCAGACCTGCCAAACATGCTGGTGATCTCGCGCAGGTTCTTGATATCACAGAGAACGGCCTTGATGCCAGAGTGCGCTTCATACCTAGACTCGACTACGGACTACGAGATGAGTCGATATCCTTGACCGCCGATAAGAAACGACGACGCCCAGTTGCAGGTCCACGACCCCCTCAGAGGCTATTCAGCGAAGTTGAAGCGAGGAAGAGACATCCCCGTACGCTTCAGTATAGTAGCCAAACCAATACCTGGAATTACAATGGCGATGAGTTTGAGAAGGGCTTTCAGGTCAAGGACATTAAAATTCAGCACCTGGTTGTTAGCGATGTAAACCCAACGCTGGAAGAGGTTACGAGATTTGCCTCCGGAGGCGAAGACGGAGTTGAGAACATCGATCTCAAATCGCTCGCCGCTAGTCTTAAAGACAGCAACGCAAACGTCGCGTATCTCCCAGGCGACATAGTAGAGGTATACGAAGGCGAGCAGAAGGGTGTAGTTGGCAAAGCTACGAATGTTCAGGCGGACATTGTTACAATCTCAGTCACCGAGGGCGATCTCTCTGGACAGATTATCGAGGTGCCTACGAAAGGCCTCCGCAAGCGATTCCGGACCGGTGACCATGTCAAAGTTATTGGCGGTAGTCGGTATCGCGATGAGGTCGGTATGGTCGTAAATATTTCCGAAGATCGCGTCACCCTTTTAACCGACCAAACCACTACTGAAATTACTGTATTCAGTAAAGATCTTAGGGAGGCCAGCGACATTGGTGGCCAGGGATCCCTGGGTCAATACTCATTACTTGACTTGGTTCAACTCGATCCCACGACGGTCGGTTGCATTGTCAAAGTAGACCGAGAGACGTTGGTTGTATTGGATCAGAATGGCGATACAAGACAGGTCATGCCCTCACAAATTGCGAACAAGCTGCCGAAACGAAAGCTCGCCGTGGCCGCAGACCGCAACGGGTCTGAGATCAGGCCGGACGACGTTGTCAAGGAATACGGTGGCATGGGTCGGCAAGGCAAGATCGTTCACATCCACCGCACTTACGTGTTTTGCCATACAAACGACACCACGGAGAATGCTGGTATTTTTGTGTCCAAGGTTAACAACGTGTCCACGATCTCGGCAAAGGGTGGTCGTGTTAACGCCGGCGGCTCTGGGCCAGACTTGACGGTTATGAACCCTGCAAGAAAGCTCAACCCAAATGGTGGCAGGGGTGACATGCCACCACCCAAAGCCACATTCGGGCGTGACAAGTTGATCGGTCAAACAGTCACGATTAGAAAAGGCGGCTACAAGGGTGTGCTCGGTCGTGTCAAGGATACCACCGATACGCATGCTCGCGTGGAAATGCACAGCAAGGGTAAAATTATTAGCGTACTAAAGAGTGACATCACGGTCCGTGATAGCGTCACTGGGCGTGAAATCAAGAATTACGACACACGCCGCCCAGGTCAAGGAGGACTTCCCGGAAGACCTGCTCAAGGGAATTCAGATTGGAGCGGGGGTCGCACTCCTGTGGGCGGAGCCTCATCACGAACTCCTGCCTGGAAGACGCCGTCCGCTGGAGCAAGTGGCGGACGCACCCCCGCGTGGAGTAAAGGCGGTGACGGCGGTCGAACCCCAGCGTGGGCTGATGGTTCCCGCACTGTCAATCCTTATGATGGCAGCAGAACTTCTTATGGTTCTGGTAGCCGCACACCTGCTTGGTCTTCAGGCGCTAAAACACCAGCACCTGATCACTTTAGTCACGGGTCTAAGACGCCCGCGTACGGCGGCGGTAGCGGTGATAACTGGGGCTCTAAGACACCTTACGGCGCTTCCGCAGCCACTCCGGGGGCGAGTGGAAATGATACTTGGGGCTACACTCCTGGTGCAAGCGGATCGTCGAATGCTTACGATGCGCCAACCCCCGGTGCTGGCCTTTTGGGTGCTCCCACGCCCGGCGCTATGAACGCCCCGACTCCTGGTGCCTATAACGCGCCTACGCCTGGTGCTATGAATGCGCCCACCCCCGGTGCTGGCTGGCAAGGTGGGTGGGGAGCTGACTCGGCGCCAACACCTGCTGCAGCTGCCCCGACACCAGCAGCAAGCGGATTTGCCTCCTCGAGCGGGTACTACGGAGCACCTACCCCTGGTGCCTACAATGCAGAGACACCCGCAGCAGGCCCCCGGTACACAGACGACGACTAGATTTTTCAGGGAGGGATATTATAAAAGGAAAGCTACGGGACGGCGAATGGTGTGGAGTTTGCTACATATTGCTTTTTTGAGTGCTTTTTTGAGACGCAGCACCCTGAATATGTACTATTAAGACAACCGTAGCCTTCTCAATTGACGATTTCAATTCAGGATGTTGAGTTCGAGCTCTTGGTTTTTCCGCGCTATATCCAAATAAATCCGTGTAACTAGTTGTGTCAGCTTATCTTGGACCGACGTCCTAGTATCGTAAACAGTTGTGAACAATCGGTATTATTCGACTAGGTGTCTTCAGGGACAAGCCTAGGCTCCAGTTGTGTTGGGAGTGTCTTGTGACCATCTGTCCTTCTCATCCCGATTTCTTGTGCTTTCGCAATCCATATTTTGCTTGTCAACGCAGCGGGGCTCGACAATACTATGGTTGTTCAAATAGGCCCATCCCAAATGCGTAGACGTGAATTTATTGTTGACATGTCTACTCGCAATCATTGATACGGTTGAAAACACCTCTGTGTATGTCAGTGGGCCTGTCTGGCTAGGTGTCTGTACACGGGCTCCGTACAGGAGGATGTAGTTGCTTTCCCGCTCCTTTCTCACATGACAACACGCATATAATGTATCTACCTAGAGTAAAGTGCCCACCGTCGTTAATTATGACTCAAGTTAGCTAGGGGTGTGGGTTATGGTTTATGAGGCGTAAGCATCGTGATCGTCGATGTGTCTCATCGGGATACCTTGGGTACCTACCGCAGGGTGTAAGCTATAGAATATTTGTTACAGCAGGAGTTACAGCGACGGGATAGCTTATAGAGAGTATCTCAGGATCAGGACTCGCTTCTAGGCAAGTTAGAGTCAAGATGATATCATAAGATTATATTTATAACTAAGGGGTCGATATAAGGAGTCTTGTATTAATAGAACTAACTTGGAGACTGCTAGTACTTATAGTGAACTGATATTTAAATTTACTCACATATTATTAGGCATTTTTATAGGAAATATCTTAAGGAATATCATACGAGAGTTTGCGTGATATGCATAAAATAGCCTTTTAATTCCTGATGGACAGCTGGTAGTTTCAACTTAGAGGATTTCGTCTTACATCCCTTTCATCTCTATCAACTTGCTGAATTCTATGCTGTGTTTCTTCACTTGTACAAGCTTCTATATATTGAAGGATACTTTCTCAAGAGGACCGGATAATATTCGCGCGCCGTGGAGATCCTTAAAACTAGAATGAAATAGAAGAAACACGACATGACGAACATTGAAATTATTTAATGCTGTTCAAAATGAAAGAGAATAGAGTCCCCCGTCTATCTTAATTCCTAGATCCAAAAAAAATCTCGTGCTGAAATGATTGTCACTCATAGCAAGCATTAGCCGTGAGTAAATCGCTAGAACTTCCCAATCGATCAAAGGAAAACTAATTGCAAGCGTCGTTGAGAGACAGAAGTCTATCTGTGTCAATAAATTTGTGATTTTTTTCCCCCTTAACACCCACCGAGCCAGAATCAAGGATAGTTAGAAATCGAATACGGTCCAGACCATGACAGTCGAAAATGAAACACAGTGAATGGATGGAAGCCTGACAACACCAAAATGTTCCAAAATTCCATCTTCCATTTCCCCCTAATTCAGAGTTCAGCTTTGCTCGTTTTGCTGTATATACGATAGGTCCGGATTCTCGGCATCCATATGCGGGAGATACTCGAATCCAGGCCAGCTATTGCTCATATTCCCGTAAGACCAATGGAATTCGGGTTGGTCTAACACTAAAGCTTGAGAGGGGCCGGGCATGGGGTTAGGTGGAACCCTCGTCAGTTGATTGCCTCCGTAGCCGGGGAAGTTCTGCGGCCCATAAGTCATTCCGGGGGGGATCTGCGGCGGGAGTATGCGGTATTGGGCTTGAGGCTCCCTTATAAGCATCGGCTGGCTGTTTTGTCTGCTCATCTTGGGGACCGGTATATGCCGTTGGGCCATGTTTGGGTTGTTTATGACTGGTGTCGTAGGCATGGCGATCTGAGTTGCTGTCTGGCCACTGGAAGAAGAATTCCCTAAGGAAGGTGCATCGTCCAGATCCATGTGGAGATTATAAGCCTTTTGTGCCAACGAGTTCAGGCGGCTTTTCATTAGTAACTCTTGCCCTTGGATAAATTGGATACTACCAGACATGATTCCGTGGTCGAGAAATTTTTGGAACAGATTTGTAAAACGCTGTGTATTTGCTGGTACTGGCAACGACTTCATTCCTAGAGTAGTCCGCTCGGCCCCTAATAGGTGATTAGATTTATACCAAGATATACATGTACTTTGGGCCAGAAAACTCACAGGGATGCCTCGGGCGAAGCTTTTCTGGAAAAATCGTCTCCCAAATGTTAAACCATTTCTCAACTTCAGAAATCTTTTTCCTTTTCTTGCCTCCGCTCCTGTCGAGCAGCGTCCATTGTTCCATATTTATCCCTGAGTTAGATTCTGAGCTTCCTACGGCACATGGCTCTGGCTGCTGGCGATGTGTCTTCAGCTCAGCGACGCTTTCTTCGATGGCCTTCCCCTTCCCCGAGAAGTTCTTATAGCAACGCTCGCATTGGATTAAGAGATGCTTTCGTTTGATATGTTCCCTTAATGACAGTTAGTTCGCTCTCTTCGGTATAATAATGGATCCTTACTTCAAACGCTGGATTGTCTTATATCCTGATTCGCACACGCGAAATTGGTCTCCAGTGATAGGGTTGCTGCAGAATATGGTGGGAGCCGACTTATTGAAAGGACAAGCGTATCGGCCCCTCTGCTCGCCTGAAATTGAGCCATCGTCGTGGTTTTCAGGAGAGCCGCTCCCCTCACCATCATCCCTTTCCCCATCTCCATCGTCGGAGCTTCCGCCCCTTGATCTTGAAAGTCGCTGCTTTTTATGGGACTTAGACGACCTCTGACCTGCGTTAGGGTTCACAAAGGACTGCCGTGAGCTCTCGCCTGCACCTGGCGAGTTTTGGTAGGTAACAACACCTTTTTGCCAACCTCCAATTCTTCGCGCTTCACTGTGGACCCGATCTTTATGTAAATCCATAATAAGCGATGCTGCGAATTCCAGATCAGGAACATTCATGAGCACCGCAGTCTCGATCTTGTCTGGCTCCCCGGCCCAGTCGTCGTTGTCTTCTTCGTCGTCGGAATCGAAATCGTCGTCTTCGAATTCACTACTGGTCTCTTCGTGCCTACTTTGACCAGTCTCACGAAGTCGGTTTTGAGATGTATTATCATTGTTATTATTGTTGGATAATATACGCTTTTCGTCTGCATTTCTCGTCGAGGGTGTGACATTGTGAAAGTCACTGTCCATTGTTTTCGTAAGTATTGGTTTGGGATATCTACAAGTTGCGGAATCAACGATAGATGATGTTTCATAGGATAGAGGAAGAAGTATAGCAAAAAGTATAGCTTACTGTATATCTGGAATCTGAGGTGGGTTGCGAATCCCGTCGTCACTATCGGATGACCTCCCACATCGTTCCGTTACGTTCAACTCTGTCTCTATGAAAAGGTCATCCTTGAAAGAAGCCGGGCTCGCTTCTGAGTACACAGCTGAGGATTGGTCCCAACAAACACTTTCGACTGTACTTGGACTGTCAGACCTGGTGGATAATGCGCCGACACGTTGGAGCAAGTTTGGAGTTGAGCTTTTGAGGAGGCAAATGTCAGTATTGGCCTCCGATTCATCCTGGGCGTGTAAGTTCTTTCTAGCTGCTTCATCTGGAGGGCATAGAAGCATCATATCTCGTGTGGTAGATGATTCCATAGCGGCTGCTTCTACCAATAAAGCAAGCAGTCGTGGTACAATCTAGTCTACGCTGGAGACATAGCTTTCTGGCCGACTTCGCAAACTACCTAGTTTCAGTAGCAAACTCGGAGCCTTGCTAGATAATGATTAAAATAATAAGTAGCTATATTATGATCCTCGGACGTGTATTGTTGGTCTAGGTAAAGAGTAAATGCCAGCGAGGGATTAATTCGCAAGACAGGTTATGGCAGGGGTTAATCTTAAGCTTACAGCCAGAGCCTCACGCATTTGCGCGAGAGCCTTCTTGCTGCGCAGAAGAGTGACGAAATCCTACACAAATGCACTTTTTTCCTACTTGTCCCGGCACATTCCACCAATTAACTTTGACATATCTCAATTCCAGCCTGACAAGGTTTTAGTCGTAAGCTACAACACCTAACGACGCAAATGCGCTGTATCTAGCACCGGCACCGACACGGTATCAATGCCAGATGATTTCGATATATGGGAATCTGAATAAATCGGTCTTATTGACGCGCGAGATCAACGTAGTATCCGGACAAATACAGCCACACGGAATGTCCCCGAAAGCCTACATCTGACGCGCGAAGAGTATCGTGGTATCACATCAGGCCGGATCCTCCGTGTGGGTTAGGTCCGAGTTTTAACGTTGGAATAATTTCACATTATTGAACAAAGAACGACAAGTCCGCCCAGCTCTTGTCGGTGAACCTATTGAGCCTCTTGGCGCTCGTGGTCACATGTATTCATTCAGATACTAGACCACAGTGTATTGATACGCGCGGCAACTCGAAGGCTCTCTATTGCTTCGTGCCCGATAGGGTGGCAAATAGGGTGGGAAATGGGTGTAATTGTACTACAGGGAGCTCCTCTTAGACTTAGACACCGTCGCGTATAATTTATTGCAAACAATCAGATAGACTCCGCTCAAGGGCGGTAGGGTTGATCCCTTCGAGGGAAGCCTGCGATCCCTACATGCTAACTCTATGCAATTCTGCGAACAAAAGACTAGGATAATTACCCTTTGGATTGATCATTTAAGAGAATGTGGATATGCGATCTATCACGATAAAAAATAGGGTGTTTATGATCTGCGTTGTCTATCCTTGATTCATCGGGCACGTTGCGTATTAGATAGAAATTCGCATGCGAGATACTTGAGTCATCAACACAAAACCCTTACACACCCTATAATACTCTTTACCCTTATTTTTGTGCGATGGCGATTTGTGTGTTAGTGTCTTTCAATTATCCTCGCATCTGCGCGGAATTATATGGGAAGGGTCTGTTCGCCGTTGACTAACCGTGTTTTAACACTCAAGTGCGAAGATAACCCTGAGCACACCGCAGCACCTGCGAGTATTGATGAACAGTTAGAATCATTTGCGTAAACTTCAATGATGTGTTTGGCGGCCTGGATGTCTATATATTGGGCATCACCCGATCTGCTTTTGAGAGAAACTTAATCATACTCCACCGACCTAAACATCTTTCTACACGTTCACGTCTGTTCTCAACTCCGAACTAAAATACCAAAATACTTCCAACATCACAATTGTCTCTAAAAACGGTCAAGATGAGCTTCAACAATAACAAGCACAATATCAACAAGAATGGGGAAGAGCCTAAGCCTCACCCTATCGATCCTAGTACGTACTACTCACGAGCTACCATCCAGACTTTTACTAACGAATTAGCTGTTGGTCAATAAATGGTTATCGCATCACGAGCTATAGAGTTAAATATGGCATCACACGACTTCTCATACTTTACCCTCAATACGTACTATGACAGCAGCGGAGGTAGCAAGATGTTAATAGCTTACGACAACGGCAACGATGACTTGGTTTGGTTTACGGGATATTCATATTCGGCCTATTAATGGGGTAGATATTGGTTACTTGCTCACGTATAATAATTATAGCAGTATAATATAATTAATTATACACATGATGTTGCGTCCCTATTGTCAGGTGATCAAGTGCAACGAAGTGATTGACTCTCAAAGAAGTTAAGTTGTCGACATGAAGATTCCTAAAATAACACAATAGTTTCTCAGATACCTAAAGCGAATACTCTCGTGCAAGTTCCCCGTATAAGAGTTATTTAGGGCTGGTTGTTGTCTTCTAATACTTATAGGTTGTTTACACAACTTTTTATAGGAATAATTGACTGAGTCTGACATTTGAGGCGCTATCAGACAGACAAGTGTCCGATAAGAAGTTTTATATATTTTCATTAAGCTTATACCATTGTAACTAACTCGTCTTTCGTATATGAGGCGTGGCTATGACTATTAACTAATGAGATACTTTCATATTAAGGGAAGAACTTGTTCTTTGGGCGCTTGAGGCCTAAGTGCTCTCGCAGAGTTGTCCCCTCGTAATCCTTACGGAAGATGCCCCGCCGCTGTAGCTCCGGGATCAAACGTTCAACCACATCATCGAGACCCTGCGGTAAGAAGGGGAAAACAACATTGAAGCCATCTGAACCCTCTTGTATAAGCCACTGCTCCATCTCATCGGCCACCGTCTGGACCGTTCCGACAAATGCCAAACCGGAATATCCTCCATATCTCTGTGCGAGTTGGCGGACGGTAAGACCTTCGGTCGCTGCGAGCTTTAGCACGCTCTCACGACTTGACTTGCTTGCGTTGGTCTCGGGAAGCTCAGTCGGCAGAGGACCGTCTGGATCTAAGTTGGAGACGTCGTAGCCAAGTGCAATAGAGAGCGAAGCGACGGAACTCTCATAGTGCACAAGACTGTCCAACTTCAGCCGCTTAGCTTGGGCTTCTTCGACTGTCTCACCAATGACTATAAACGCGGCGGGTAGTAACTTGATATCATCAGGGGCACGACCCACAGCAGCAAGCCGGCCCTTTACGTCCTTGAAGAACTCCTTGCCTGCCTCGAGATTCCGCGGTGCGCAAAACACCACCTCGGCCGTCTCGGCGGCCAACTGTTTCCCGGGCTCCGATGCACCGGCTTGCACGATTACCGGCCATCCCTGCGGTGGTCGCGCAATGTTTAGTGGACCCCTGACGTCGAGTTCGGCTCCGTGATGATCGAGAACGTGCAGACGCTCGGGATTAAAGAAGATGCCACTTTCGACATCACGCACGAAAGCGTCGTCGGCGAAGCTGTCCCAGAGCCCTGTCACCACATCGTAAAACTCGCGAGCCCGAGCGTAGCGTTCACTGTGCTCCTTATGCGCATCCTGGCCGAAGTTGCGTGCCGAGTCTGGATTAGCGGTTGTGACAATATTCCAGCCGGCGCGGCCTCCGCTCAGGTGATCGAGCGACGCAAACCGCCTTGCGATGTGATAAGGCGCATCGTATGTTGTGGAAGCCGTAGCGACAAGGCCGATGCGCTCGGTTACTGCGGCTAGACTTGATAACAAAGTGAAAGGCTCAAACGACGTTACAGTGTGACTACGTCGGAGAGCCTCAATAGGCATGTTCAATACGGCCAGATGATCGGCCATGAAGAATGCGTCAAACTTGGCGGCTTCTAGTTTCTGCGCAAACGACTTGATATGCTGGAAGTTGAAGTTGGCATCCGGATAGGCGCCTGGATATCGCCATGCTCCTGTATGCAAGCTCACCGGGCGCATGAAAGCGCCTAGGTGAAGCTGCTTCTTCTTTTGCTGTTGTTCGGCCATGTCTACTGTTTGTGTTTCTTCCTACGGATCTACAGAGCTCCTTTGCGGCGGGAGTGCACCGTTCTTCTACGTTATGAGTTGAGCTCCGGCCCGTCCGGATCGGCTTATACACCGTGAGATGTCGCCATTACTGAGGGGTATGACGAGAGATCCGAGAAGCCAACCCCGAAGCCTGATGGACAAATGCTGCATAAAGTGGTAACAATCGGACTTAGTTACGCCTTCTCTATCAGTATTGACTTATAAATCAACAGAGATACAGGCGGCTAAGTCAACTATTCGAAGGCAGCTACACCAATCCAATTCATTCTTTGATGAATTCTACTACCCGTGTGACTGGTCGGGTACGATGCTTACCAAAGAAAGTCACCGAGCAAACAATTTCGATTAGTCTCGCGGTTACTATACCTGCATTAATGTTGTCTTCATCGGTACCATATGAGAAGTATGATTTGAAATCATATGGTATATATTAGCTTCACCGTCTCCAATCCGTAATGAAACAAAGGACAAATGACGAGAAGAAGAAGAGAAGACGCGATGGTTTTTGTTACTAGATGCTGACAGTTCTTGTAGGGGTGGCGAACAACAAATTCTAGTAAAATGAGTAGTTAATGGTCTTTTAAAAATACCACGATATCCACGGGGCAGTAAGCTTGGCAATAGTCCACGACTAAGAAGGGGACTGAGTTTTATTGAAGAGGTGCTTGTTGAGTCCGTCCGTCGGATAACAGAATGGAACCTTATCATGGAGGTGGATTTGATTCAATGTCGTCGGCTATCAAAATGGCACGACAAATACACAACATGTCGATATCACCGAATCTACATGTCTTAAATCCATGCTCCAAAACGTGGGTTACCCCTTGATAGTAACCCAGTTTTTCCACGTTCGTAACTTCGACATACGAATTTGTAAGATTTCGGCTTATATGGAACAGCAAGGGGCTACAAGGACTACCCTGCAGTTTTGCTAGCCACTGGGAGACAGTGGAGTCGGGTTCCTGTCGCCTTGACTAACCGCTTAACCCCTGTTCACCCCTGCTCGACTTCAGACGACATGAACTCATGAAGAAACCCCGTCTTACCATTTGAGTGTATCGTTACACTATTCTCTTCTCTAAAGGAACTATGTTCAGTTAAAATTCACCCTCGGTATGTAGAGTATTGTTTTTTGTCCGTATTAGATGCTCTACTCTGCTCTCATATCGCTATAATCGCAATGATCAACTATCGACGTCGGGAACAGGACCGTGCGTTTTCTAATCTAAGATTTCCACTTGAGGAGCCTCATGATAGCGGCTGGGCGAACCCGAAATGGCCGTCCGGACGCGGGTTGCTAACCCCATCATTATAACTGCCGTTATCGAAGGATCTCTCAGGGTATCACCAGTATGTCCGGCGCCATTTGAGGTATGCGTCTCTTGGCATTGCCGGGTCCTACTTCGCGGACCTGGCTCGCGATGCCAAATCTTAAGGTGAAAAAGGGGACATGGGTTTCAGCCAAGACATTCTCGGCCTTCTTCACGCAAAGCGCGTTGCACAACCAACTCAACTAGCACAAGCGTGCCCGTCTAGGTCCCTTTACGAGGCTTCAGCCCGGCTGCCGTTACCGACGAGATACTATGTAGTTGAAGGCCCAGAAATGTTGAGATGATTTTCCGGATGTTATGCAAATCAAGTCGTATAAGATCTACGACTTCCCTCCCGTACGTTTCGTAAATCTTTCTTCTTCATCCCATTATACAAACATCAACAGCCAATTTCTATTCCTTCTTTCTTCTCCAACAGCTGTGCTGTTCCTTTCCATCACTCGTTTTCATTTCATTTCGCTAGTCGAATAAAGTTAGCCAGTCGTTGACGACTTTGAATCATCCGACTTTTTTTTTTTTTACCCTACCACCAAAATAATCACAATGCGTTTCTCTCTCGCTCTAGTTGCGGCTTATGCTGCCTTCGCCCAGGCTGGTGTCTTCACCCAACAAAACTACAACGACATCTCCATCGCCGGAGGTGTTGCCGGTAACGCGCAAGAAGAAGCCCTCGCTGTATTCAGCGCTTTGGACACAAACAACCTGGCCAGCGCCGACGAGGACGACATCAACTTCCTCAAGTCGGTCAACAAGATCTGCAACCAAGCTGAGGAGCAGGCATTCAACCCTGCCATTGACGATGCCTCCGGTGAGGCTGCCGATGCTCTTCAGCGTGGCAAGATAAAGAACAAGGTCCTCAAGCTCCAGGCCACCATCCTTCGCCTGCAGATCCAGCAGGCCCAGGGAGAAGATGTCTCTGACGATATGGCCACGGAAACGAAGAAGCTCAACAACAACATCCAGCAAGATGAGGACGAGGCTGGCAAAGCCTCAACCTTCTTGTCCTTCGATGCCACCACCGCTTAAATTATCGCAACGAAGACCTAGAGTCTAGAGAGGAGGAATACCCGTTTTGGTGAAGCATAACGACCCATATACCCGGATTTTCATGGGCAAGGGGTGGAAATGTATGAATACGAGTATGGACTTTAATTCTTGATACTGAAGGATAGAAATACAATATTTTCTGTTGATTTAAACTCCGCGTCCCATGATTGCATGCGAGTAAGTGAATTGGAATTGCCTTTGTGATCTCGTTTTAGTGCTTATGGCTTACTATCTGACGATATCCAATGAAAAGTTACGCTGTAATTTAGGGAAGTATTAAGTGCACGATCATGAAGGAGAAGTTGCCTATCAGTGTTTCACTACGCGATTTGCAGGAAGATTTGAAGTCCTGATATTTATTCAGAGACTATCTTATAATATTACTCGCTCCCTATCATCCAGCCTTCACAGCCGCTTAACAAGTGAACACAGCAGGACCAGGCGCGGTGTAAGAAGTGGGCACCGGGTAGTAGATGTTAATTAATAGACCGGGGTCGTCGGCCTTGTAAGCACCAGGGAACGAGACAAGGTTCGTAGGCGTCTTGCTTCCGCCGCCGGTAACAGTAAGCTGCGCGCACGAGATGTACGTCTGAGCACCGCCGATCGAGCCCGCGGAGTGAAGAGCGATGTGCTCGACGCGGAGCAGGTAGTCGCCGGCGGGGATGCACGACGGGATCGTGGCCGTGACCTCCTTGGCGCCCTGGCTGGGCCAGGTCAGTCCGCTGGGCGAGATGTTCGGGCCCTGCGAGAAGATCTTGAACCAGACTGCGCCTGAACCGTCCCACGAATCCGCCGTCTGGCCCGCGGGCACCTTCGCCATGTAGAACTGCAGGGTCCCCGGGTGTGAGACGGAGGCGTCGGCCGTGAAGCCGACGGTGGAGCCGGCGGCTACGGTCATCGTCTTGGCGCCCTCGTTGCCCGGGGCGAGTTGGTAGCAGCGGAACTGCTCGGAGCTGACGTCGGTCACTACGAGGTGTTAATTAATGCTATTCGGGCGAGGATTTAAAGGCAAGAGCTAGAAAAATACGGACCTGGCCCATTGCTCTGGTAGTTCGTTGTCTTTCTCACGTACTCCCACTTGTTGGTAGCACCACCGTTTGCAACTAGCGCTGGGAAAGTGTCTGGCCGTATATTAGTTACTTTACCGCAGGTCATATATGGCTTTATTCAACTTACAGTGAGCCTGGACGGCTGCCACAAGGGCAAGGACGGCGGTAACAGCTTTCATTTTAGCAAGACGTAGGAATGTAGGTCGACAGTATTGAAGTTCCTTGACTCTGGTATAGGAGGCTTTAAAGATCGGCGGCACTCGATATATATATATACCTGGAGAACGTCAGGGGGGCACGCGTCGTGCTACTATTCTTACATCCATGCTCGCTTTCCACGGATTTCTAAAAGGAAGCACAGGGGAAGAAATTAAATTCTTGCATTACCGAATGATTGAGCCATGCTCAATGACGACCTTACATGTTTGGACGCGGCGAGATGGCTACCGAGCGGATAAAGGTCCTCCGGGTAAATGATACTTACCCCTGTATAACTCTCCCGCGACCAATCAACTTCCTTACCTTAATTGAAGTCTGCGGGAGGCAAATGAAGACATGAAGCCTTGGAAATCCGACATGCAGGACATAGTTTGTGGGGTAGTGCGTTGAGTCCACCGGCCCAGGTTCTTGGTGTGTAGGCGTGGCCGTTCACTTAGGGGACAGGTCTCGTGCCTTCGACATAATGTCGGCCCAATATCCCGACGCTCAGAGACACATTAGGAATAGGCAAAGGATTAGTAGGCCAATATTTGTCAGTATAGTAGCACTGAACGGACCGAAGTCAAAGGCGTTAGGCTGCCTCCTCACTTCGGGCAGAAGGCGGTTTCATTGTATTCCATTTTGGGCTCACGACTATTTCGATTTCCTTGACTCGAGAACGCCAATGGCCCAATCATGGAACCAAGTAAAGTATAGCTGTGAATCAACCTGGAAATAAAAACGTAAACGTGGAGTTATACTTGGACCTCACCTTGTTTCCTTTAAGTACCTAGATAAGCGGATGTCTTAAGGTTACTGATTAGTAGAAGTAGTTCCAAACCAAACCTATCATGTCTAAGATTTTCGGCTAAGACTTTGAGGCTCTAATCATATTTTTAGAACCCACTAGGTATCCCAGGGTACTCCATAATGTCTACGGTAGGCCAACGAAGGAAGTTGTACGCTATGAAAGGGTTCATCATTTGGACAACCTGAAAGATAATTCAAGACAGAAGAGTCTGTGTTCTTAGTAGAACCCAAATTAGTTGTAGTTAGTTATTCAAAGACTCCTAGCTAGGTTTAGATAGTCCATATAATATGAAAGAGAATGAATGCTATTGACAAAAAAATAAGAGGTATCTTTATTGTGAGGATCTACCTCGCCTAGGTCCATCAAAGAGAAAAGCCAACAATGACATTTTATGAATAAAGCACAATGCCTATTGTTTTGAGGGCTTTTGAGAAAAGTATAAGAACCGGCCCGAACCACTTCGTAAATTCTATCATTCCAATCATCACAACACAACAGCTCAGCTTAGTATTCGACTTCTTCGGTTGGCAGGATCAACCATTCACGCGCTTCTACACCGGGGAAATCTCAACAACCATTTCTAACTTCTACTCATACTTTTAACCCTTTAAACCTTTTAATACCTACCGCCCATCATGTGCTGGCACCCGCAACAACTCTACACCTGCCAACATCGCCAGGACTACTCCAGCCAGGTGATCCCATGCCCCCTGGTTGCCTCCTACGGTCGATGCCCGCTTGTCACTCTCATGGACGCCCCTGAGTCCGACACGGTTCGCGTCAATGAGAAGTGCCACAGTTGCAGGCGACGATAGGTAAGTATGAGTCGAATTCGAAAAATGGTTCCAGAGGTAAATACACCCTTATTCTAGTAAAACCGGTTTCCCCTCCCCCTTTCTCCGATCGCAGGGCGACGAAATGGAAGTAGCGTGAAAGATAAAAGAGGTAGATAATAAGCTTTAATAAAAATTAATGTTTAAAAAGAAAATGTATCAATTTCTAGTGATATGCCCATCGTGACTTGTAATTTATTAGGGAGCATCATAGGGTTCTACCCGGTACCTGACCTCAGACAGCAGGTTACCTTAGATTTGAAATGTGTCATTTGATAATTTGCCAAGTAGTAAGCTACCTTTACTTTAAAAATGCATTTCAAAAGTCTAGGGTGACGCATTGGCTTTTAATACGTACTATGAGATAAACATAAGACTACCTGTTTAGCAGTGAAATATATATGTGCGTTTACGCTCCGCTCCGTAATTACTTGGGACCCCTTCTCAGGAGTTGTGCTACTAAAGCGGTATAATGTTTAATGAAATCAGTAAAACTTCTATCTTGTGTTTAAGCTACGATGTATAATTCTTGTCCGGTTCTCTATATAAACAGGGTATTCCCCCCCTATTCTTGGATTAGATCAGTCACCGATACATAGTACTATAGTCTTAGCCCCTATCTCTCACACTATGCAACATGACCCCTAACAATTCACAATAGAACAAAGATATACCATAAACAATGAATAAATTATTAAACATAAACATTTCAAAACGTCCTAGATGCGCCAATATTGCCCCGCGAACCCACCGCCGAAAAATCATCAGGCGACTCCCACTCATAACTAGCATTCGCCAAAGTCCATATGCGAGAACGCCGCGTATTCATATCCCAATGACCGCTTTTCTGCACCGGTACCGGCGCCGGCACAGACACGCTTTCCCCGAAGCTGAGGAGCATAGCCTGGAGCTCGTTGATATCGTCTTCGAGCTCGAAGTACTTGCGCGTTAGGTCTACGTAGTTATCTTCCAGTTCCCGATATGCGAAGCACTTCTTCGCATCCCATTGCGGATTGGACGTGTTAACGAACCAGTCGCGCGCGTCGAGGTACCGCTGCTTTGCGGCGTGTAGCTCCCTCTGTAGTTCGCACTTGCGGTCTATTAGTTCTCCATGCCTTTCGGCGACTATTGTCTTCATATCCGGGTTGAACTGGCCACCACGGCCCTGGGTGTGTATAGTAGGGACACCATTCCTCCGGTCTTCCTCATCGCTGTCATAGTCGTCGGTCTTAGCACTTTTACCATTGTACCGTGCGATGATAAGCTCAGGTAACCTTTTAACCTTATCTTTCAGCACAGTATAACTCCTGTGTCTTTTATCACATCCATGCTCCTCTTCGAAGGCCTTTATCCGCCTCCTTAGAGCAGGTAGCGATTTAGAGCGCTGTCTAGATGTGCTCTCGGATATCAGCTCGTGGATTCCATAGATCTCCCTCTGTAAAGTAGAAATTTGGCACATTATCTGATATCTATCTATTAGGCCACTTAAACGCGACCTGTGCTACAAGAGACATTAACGGCTATTCGCGCAAGGTAGAGTTGTTTTGCATATGAGAATCGAATTAGAAATTCAGTCAGAATACTAAATATAACCCTTATTTTGATAGTAAGTACAAAGACGTGACTTGACAAGAAACTATCGGTTGTGTATCTCAAAGCCTAGTTGTATGATCTACCCGAAATTAACAATGCTGTATTATCTAGTCAACCTTTGCTGGAATATAAAGCCGAAGATCCTATTACGTCGACATTTTATTAGTCGGCGACTTAGCTTTCTTACCGAGGCAGAAAACTAGGAGTAAGAGTAAATATTATATTACGTACCTATATTCGGTTATATCGCTTGTCACTATATATAACTTGGTGTGCGGGACTTATAAATATGGATTCATAAAAATAAAAGAGTATTCGCTAACATATCTCACTGTTGGTTGCGATGGCTAGGTAGTTGAGTAATGGCGACTAAACGAAAATTTAAGCTGCTGTGACATCATACCTGTTATATATGAATAATCGATGAAGCGCGTGCTAAGTGTTATTTGAGCTCATAGCCTGTTGATAACTATGTCTTTGTTGTGTTCAATAGCATTATGTGAGGTAGTTACTCGAAAAGCGGACGAGCAGACCGAACAATGCCATAAGCTTTTCTTTCTTAGGTGTAGGTTCGATGGGAGATTCCATATAGAGGAGCTTGTTATTAACGCATCTTGTAGCGTGCATGATTCCCCCGTTCATTTCAACACGGGGGCGGTATTATTGGTACTAGGAGAGTTCTTGAATATAGAGTTCAAGGTAAACTAGAGTACTCTATTCACACTGCAGCATGGGTAGTGAACATCTGTCAGTTGCCAAGCCCGAGCTGCGTCGTCAGCTTACTAGTGTTAAGCTAAACGTCGAAGCGACGAAGAACCTGGTGTTGTTGCTGAGTGAGGTAGCTTTCATGCTTTTGGACCATGGATAGCCGTTGATCTACAACCTGCTACTTTCGCATTCTAGGTGCCGAATGAAGAAGATTCAATGATCAAGGTATCTGGCTTCTTTATGAAATGCTGGTATCAGCAGGCAAAGACGTGGCTGGGGCTGTAAGCATGATGAATTTCGACCAGCAGAGCAGGACATGGATGGGTTAGAGGTGGTTGCTTCGCGGGCATTCTATGTAGTTTCATAGAGCTGCTAACATTTGGAAAAACATTGAAGAATAATCTCTCATCCTTTAGATGATGTTGTCCCTCGATCGCAGTTCATAGAACTCATAGTTATAAATAGATCCTTGACCTGTTGCAACAGTTTCATCTTGGAGACCGATTTCTCCTCCAATAGTTCGCATTGGAGTTTCAGCATTTGAGCTTGCTTGGTGCCAGGCCTGCCCTCTGTTTTAGCAAGGACTCGTTTAGTAAGCCGTTTGGCGTAATCAACGAGAACCGAAGCGATATGGATCAAGAGAACGATTTGCATGGTCGAAGCGGTTGTATTATTTGCAACAAAGTTTCCAACTCGAACTTCCGGTATATTCACATGCGGCTCGACGAGGCCAGGTGAAGCTAAGGTGACCTGAGTACATGCTCTCGCACAGCTGATAATGGTGCCTATCACGTCTACAACTTTGGAATGGCAGGATACCAGAAGGTTAAAGAGAAAGGTATCAATTTCATTCGGATCATCACCCGGGGTCGAAAAGAAGGCTGCTATATCGTCAGGCAGCTCGGTCATATGAAAGCAATTGGGATCCTGGCACTCAGGAGAGTCCGGCCTATCGAAAAGAACGCTTAGGGCCTGTGGGTAAATATCCGTAAGGCTTTGAGCTAGAGTGAAGAGTTGCTCGATACAGGCGGTGCGGGAGGTATTTTTGATGAATTTATCATGATATTCCCCAATTGGTCGATCCTTGGGCACATGGACATGCGATACGGATGGTAAAGTGACGGACACCTGGTTAACCTCAACAGCCAAGGAGGTTAGCAGACGGACACAAGCTGACCGCGGATCCTCCGAAGCTGGCTCTGATGGTTTGACTTGTTGGTCTGGCGGAGATTCTTGGGAGAGTTCCGGGGGAGTAGCTAGGACATTTTCAAATTCCAAAGGAGGCCAGTCAAACTGCATATTCATATCTAGGTCGCCGTTCAGGTAGGTAAAATTAGAGGCCGACAAGGCCGACAAGGCGCGTCGAGTGCTAAGTCCGGCCGGGCTGAATATACAAGTGGCGCCGGCCTTGAGACATCTTGTGCAGGTTGCGATTCCAGGCTGCTTCGGACATTTGAGCTTCTGCGAGTGACAACGATCACAGCTCGATCTTAAGGGACGTGGCATATTTATTGGCTTTTGTGTTGTCTACCACTTTTCATTCCGTATATACCGTAGCTAAATGTTTAATACTTTAGACTAGCACGCTGATAAATTCATTTATAGGAGAGGACTTTGTGATGTTGAACGTGGCGACATAGGTATTGCTTTAGATTCGCTAATGGATTCGCTAATGCAATAAAAAGGCACCGGTGGGGGGAGGGAATGGAGGGACGCGCCTACTATAAGTGCCTAAAACATCAGCTCTCTTTCAGCTAGTAGGTAATTAAGGAATCTCAATTGGAAATTTTCTATTTATAATGTGCATTGAATTCTTAGGTAACTAACCCAAGTTAGAATAGGATAACTTTATTATAAATTTCATTAGCTGAGCATAAAAGTGTCTTGGGATTTTTATGTCAATGATGATTCTTAATCACCTTCAGCTTAGGTAAGAATTCATATTAGGTGAAAGGTGAAAGGTAGTGATACAATGCTTGTTCTAATATTTCATCTTAAAACTCCGAGCATAGGTTAGGCTCGGTACCTCAATCACTTCTACATTCCATTCAAACTGAAACTGTTTGCGAACGTTCCAATATCACTCATCCGGAGTTCGATACCAATTGGCACGCATACCATCACGCATACTATTGCAAAGCCTCATGCAGGCCGCCTCCTTGTTTGTCATGATTGACTCCAAGAACCTAGGTATCGCGTGTGTTAATAAAATCTATAGATACCTACCTAGGTAATATATGTCCCCGGCGCCCATAAAGCAAACAAGCCCTGCTGACAAACGCCACCAAAGAGTCAACAGGGCTGGTTGGTCTGGCAGGTGGGATTCGCGTACCTACATGGTGACCGGGCGACAGATCTATCCCCAGATAAGGTCTTGGTGCGGCTGGTGCAGATGTCTGTCTCAAGTCTTATCTCCCAGATCGTAGATGCGAAAGAGCTCTATGTGGTTATATATCGCCCAACTTGGGAATCGCTTATCTTCTTCTATGCTGCTTCCTGTCTCTTCTCATATTTTTCCTCTCGTATTTTATATTTTTATATTTCCGCTGCTTGCTATTCTTATATTGCAACTGATTGATTAGCTATGCGTAACGGTACTATAATAACGATATCGCGTGGGGTTTAGGCAAGCCAATCGAATTTGATGGATCTCAGCACTGTAGGTGCTGTTGTCGAGGCTCTGGTTGCAACATACGCAGCCGGCCTAGAATACTACACCAAATGGCAACACCGAAAATGGCAGGAGAATCACTACGAGAATCATGACAGAGGTAACCTGGGCCGAACCAATACGTGTGCTTTAAGCACGTCTTTGAGTTTCTCCCCAACCAAAATTAAGGAGGCATTTGATAGCGGGGTAGACATCTTCGGCACTGGATTCTCTGTTGGAGACGGTGAGCTACCTTGGTTTTAGTACTTTCACCTACCTCTCCTAATTAGAAGATGCAGATATATGCCGCGAGAGTTTAGAACGCGACCTCGAACGTCTACAGGAGCGCATATATGTTCTACGCAAAGCCACTCGTGCCGACAATGGCTCACTTGAGCTATTCGAAGCTATTCGTATATCGGAAAGTGTTCGTATCTCCTGTTTGACCGCCCTCGCTAGCCAATATAAGCGAGTTGCTGTTGGCCGTCTGGTGCCACAAATCCTGCCCGGAGTCAAACGGCGGTCGAGACTTAGTGTTATAACATCTGAAGAAGATATGGGCAATCCAGCCGTTAATAATAACAGTAGCGGTATTGATGGCGACGCAGCCGGGTACGCACAGTCAAAATACCGCGGAGAAAGCCCTACCAAGCCGCCGAATTCTCAATCAGAACCCCCGTCCCCGCCACTGACTCCCAAGCAAATTCCAGACGATCTACAATCAATCCACACAACAATCACTTCTGATTATGGTCCGCAACCAAAAAATAGCGTATTTAGCATGTTTTGCCCTGAGGCGTTAGGATATCAAGTCAATCTTCGAAAGGCAATGCCAGAAAACCAGAACTGCAGATGTGGATATGATTGGAACGGAGTGCAGACCAAAGATAAGACCGCATTCATACTGAAGGAAGGGTTTGAGATTACAGCCCGATTCCTTGGAAAATCCCATTGCGACGGCGGGTTTGGGTGCGTTTTATGTACATCAAGCGGCAGAACAGAGAAGTACGCAAGGGTTGAAGATTTGAAGGATCACATAAACGCTTCTCATACCAAGTGGCAATTGCTTCACGATCAAGACATGGCCGGCCAATACGTAGGAAGTAGCAGTTCGACGGCCTCCCCTACGCCATCAAGTTGATCACCGTCTTGACCAAGTCCTTTCATGTTTATTTTCTGGTTGTTTTAGCAAGCGTTGTGGAAGTTTCGGCGTCGGTATTAGCTCTTCTGGTTATGTTATTAGAGATACCCAGGATAGTAGCTAGTTGGAAGTCATCATAAACAAAATCATGCGTATTTATATGTATATCTTTAGAAATTCCTGTCGAGTCCTCGCCTTTCACTATGTATTGTCCATGTATATACCCGATCTCGTTATTTTGGTCATTACTCTAGGTTGCACCTCACCCTCGACGCGCAACAGATTATATAAATATCGATCACAAGCTATCTACCAGCAGACCAGTAATATCATTAAACGGGCAACAGAAGTAGTAATAAAGCGAAACCTATTCTAGCTGTTAAATAAAAACACCACATTTGTCATTCACATGTTGCTTCATAAGACGGCGGAATTTCCCTCCATCGTTAACGCATGTTATTGGCATATGGGTAGAGAACCAACAACGTACATACGAAAGTAGCTAATACTCTTTGGCTAATACTCTGTGGCTAACACCTACCTTTGAGCAAGATGCATTAAGCGCCTATCTGAATCTTAGATACGAAGTTCTTAATGATGTTCCACCCCTGAACACCCTAACCCAACAATCCGTATCCAGTTTTCCCAGCACGCTTTGGTAATCAGGGGCGCCGGGCGTATCGAGCGGAGCCTCTATTGCTCCGAGTTGCTTCAATCGTGTAATCTACCCCGACATCACCAACTCAAAGTGCTTGTTAACAATCGCAGTGATTACAAATTCTAACCCCCATTTACCGACGTCAATTGCACGTAGAGCAGACGTAAGATATAGTATAAATAAAGGCGCAACTATATTTCATCCTGACTCTAAAATGACGATATCAAAAGCAAAGACAAATCTTAATGCTTCTTCAGTGACGTCACCATGGCCCCCCAATCCACATCCCCCAAGAAATCCGTCTTCGTCACCGGCGCAAACGGATACATCGGCTCCGCCGTCTGCCGGGCCTTTGTGCGCGCCGGCTGGCGCGTCTACGGGCTGGTCCGGCGCCCCGAAGCAGCTGGGCCTTTGTACTCCGAGGAAATCATCCCCATCGTCGGATCCATCTCTCCAGACGCCACGTTCCCGACGGACCTCGCCAAATACACCAATACCCTCGACGTCATCGTCTCGTGCACAGAACAGTTCCCCTTCGGCGCACACTACTCCACCGCCATATCCCTCATCCGCAAACTCGCCGCCACATCCAACGCCAACGGCGTCCGCCCCCTCGTCCTCGCGAGCTCCGGGTGCAAAGACTACGGGACAACCGGGGTCCACGGATCCCCCGGTCTCGCGCCGCATACCGAGGCCTCGCCGCTCCAGCCCATGGACATAATCAAGGAGCGCGCGTTCGGGTGCCTCCAGATCCTCGAGCACGGGGACTTATTCGACGCGGCGGTGCTGCGGCCCACGCCCGTATACGGCTACGACAGCAGCTACTACGGCCTAGCCTTCGAGCTCGCGGCGGGAGCTGCGCGGACGGAATCGCGCGTTCTGGAGATCCCGTTTGATTTCGGGACGATTATCCACGGGTGCCATATCGACGACTGCGCGGAAGCTTACGTCGCGCTTGCTGAGCATGCGGACCGGGACGCGGTTGCGGGACAGTGTTTTAATATCTCTGCCAACTGGTACGAGACGCTAACCATGATCGCCGAGGCGTTGAAGATTGAGTACGGGTTGCGCGACGTAGTGCAGGCACCGGACGGGGTCGAGGCCGATTTGTCGATGTACATTGCGCTAGGTCATAGTCAGTGGGTTGACAGTAGTAAGGTCCGGCGACTGACGGGATGGACGGACAAGAGGCTGCCGTTCTGGGAGGGCCTGCATGTGTATCGCATGGCGTATGAGGAGGCAGCTCGGAGGGGACATGAGGGCGTGTTAAGGGTTAAGGAGAGGCTTGGGAATGTGCTTACCGGGGTTAAGAAATAGCTTGAGGACTAACAATTGTATGGAATGTTGCCGCTTATCATACAGATACTCACATTGAAGCACCCGAGATGCGACGAGAAATATCTATATTAGATACCTAGGTAATCTCTAACGATTAGAATATACAGTTTTTGGACGCAAAGAAAAAATGTATATAATAGCCGTTGAGAAACATTATTTTCGCCGTCGATCCTGGCTCGGCCCCTCACGCCAAGCGGTGTCCAATTCGCTTCCATCTTTTCCAGTGTTGATTGCTTATAGTTCGATAATAACTATTATTGCTTCCTTACACTTGTAGAGAACGTGACTGTATGGTGTGTACTAATATAGCCCTTATAATTACAAGAGAATGGAAGGGAATATAGTATTTCCGTCGTCTCGTCGCCTTGTACTGAGAACTGTTAGGAATACAAGCAAAATTTGGGATTCTGGGGGTAATAAAGAGGAATTTATAACCATAGGTAGTCGCGGTATCCTTAGCGGACTATAGGCGATAGTCTTAAAGTCTAAGACGTGTACTTTATGCGTAAGACGGATGTATGTAAAAGAAGATGCTCGTAGAGGGGTTTACCTTGATCTCTGTTCCTCCCGGCCCTCCGGCCACAAGTAGGATAAAGAAGACATTGATAGACAACCGAGCCATGCCGCATATGACCGTGATGTTTTCAGTCAAAGTTGTAAATTACCAGTCCGTCCAGGTATCCCCGAATGAAACACATAAAACGTCCAGCCCGGAGAGGGCCCACAAGGCAACGAAGTGAAACGTAAGTAGTACAAAACTGCCTCTTAAACCCCAGCTCCAATGTGACAGCCCAGATTCAACATGCCTACGCTGAATCCTTTCGTGGTTAGACAAGACTGTATCACTCTGCAACGGCATACCAAGGTCAATTCCAGCTAGGCCGAGAAGGGGTACCCCGACCCCGAGACTCATGGTAAAGGGCCAACATGCCCTGGCGATTGACACGACTTTGACTAGAAATATAACTAGTCGAAGGGTAAATATTATTGAGTCGCTGTGGCGACGAACGAGATAAACTAAGTTACCTCGGGTCTGTCGCCCTAATGTTCCTAATCCACCGGCCGGGGGTGCCAGTAATAGTGGTGTATGTAGAGTAGGAGATGGCTGCGAGTGGGCAACCCCAGTAGCACGACCGCGCTCCGGGGATAAACGTAAAAGATTTTCATGACTTCGGGATAGGGTCATGGATTGTGGACGGTGTCGAGGCGTGCGAGGCGTGCTAGGCGTGCCATATTTCTGAAGGCTGCCGCGGTAGTCTATTTCCGGCGAACGACCCGTCGCTGGTGAGTTTCCCTCACTAGGGGACGTCACGACTTCCTCAGGAACCAAAATGTTACGATTGTGTTTCTGAGGGTCAGGAACGGGAGTACTAGGAGGCATAGGTGAATCAAGATTCTGAATCCGCCGTCCCTGGAGACCGACTCCCTGGAGACCGATAGAAGGGCTTGTACTTCGTCCTCGTAGACCGCCATGATATGATTCGTGACTCATCACGCTGAGTACTTCCGTAGCGCTGGGTCGTTCAGTGGGATTGAGAGCCAGCATCTTCTTGAGTAATTGGTAGAGCTTTGAAGGGAGGTCAGGCCGCTCCCGCTTCTCGTCCCGGAAGCCCTTCCAACCAGCGATTTCTGCTCGGAGCAGGTCAATGTCTTCGAGTTCTTCCTGAACGGCATTGGCATTCACGTAGGGAAGTCGACCAAAGCATAAGAAATATAGAACCATGCCCAGCGAGAACACGTCAGACTTGGTTGTAAAGTTACCAAGATGACCTTTGGCGTCCCTCTTTAGGACCTCCGGGGCACAATAGGAGATTGTGCCGGTTGTTCCCGTCGAGTTTCGGACAGCATTTTCGGGCTGTACTTCGCCGAAGTCGCTAATTAAGCAGGTGACCTTTCCATTTTCATGATGTAGGAGGCAATTGCTAGGTTTTAAGTCACGGTGAATATAGTTGGCACCGTGAAGATAGGCGAGGCCAGATGTGATATCTTTGAAAAGGGAATATATCTCCTCGAATGATAGACGGCGTAGAGAGGGGAGGGCGCTATGGGGTTGATCAGCAGCGCCCCTTGACTTGCGGCGCATCCGAGCTATAAGTTCCTCCTTTGTAGTTTGCTTGGGCCCGTCCCCAACGACATAACGTAATAGGTCGCCGCCATTGCAGTACTGTTGGAGGATGAAAGCGCAAGCGACACTTGGTCCGAAGCGGTTCGTCTTCACGTCCTCTAGCCAGACATGTCTATAAGACACTAGATTGGGGTGCGAGAGCTTGGCGAGTAGCTCGACTTCTATTAAGACCTTCTCCAGCCATGCATGATCGTCCCCTACGGGAACCCGCTTACACGCGAAGTGGCCGAGAGCACACCCATCAATCTCGTGGCGAACCAGCAGTACGATACCCTTGCCGCCCCGGCCAAGTTCTCTCTCTTCGACAAAGAACCTCTTAAAGTAATTAGGACTAAATGCATCTCTTGTTATACGTGCTCCCTCCTGGGGGGCGGGAGAGCTGGATATGAACTCGGCACCTTCGACTTCTTGGGGTCTTAGACCACCGCTTGGCAATGTGGGTTGTGTTAGTCGACGTATAGGACTCTGTGGAGGCTGCCGTTGAGCATGCTGCGTATCTTCGTCATGCCCTGCTTGGAGCATACGAAAATAGTTCGGGTCTACATAAGAGTCGGGTGCTTGGGTCGAGGAATCGAAGTGTCGGTCGGGCGAGGGTGGACGGAGAGATTGGTGGCAAGTAGGACATTCTGTTAAGGCGGCGCCTCGAATCTCGAGGCGGTGCGACGAGGGATCACGGACAACGATAGCATTGCGATGCCGTCTAAGACACAAATATATTTAGCAGCATAAACTAAGAGATTTAACATATTGAACACGTTGATAATGATGATGATAATGATAATAATTTAGACTCGGTCTTCTTCCTCCAACTCGAGTTGAGATGACCGGTCGTGATCATCATGGCGGGGCATCGTAAATGGGAAAAGGGAATGACGTACAGCATAATTTCACGACCATCTCGAGCCGTGTACGGAATTAACTCCATTACGCGAAAGTTAGATAAGTACCATTTAGTAACAGCGGAGACTGAAAAGACGTGATGATCATGAGGATTCGCAGTTCATATTCATCATTTTATACTATATAGATAACTGGTTAATGAAGTAAGTGTTGTGAAAGGAAATGTCCTTCGTGAATCAAATGAGGTGTATGCCTTTTTTTTTCTTTCTTTGGTATGATAAGTTTGTAAGTTTGATGTTTTATTTGTTTGGATTGTTTGGACAATGGATCCGGGAGATGCAATGGGGTGATGTATTGAATTCTAGCGGCAAATCAGATCGAAAGCGTCGTCTCCCCCGGAATACGCTAAGAAATTAGGTTAGCAAATGAGACCTTGTCAGTCAGCTGCCTTTCAAGCCCTTCTTACCCGTAATTGTATATTAGGTGCCACCTGCCACCGAAGGTACATAAACTCAGGCTGTCAGGGTGGTAAGTTCTCTCTCGCCTTCCTTCAGTTGTAAGATCCTTGCTGCTATGACGTAAATATGTAAAAGAGATAAACACTAAACACATAATAGCTTAGCGAACCACTGTGGTTTTTAATTCGATCCAATCGTAAACACATCCACGTACCACAATTAAGGATAATGTCCCAGAGCACCGAGTAACCTGGTAACAAGGTTTCACTATACTTCCTGACTTTCTATCACCCGATCCATTTCTCAATTGTGTCCCTCATAATTGATAGTGGACTTTGCATATCAACCTCTGCGGTAGATCTTTCCCGCCTAACCGCATCGAATGGTTTTTGTTCAGCAATTTCGTCTTCAGAAAACCAAGCACTGTGTAAACCGTAAGGCACTCGTTGAGGTAGCCTAATTCTTGCTACTATGTCTCTCATGTTGATCGCGTCAATGATCCAAAGCTCGCTGACAGCATCATCGCGGCATTCTCCTTTATCGTCAAGTTGGGACTCGTCAAACACATAAGTAAGCAACCAACCGTCATCCTCCGTTGCGGGATTTGCACGCGGTACAAAACGCGGTTCTTGTGCGAACCAACCTTTGGGCATTTGGAAAAGCTTTACCGGGTCATTTTCGTCTGTGCTCTGCATTACCTCGTCAACGCCTCGGGTATCAACACAACCTTTGATCTGTTGTGGTGGATGAGTAATGCCTTGGTCAATCAGCGTCGTTGCGTCCATCTTTGCTAGGTACGCGATTTTGGCCCCTTTTCCGAGGGCTGCAGAATAGGACGTGCCACCCGTGCTGCAGCCATATATGTAGCGTGCTGAACTCATGGCGTGAGATGGTGATACTGTCGGGAATTCGAAGGGAATAGCTGATAAGGCCCATTGATTTCTGATCATCGGCGCCTCGCCCGATTCCGTATTGACGAGCGGAAAACTATAGTAGTATAGCCTACATTGCTCCTCTTCCAAGTATTCTGGGGGTACCGGCTTAAGCAGAGGTGGTGTAAGTGCACCGGCACTGTACACAATCGATGCTGAAGTGAGACGGCAAACAAGAAGGTGAACGCACGTCTCGGCTTCTGGTATTACCAACCCAGTTTCCCAGCAATTAGCCGTGTGAAAGACTACGCACGGATTCGTTTCGAACCATTGTATTTTATGTGGCTCATATCGAGGAAAGACGCCGTACCGCGATCGCTCAGTTGGGTCATACGAGATAATTGTCTTCCCTCGCACGCCGTTCATAGGATCTAGAGATAATGGAAGGTCAATTATGACCGTGTGGTGTGCCGCAACCCCAAAGTCGTGCATCATCTTAGGCGACTTCACTCCAGGAACTGGTATGTCAAATCTTGGCCCCGGATCGCTTGCCTTAGCCGGATATCTGGTTGATGGGACTATCGAGTAATGAACGAACGGTTTAACGAAGACGGCATGGAATGATATGAGCTCTTTCGTAACGGGGTCAACATGTGGATGACCAGTTGTCCATTCTCTCATAAATGCCAGCAATCCATTCCCACCGAAGCCTCCTTTATCATCTAAAATGCCCTCGTTCTCTGCCTTTCGGCCGTTATACCACCCTATGGTCTCCAGACCAGGGAGATGGAATCTAATCGGTGGCCCACTTTCGCAGGTCGCTAAAGCTCTACCATCATGATATACCACGCCAGTATTAGCAACGCTAATCCTCTTGACTTCTCTTTTGGATCCTGGTAATCTCGATAGGCATATGAGAATCAATGACCTGAATACCCCCACAACGATAGTTACTAATGGAGCGCTAAGTAGTGTTGCAATACTAGGTAGTAGAGGCCGCTTTAAATTGCCGTCGTCCTTTGCGTTCAAGTAGATATCTGTCAAGACATACTGATTCACGAACTCTGGCTCGATAATACCGCCTTCTTTTCCGCGCTTAAAGAGGACGCCGGTGAGCATGCCGTCGCCGTCGAACCAGTGTAAATCTCTCCCTTGGTTGACATTGGTAGTCGGGTTCCCGCCGTTACGGACATATTGACCTCCCGCGAGTTCTCTCGGAATATGTCCGGTACCAGAGCATCGTGTTAGTGTTCGGGTTCGTTTGATAGGCGCAAAATTTCCGGACAGATATCTATACTCAGCAATTAGTATTGGATTTCATTCCGAGTTTTATCTAAGTACCTACTTACGGGTGCGGATTTTGTTTCTGTCCCGTCATGCTTGGCTGATTCACATACACGTAGACCAGCTATTAAAGGATGTCTGGTAGGATCATGGAAATGACCAGTCCTAAACTACGACAGTTCCGTGCTGACTTTGGACTACGCCGATAATATAAGGGCTAACGTTTGGTATAGTTTGGATTCAACCTATACACATGCTAATTCCTCATTAGATATCATCGGCTACCCCTCCATGTTTGTTTAGCATCACATGTACAAGCGAAGTATAATGTGTTATAATGTGTCATCGAATTACGATGACGATGCACACCGAAAACAACAGAAGACGATAGCTAGGTACACAGCAAGGTGGTTTCGTGAACAATAACCTAATCTACGAAGCGAAACCTACAAGACCTCAGAAATGAACCATGAAACGCCTGCCATCCCACGATACACTTTGTTAGGTAAATAATCTGTCATTCCAACTAGCGAAAGACGGCGAATATCATCATATAACAATACTCAAGTAAAGCGTCACGACTCTCTGAGGAATTGTATGAGTAGTACGACAGAGGGTCCATGTTTCATTCCCTACCGGTCTTGAGAGGGGCATTATGAAATAGCTGCTGCCAAGCTGCTATCGTTTAGTTGGATGATATCACGAACCCCGCGGCCGGCTAGTTCGGGGGACTAGAGATGGACAGCGCCACTATCAAGTCTCAAATCTCGTGACAACAAGGAGCTCTATGTACTTATCTAATCCGTCTTATCCACCGTCCGGATGCATCAACGCGCGATTCTGTGATACGCCGGCTATCCCCTTGACTGGCATTCAACTACACCTCCACTATTTTCAGTATTGATACATAGGGGTTGGCCAGGAAAGAGAAAATGGCTAAATCGACCAATGATATTTACGGTTTGTACTAATTATCGAACCTTTTCCTATTATATTAATGAACGACGTCAAGTCCTATATCTGTACTGATACTGAAATAATGGAGGTGTAGTTGAATGCCAGTCAAGGGGATAGCATTAAATATACTATCCCCCGTCTGGCCCTGTTCGAGTCAGCTTCCAACCCCTGAACCTATCCCAGCCCAGAGAACTCTAAAGTAAGAGGGCGACCTCTATGCGGCAGAGTTTCCTCGGAGTTTCCTTGTTACCCAATCTGAAGTTCAATTTACCATCAGCTTAGGTTGTATCCTACTTGATTAAGAATTCGTCATACATTCACGGGGACATGGTTAGCACCTTGTAAAAAGAGACGATTTACTTGGTTCCCAAGATTCAACATGACATGATCGTGTCATCTACCGATGTACTCTACGAGATAATGAAGTCACTATTAACAACAGCGTCCACGCTTTCGTCTGGGTTGGATCTTACATTCAAATATCCTGCCGTACGTCCACATAGAGACAGCGTTGACCTTGACCATTAACTAAAAATCAGACACATGTCCGCATTCTTTAATTCACCTATTCTACCACTATCCAGAACTACGCAGCGAATATTAACACCAAAATGTCTGTGGGAAATCAAGCACTTAACATCAATAGTGTCGTTGGCGAGCATGCCAATTTAGAAATCACCCATCGCGGCTCGGATTGGTACTATGCAGTATGTGCCTTGATGGGTTTCTGCACTCTCGTCTTCGCGGGCCTATCTTTCAGGAAGCCTCATGGTGATCGTGTATTTCACAACATCGCCGCGAGTATAACGGCCGTCGCATGTATCGCTTATTACGCGATGGGGTCGAATCTCGGCCAAGTTCCCATTCAGGCTGAATTTGTCCGACCCGGCAGTCACTTGGTGGGAGCGGCAGGAACCCGAGAAATATTCTACGCCCGCTACATAGATTGGGTTATAACGACGCCTTTGCTCCTTCTCAGCCTTCTCCTAACTGCCGGAGTACCAACTTCAACTATCTTAGTCACTCTTCTGGCCGATGAGATTATGATTGTCGCTGGCCTAATCGGTGCCCTAACTCGGACTCGGTTCAAGTGGGGATTTTGGGTCTTCGGCACGGCGGCTCTATTATTCGTTGCTTATAAACTACTATTCAATGCTCGACGGCACGCTTCGATTCTGGGTGGAGACGCGAAGAAAACATTTATGCTATGCGGCAACTATCTTATATTCCTTTGGTTCTTGTATCCTATTGCATGGGGTCTGAGCGAGGGTGGCAACGTCATTCACCCTGATGGGGAGGCCGTATTCTATGGTGTTTTGGATATCCTAACCAAACCCCTCTTCGCCCTCCTCCTTCTCTGGGGTCACCGCAATATTAGCTGTGAACAGCTGGGTCTACGCTCCCATAATCGCGGCCATATTACTGGCGATAAGTACAATCACGGTGGCAATGTCCACCCCGAAGGCCCTGGTGCGAATGTCGGTGGTCCCACTACTGCTCCTGCCCCTGGCGGTCATCCCGCTCCCGGTCATACCGGCGTATGAGCCATGATTTTTGTCATTACGAAGAACGGCCAGCCGTCGTCGACCGAGAATCTACCCCTATTTTACCTAATATAGTTTAATATTCTATCGCCGCTTGGGGCCGCTACTGATTAGCTTCAACCCGCTGCCGCCATTATATTCTTAACTTGGGGGGTTAGATGTGGATATTCACAGCATCTTGGCATATGGTTACGTGACTAGCAAAGTAATCATAGCTGTCATGCGATTCACTAATAAGATGGAAATAAATCCGGAACCATCATATTTCATATACTTAAACCTAGGCGGTAATAAGAGCAAACATATCACACCCGCGAAATTGCTAGTAAGATATAAATGCTATAGTCTTCAGAGTTTTAATATCATGATATTTTATTTCCACTCACCCGCCTTCCTATCCCTTTTCTCTGTGGAAATTGTCCTCTTTGATAAGCCTACTTCCGTACTTGACCCCGTCAAAAAACCCATTCCTCTAAACACGCTTCCCGTACCGAAGTCCGGTTCGCCGCCTAGTGTGCCAAGGATATCCCCTATGTAGTTCTCCGCCTTGATTCCAGCTTCGTATGAAGAGTTCCAGTCAGCTATAATACCTTTTACGATCTCAACTCCTGCCAGGTAAATGTTCTTAACCGCGATGTCGAAGCCGTTTTGGTCCAGAAGCCGTAGATGCTGAAAAGCACTAACTGACGGCGGGGGTCTGTCGAAATCAGAACCTTCGAAACGTTAGCTTTTCTACTCGACAGAAAGGATAGGGGTAAATTAGGTATGCACCAGTTCTCATCACAATAACCCGCGAGAAGTCAACAAGATCCCAGACTGCAGCCCGCATCAACGCATTCAAAACGGCAGTATCCTCCTGCGCCGAAACACAATACGTTATGCTGCTCTGATTCGTCCAGAGCTTCGTCGTGTTCTCAAATGCCTCGCTCAGCATAGTGCCAGAGTAATAAACATCGCTAGTCGCCGAATCGCACTTAATAACGCCAGGGCTCCCGGTCGCAGCCGCATATACCTCGCCACTAGCACTATATAAGGCGCGATACTCGGCGCTTTCCGCGGAATCAGCCAACTGCGCTGCAAGCGCGAGCTCAGCAGCGGCATCTCTGAGGTTCTCATTGACTTCCATGACCTCGGTGCCGTAGAAAATCGAGGGGTACTCGTCCGGCGCGTACGCGCCGTACGACAGGTATCCGGTCGAGAAGTTAGCGGGCATCTCGCGCGCGTCGAGCTCGTACTGCAGCGCGACTTGCACGGAGAACTTGGATAGCGCGACGCTGCCCAGCGTGCCGAGTTTCGGGCTTATGCCGGCGATGCCGGCCAGAAGGAAGTACGTCTTGCTTAGGTCGAAGAGGTTAGAGAAGAGGAATGCTGTGGCGGACGTTGCGGCGTTGATCTCCGCCTCGCCCATTGTGAGTTGGCATACTTCCCCGAGTGTGTTGCAGTGCACGTGGGGGAATAGGGGGGAGAGCCCGGGCACGGAGATGTTGTGGGCGAGCAGGCTGCCGAGAGAACTGTTAGGCGAATTCGTGTACCATACTTCTGCTTCTGGTGTGAACTATGGTTTTCGTACCCGATTTAGCTATAGAATAAAATATAGAATCCCATCTTCCGCGAGACGAAGGCAAACGGATGAGAAGTAATCATGGGGGGTGTCTCGAAAACATACCATGCTGATGATCACGACTTTGGGTGCTATTTTACCACAGTCTCCTGGGTGTTTCGTTAAAGCCGTGTTATTGGCGCAGCCCAAGGCTCTGGTGGCCTCGCTCAACAGAGCAATCAGGACAAGACTTAATAGCAACATAGTTTTAAATGTATCAATTGAAACTAATACATATGTGACATAGGTTATCTACATTCAATAGGAAGAGTAGCTAGACAGCCATGAGCCTTAATAGGTATTTATCTAGTAGCAGTCCGGGTCCTCGACAATCAGGCGATGACGACGAGGCTTATTACTATACTCCGCCGGAACCGAGACCTTCAGCTTCCTACATAGATTAAATGCTGAGTTGCGGGTACCGGTTTGCTTGATTTTGTCTAGCAGGAATCTTTTCTTCTTTTAAATAATGGTGATGGCTTGCATCTGGAGCTTATCACTACGCAGAGGGCTGTTTGTTTGATAGTACCTGCGTTATATATCGTCGTATAACAGCGGAGTGCCACCTTATCTTGCATAAGGCTCCAATTTCTCTCTCTTTCCGGTCAAGATCATCATATTCTAGCGATAGGTGGCTACCGAAAGAGGAGCATAGTTGAAAGAGGCGACAAATAGGAACAATGAAGACTGAGACATATTAGGCCTTACCGTGATTTTTATCTGGCCCCCACAATGAGAATTTTACATCATTCTGTTAGTCATTAACTTAGCCCATGTATCATTATACATGCGATCTTCAGCATATTTAATTCGTAACAAGAACTTCGACGACTGAAGCGACTAGTTACTCTACGTCGCATAATGCGTCTATAATAGGGGTAGTAAGAAGATACTTCATTACACACCTTCCGGTGCTATGCACAGGTAAATAAAGCTAGAGGAAGTATAAGGAGAAAATAAAAGTAAATTATAGACGACTTCTATACTAACTCTAGATGCCGTTCCAGGGGGGCACTCCAGAGAAGCTCTATCATATCGAGACGACCGTTCTCGGCCGCGCCCTCCAGAAGCCAACGTCCACGTCTTCCAATAAGCGGTGTTATATCATATTCTCTATCTGCGATTCGTCGGGTTTCTGGTGAGATAGGCATCTTGAGTTAGATTGTAGAGATATGGGTAGGAAACGTTATGTATCTAATTTAGATATAGAAACATCTTATATAGAACCTGATATCAAGGAATCAAGTGAGGCTGTCGGTCTTAATCGGGCTTTGATCAAGTTTCAAGTGCCAATAGCCCTATTGGGTCAGATTGGGGGCCGTATCAGGTTTAGGCCATCAGGTTTGGGCGTCAGGTTTTGTCAACGCCACAATGCTATATAGGTGACTCGCAAAACTCAGTGGCATATGCGGGGTACCTGAAAATTGATAAGATGCACTCATAATTTTCATGTAGATATTAAAGCTGTGTGGTAGTACAATATACCTACCTCAAGCTCTGGAGGCATCGCAGACCTCTCAGATTTAGACGACCAGGTCAAACTTCCTTTACGAAGGATTTCATAATCTGGCCCTAAAGGAAATCAATGCGATAGATGCCTCACATTAGTGCTGCCTTTCCCAGTAATTTTCCAGACACGAACCTCTTCCTTATTAGCTCAGAAATTAGCCAATGAGATGCCAATTGCTTCTACAAAATAGTCGGCATAGCACAATCTGAAATCAGGTCGGCAGCGTTCAGGTAATGTTAACTGGATGTAATTACATGAAAAGGTTCTCTATAGTATACACCTCTAAGAGCTAGATTAGATTTATATAAATATATTAACAAGGAACGATGGCTTTTGAGGTTCTCACTGTCCATCACTGTGCTCTTCGTAACATCTCTTACTAGATACTCTCGTCAAACTACGAGCATTATAAAGTGTTTTCTAAGTTATAACGCTGAAATCTCAAAACTATGCCATCTTCAAAGGACCGAGGAACTCAGTCTTCGGGAGACTCCAGCAAGTACGTACCGCCCGTTGTGGTTGTCTCTAACCCAGAAGCTGACATAGCTCCAGTAAACAAGACCTCCAGCAGCACTCTATGCTGCAAGAATTCCTTCGTGCCGAGCCGACTGTGTCCGAACGACTCTCTGGGGTAGTCCTGTCCAAGAGAGAGGGAGAGAGCGAAAAAGGACAGGATAATAAGGCCAATGAAGCGATTAGGAACTTCGAGGACGCCTGGCGCAACGCGAGCCAGTGATTTATAGTTCCAACTGCTAGAGGATGCTTGATATGGGGTGGAGGTTCACTTCTGGCAAGCCTAAGGCGAAGCTAGGCGGAGAAGAGCCGAAGTTATTCTTAGCAATCTATGCTCGAGTTCTGCCCTGGACTGCAGCTTCTTTTGTAATATATGTAAACTGTTAGAGATAATTACAAGGCTCATATACGAGGCAGATTTATACACTCTTTGAGAGGATGGCTGTAAGCTAACTATTATTAATATTATACTTACAAATATCAGGGCCTATTTGGTGATACCAATGCAGCGAGGGTCCTCTGGGGATTCTACTAGTTGCTGTTAGGGGGGAGTCAATTCTCTATTTTAGCAAATCTTATCAAAGCCTACGAGCTTGAATAAGTGATGTCATTAGGTTTAGCAAGATGCAATAAATATCTATAATACTCCTATTTGCCCTCTACTAGAACCAGCGATGAACGCGACGGTTAGAGTTATAATACGAGTACATCTAAACCCGCGGAAGACTAACGGCGTAAGTGATGGAAAAAGGGGGGCCGGTAATACAATTGCCTAAATATATGAAGGAAAGAGTAATTCAAGTGAATACATGTAAGTCGTAATCTGTTATTAATAATATTTAACCTTGCGCTTCTCAAAGGCCAGAATAATTATCTTCAGCTGTGCATACTTCCTCAGGTACGTAATGGCTATCTTTATATACACTCCACTTATATTCTCCCCTGTCAATCAGATTTAAAAGAGGTAGCTGTCTATGGGTCTTCAATTTCTCGTAAACGCTAAAAACAGCCATGCAGCCATGACATTTTAGGCTTGGTTTATCAGGCATATGACAATTTATACCCTTTTTATATAGGAAAGTCACCAATGAATAATCTTCATTGGTTTAGATACGTTATGGGGCTCGCGAATAAGTTCACATATACCAATTCACCTTGCGTCTTATGAATTACGTGAGAAAAGCGCCAGATATCCCGATCGTCGTATTTCATACTTCTCACCGCCCTTAGGCTACATCGGTGCGACAGGTTAGAGTTCTTTATTTAACACCAAAACCCTCTGCTTTTTTTGGTATATATACTTCTTCTCTCCCAAACCGGACTTCTCCATCTGCCTAGCAGGATGGCAGGACAAGCGCTGCGTGAACAGCTTGCAGGAGTAAATTATCCGCCAGTGGCGCCCAACTGGGGCGCCGATTATTGTACTAATCACTATGACACGTATGACTATATTAATCCCATAACAAGGTCCAATTGCGTCGGAAAGGCCATTTTGGTGACTGGGGGGAATAAGGGGATTGGAAAAGGCATCGCTCTATCGTATGCTAGAGCAGGTGCATCGCATATCGCTATCACTTCCCGCTCAGACGTTCCGGAAGTTGTAGCAGAGATTGAGAAAAGTGCAGCCGATGCCGGACGAGCGAAGCCGGTAGTGGTAGTGCTGCGGTTAGATGTCACCGATTCGACAAGTGTGACTAACGCCGCTCAAGTCTTAGAGGGGCAATGGGGCCGGCTCGACATCCTAATTGGAAATGCAGGATATCTGTCCAAGTTCGACAAGATATTAGATGGAGATGAGGAAGCATGGTGGCGGAACTTCGAAGTTAACGTTCGCGGAAGCTACCTTGTTGCGAAGGCTTTTCTACCCCTGATGCTAAGGGGTGGGGACAAGACCATTATTAACATGTCCTCAACTGGAGTCCATCATTTCCATACAGGTGGAAGTGGCTATCAGCTCAGCAAGTTTGCGCTTCTGAGGCTCACCGAGTATCTCATAGCGGAGTACGCAGATCAGGTGAGCTGAGCCATGCATTTCCCTTGACATATATACCTGTCATATGGTCTTCTAACATTCCTATAGGGCCTACTTACCTATTCGATACATCCAGGAGGGTACGTAAAGAGCGTTCCTACTAATCATCTAGGTTCAGATTAACTAACTAGTTGCTCGCGTAAATAGAGTCGCTACAGATCTAACTCAGGGGTTGCCAGAAGCAACACGAGGTACGTCGTCTTCCGTAATAATAAATTGTCTTTGCTGAGTCTAAGAACGATAAGCTTGGCTTAAATGCACACCCGCCCTAAGTGGTGATACGATAGCCTTCTTAACGAGTCGGAGACAAAACTGGCTAGCGGGTAGATATCTCAGTGTGATGTGGGACATGGCCGAATTGTTCTCCAAGAAGGACGAGATCATCACGAAAGATGCTTTGAAGATGAGGATGACTTTCTAAATTGAAGGCATGTTCATTCAGTGTCCGCGTAGACCCGAGGTCGTTAAATCCTCATATCTCATAGCGCATGTTAATAGAATGGCATAATTATTTGGATAGAGGGTCAGATCACCACCGATAGAAGGGGGATTTAACATAGGATGAGTCGTAATCACTACGAACAATTACAAATCAACATCTAATGACTTGGGAAGACGGCGAGTGTCAACGGAGACACGCCATCCTCTTCACTATCTAGTCGTCAGCCTATACCGTTTTTGTATTACCAATGACTGCGTCACCGGGACTTATCATTGGTGCGTTAGGATCCTTCTCCGACCACCCTCGGAGCTTCGTAAGCTTAGCGGCGGTAGCGCACCGAAACTCAACCTCCGTGCTTGGCCGGCGTTGTGAACAATTAGCAACCACCGAATAATAAAACATTTTTATTATAAATACGTCTCAAAGCGCTCAAAAACTTCTTTACTCTTCAGATGCAATTAACTCATTGATTAATCATGCCCCCGATGGCTTTCCTACAATTAGCTTTGTCTCCGGCCAGCGTCTTGGCACCCATCCACCTCCTATCTTACTCCACGCTCCTCGGCATGGAACTATACCAGTCATTCGTAATGACGAAAATTAGCTACCAAGAGTTACCCCGATCCGCTTTCACCACGCTTCAAAAGCGCGTCTTCCCCCTTTACTTCCGGGGGCAGACCTTGCTTCTCCTATTGACGGCGGCAACGGTCCCTCCGTACGGGCCGCTGACGCTGCAGTCCAGCAAGGGCAATTGGATACCTTTTGCGATTATGGGAGCCACGGCGCTTTTAAACCTGATGCTTTATGGACCACGGACGCGACAGATCATGATTGATCGGATTCATCAACGTAGGGACCTATCTATTGAGCGCTGAAATAGTGGTATGGTAATCGCTAACTATGACTTAGAAACGCGGGATGGGAAGAAATCGAACAATCCGACCGAGGTCAGCGACGATATGAGAGCGTTAAATAAGATGTTCTCGCGCAATCATGCGATGAGCATTCATCTGAATATTATTACTATAGGGGCTACTCTCTGGTGGGGTGTAAAACTAGCCTTACGATTAAACATGCAGCCTTAAGAGAGTGCAGAAGTCGAATGTTAGATGTTATGTCAAATTGGGTGGATTGGTAAGACATGGCTCTATGTATTCTTCTTCGTACGATAATGAGTTTTGAGGAGGTTAGGTTATCAAGTGTCGAGGGGGGTATAAGGGGTTATTTTAGACTAGGCTTTCTAAATTTAAAGCAACAATTGATGTGCTCCTTAGCATTACGTCTTCCGCTAAATATATCGCGTAAATTATTTCGTGCTAATTCATTACAGCTCGAGGACTAGCTTAGTGCCGCTAACTCCCGCTTTCAAAATGTCAAGGCCCTTGTTAATACCATGCAGACCTCCCTCGACCACTTGGATCTTAGGGCTCGGGACGATTTCACGCTTCTCCAGCCTCTCCTTCAGCCAAGTATTAAACCAGAACGAGAACTGCTCATGCCGCACCTTATCATCAGGCGAACAAGCAACGAACTTAGCCTCGACGTCCTCCGTAGTAGGTCCGTCAGGGCTTAGTGGAGGTGCGGAGGCTAGATGAGCTGGTCCGCTTCCCTTTAACGACTTCAGGATGGTTTGGCAGGATTGTAAAGCGCCCACGGCATCATAGCCGTACTGGAATGTGAGACCCTCTTCCTTAGCCGCCTTTATGATAGCATTTTCTGCGCCGGGCTCTTTGTAGTCGAAGACTTTGGACGCGCCTAGCGATTCGACGTATGCGTGGTGCTTTGAGCTCGCGGTGGCGTATACGGTAAAGCCGAGTAATTTGGCGCTTTGCACTACTACGCTGCCAACGCTGGACTATAGCATTTAATGTTAGTATTTCCATTGGCTCGATAGTTTAGAGGACGATTAGGGGTCGTGTAGTGTATATTGAAAGTGTTCACATGAAGGTGAAGGGACCCGGCGATCTACTTACAGACGCGCCCCAGACAAGGAGTCCTTGCTTGTCACTAGGAGAATACGAGGTATTGCGAGGAATACCGATGGTTTCCCATCCAGACCATGTTGTGGCGACAGCCATAGGAAGGATAGCAGCCTCGTTGATCGAAAGGTAGTCAGGAATTGGAGTAGCGTTCTTCGCAGGGACAATAGGCCGCTGCTGAAAGGCACCGTAGTTGGGTTCTCCCCGAGCGAAAAAGGCCGGCGCGAAAGCCGCGACACGAGTTCCGGGTTTGAAGTCGGAAGATACGTTAGAACCAGCTTCGAGGACTATACCACCAATGTCTGAACCAACAACGGCGGGATAGTCGGCTATAGCGAAGCCGAAGTCGCGCATCTTCCAATCGATGGGATTCAGGGCGATCGCCTTCACATCGAGGAGAAGCTCATCGGGCCCGGGTTTGGGTGTCTGCTTTTCTCGGACTTCGAGCGGCTGGCTCTTTCCTGTAACAAAAGCTGCGAGGTGTGTCGACATTATGAGTGTCTATTCCCTAGGTAGGCTTTTGTAAGTAAAGCTGAAAGGGAGGGAGGGGGGTAGGGCTTGTTAGTGGCTACGAGAGGGCAAAAACGAAGAGACAACGGTTTATATTAACCACGCCGGTAGCAACTATTCCAGAGACTCGGCATATATATCTTCTTCTTTCATACTTCCATAGGTGACTATGGTTAATAATCCAAGTTTGCATTCTTCGTCTGTTCGGACTATCGTCGCCGTCTCGGTTCGGGATTACTATCTCGGATTTAAGCGACTACTAAGTTAGGAAGTAGTACGATGAAGCTCGCGACCGATTACCAAGCAGCCAGTCTAAAAAAGCATCTAGCCACGCCATTCACCGCACTTTTGTAGTCAAAAGCAGTGCAAACAAGCATATCCAGCGCATCCATCTGCAAGTACATGTCACTAAGCTGCTGCTCGGGGTGTTTAGCCATACGAGTATGGGATTAGGAAAGCCATCATAAACTCCGATTTGCTTGGAATTATATTAACTCCGGTTCATTACTTCTACTAGTCACATTCATCCATACGGAGCCAACATTATGTATACCATCAGGATTATGCAAACATTAAGTTGATTATATCCAATACTGTGCACTATTAACATGCCCATCATGGCTTATGAATTTGCGGTTCAGGAGTCTACGTTAGATATATGTACAGACAAATCTTGGTACAGTCGAAAGTGCCCTATCAATCCTTTATCCGGTCTCTCCCAACTCCTAAGTAAATTGCTAACAGGCGCAGCCTTTCGTCATTACCTCTGAGCTCATAGAGAAATTAACCATCACTGCGCTACTTTACTCCGTCTACGCACGGAAGACAGTTCTTCGTCGGTTACCGAAGCCACCGAAGCCGTTGTTGCCTCGGCTGTTTCCACCGTTACCAGCATTGGCGTTGTTGGTACCGGCGTTGGCATTGGCGTTGTTGTTCTTGCTACTTCCATTGCCGTTGTTCTTGCCATTTCCATTGCGGCTCTTTCCGGTGGCAGTAGCACTCGCCGCGGCGCTGGTAGTGGTAGCTCCAGCATTCGCAGTGGTGGTAGCTTGTCCAGTGATAACATCGAGCGTCTGGACAGAAGCGGGCAAGCTTGTAACAGTCTGCTTCAGAAGCGAGGTGACAGCAGCTGCGTTCTTCAAGCCCTGATCGCTGCCTGCGTTCTGAATAGCGGCGACGGCAGCGGGAAAGTCAGCCTGGTCATTGGAAACCTGCTTGAAGACCTTCTCAAGAGACAGCGCCGTGGGGACCTTGGCAGCAGTGTTCTGGCTGGGCTCCACATCGACCTGTTGAACGGGGAAGCATCCACCGAAAGGACCAGCAAGAGCATTGTTTCGGCAACGGACGGTGCAGACGTTACCAGCGGAAGCTATAGGAATAGTTAGAATATGGAGGGTCTCTAGTAAGTTTGTAAGTATCAACTTACATCCACTGCAGGTAAAATTATCAGGCATGTTCACGAGGATCTCGAACTGCTGGGTCTTGGCTTGGGAGAAACCGTTGACACCGGGAACGTTGTTCTCAACTGTCAGGTTCTGACTGATGACACCGTTGTTGCCAGCCTCGACCTATCATACGGGTTAGATCATTATCAAGATGCTATAATGTGATAGATAGGGAACATACCAGGTCGCAGGCGTAGGGACCAGCACCATCAGCGTTAACTTGGTGGATGGTAACCTTGACTTGTGTTCCAGCCTTGACTTGGGTAACGGCGCCGGCAGCAAGCGCGTTCTCCGTGTTCTCTCCGATATCGATATTACCCGACAATTCTGTTCGTCCGCACTCGTTCACTACGTTGGCGGCGATCTCGGCATCTCGGATAATCGTCGTGTCCTGCTGGCACGGGCTGATAGATGTGCAATTCCTCGCCAGTTCTGGTTCGACCTTGAAACCGACACTTTCAGGCGAGCCCTGAATACCCTGTGCCCCTAAGATAACACCGTGAGCCTGGGCAACAGCCAACAGGGACGCAAGAGAAAAGATGGTTGATGAAATGGACGGCATCTTGAAATAGGATATAATGGACAGCACCGGGCCGATAAGTGAATGATAAGGCACAAGAAAGAGTGAATTAAGAATAAAACAGATCCACGGGATCGTCAACTGAGAATAGAATAACGTAGGTATGAAAGGGAAACCGGCCTGCTCAAGAACATGGAAGACGACGATCCGTGGTGAGCGGTGCTGGCATATATACATGATAGGCAATGGAGATCTTGTTCGATCTACGCAGGCCGGCCGGCCATTGCACACGAGCTGAGCTAGCCCCGAATCGTCTGCCGAGTACAGAAACCCCTAGACAACCAGCGCGAACCGATATCCAACACGATGTCCAACACGATGTGTGTCAAGCGTGTGGGTTTCAAGCAGCCAAAGGAGCCTCCCTTGGACATGGATCTTTTCTTTGCTAGGGCAAGCCTTTGCCTTATTAGGTACGTACCGTGGTAAAGTGACGACGGAGAACCGTTTCGAGTTTACCTCATCTCGCGAGTGGACATGTTAAATGACCCCCAAGCTTAAAGCGCGCCAGTAGAATATCCATGATGCCCTTGGTTGCCCTGGGAAGAAATGTCTCGACAGGGTATGGTAAAGGAGGTGTTTTTTATCCAGGGTTTACCTTAAGAACCATGAACGCCAAAATGCTTATTATTCGAGCTAAGGCTTGAAAATAATTCCAAAAATGTTCAAGTGGAGACATATGTACATGTTCGCGAATCCCTGTTCTGCTTGGTGCTGCATTTTACGCGGTAGGGCCGGTGGATACGGACGAAGATGTCTCGCAAGTAGCGAATAGGAATGAATAACTGATACGGACGATAGAGCTTTATGAAGATAGAAATCCACATCGAATTTTAAAGCGAGATGAGTCGCCGTGTAGATAATATTCATATAACATATTAGTTATAACATATTATAACATATGAATTATGAAACTACGGTGTAAGTAGATGGGTAACTTGGCGCATTATTGCTAGGTATAACTTCCAAGCAAGTATTGGCGATATATGACGCGCCGCCTAAAGAAACATTCAAGATGGGTAATTCGGCTCGAGCCGACAGTGGCTGAAGTGGCGTATATGGTCTTCCACGAGGGATGTGAACATGAGGCGCTCATACTCCAGATGTACATATTTACCTAAAAGCACTGATCGCTTAGATCTACCGGCTAGTTAGTACTAATCCTTCCATGTTTCGACCCTTGTGCCAGATCTCGGGCCAAGACGTTTCTAATGTGGATATTCGCGGTAATTAAAGCATTTTCCTACTGGAAGAAATACATATGTGCTACATACGAGGAAACCCCTTGGCATATTTTATGCCAAAGGGGATATGGTAATGATGCTGGGGCCTCTTGATATCAGACGGCGGTGGTGTGGTTTTTCCTGTAGCGTCCGTTTCAAGCTGTCGACGCACCAATAAAAGATGAGAATGGCGACTGAGTGCTACCTTACCCTGCACATATGAGGCAAGGATACAAACGGGGAGCTGGGGTAAGGATACCCTTCGCCCGGAGCGATACCCCCCTAAAGATGTTCTAGGCTAGAACTTCTAGCAAAGTTCGTAGGTAATAGACAATGGGCATAATAATTAGCTACCAATTAAGCTTTTAAGATCTCTATTATCTTACTCATTACAACGTAGACGCGTGTGTAAAATTTAGCCGTACCTAAAACGGTTCGAATCTGCCATGAAGTACTCTAACTCCAGGTCTAGAATCTAGAAAGGGGTTTAACATAGTAGTTCAGGGGCCGCTACACAAAACCCAGCGCGCTTCATCAATGCCAAGGAATAATCAAGACTCAGTAGGCGCTCCAATTCAACACTCACCCCCTAAATAGGTCATAGAGCGAAAGAAGATTGTCGCAATGTGAATGCATTACCAGACTATTAACCTATTAATCTCATCATGCTCAAACATTATACGAAACTATTATGCTCAGTGTCAGTTTGTCATCAACGCATCAGCATAGTCATAATAGCGACCAAGCCTAAATCAAAACATTGAACCGCCTAGTGTATATTTTGAGCTGAAGCATTGAAAGACCAGGAAGCAGAACGTCATAGTAGACACGGGATCGTGGGATTTTCACCGCCGCCGTCTATGTACTTAATGAGCCAATGCCCAGAAGTTTTAGCTATAACTCTACTTCCATCACGGAACGTCTTCTAGTCTACAGATTCATGAAAAGGGCAAGACCGATTTTCGGCAACATTTTCAAAGGAGTAAACATGTAAATAGGATGCGACTGCGAGGTGTCGTGCGAAGCCTCCCCCATTCAGCGGCACGGAAGGCCAAGCTTTCTGTTTAGGCACAGGACTCTTCCTCCGTCAATGAAAAATTGCAACATGTGACTTTAAAGTCAGCATCTTGATGTCTAAAAATGTCTTAACAGTACACTACAAGTGAAAAAGAGGAGTCAGATAAGCGTATAAACCCAACTCGATAATTTGTATTGATAGTTGCCGGCGCTCTCTTTCTCTCTATAGTACGCAAACCAAGTCTTTTTTCCATAGTTTGTTCGAATAAGCTCGCAATATTGCACGCAAAATGCTGCTTACTATGACGACCCCCTGGATTCTTCCTCCCTAACCCATGAACACGGGGAAACGAGGGATATTGGGGATTGGAGCGAAAATACGAGAACCTCCTTGAGGAGCTTGAGAATATAGTGTCCCTACGACCCTAACATCGTGAAAATTTGGGCATTGAGATCCTATAAAGCTTTTTTAAGCATTCATCTCGACTCGCTTTAGTTCTCGACTCTGGTGATCTCAAAATATCACAATATCTTCTTTTCCTGGGGTCGGCTAAAAACATACTCCTAGATCACGGCGTATGATACTAAGAAAAGCTCAAACATGGGGTATTATGTAGATGGGATAGAACCCGATATCCCGCAATTGCAAGATTAAGAGATGGTAACCCGAAGTCTTATTGACTAAATCATCCCATCGAGTCGTAATTAGTGCACCAATGGGATAATGAATAACTGGCTTTTTGCTACGTCGTAGCTATTGCGTTTCATCAACCCCGGTTAACGACAAGCAGATAACTTTCATCACACTTTGTGGTTTCAGTCTCACTTTTGATCTTTCGAGATGACGTAACTACTCAGATAAATGCCAATGACAACGTCGTCGATCTTACCACACTGCAACATAGGACACGTAGGCCGCTTAAGTATATAAGAAGAGTCTTTCCGTGTCATCGGTCGTAGTCGAGGGTTGTCAGTACACCCGTGTGATAGTTCAGACGAACTTCAGACGCCGGAGGTAAGAGACAATTCCAGACATACCAGAGTGACATTTCGTGTTTATTCTAATAACGAAAGCCGGCCATGCATTGTCATTTCTTGCGTAAGGTAGTCAATGGAAATAAAGATTGATATGTAGTAACTACAACGCAAGATGCTAACAATGGTCGATATTGGCTCGACATGAGCTCTATTCCCAACTATAGGAATGTCAATATGTCAACAAAAAGATTGAGTACATTATAGCAATTCTATAGCACAGTAGCTTTTCATCATTTAAACAAAACTCTTCCTTTCTATTACGGTAAGAAGTAATGGGGATTGGGTTACCTCATAAGTTCTTCTGGTATTATTTATGGAAAACTTCGGAATCGTTTCGGGTCTGACACGAACCAGTCGCAATTGAGAGATTCGATGAACGCATTGGCGTGAAGCTTGGTATTACGGAAAGGTTTTACTATACGTACCTAGTGTATTAACTATTGAATATCACGGGTTTGAACGATATAAATAGGTGTGCAAATATTACCGTCAATTAATATACCTCATTGGATATAATCATATCAGATGCAAGCCGCTGTGTCATTATACAATCACTCGACTTAATGTTAACGTGTTCCTAGTCTGGAAATTTGAATATTATATTAAAATGCCACCTTTTAGATGGGCGAGAGCTATTGAGATCTAGACTTTATTAGAACATCTCACTTCGTCTCAATGACCGCTCTGTTCTAATACATTATAGGAATATCAAGTCGTTGTTATGGCTCTTCAACCATATTTAGATCGCATTACTGAGGTCCAGGTGGCATTACTCAGAGTGCCATTGGATGCAATATATCGCTTAACTCCATTGATGTTGTCCCTCACATAATTTGATGCTGACACTCATATAAGCACCTCGGCCGAGTTGAGAATTACTGGTTACCTGTTAGGTTTCTTGGCCGTATTCTACGATATATTGGAAGCTGGTAGCGGCATCTTAGACCCTAATTGTGTAAGCTGTCCAGAAGTGTATTTTCTTGACAGTTACGCGGATAACTTCAGCTCTTAGGGCTGACACCTGGATGACCCATTCAAATACTGCCCCGGGGTTATACCCACATGACAGCTTCTTTCCATAGCATGTTGTAAAGCTTCCTTCTTATTTAGTCGCCATATGTAAGACAATTTTACCTAAGTACGGAAAGGCAACCTCACCGTACGAATGCTACTATTGGTTATCTACCATGCTGAGCTCATCAATAAACAGTCAGACTATAGTTACGATGAGGCTGGAAATAAACATCTACAAAGCTTCATTCTAGAACATAGAAATGGATCCATTCACGGCGTTACTGAGGGCGGTATTGAAGCGAACTGTTCAATGGGATAACATCCTGTTAAGTTATGACAATATTAAGTAATATCACTAGTCATTGTTAAGCATAAGCCAGTCATCACAGCTTTTCCGCCTCTGTCTCCATGATAGCGCATGATCTCTCAAGATGCTACCTTCGCCTGACATCAGGGGCCAACCATGGTGTAGTTTGAAGCTTCTGGGTCATGATGGCTTCACGCAGACTATAAAGACGAGCTGAGATGCCAGCGTCTTTCATAATATTCACCACAAACCACTTCGCTCTAAATCGGCCATCGATAGCTTTATAAAACCACCTTGCTCATACATACATTTAAAACTCCAACAATGTCTCCTCCCCCACCCGAATCTGGTTATAGCATAATCTGGTCCGACGACTTTTCAGGTCCAGCAGGGTCTTCCCCCAGCTCAGCAAATTGGAATATTGTCGTCAGCGGCCCTAACAAGGGCAACCAAGAGGTGCAGAATTACACCGCTAGCACCGGCAACTCCTCCCTCAGCGGCTCGGGTGCCCTGCACATCACCCCTCGCCACGACAACGGGCAGTGGACCTCTGCCCGTCTCGAGGGCAAGCAGGCCTTCAACTGCCCTGCCGGTCATCGACTTCTGCTACAGGCCGAGCTGCGCACCGGAACTTTCCCGGTGAACCAGCAGTCGGGAATCTGGCCGGCGTTTTGGGCTCTTGGAAATGATATTCGTAACGGGAAGGGTGTTCAATGGCCGCAGTGCGGTGAATGGGATAGTAAGTTGCATGAGTTGTTTTGCCAGACAGCGATCTGAAAGTTAGATAGGGGAGGTGGATAGGATATATTATAAGTGAATGGGTCCTCAGTTAACCAACTAACTATTCTCCCAGTCTTCGAAAACGCCCACGGCAACGGTTGGTCCCTCGCCACCCTCCACTACGGAACGGGCGGTTCAAACCACATGAGCAAGGGCAGCGCCCGGGAGAACTTCCAAGTCGAGTCTTTCCACACGTGGGCCATCAAGGTCAACCGCGGGCCGAGCAACTGGCAGGACGAGACCCTGGAATGGTATCTCGACGGGAACAAGTTCTTCCAGGTCAAGGGCAGCGATATAGGGGATGGTGAGATATGGGGACGAGTCGCTCACAAGAGCTTCTTCCCCATTCTCAATGTCGCTGTTGGTAGCAACTTCCCCGGTAAGTGATTGAGAATAATCTACCGACGACTCTTTATAGATTCGTGGGGTGCTAATACTGATGTAGAGGGTGGCCAACCCGATGGCAACACGACTACGGGTCTTGGCAGTGGCCTTCAGGTCAAGTATGTTGCCGCTTACAGGAGCAACTAAAGCCAACTCATGTCGACATAAGATATCCGCACTGTAAATTCCTCATTGAAAGTGTTGATTTGCAGTATGATCGAGTTTGCGCACTTTTGGATATGCTTTGAAGGGGATTCTATAGACCATTTTATTTATTATCATTCTTGTCATATTATGAGATATACATCTCCCATAACTATTATATACCTCATCTAGCTATATATATATTCTTAACCCTTGATACTGGGGTTATAGGTTTCAAAGAACGTAATTATAATTCCGAGAGCCCGGCTATTCCCTTGGTGGTATTGTTACCAAGACAAGATAGACCTATTCACTGAACCCCTTCCGTATCGGCAATCCGGAAGACGTATTTAATGCCATTTGCTTTACCGGCCTTCAGATTTTCCAATGCCCCTTGGATTCCCCCGAGTCCGCCCGGGAAGACTACCTGCGGCTGTGCCTTGAACCAGCCCTCCCCTAGCCCTCTCCCGAAGTACCGGAAGTACACGTAACCGAAGTCCTTGTCTTCGGTATGCACTGATCCTACCATAGTAACGGAATGCGAGACGTGAGCCGGGTATTCGAAGTTCTGCGGAGGTAGCACACTCGTCACCTTAGAACCCTCGGCCACGACCTTGCTTATATTGACGTAGCTATTCTGCTCCGACGTCGCATCTAATGCGTATAGGATCTTGGAATCACCGGCTGCTTTCTTCAGTGCTTCGACTACGGCATCATCTCCGTTACGGTAGTCGACGATAACATCTCCTTTACTACGGTCGATCAAAGTCTCCACATAGGCCTGAGATTTTCCAGCAACGCAGATAAGAGGGTGGATGTTACTCTTCCGAGCAAGTTGGACGGCGTAAGCGCCAACAGAGGAAGCTGCTCCATAGATTATAAGGGGTATGGGCTCGGTTGCCGGTGTCCACGGCTGCGGAAGACCAAGTTTGGAATAGAGCCCGATCGCTGCTGTCATTGCCGCTAACGGGACTGCAGCGGCCTCTAGCAAGTTAAGTCCGTTAGTATATTACAGACATGAAATCCTCACGCTCAAGGATAATTCATACCTTCGAATGTGGTCTTCTGCGAAATATGGAAAGTAGTGTGTTGGGGTGAGATGGCATATTCAGCAAAAGACCCGTGAGGGGCTAGCATCTGATGAAATCCAGCAACACGGTCGCCAGGTTTGAACTCGGTCACATTGGAACCAACTTCCTGAACAATACCACCAATGTCGTCGCCCTGGTTTACAGTGACATTACGCCAATCCGGTACCTTCCAATCTTTAGGATTGGACCCGCTCACGACGACCTTAATAAGGACTTCGTCGGCTCCGGGTTTTGGGATCGGCGAGTCGATGATCTGGACCTTAGTGCCTAGGCGATGTTTAGCCCTGCTTGAAAGTCATGGCTATTCGATTCTCACCTGGAGCTACGATGGCTTCCTTCATTGTGAATATTGGTATCCTTGTGCGTTTGGTTTATATATGGAGCAGATATGATTGTGTTGTCGTTAATATTATCGTTAATGTTGCCGTTAATGTAGTCGTTAATTTCTCGTTAATGTCGTCGCTATCATTGCCGTTCTAATGACCGGGACTCCTGATGAAATAAATACCTACTGTCCACACCTGAACGGCGGGGTTCCTAGCGTAAAATGCTTATAAAGGCCGGTTGATCCGGATAATATTGATCATCAAAACTATCGGTCCATTATTAGGTTCTGGAATTTTCCATAGTGACATAGCTTACAAGGCATATGAATAATATCAATGGAGCTTTCAATTACGTCATTACGGATATAACTTTAGCCTTAGAATATATTCCAGCTTACAGTAACCAAGCTCTTAAGCTTCGTGCCTATTATTTCTATATAATATGTTGAATATATGTAGACCTCTAGACATCTATATACGAAGTTAAATCTGAATGTGAAAGTTATTAACGCTATTTGGAAGGAGTTTGGAACTACTTCGTTGCTAAACCTCCAAAGTGTCTTTAGAGCTATATAAAGGTATGTGTAACTTATACGAGAATTATATTTCAGATAATATAGTAGGTGCCGTACTCAAAGGTATATACCTTAGAGGTGTTTAAGAGGCGTACTTGAAGAGTACAGATCGTGCTTCATGAAGTGCGCAGCCAAGTAAACTAGTATCACGATAGGGGTGATCCATAAGCTTACACGTAGCCGGATATAATCAACCAGGTGAAGGAACTAGCTGAATTAGAGAAACATCTGCATAATCATAGTCTTTGATTTATCTCCGTATCAGTATCCTCGACTAGATAGTCTAGGCCTCTCAAAAGTACGTAGTTTCCTGATCCTCGGAGTAGGCGGGATCGTGCTATTGAACCCACACCCCGCCTCCACGCACGACGAGACGGTATGGATATATCTAATCTTGCCAGACTCGACTCTGAACATGTGGCTGTCCGGCATGGGCTTCTCGCCTTGCGTTCTGTCCAGTCCAGGGAACCCGAGGTAGATGTCAACGACACCTAGGACCTCATCCACGACGTAGCGGCGATTGGTGACCACGAGCGTCGACGGTAGACCTGCGAGCGTGCATGAATCGCCAGTCATGTTAAGGGGTGCCGTAGATGCGCCACCTTCAAGTCTGGAGCAGGGAACGCCGAAAGGTACGGTTACGTTCTCGTTCTTAAACCGGTTAAAGTATGCATCACCGGCCGCTTGGATGACCTCGCGGCTGTCTCGCTTGTCTTCGGGAATAGGATCCCAGTTCTCCTGCGAATTCCAGTACAGGTACCCGGTAGCGTTGAAAGCCCAGTCACCAGTATCTGTCACTATCGACTCGATCAACGAGATCTTGCTGTCGTTATTGAAGAGTATGCGCGTGCCGATGACGTACTGGTGCGGGTTACTCGCGGCGATGATCTCGGTGAAGGTCGCGCAGTTGACGGTGTCGTGGATGCTGCGGTTATGGTCGATCTTGACAGCTTCGGTCAAGACGCCTTCGTTGATGGCTTTAGGAACTTCGTTCTCGGTGTAAGTGATATTAGGTGCCGCTAGTGCTGCCACATCGTCGCTGGACCCGGCAGCTTGAGCTGCGACGTACTTGTCCGTAGCTCCTATGAGGAAGTCTCTCGTGCAGTCGGCTGAAGCCGATGCGGAGAATAAGAGCCACCCTAGCAGGATGGAGGTAGCCATATTCCAAGTACACGTCTTATACAATAACTGATTGGTGCAAAGGACTATCTAATCCGTCACCAACGACAACGACTTAATATGCGTAACTTGTGAAATGGAAGTATCTACTAACTATTATATACTCCCATATAACCTCTTTTTCATACCTTGCTTCGCGGAGAGCGCTCACCCTTCAGGTAAGACCAAAACAGCCTATTATGCCATGCCTATCCTAAACTCCCCAACCCTGTCGCTGCAACTTGAAGTCATAGAAATCGAACCAATCAGTCACCTTGGACAAAAAGTCAAGTCGGTAATAAATATTTATATTACGGTAGTAATCATTTACGCTACATAATCCTCCCCCCTGAGGCTCTAACGGCTGCTAATGGCTGTGCATACGGCCACCCGATAAATTGCATGCACGTAAATCCCCCGGCAATTAAGATACCGTGGGGCATGTCGTATATGATCTACTCTATTCGGCACTAAGTGAGGAGTTAGATGTACTTTATATATGAAAAGTGTCTAATGTCTAGACTCTCCGTACCTTAGGTATGTTTGCAGTTCTGGATTGAACAGCCCAAGAAATAACCGAGTTCCTCATCTCGTCAACTCATTCGTACACCCATCACTCATATCTCTTTTCGCCAGGTACGTTTCTCTTTTGACCCTACGGGATGCAGAAGTCGATCCAGCTACCTAAGTAATCTAGTCGATTACGGCTGCTGTCTGCAAATTCGTGCTCTCGATATATCTTCTCGAACTCTTTGTAGTTTAGTCTACCCCAGCCACCCCTTTCCCTTGCCTCCTGTTCAGCAAGGTCAAGTCGTTTCCATGACACCAATGTGGAAAGCGATATGTGGTCCGGGGCGTCAAGATCAATGCTCTTCGATTCGGTAACCTCTTCATTTTTGGACGCGTTGGAGCCGTTGTTCAATTTCTTAAATTTAGTGTTGCTTTCCGTCTGAGATGTGAGACGGTTAGGTGATGTCTGCGCTATGCTATTGGGTCGGTTCTGGGGTAGAGTAGGGTCACGGTATTCCGCGGGCTCTGAGGAGCTGAGGTCCTTTGGTGGGACATCTATCTCTTCATTGATGGCATTTTCATTGCTGTCCCTATCCTGTATCGTTGCAGCTGCACGCAATCCATCGTCTATGTTGGGGTAGCTAGTACTATAGCCACTTGTTGAAAGCAATTCAGCTAAGCTCCGCTGTGAGATTGGAGGGCTCCCTTCCGGGGAGTGTGCTCGAGGTCTTGCCGGTGACTGATCTCTGGATTCCTCATCTTCGCTTTCAAGATCGATCGAGCTTAAGAGCTCCCGATACTTCTCACGCTGTTCTTTAGTTTCCGCCGCCTGGACAGCGAGATCTTCTTTCTTCTTGAAAATCTCGTCTAAGAGCTCGTTGAAAGCCTGTTGTGTGACCTGATAGAGGATTTCTTTACCAGCATCTCGCTCCGCATCCGGAATTTCCATTCCTCCCCACCTCTCCGGCACACTTCGCGAAGAAGTAGACGGGTTTGACCTGGTTTCGAAATCATCCGCGTCTTCAGCGAAGCGAACCTTGGAGGATGATCTTGACCGCGGAGAGAGAAAATGGGGAGCTGATTTAGATGACTCGGCGATGCCATTCAAATTCAACAGCACATCCTGATTTTCATCCCATCCTTGTGGAGGCGCTGCGCCTTCTTCCTCATCTAGATAAAACTGACGACGTTTCCACCTCTCAAGAAGCTTTTTTCGAGCAAGCAGTCTCTTCCGCTTGTCAATACCTGATCGGTGACTATTCGCTACAATTGCTTGATGTTGAACTCTGAGCTGGCTCTCTGTAGGTAACGTATTTGTAAATCTACTGGCATCGGGGATAGCCCGGGTAGTTGTTGACTCTGGAGCTTCACTTGGTGGGTTGGGATCAGCAGGTACACCCTCGTCGGTTTCATTGGCGCCTTCATCTTCGGGTCCAACTTGCCCATCGTCATCGGAAGAACCGCTCTCGACCTCATCTAGAGATTGTTGCCTTTCCTGATGGATAGACTCTAGAATATCAGTAATATGCGGGTATTCACCTGAGAGTAAAGATGCCAGGTCGACCGTAGTATGAGGAGGGTTGATTATTCCGGACCAATAACGAGTATCTCCGTCGGGGGATTGTGGTCTCCTAGAGGATCCGAACGATTCCGTGAAGAGGCTCTGGCTAGCGTTTCTAGCAAATAGACTGCTTAGGATTTCTTCGCGACTGCCTGTATCTAGCTTATCCTCGTTGATGACTCCTTTACCATCGTTGATCTCGACATCTCCGTTTGAACGGAATATTTTACCCTCCATCGGTCTTGAATGATCCGCCGAAGGGACTCTACCCTCCCGACCGAAGAGACTGCTTAAAGGTTGCCTGCCATTGATAAGTTGCTGAGCTTCGGTGGTCGTCATCATGTGGTCATCAAGGCCGTCAAGAATGTCCTTATGCATCTGCTTGTATAGCACATAATAAGCCCGGAACATACGTAAAAAATCTCGTCGGTTGACATAGCCGTCACCGTCAATATCGTAACCGTCAAATGTCCGCTTCAGCTTATCCTTCCTCCTCCTGTACGATACGCCGTGGAGGAACTCTTCGAATCCAATGAGGTCGTCGTGGTTAGTGTCGTAAAACGCAAACATACGGTCGTGAATAAGGTTAGGTGCAGCATGTCGATAGCCGCCAGATGGGACGAGACACCGTTCAAAAGTCTTGCGATCCATAGCCAAACCGAGCCCATTAGGGTCATCTCTCCATTCGGTATTGGCCATGAAAGTCCACTGTTCCCAGAAAGCATCGAGTTCAACACGTTCGAAGCCAGTATCCTGAGACCATCTGGTCAAAAGATACCGTGGTATACTGCGTATAGCGTTGTCGGGATCACCCGGATACCAGGCCGGTTGTACATGTCGAGTTCCGAAGGGCGGAGCGGGTATTTTGACTTTATAGAAGACGTGCGTCTTGTTGTGCAGACCCTGAGATTCGCATACCTCGCACAAGTCAAAGTCAGCGCAGTTGGCACAGCGATAACGAATTCCGCGTATAGGAACCATGCCGCAACCATTGCACTGACAGCCACGGTGCACATATGCGTTACGCCTCGCGTTATCTTCGGACACACGGAATAAGAGCGAAACTATATTCTCGCCGGTCCGCTGACGCGGGGCCTGGTTGCTGTCGTTATACCATTCGGTCGGGTTCTGTTCGTCGGCGACGGTAGTATTATCTGGCGGGACTGGAAAGGCGATGTCGATATTACCCATATCGTCGTTTTCGTCGCCATGCGAGTCAGATTCTGAGGAGTCGTCATGGCGATGGGATGCACGGCGAGATCGTCTCACGGCGTTACGGCGATGCAAACCAGGCCCTGCAGCAGTAATATCAGACTCCAAAGCCTGGTTCTGACTTTGGCGATAGTAATAAAGGCCTAAGGAAGCCGCTGCGACGGCGGAAATCACGGCGATAGTTACTCGCGGGCGCGTCAAGGCCGAAGCCACTGCTGAAGAGGATAAAAAAGCCATGGTAAATGGGTGGCGCTCATGGCGAATATATATGAAGCGAGCGGAACGTAATCAGGCGAAGAAAGGTTAAGAAAGTGGTGATAGATGAATCTCGCGCATTGTAAATATCGTTGTTGCTAGATTAGGTAGGTTAGGTATGTCCTTCCTACGTTGGCTACGACGTGATTTCTTTGATTTCTTCGATTTGTTAAATGGAAATGGCAATATGAAATTTAGCTGAGATCACCTGGAGATCACCTAAGTTGACCCCACAAGTTTGACCTACCCTGGCAGCCCGGGCACCTTGTACTTACCCTACGTACCTCCTAATGCAGCTAGGTGGCTCCCGGCAGCGTCACGCCAGGTACCTGGGACCCACTACGTAATTACATCATGTCCATTAGGTATCTACCATACCTGTGGAAAACATCACCACAGGTCCAACATTTTAATATGCTGGAAACGTATAATGATAATCTCAAAAATTACATTGCTATCTACTTTAAACAAGACAGAAACATGGCTGTACTCTTAGGAGCGAAGCACATGCCCCTTCAATCACACTCCTTCTCTAATATACCTCATCGCAGTCCCACGGCTACAAGCAACCATATTAAATCGGTCCTGCGTCTCGAATGTTATATACAGGCTAACACTGCAACAATGACCAACGCGCTGAACAACGCCTTCAATACATTTAGCGCCTAGTTGTCTGGGTAATTCGCCTTTACGGTGAAGTTCTGGGGGCCTGAGTAGACTTGCACGGTCCCGGTCGGTGACTGCTGGTTTGTCCATACGATCTGATCCGCCGAGATGGTGTGGATGGCAAATGCCTCCTGATACCAAAGCTCAAGGTCTGCTCCGCCGTCTGAGCGCTTAGTCAAGTTGAAGAATGTTAACGGGTCGCTGCACGCAGTCTTCTCGACGGAAGGGAAGACTTGATAGGTTCCCGGCCTTGCTGAGCATGCCGTCGAGTTCTGGCCGCTAGAGTACGACCAAGTGAGTTCGACGCTGCCAAAAAGGTTAGTAACAGGTTAACTCCTATCAAATGTTGCGTCGACTTACTATCCAATCGATGAGTGCGGAGTAGCTCCTGCAGAGAACTTGGAGATGGAAAATGGTGCTTGGGTTCCCTTTGCATTGGTAAAACCAGCAGTGGCGAGAAGGCCGACAAGCGATGCACCTGAGAACAGCTTCATCTTGAAAATGATAGTTGATTAATTCTAACGAAGGTATAGCGAGAGTCTGGTTTAAGCGAGAGGGGCTGAAGCTGCAATGAGGATGAAAGCTAACTTCGACATTTCTTGATGCGACCTTCTAGGTCTATATATATGCCTGATTCAAACGTCATCCAAAGGGAAAGGGGGCGAGTCAATCAACGGCTCTTCACTTTCTCCCGACGATCGATACTTCCCGTTGGGTCCAGAATCGCGTCAGACGGTAGGTGTAGCCTCAAATGCATATATACGGCGGTCGATGATAATGATTTCAGTGGAGAAATAATGATCCCCCCCTTTCCTGCGATGGGGAATGGTACCCTCCCTACCTCCCCTAACTTTCTTACCCGCACTGCGAATCATTTTCTGTTGGTCCCAGTGATATCAATCTAGAGGCTTCTGATGCCTTTCCCAATTTACCCAGTATCGTAGTGTTCTGAGACATGCTCAAAATACTGTAACATGGCAGCCATGGCTGGCCTCGTATTCCGCTCGAGGCTTAAACTCATCCTCCGATTCGCCCAGGCTCGCAGTGGGCAATGGTAGATCATCTCCTAAACTGCAAAACACTACCCAAAGTGTAGCTATAGGGCGCTGGCCTTATCCCTAAATAGTAGTGAATTTCGTTCTTCAACACGATAAACTGTCGGTCCAATTAGAACCAATTAAATGTCTCAGTATAGAATATACTTGGTGGCTTACCATTTGGCATATATAGTGGGCTGAGCCTTCCCCTAGTTATTGATCACCGAAATGCCAGAGATGCCTTTTACAACGTTGCAAGAGTCGGCCCTTCCAACAAGATCGGAATCGGGCAGAATAAGCAGCTATATTAGTTCTACGGGTATGTTACTCCGGGACTGTATGTCTTTTCCCATGGCCAATTCTCACTGTTCTCGGAGACCCCGAGATCTTTTCGTGATGTTGATACTACAGGAGCTGAACTGATAGATATATCAATGAATTATTCGCTTCGACATAATTTTCATATTGCTCTATTGATAGGAATAGGCATAAGAACTGTAGAACCTGACGTATCGATGCTCTATATCTAATATCATACGTTTCCTTGCCTTGGAACTATCGCCCTACATTGGCAATACTCGTATAAATCATATCGACCCGACGCTAAAAATCATATTATATAGATCATTCCGAGCTACGGCACTCAGTGAGATAAGATGCTGTTAAGTACCTTACGTTTGTATTACAGCGTGAAAAGGTCTAATAAGAAATCTAGAATAATAATTTTTTATAATGTTAGTTGATAACTATACTATGTCTAATATCTAAGTAGATAAACATCCATATTCTGAGGTTTTCTGATCCTGATACGTGTAGTTAGGTAACGGCGTGAAGGCACAGACAAACACCCGGGTTAGCGGCTTCGGTATCTAAAATTAGGTACATTAGGTAGGTAGGTAACCCCACCCCCGCGACTGTCAGTCACGATAATGAGATACATACATCGGTACCCAACAACCAACCACCGCCACAGCATGGGGGCGCAGCATACCGGCTTGCGTTATGCTTTGTCTCGGCATACACTGGAAAGTCACTAATAGGACAGCTAAAACACACGCATGTACATATTGATTGAGGTATCAGCCCACCTGTCCACGTCAGCCGGCCAATTCTTGAGTTTTTGGATTTTTGCAGATAAACTGCCCTTTCCGAAGAGACTGCAACGTTTCGCCTTAACCTGCAATGCCTTCGTACCTCTTGTAAATTCCCCAACCTAGGTACCTAAACAGACGCTCATTCCTACGCTGCCTTACACTCGTTAACAACACCCACCTACTGCAACATACAACATGGCTCCGGTACACGAGAGGCCTGGACTCTTCATTTCCGAGCACCTACTCCGCAGTGCGAGAGCTGCCGTAGTAGCAGCCGGACCCGAGGTCGCCAGACTTGCTCGGCGGGATGCCGTATCACGCCGCGATTTAACTGTCACTAGCGATGCCCAAAAAGTTACATTGGGTATTATCGCCGTCTATGTCGTCGTTATTGCTATTTTATGGAACGTTCCTTATGTGCGATGGTCATTATGGCCTTTTAAGGTATCTGCTAGCTGTTGTCTATATCTTGCTGAGCATTGGGCTTCGTTACTAACTACATTCCCTAGATGCTTGTTATTGCATTTCATGAGTTCGGACACGCTATAACTGCCGTAAGTAGACATTATTAACCCTTCACCCCTTCACATACCCTAGATTCTCTCCATCGAGTCGACGAGGGAGCTATTGTCTTCTGGTATACTTATGGCTTAAACATTTATTACTTCAGGATGCAAATGCTAACTTGTTTTAAAGTGCTGTACAGGTGGACGTGTCAAATCCATCTCTCTTGACCCTCGTGAAGGAGGTGTCACCCACAGTATGTATCCAAATATTATTTTCTTCTTCTCCTTATCCTTAGTAAACATGCTAACCCTTATTGCTAGTGGTTGGAGGAAAGAGTGCCATCACATTACCCGCTGGCTACCTAGGATCCTCCCTCATCGGGGCCCTTCTTATTTTCTGCGGCTTCGACATCGTGGCAAGCAAAATCGCCAGTCTAGTTTTAGGCGTATGCTTCTTACTGACACTTTGGTGGGGTAAACGGGATTGGCTTACGATTGTGACTATTCTACTTGCCGTCGGACTCTTGGTGGGATTCTGGTTCATTGCTCATGCCGAACCGTTGCGATTCCTTGTGCTCTTCATCGGCGTGATGAGCTCATTGTACAGCGTTTGGGATATTGTGAGTTTTGAACAATATTTCGTGCATGTTATTAATGCTAATTGATTTCTAGTGCGACGACCTGATCCTCCGCAAAGTCAATAGTTCTGATGCCAGTGTGTTTGCCGAGCGCTACGGTGGCTCTTCTCAGTGCTGGGGCGTCATCTGGTCCATTATTTCAGTTTGCTTTATGGCTGCCGGGATTATTGCCGGGATTGCCGCTTTCCCGCAATCATTCGCACAACAAGAAGAGGATTCGAAGAATTTTATTCCCACTCTTTGAGCGACTAGTTGCGATAATCGGTTTCGGGTTTAGGGAGGTACGCCTCGATAATTAGTTATGCGGAGTTTTGAGGCTTCTATTCAAGGCTTTTACGGTTTTTGGTCATGAGGAGGACATATCCACAGGGTGTTCTTTTTTTTAGTCTATCGTAGATACCCTTTATTATTAACGAATGCCAGACAATAGGTCTGATGCGGGTTTGTTCTTTTATTATACAAGTCGTCGTTCCCGCATTCCCTACGGTTAACAGTACCTGGTTGCTGCCGCGTAAGCCTTAACACAATATTCGTAGTGTCTCCATATCGCGCACTAGAGTCTAGTGTAATAGTTAGTGTTTGATATACCTAACGAACACTTGATTTCCGACTTCTCGTAATTACGTAATTCTCGTATTTATACGTGATAGCCACCCTCTTTAAGAAAATCAAGTCTATTTATTCACGATTGCTAAGACTACGTTTCAGGATATGTGTTGCTCTGTGACCTAATTTAGTGAGGTATGAGTTGAACTTCGATGTGCATATCCTGATGTCGTTCTTGCTAAAGCCTCTGAAACCACTATCAAAGGCTTTCTTTTCAGACTTTCCTGGGTGTAAAGTCGATCTTATGACCTCATACCAAGATTTTAATGCTATTGTGGCGCATTTGCTGACTTTCAGCTGAGCTAGGTAGTAGTATTAAAAAGCTATTCTTGTTTGAAGTTGAGATTGCAACCGGACACGGAAACTCACAGCCTCATACTCCAACCTACATTGTCGATCATGTTACTAGACATTTTTGAAATCAAAGAAATACACCTATATTAAACCTCAAGAACATCCGGTAAATTATTGATTATTGTTATAAAAGAACAGCGCACGCTATCTTGAGTTTGCTCAATTGACGTTTTTGCGTTCAGCAGCACCTTAATATCATACACCTATTGTACATTTTTAAGATGAGCGTTGCAGGCTTCATCTCACGTGTAAAGAGCGTTATAAAGCCGCAAAATTGGAGAACAAAACCTCAAGAGGAGGATATTAAGGCTCCCACAGTACCATTAGAGCAGACCGAGTCTACATCAAAGGATTCGTCAAAATCGGGGCTACACGCACCAAAGTCGAATAAAGGACTACGAAAACCTTCAGTTTCGAGCGGACAGTCGTCAAGCAGGTCAAGCGCTAAGCAAGACGTAAGCCCTGAGCCTACAGATTACCTATATTTCGGCGAAGGCGTATCGCCCGCAGAAGTCTCCCAGTCTCTATCAGAGCAAAGCCAAAGCAAATCACCCAGCATCCGACCAGCCCAAGCGTCGACGACGACGGGAACCCATAATAACCCAGCTACTGGTAGTGGTAAAGATAACAGTGGATTTTTGAAGACGGGGATGGATACACAGGCAACTCAGATGGGATATTCAAATTTGACTTATGGAGGATCACTGCAGTACGATTATGCTGGGACTCAGGCACCGGGCGTGGCAGGTGTCGATTAATACGACATGAAAAATGAATCAAGTTTCCCTGCCCTGTATTCACTGCCTCTTCTCCATTTTTATTTAGTATGATACCAGTTTAGACCCTAGCAAATGTAGATCATGTAAGATCATTTGTACAATCCAAGCATTGGCATCAAAGTCACCGAGAACGCAATAAAGCGGTTATAAGAGCGTATAAATGCAATTAGGAAGTAATTTCAACTAGCGGTGTCCACCCGCAACAGGTACGTAAACAAGTCCAGCCGAGGTTGAGGCTTGCCCGTGTCAGTAGAGTTGAATGGCGTCGTTAGAGGCGAGCTTATATGATTTTGTCATAGACTTAAACTTTGTTGAGTTCTTTATAAGTAGCACACGCATACGTAGTAATACCGGCCTAATGCTCATCGCTTGAATAATAAATATAACCTGGTATTCCCCTTTATAAGTTACTATAACCTATAACTACCCTAAATCCCATGTATGTATTATACCCTTGCAGATCTCCTGCTATATATCTACATATACGTAACCGAGTACCTTTCTAGCCCCTGGCTAACGAAACCAGGCCGGAAACAAAGATCACGGAAACCTTCCCGTCCGTACAGGATGTGGTCAAGAATCCGGCCTTCCCGACAGCACTGTGGCAGCTCGAGCCGCATCAAAGCGGTCTCCTCCCCGTAGCTGCCGGGAGAGGCGGACCCGTAAACATCAGTTGGGAGGTCCACGGTGATGGTCCTATAAAACTCATAGTGCGTAACTCGCCGTCGTATCTCCCTTGAGGATCTCTCTTCCGGGATGAGTCTTACTCAAAAGAACACGAAGAAGGCTCACAAAGCTCTCTTCGCAGCTCCTCTGCGGCCTAGGTTTCTTCAAAACCGCCTACCAGCGGCAAACCATGCACTTCGGACACATACACGGATCGCAGTACTCCGTCCTGATCCTCGACAATAGAGGTATGGGCAGGTCCGATAAGCCATTGGCGCGATACAGCACATCGACTATGGCGCGCGACGCGCTAGAAGTGCTCGACCATATCGGCTGGACGGCGCCGCGGGAGTTACATATCTGCGGCATCAGCATGGGCGGCATGATCGCGCAGGAATTGGCGTATCTGGCGCCGGAACGCATCGCCAGCTTAAGCCTGATTTCTACGGCTGCGTGCATCGAGAACACGACTACGTTCACCGAGAACATGATGAACAGGATCACGATGTTGCTACCGAAGAGTCTAGATCGGAGTGTGCAATATGTGGCTGGAACTAGTATGTATTGATATCACCATTCCCCCCGTTCCTATTTACGTACATATCTACCTATGCGTCCATCCTCTCCCGAGCTGAGTCGAGCATAGTATTATACACATTATATTAACCTCCTCCAGTCTTCCCCGCGAACTACCTAACCGCCCCAGACAACGCCGTCGTCCCCGACGAGTCCGTCCCGCGGTGCAAAATCCCAGCCGGCGGGTACCTCAAATTCAACACCAACTACGAGCGCTTCGCCGCTCAAGAAATCACCAAGCAGCGCGACACAAGCGGATTCACCAAGAAGGGTTTCATGCTGCAGCTCATCGCGGCAGGCTGGCATTACAAGAGTCCGGAGCAATTAAAGGAGATAGGGGACAAGGTAGGCCGCGAGCGGATCCTAGTTGTTCACGGGACTGACGACGGGATGATATCGACGCCTCACGGGAGGAAGCTGATAGAGTGGTTACGACCGGGCGAAGGCTTAATCGTGGATGGCCTGGGTCACGCCCCTATTAACGAGCGAACGCAATGGTTCAACCAGTTGCTCGAGGCGCGGTGCGCATTAGGCGAGAAGCTGTCGAACAAACCGCTATACTACTAAAAGGTTATTTGGTAACAGATTTTATTCTATTACATTTTATATTTGTATCGGACAGATAGTAATATCTGACAGAAGCTGAGTGGGCGGTGAAGAGACAGCAATACATCATGAAAAACGAAGTATATGTCTGCATATCAAACTACACTATCAGAAGAGAAAAAAATAGTTATTGACGCAGGTCCTATACGGATTGGTGAACGCAACGCGATAAGCACTGTCGAGTTAATACATAGGTAGGTAATCTTCCCGTAGTCGCATCGTCTGGGACGCGAATACGCCTATTCCGCCCAGCCCAGGTATCTCATATCAAATCTTCAAGCCCATTAAAACAAAAGCCCATCCATACCTTATTCGCGCCATTTTCTTCGGCTTCTAAGTAACAAGGCCCGTCCCTCAATCTAGGAGGTTCCCGCGCAAGCGTCCAAGAGCATTCTCTACCCTGCCCTTCTAGCTTACAGTGGCGATGAAGCTCTGGTACTGCTCGTCTTCGCCCAGCGGTTTTGTTATAGGTTTCTGCGGCGGCGTTGCCGTAGAAGAAGCCTTGCTGTTCCACAGTACTTTAGGCTGCTGAGACTGATTTGCCGGATCTACCTTTGGCGTACTGGTGCCCTCCTCTACTTGGTCCTCCTTATCCGCCTTTGGTAGGCGCATTGCGAGGAGCACGTACTCAGCCCGTGTCATATTATCCATGATATCATCCATGTAGCGTCGCACCTCATCCTGAGGAGCCACTACCCTGGCCAAACTCTCTAAGTGCTTAGGGGACTGCGCATATATCCGTATCGTCACTGGCTGATAATAGTCCAATGCGGGATCCCCTCCGTACTCTAGCTTACTTCCCTTTCGTACTATAAGGAAGGATGCAACGGCCTGAGTAGGATTAACATATTCGATGATGCTGTACTTGGGGAACAAGTACCTGTCACCAGTACCTCCGGAAAATTCTAGTACGATGGCCGAGATATCGGGCTTGATAGATGGTGGCGGTCCCTTTGAGCGTAGCGCCTGCTGAGAGCTAGACGCATGAGTAGGTTGTCCAGGCCCTGTGAGTGATGCCTTTCTCGATACAGGACCGTTTTGAACAGTAGGACTCTCTACCCCATTCGCAGCCGTTGTCTGAGAAGTCCCTGTTGTTGCCTGCTGAGGCTTTGAGGTTTCCTTCACTACAAGATCTTTCAGCTTATCAAGAGTTGTCTTCAAATCTGTGGTATCTGTAAATTTAGTTTTGCCCTCAGCTATTCTCCTGACAATATCCCGCGTAGCCACATCATCTAAGGCCTTCTTCACGAGCAGAATTACTAATGGATCGCTTCCTGCAGGTGTCCTTAGATCATTAGATCTCTGGTGCGGGTTGGAAGCAAGAACGATATCAAGTATAGTTCGGACCTCGTCGGCAAAATACTTCACCGTTCTTCCATCTACGATGAGCCTATCCGCTGATGGACCGTGTTGACCCCCTTTTTTCTTATAATCGGCGGTAATCTGGTCAATTATCTTTTGAAAATGCGCCAACTCAGCGGGTGCGGCGTCGCCAATAGCAACGCGTTTCATGAGATCACGGAGTTGAGGATCTTCAGATGCTCTTTCTGCTAGTGTAACTATTATAGGATCAGCACCGGGAGCAGTCGGTGTTGCCGGTTTTGCGGCTGACGTAGAAGACTTGGCTGGCGTGGGGACGGTCGGTCCCGTGGCTGTGACTGCTCCTGAGTTAGGAGCATGTAGCGGTCGATTGGTACTCAATCCGGGCTGAGAGGGCGCTCTAGGCTGAGGAGGTGCTGGCTGTGAGGGGCCTGTCGTGGGAGGGATCGTCGGTGGATGCTGAGGAGCGGCCAGGACAGACTCTAGACCACGTGGGGAGGCCAATGGCTTATTAGGAGGTATAGTGGTAGATGGAGGCCGCTGCAGATCTGACTGCTGCGTCTGCGACTGAGGTTGTGTCTGTACTTGCGCTTGTACTGGCGGTTGCGCGGTCAAGGGTGGCTGGGAGGGTGGTTGAGCCGGCGGTTGTGAAGGCGAGGCTACTGGTGCGCTCGGTGTGGATGGTGTGCTCGGTTTCGGAGGAGGGGGCATGGCACCATTTGGAGGACCATATTGTACGATAGGTCGGAAAGTAGAGTTGGTAGTAGGCGCGGGTTTCGGGTCTTTGACAGCGTACATGGTAGCTTCGAGAACGTGAGGCTCAACAGTAATTGTGACTTGGCCGATCTTGGTCATGCTGTCTTTAGGGGGGTTGTTAGGGTCCTCTTTGACGACGCCTTTCCGTTTCGTGGGTTTGGTCCAGTATTTCTCAAAGACGCCTTCGTGAACCCATTTCTGACGCGATCTAGAGAGTGATTCGGCTAGAACGCCACTAAGATTATAGTATCAGCGCATTTTCTACCGATAGGTAGGGCTAAACAGATATACCTTTCTTGAATGGACTGGTAGTCCTTACTTAAGAGATCATCGGGCTGCGGATGTTCAACGGTCGGTAAGGGATTACCGGCCTGGATAGATTTTGGTAGAGGAGGGTCTTCCGGAACAGTTTCAGCAGGTACCGGAGTCGATGCCGATGCTGGAACTGGAGTTACAGATCGTTCGGGAGGTGTCGTAGTTCGTTTTTTGGAGACATGTTCAACTCTTGCGGCAGCCCTCGCCGGTAGCTTTCGTTTTCTCTCCATCGAAACGAGGTGTACAAGGGCTTCTATCGCCCGAAGAAGCTTGATTGAGCAACCGTGGATATGTAAAGAGAACAAAAAGAGGCGCTAGATTCCATCAATAGAAGGAAAACTCCAAGTGCATCTTGATAATAATAGCAATCTCTCAAAGCGACAATGATACTTGCCAAGAACTAGCTAATGTCACGTAGTGGCAAGTTACTGTATGGTAAGAGAAGCACGAGAATAATGTGTAAATAAGGGCAGGAGCTTATCAATAACGCAGGGTAATTCGACGTGAGGTCGACTTTGATTTTTGGAATTGGGTGATGTGATACAGGAAACTTTTGAACGGTAGCTCGATCAATAATAAGGGAAGAAGTCAGTGAGAGTTTGTAATTAGTGGTGGAAAGGCGGGTCTATTTTTTTGATGTATTGTAGGTACTTGCGCTGATACGGTACCTTAACTAAATCCTTATAGGTTATCCGGGGGAAGGGTCAGGCTATCAGGGTTCGCCGCAAGACCCGCATTCGTATGTACACTATGCCAGCCCTGCGGCCGCGTTAATACGTAAACACCTAATAAGCCTATATTCGAACTCAGACCTATTATTATATGCATCTATAGGTCTTTGGTAACATATCGGGTTATATCTTATGCATAATACGGATCTGTAAGTACATACGAAGTACTTGATTTTCAACCTGTACCTATAGATCTCACCTGCATGATCTAACATTATTACATAAAGGTAATGAACGATCAACTGCCAATTGTTCCATTCAATTTATCCCTCAGAGTATATAGAGTACTATACTATACCGAAGGAGACTGGAACCGTTAATGTCCTTAGATCCTTAGCAGTTATGACCTCGCGAACTCCACGATGGGCCATCCCCGTAGGCGTTAGTCTAGGCGTCCCATTTGGTCTCTACCTGCTTTTCGTCTTACTAGGCGCCTCTCCTTTCTTTCAGAGACAGTAAGGTCATCGATTCTCGTTTATTCAATTTAGTTATAGCATGCTAATAACTAGAACTCTTGTAGCTTTTTGTACTGTCATAGAATTAATACATCGTTCTGGCATGACTTGAATAAACCGGAGTATTGGGGGTTCGCTAGTAAGTTCATGCTTCATATAAGATGAACGTAAAGTAACACCTTAACTGATGTAACCAATCTAAAGGAAACCAGGTAACACCTTTCTCGCTAAGTACCGTCGATGGGGAGAGCATCTACGCGTGGCACATTCTACCTCTTACAACCTACTTGAAGCATGAAGACAAGATCCAGGCTCAACAACGAGGCTACTCCGAGGATATTACTAAAACGGAGTCATTTAAGCTACTTAAAGATGACCCCGATGCTCGCATTGTAATATATTGTATGAAGATCCAATTTACACTACGTAGATTTCTACTAAAAAAATACTAACCACTAATCTGCAGTTCATGGGGTTAGTGAACATCCAGGATTTGGCGTCGGTCAGTATTGTGATTGTTAACTTGTTACGCAACAGAACGCTGGTCATGTTGCCCAGGGGTACCGCCCCGACAGTTATCACACCCTGACTGATTCGTCACATTACCATGTTCTAGCCATTGATTACCGTGGCTTTGGTAAATCGACCGGTACGCCATCAGAGACAGGGCTAATCCACGATGGTATTGCTGCCGTGGATTGGGCAATGCAAGTGGCGGGCATCTCAGCCGGCCGGATTGTTATAATGGGCCATAGCCTCGGAACGGCGGTTACGAGCGGCGTCGCAGAGCATTTTGCTATGCAAGGAATCGAATTCGCGGGTATCATTCTCATTGCCGGGTTTTCGGACCTGCCAACTCTTCTTTCCTCATATTCAGCGGCGGGTTTTATCCCAGTGCTTTCGCTTCTTCGCCCTATCCCACCGGTCCTCCGGTTCTTCCAAAACTTCGTCGTGGATAAGTGGAAATCGGCAGAACGGCTTGCCCATGTAGTGAGCTTGACACGAACAAGGCTACGGCTGACTTTTATCCATGCCAAAACTGACTTGGCGGTACCGTCTCATGAGAGCGATGCGTTATTCAAATCCGCGGCTAGCGCTACTATTAGAGAAGACTTGGATAGCGACAGCTTCTTATCATGGAAAGAACAACGAACCGTGCGCAGAGATGATGAGACATTTACGACGGTTGCCAAAGCCGAACCAGATATTATTATCAGGGAAGAGCTTGTGTCGTATAGTGGTAAGTAACCCAGCAAGGCAAACGAACATTATAGGTGATACTAACAGGAGAAGGACATAACGAAATAATGGTGTCTTCGTCAGTCTCGCTCGCCGTGATGAGATCGTTTGAGCTTGATGCTATAAGCACCTGTTAAGTTCCTTTATGTCGCAATGTCAAATGTTATAGACCTCAATTAATCAGAACAGTAGAATTTTGTATTGATAAAATTCTCTCTCATACGCAAACATCGAGATCCAAGAGCCAAGACTATCTTGTTTTATATACATTTATATATACATCCATCCATATGCGGCCACCTATATGCAATTTAAATGATCTACACTTCATGTAGCATTTTCTTTGTACATGAACCCGGCGTAGTTGAATGCAGGAACAGGTATCAGGTATAATACAGGTACATGTATGTACCTAAAGTACCTAATGTACATAGGAAGGGACATGCAGCTAGAGATTTATAGCGGGGTTAATGTTGCCCCGCACTGTAACCCTGCCATCGATGAGATGCATTTACCTTAGCTCTTAACCTGAACAACAACTTCCAAGCACTTTATCTAGAGCACGCTCCATCCTTCTACTCTCGACCGACAACTTGGCACAGGGCACATAATACACCATGTCCGAAGAATCAAAGCCCGTCAAGGGCAAGGGAAAGGAGAAAGAGAAGGAAAAGGAAAAGGAAAGGGCTGCTAAGAAGATCCATAAAGCTATCGATGGACTCTCCAAGGACCAAGTAACCCAACTTCTCGACCTCAATCCCGCCCTCGCAAACGAACTTGGCAGCGGGAGCAACGACGATGTCAACTCTGCTACCGACGCCCTTAAGCGCCTCAACCTCCAGGATATCATGACGGGGTTGGCTTCTAGTGGAAAAAATGTTAAGGATATGGGCGCCTACAAGTTTTGGGCCACCCAACCTGTCCCCAAATTTGGAGAAGACAACCCTGATCAGCCTATCGAGGAAGGACCTATTAAGATCCAGACCGTCGAAGAGATTCCCAAGACACCTGCACCTCTACTTGACGGCTTCGAATGGTCCACCTTAGACTTACTTGACGAGAGTCAGCTAAAGGAAGTATGGGAACTACTAAATGGTCACTACGTTGAAGATGATGAAGCTATGTTCCGCTTCAATTATTCCGCTAGTATCCTTAAATGGTAAGGCATTTGTACTAAAGCTACCTACCTACACTTATTCTTCCCTTTTTTTGCTCTCGTATTTCCAGCAGCAAAGCATAAATTTGGGAGACTGCTAACTAACCAACTTATGTTTAGGGCCATGATGCCACCTGGATGGAAAAAAGAATGGCACCGAGGAGTTCGGGCCTCACAGTCCAAAAAATTAGTTGCATTCATCGCCGCTATCCCCGTCGAGCTGCGCGTTAGAGACAAGATCTTACATGCCTCCGAGGTCAACTTCCTTTGCATACATAAAAAGCTTCGCTCCAAGCGTCTTGCTCCAGTACTTATCAAGGAGATTACGCGCCTGTGCAATTTGGAAGGTGTCTTCCAAGCCATTTATACCGGAGGTATCGTGCTCCCAAAACCTGTGAGCACCTGTCGATATTACCACCGAGCCATTAATTGGCAGAAACTATACGAAGTCGGATTCAGCCCCTTACCACCAAACAGCAAGCCTCAGTTTCAGATCAGGAAATATGCTGTGCCGGAACGAACTTCAATCAGGGGACTAAGAGAGATGCAAAAGAAAGACGTCGGTGCTGTTCAAGATCTTCTTACTCGGTACTTGGCCAAGTATGAATTGGCCGCCGAGTTTGATAAGCAGGAAGTCGAACACTGGTTACTGCACAACAAGAAAAATGCCCTAGAAGAGCAAGTCGTCTGGACTTATGTCGTCGAGGTAATATTTCTTATCCGCGTAGGATTATGTTTGAGCTAACCGCATCGATAGGATGAACATAAGAAAATCACCGACTTTGTCTCGTTTTATTGTCTCGAGTCCTCGGTCATCGGCCCCTCCAAGCACTCGAGCGTGAGAGCAGCTTACCTCTTCTACTATGCTACCGAAACAGGACTCACTACCCCTGTCGACAGGGAGGCCTTGAAAACTCGTCTTAATGCTCTTGTTTCGGACTCCTTAGTGTTCTGCAAGCAATATCAATTCGACGTCTACAACGCACTCTCGCTCATGGATAACGGCTTGTTCCTGGAAGAACAGAAATTTGGCCCCGGAGACGGCCAGCTCCATTATTATCTTTTTAATTACCGAGCGAATCCGATAGCTGGCGGTGTTGATAAAAGAAACCGCTTAGACACCGAGGCACTAAGTGGCATTGGGTTCGTCAAACACTCCAAGATCGTTAGGTATTATCGCTAACACTATAACAGCAAAACACAAATTTGAGCTTATATGTACTCGGGCGGCCCAGATATCGCTGTCTTTAAGATTATATTGGTAGCATGTGATTCACCTCGGATATCCGGAGATAGAGTTCCTCTATGAAGGGGTCCATTAACTAGATCGATTTATTGCGGCTACTATTATATGGTACTACGCGGAGTTCTCCGTGTCGGATCTGCAGGGACGCCGGACCTCGAAGCTCCAGCTTACATCACACCAGATCGCTTCAGGTCGCTTCAGGTGCCCGTTCTTCGGGAACATTTTTAGAGGGTTGCGGTAATTATTCGCTCGGGTAGATGCATTTCTAAATGATACCTGAAGTACAGCCTGAGAAGGCTTCAACAACTTTGAGCCAATCAGAAGTCTCGTGCCTGTCCCGATATGTTGCTCAATAAATTAGGTTCGGAAATGCCTGTGATGTTGCCATGTATGCAGCCAATTGATGGGATCCTTATCGCTTTATTAAAGTATACATTTTTTTTTTCGTTCGTCCTAGCCATGAAAAGATTTGTCAAGTGTTTTCTAGACGCCACAGATCCCGCTCGTACTCGCCCGCACACGTGGCAGAAGTCGGATGATATTCACCAGCGTTATTAGTGTGTCAGTGTCTCCAGGAACGTCCACGTCTTGCGAGTCAATGCGAATACCGTGAATCAAAGTAGAGGCCCGTGAGTCTGTGGCGTTCCCTGAGTAACATGACTCAAGTTGCCTTAGAGGCTCCCGGGAAGCGGGATATGATCGAGATTCACGTTCTCGAAGGTTACTACTTCTTCCATTGTTAACGACTCGGGATACTAGCGAACACCTATCCGAATATGTGCGAATACATGCTGTTAAAGTGGTACTGTGAGGAGTGCGGAGCAGTATGCTTTTTTCTCTAGATCTTCAGACTATCCTATGCATATCCCATTCACGAGAATAACCCATAGAACATCCCCCAAGGCTATGGGCCTCCCCGAAACAGGTTCTTACGAGCTTAATACATTACCCTTGAAACTTATTTCGAACAAGGACGGGGGCTAACTGATTTATTGCAGTGGTACACAAGCGATGAGGTCAAAGTTGAGGATTGTGAGGAATACGATGAGACGGGCGAGTGCGGTCACAAGGACCTCGTAAGAGAGGAAGAATCTGATGCTGGTGGCCTCTGCGATGACTGTACGCCAAAGGAGGACACGGACTTTTAGGCGAGAGTCTAACCTCAAGGGCGGAACTTTGGGAAAAAGAGACCTTTTATGGTGAGAGTCGGGATCTTGAATGTGAGTGTCTCAGCTCAGACCAGTCCGAGTACTCCCCAAATTATCTTTATCCGTCCCTATTTCAAACCTGCTAACCACCGGTGTTTCCCCAGATGCCCCATACCAGGCGTTGAAAATACCTTCATCCATCCGGATAGGGAAACAGAAAAAAAAGCGTCATCAGCCAAAAATCTCAGGAGTCCTATCATTTGCAGGGGTGTTCGATACCCGGCGTGGTATCTGTGGTCAAATATTTTACAAATTTATTTGATTCGATCGACGGACCCCCCCTTTTCCCCCGGGGTAATAAATCAGATGACTATGGGGACATCTCCATGCTACAATGCTAGGTATATGGTGACCACATTTATATGCATAGCTAAATTTAGGCTCAGTTGGCCCCAGGGGGCCAACTTACGGGTTTCATCGATTGGTTAGCCGCGCGAATGGGACCTGGCCTGGTGTATGAGTGGGTTAGGTAGTTGATGTCGGATGAGTTGGCTTAGGAGTGAGTTTACGCGGATTGAATTTACATACCTAATGCTGGAAAACACGATATTGGAGGCTAGGTGGGATCTTCATAAGGTGGACACACGGTCTTGTATGGCTACAACGGGCGGCAGTTCTGGTCCTTTTAAACCTGATTGTGCACTGCGGTACGCGGCCCGGTGGGCCCCTGATATTTGACATGTTCCAATGCCGCCGTTATATATGGCAATGGGTGTGTGTAATGTATAATATATGTCATTGCTCTTTTCCGGGCAGGATTCTAGGCTGGAATACGAGAAATCTATTCGTGGAATCGTACGGCTGGTGCAACCTATAGCTTTCTTTCCCGTTGACAGTTCTATAATTAGCAGCTTCCCCACAGTCTTCTGGATGTCTCCTGTTATTAATAGGATGGTATTGGAAGGCATATTTTACGGCTTATACATGAGCCTAATAATAATACTCCCAGGTAATTATAATTTACCGATTCTAGAGTTATATACTTTACTAAGGGCGATTACTACTCTCGAAATTGCCTTCTGCGTGTTTAGTCGGTACCTTCTATCTATCTTCAAGGGATGAAATATAGAAGAATAACTTACTACCTCTCTCCTCGTTTCCTGATTTCGCAATTAAGTCCGCCAGGGGCGTCAATCCATATATTTCGTATCGTGATAAAATGATCGTCGAATTGTATAAACCGCCACGCTATAGACCTATCAAGACGAAGCCGTGACTAAAATTATGTCCTCATGAAGTCTGGTTGGCTAAGTCTTTTACATAATTCCTAAGGTGGTAGATATTGGGTCTTTTCAATGTTTTGATTTGTTAATATAAGTTGAGTGTATCTATGTCATGCTAGCGCCCGAGGATAAAATGAGTAAAGTTGCACACATAGGTACGTGCAAGAAGGTTATAGCAACTTTATTAAAGACCTTAAAATGGAGGATATTATACTCTTCTTTCTTACTATCCCTTTCTACCCAAACAGTTCTCGTTCGTTTTACTTTAGATTGTCAACTCATAAAACAACCTCCCTTATTATTTCCTACTAGTTTCGTATTAGCTACTTAAGCAGCGGCTATTAGTCTAAGTTGCTATTATAATTTACGAAGTCCGTATAGTAATAACGATTGGTTGTATAAATGGGTTGAAGCGTGAAGTTCAGGTGGCAAGTAGTAGCGATGTCACTGCGAGAGTAATATATTCTTAAGTACTCCATTGTGTCTTAGAGACTTTTGTGCTACGACGTTCATATTTGAGATTTGATCCTATGTATAAAGGCAATCCAATTGGGCACGAGCGTAATTATAAGTATGGGTATGATCTCCTGTTAGTTATCTTATAAAAGTATTTAGGTTTGATTCACGTTCTGTAGAAATAGAATGCACTGTTGCTACTGAGACTCTTCGAGAAAAAGTATTATAAAAACCCGAGTGTTAAATAGTCCTGCTGTTCTTTTTGGCTAATCACGTTCGTAGAAAGACATCAAGATTAGACCTTTGGAAGAGCTGGCTTACTATTTATACTACATAATCCATAACACTCGTTGGTTCCAAGATATGTTGTAGTTATACATATTCCCTCAGTCCCTTAGGTTAGACGTTACAGTATCTGGGCAGGTATCATATACTGCCTCCCCACCGATATCCGTCACTTATAGGTAATAGGAGCCGACCGAGGGCCGTCACTAGATGTATATGGCGGGGGATGTTGATGATACCATCGTAAGGCTTTGATGATATGATGCGGAGAAAGGTTGAAGCTGGTAGCCAATGAGAGTAGCGTTACAGCACGCAATATGCTTCTATTCTGGAAGTAGACTAGTGAGGGGTTACTCTATCGACTTGGCCTTGCGCCAGGGCGTCGTGGGCTGCGCGGGGCACGTCGAAAACGTAGCCTTCAACGAGAAAACATAAGATAATCAATGAATTGCGACATTTACGAAAGTAGTCTGTAGATTCCCGTTTAGGTCTTGATAGCCATGAGTAGAGCCGGCTATTGGTTAGGCGTGAATACTAAACCATCCTAAACCAATCTATCTATCTTCGATCCATCCACCCAGCTTAGCCAGCCGCATGTGAACAGTATCCCGAGCGAACGGACTACTAATTGGAGCTCCAAGTGGTGATTATATAGCTGACGTCGTGCGCTAGCCCGGTATCGAGTCAGCCCTCCCTCCTTTTCACCATCTCCTCTTCTTTCTTTATACTTCTGACTCGTGATACCCATCCTCACCAGATACCCAATCGCATTTTCCTCTAAATCTTTACACTAGACTCCTACTAATCGCAATGGCCGACCCCCGAGCTGCACCGTAAGTTTCCTGGAATTTTTATGCTGAGCTTTTAAGCTGTCCATCCGGCTCACACGTTGATACAGCCTCCGTCTGGGCTCTATCGCCCCTAACTTCCAGGCCGAGACTACTCAAGGTCCCATCGACTTCCACGAGTTCGTTGGCGACAACTGGGTTGTTTTCTTCTCTCACCCGGAAGACTTCACTCCCGTCTGTACCACCGAGCTCGGCGCCTTTGCCAAGCTCGAACCCGAGTTCACCAAGCGAGGCGTTAAGCTGATCGGTCTATCCGCCAACACTCGTGGCAGCCACGAGAGCTGGATCAAGGACATTGACGAGGTCACGGGCGGCCATGTCGCATTCCCCATCATTGCGGACAAGGACCGTAAAGTTGCTTACCTCTACGACATGTAAGTTGTGATCTGCTCTGCCCTGAATCTCGACACGAATTCTGACAGGTCCACCCACGCCTTAGGCTTGACTACCAAGACACTACCAACGTCGACGAGAAGGGCATTGCCTTTACTATCCGCTCCGTCTTCATCATCGACCCCAAGAAGACCATCCGAACCATCCTTTCTTACCCCGCTTCTACTGGCCGCAACTCGGCTGAGGTTCTGCGAATTGTCGACTCTCTCCAGACCGGAGACAAGCACAAGATCACTACCCCCATCAACTGGGTCCCTGGTGACGACGTCATCGTTCACCCTAGCGTCAAGAACGAGCAGGCCAAGGAGTTATTCCCCGACTTCCGTATCGTTAAGCCGTACTTGAGATTCACCCCTCTTCCTAAGGAGAAGGCTACTGTTTCGTAAACGGCTAAAACTCTAGGATGAGAAGACATAGCTGTGGTTTAGGCGAAATGGATACAACGTATCCAGACTCACTCGACACTTCTGCTTTGTTATGAAAACATTGTACTGGAAGGAAGTATGTCTTACTCCGTGACTTTCACACTAGAAATAATGAAAAATTAGTAAAAATAGCTATTCCCCAAGTTTTATTTTAGTGCCAAGTGCTATCATGGCTAGAACTAGTGAATGTAATCGTCCCACATTACCAAGTAAGCCTGAGTCCGCCTAAAACTAGCTAACTAGCCTCCTGTCTTGGTCCTACTTAGAGTAGTGACACTGGGATGCTCATGTTGAGTGAAGGGTAGCTTTATCTACAATGTAAAAGCATGTAAAAGGCTAACCTAGAAGCTGTTTTTGACTTGATATGTCAACTGTGACTTGATTATTGCGGATTATATGTATGAAAAAAAAAAAGCGTGTATGCCTTATCGGGAACAGGGTAGCCCTTATTGATTCCTGGTCGGCAGATTTCTAAAGTTATACCCTTATAAATAACTAAGGACTATGATAGGTGCTTATATTAACCATAGCTAACCAAGTAAGAACTACAAGTTAAATGCACCCCTTTTTCTTACCGCAGAGATCTCGAAATATTAGCTACTGTTAATATATATACATATCCGGGCCGAGATAGTTAATCTCCAATCCTTAGGTGAGATTTGTAGCTTATATCGTAGACCCTGAAAAAACGTGGCATTTGAGCTTACTATGTATTGTACATAAGTACGCGCCAACTCGAATAGGTATCATTTTTGTTTAAAATAGTAGTATGTTAACATACGTAGTTAGTGCATTTATAAATTAAACGAAAATGAAAATACGATATTCAAATAAAGCTTCATGCGAGAACATCAGATATAATGGAACTTACCGTAGATTCGTATATGCATATGTACCTACATCTATCAGGTATTGTGGGTATAGTACCTTACAGGTGTTCTTCCCTACGCTCCAATGGGAAGATTGGCGTAGAATAAGCGTAACGAATAACTCGGTGAGCTTACCTACCCGATACGTGCTAGTCAACCTCGGATTAGTCTTCTTAGCGTGGCTTCAGGGCGTCTAAAGGACTCGCCTCCACTTTTAGTATTTTTACTTAATTCCCATTGCTCAAATACCATGCATAGAGCAACGTAAAAGGAGGTGGGGTTAGGAAATAAAAGAAATAAAATGGAATAAATTCGTTAGTCAATCGATTAATCCATCGATGCGGGCTGCGCAGCCTTAATTCCTCCGCGCGTAGGAGTTGGACCATGACTCCCGCAAACCTCAAACTGGCCTCCACCCCCTTTTTTTTTTTTTTTCCCCTTACACCCCTTACAAACAGGCACCACCGCTAATCGGCAAGAATACGGGAAAGTCTGTGCAATTAGAGATATCCTTTCAGATCTTCGGAGCGCTCGGATAAACGAACCTATAGAAAGCCTATAGTAAAAGGAAATAAAAGACCGCGGGACTCGGAAGAAAGCGCGCGGCATACGTACATACATACAGACGGAGCCAGGGTTCAGAAGACAGGGAAGACGCCCAGGCATCGTGTCGACCGAGCATTTAAGATTGTCAATTACGACGTCGATTTTTAAGACCTCATTTTGTTTACCCAAGGACCCAAGGTATGTTGTCATCGAACATTCGGTCAAGTGCTTGTCGTCTGTTCCCTTACCGTCTCGAACACGATCTCCCATGTTCATCAAGCTCTCGTGGCACCCCTGGCTCGGAGCCGCCTCGTGGTCTTTCGTTAGCCTTAGCCTTAGCCTTACCATCGTCGCGTCTTCCCAAGACCGGCCGAAGAAATATCCCCTGTTATCTTAATCCTAGTGCCGCATCTCCTAATAATACTTTTCCGGTTCTACTCCTAGCTACCCTGGTATCGTATTAGAGTAGTACTCATACCCGGGTTTCTGGCACCTTTTTATTTTTGAGGCTCTGTTCCTCGTCTTCTAGATCTCTTCTTCAGCCCTGAACATCGCCGTGTACTCGCGGCTAAGAGGGAGGGGCTAAAAATGTCTACGTCTGGTGCTAGTCTAACTACGGGTCAACCAGACCGTCAAGCTAGTCCGCAATTCTTCGACGATATCTACGAGAGCGAAGTAGATGACCACGACCGTCGACACCCTCACTCGAAATCCCCATCCGATCTCTTCTCCGACGTCTATCGAGGTCTCAAAAAGGCTATTCCTAGCCGAGAAGATTCTTCAAGATTTGCGAGGAGGCCCTCGAGACTGGCCTCTCTCAGAACGCGCAACGCGAGTCCTGTGGCGTCGGAATCTAGCGGGACACCCGTTCAAACGCGACCGCCACCTTTGCAACATGTTAGGAATCTGAGTCTGCAAAATAGCCTCGAGAAACCGCTTCCAGCGCCGCCGCCATCTTCACCGTCCCCCTCGAGTCCCGCACCTCCTGCGATCTCGTTTAGTGCTCCGCAAGATAACTTGACTACTATAGCTGAGAGTAATATTGCCGAAGACGCAAACGTAGATAGTGGAGCGAACGCTATGGATTCCAACGGTTCGATGTTCCCAAACCAGATGTATAATGGTGGCATGGATATGAGCAGCAGCCAGAGCAGTATAGCCAGTTTGAGATCTGATGGTGGGGATGGCCAGAGGGATAACCTGACACCCCGAAGTAATGGACCTCACTCAGCTGGCCCCTCTCCGCCGGTGGCCTCTACGGGTAGAAACCCTTCTGTTAGTGCCGCTGTCGGTACTCCCGCGACTTCAGGGTCTTCCGCTCACCTGTCTGGGCTGATGTGTAATGTTCACCGAACTACTGGCCAAGAGCCTCACCCTCTAGTCGGGGCAACGACTACGATACTTGGGGATAAGCTATATGTTTTTGGCGGGCGGATTCTGTCGCGAAGTCGGCCAGCTCCCCTTACCTCGGATCTTTATGAGTTGGATCTTATTCGGAGACACTGGACCAAGATTGAGACCACTGGAGATATCCCTCCACCTCGTTATTTCCATTCCATGTGTGCTCTGGGCGATACTAAGATGGTTTGTTACGGGGGTATGTCACCTACAACCAATCAACCTGCGTCGGCAGCCCCCGATCAGCAACCTGAAGTAACCGTCATGTCTGATATATACATCTACGACGTTATAACAAATAAGTGGACTTATGTTCCCTCCCAGGACGCCCCGCAAGGCCGTTACGCTCACTGCGCGTGTATTCTACCCTCTTCCGCGACATTTTCGTCGCACAGGGCCCCTCTATCTGCTTTGCAACATAATCCCTCGAACGGGAACCCGAACGAAGGTAGAATTGGCATTAACATCGACGGTGCTGGAGGCGCCGAGATGGTTGTAGTTGGCGGCCAGGATGGAGCGAACCATTACATTGAACAGATTAGTGTGTTCAATCTCCGAAGTCTAAAGTGGACTTCGACCCAATCGCTAGGGAAGTCCTGTGGTGCCTATCGCAGTGTGGTCGCCCCCTTACCTCCTAACGTTACCGCCAAGATAGGCAAGACTTCACGTCAAGATAGTGCGATCAGCCATGAAGTTAAGGAACCAGGTTCATCAATGCTCATCTACTCGAACTACAACTTTCTAGATGTAAAACTAGAACTTCAAATTCGAGGCCCGGATGGGTCACTCGCTGAAAAACCGATGTCGGGAACTTATTCCCCGCCTGGGTTACGATTTCCAAACGGCGGAGTTATTGATACGTACTTTGTTGTCAGCGGCACCTATCTCACAAGTTCCAAGCAAGAATACGCCTTGTGGGCTTTAGATCTTAGAAATCTTACCTGGGTACGTATTGATACGGGCGGTAGTGTCTTCAGCCAGGGTAGTTGGAACAGAGGTGTTCTCTGGAATAGGCGGAATATTTTTGTAATCCTGGGCAATCGTAAGAGGAGCTTGGTCGACGATTATAATCACCGTCGTATCAATTTCTCTAATGTTTGTATGGTGGAGCTGGAAGCTTTTGGCTTTTACGACAACCCCCGTAAGATATCGCCTCTGTCGGGATTTATATCCGCCAGCAGTCCTTTTACAGCCCCTGATCTCAGTACGGCTAGGAAAGCTGGCTGGACCGGCGGTGGGAGATCACATATGCGGGCGGCTGAGGAGTTGGGTGAAAAAGCTTTAATGCTCCGGGAGTTGGCAGACATGGATATCCTTTGTTTCCATGGCGAGCGAATACCTATTAATTCCCGCATCGTTGCGCGCAGATGGGGTCCGTACTTTGTGCAATTGTTGCGCGAAGGTGCTGCTACACAGGACGGTAGCGATTCAGCAACCCTAAGAACAGGCATGTCGGGGCAAGCGGGCGCGCGTAATTCTGTCATAACAATTACTCAGTCAACTAGGAGCACCGGCGGCGACAGCAATCTATCGATGGCTACTACGCTAAACAATTCCTCTGCTGGATCTTTCAGACCAAATGCGACTGGTGGCGGTGGTGGCTCAACAGATCTTGGGCACGTTAATTCAGCGCCAACTCCCGCGTCATTACCGCCTGGTTCTCGACCGAGATGCCTTTACCTTCCACATACTTGCCCAACTGTCCAAGCTCTCCTGCACTTCCTTTATACGTCGGCACTACCTCCCCCATCATCACCCCTTTGCACGCCTCAAATTCTCTGCTCGTTACTGCAGATTGCCCGGCCTTACAAGGTAGACGGGCTATTGGAGGCTGTAGTCGAACGTCTTCATGCCCGTCTTGATTCACGTAATGCCGCCGCCGTGTTCAATGCTACTGCTATGGCAGCTGGCGGAGGCCGCGGAATCGATGGTAGCATGAATCCCAACTTCTATATGGGTCTCGAGTCGTCTCTAGGGGGCGGTGCCGTTAGCCCTTACCATGGCCGGTCAATGTCTGTATCACAGTCGAGCACCGACGAAGCAGCGGGGGGGCTCGAAGGTCTCCGGATCAATACCAGTGTATCTGGGTCCAGGCCGGATCCCGATGAACTGAGCGCAACAACAAGCGTGTCGGGTAGCGAGTGGAGTGAGCTTGGCGACAGTGAGCATGGTGCTGTTAGAGAAGTCTGGAGCGGGGAATTAAGCAGCGTGATTGGGTTGCAGAAACGGGGGTTGAGAGGGTTGATGGAGGGACGACGAATGAGAGCAACTGTCGACCGCGAACGAGACGGAGGGCGAACGGAGAGACTCGGCTCGAGGGTGGGCTTAGGGATTGCAGGATCTTAGGAGGGATCAGCTGGACCACACTGGATCATAGAAGGAATATCACTCATAAGCATAGTTCGGGCATGAGACACGGTATCATTGGTTGGATAGGAGTTAGGTTTGGCAGGGCGCATTGTGTGTATATGTGTGTGTGTGTGAATAATACTCGAGTTACATAGCGGGGGGATTTACATGTGTAGTTAAGATACCAACATCGCTTGCACTACGAAGAGGATCCAACTGCTTGCACATTATACAAGAAAGCCGCAATGCTATTTCTATATAGGTATATATATTAGAGAGAAACGATTTTCCTATGTAGATAATACATTTTGGGATATTGTAATGGAAATATTTGATAAATATACCTACCTAATATAAGTGAAAGCAATATTAACGTTTCTTATCTACCCTCATGTATGTGTCCTTAATATTAATATAATCGATATTACCCAGGTGCAGAGGTACATGCACATGTAAACTGTAAAAGATAAAATGGTAATGGTAGAATGGTCTAGGCGGTGTGGGGTCCAACCGGGAGCTAACCTCGGAGAGGCGCCAAGATTTAGGGCAACGTCATCGAGGCTACTGTAACAGAATATAGTTCGTGTAACGGAACTATCTACTTATTTGCTTATGTACCAAAGAGACACTAAATAATTGTTTCACGCACGGCTCATAACAATGCGTTTTTAAACGTTTCAACTATTTTAGTATTCAACCTTCGTCAGCTGGCTCTTTTGTGAGTCCAACATGATGCATTGCTTTGTCATACGTCCGAGGAGAACTAGACAATGCTTCCGCGACCCAACTTGAGCTTCACGCTCCCTAGCATCCACGATAATACCAAACTCGACTGTCGCATCTACCATCCGGTACGCTCTAACCAACCGCTTACACCCTCCGATCCATCATGGCCTCGGCATGCTGCTGTGGTCGCTCACCCATACGCACCACTCGGCGGATCCTACGACGACCCTATTGTACTTCTCGTGACTAGCACACTACTTCATCTCGGCTTTGTAGTCGCGACATTCAATTTCAGGTTCGTTATCATTTTCGCCCTTAATTGTTGGCGTGTTTCTATACGTGTAATCATGAAACTAATTATTATGCTAAAAAAAATAGGGGCGCCTCGTCCTCTAAAGGTCGCACGTCGTGGACATCAAAGCCTGAACGAGCCGATTATATGTCCGTCGCCGGTTTTCTCGTTTATTACCTGCATTATTTGGGTACTCCCCAGAACCAACTGCGCCCTATCGAAGCAGAAGAGAACTCAGCTCCAACTTTGTTACTTGCTGGATATTCGTACGGTGCCATGGTGACGCTCCAACTCCCCCCTCTCGATTCTTACCTGTCTCATTTCGCCTCGCCTGCCACACACACCGCCTTCGCAGACATTCGACTACGAGCACAACACCTTGCCGAAGAGCAGGTGACTATGTTCACTACTCCCGCCTCACCGAGAAAGTCGCTGGGCATGCGTGTCGGTGGTGATGAGGATATATCACCAAAAGCTCGTGATAAACAAAGAGGACATTCCCCAGACCCGGAAGAGAAGATACGGAGAGGCGTCAGGGACATATTATCTCGGAGTAAGTTTATACATAGGAGACGTAACACCCCACCCACCGATCAGGATACGGGAGGCGATATTGAAGTTCCATGTTTGGAACATGTCAACAACTTAATCAGGTTTCGTACTGCCTATCTGTTAGTGTCACCTCCTCTAGGCTTCGTTACGAATCTGGCAACTATGTCCTTTTCAAATCTCTGGGCGAAGAAGAAAGGTGGGCCTGCCAAAACCCACGAGGACAACACGAAGCGGGAAGAGAGTGAGGTTGAGGCCGAGGCAAAGCTTGCCGCAAACCCCACTCTTGCTATATATGGAGACCAAGATAGTTTTCTATCTATGAAGAAAATGCGTGATTGGGCTACGCAGCTAAGCGGTGCTGAAGGATCTCAGTTTCGCTACGTAGAGGTTTCAACCGCCGGACATTTCTGGATAGAACACGGCGTTGCAAATGTGCTTAGGGAGGCTGTTTATTCCTTTTCAGCTAGACTTGTAAAGCGTTGATGCCTGTCAGATGTCTGGAAGAAGACATGGATCTATTACTTCCGAGGTCTAGACGTAGGGCCTTAAATTTACCAGGGCTATAATATCGCTTGGGATGGATATTAGACACGATTCTATTCTTGGTCGTATAACTAGGCATTCTTCGAAGTCAAATTCTCGATGCATTAATTCTTGTAAGATTTGTAAGACTTGTAATACTTGTGGCTTATAAAAGAACCAAGTCTAGATCGAGTCTTGTGGTTTTTATGTAATTTGCTTACATTTACATAGAATGTGTTTGGTTTAGTGTTTGGTTTATGTACAATGTACAACTCAACCCCACATATTGTTCCTCTTCTCAAAAACACTTCCCCGTATTCTATACTATACCCCTCATGTACCCCACAATAGACTTAGCATAGTAAACGCGGATTTCCATTATTTAGGGTCATGACCCCCTGTCCTATGACCCACCTGGTGTTAATGTTTATTGTTCACATGGTTGGAGTCCCGCATATGTACATACACAGTAGTTCCGCATTTTCTGACGTCTTTCCCATCTATTTGTCCAGCAGGTTCTTCGTTCTACAAAGTCACACTTTCACCTCCCTTCCCGTAGCTCTAAAGTACCTGGTTACATCTTTCTCATTATACTAACTATAGCTTCTATTCAAGGACAAAGGTTGAATAATACGCTAAGGTTACTTAATCAATCTTATACATATTCTCCGAATTTCCATTTCATTTCCTCATGTAGTATTTTCTCGTTTTACCTCAACCGATATACTACCTCCGACCAACCCGTGCCGACGGCGATTCAGATTATCCGGGAGCTGGCCACGTCCTCCGAACTGACGAGTACTTCGGGCGTGTATATATATGGGACGGGTTAGAATGCAACGCTCTCCCGTCACTCACATCGAAGCGACACTGCCGCCTCTTGTACCATCATGGGACACCTCGTAGACGTTTTCTCACCCGTCCCTTCGCTCCAACCATCCGGTGTTAAACCCGCGCGGAAGGGCAAGGGACAGACTAGCGGGTCGTTCCCCAATACGACCCCCTTATATAAGGTCATAGATGGTTTCTTATACCTCAAAGATGGCTTAACACATAAAGAAAGAGCGGAATGGAGACGGGTGGAAGAGCGGAAACAAATTCTATCGGCGCGGTTACAGGGTGCTGAATCTTATAGTGAATGGGAGGCAGCAGCGCAAGAACTAGATGTCCTCGAAGGTAATGAAGAATGGAAGGCCGATGTTTCAACTGGGGACTATAACCCCGATCTTCTAGAAATGCGCCTACGAGAACTCGATAATGCCCGCACTAATCGTGATATAAAATCCATGATGCATATCGTCAGAACATCCCTCTCGCGCGATCTGGGCGGCATGGGCAATATTGACCTATACCGTCACTCCTACTGTGGCACTAAGAAGTTGGTTTCGCGATACGTCGATTCTGCCTTGCAAACTATTACAGCTCTGGTAGAGCAGAGTGCGTATCGCCGAGCGGACGACCCGGGTCCGAAGGATCTGCTGGACGCGGTACTTTACGCGCGCCAAAGCTTTGGACGGAGCGCCCTCCTACTTAGCGGCGGTGGCACTTTCGGTATGACGCATATTGGCGTCTTGAAAGCCATGTATGAGACAAAATTGCTTCCGCGTATTATCTCAGGCGCGTCGGCGGGTTCAATTGTCTGCTCTGTGGTTTGTTCAAGGACAGACGACGAGATTCCCCAACTGTTAGTAGAGTTCCCGTATGGTGATCTAGCCGTATTCGAAGAGGAGGGTAACGAAGAAGGTCTCTTGGGTCACCTACGAAGACTGCTTACCGAGGGGAATTGGTCCGATATCAAGCATCTAACACGCGTAATGCGCAACTTACTTGGCGACATCACTTTTCAGGAAGCGTATAATCGTACAAGGAGGATATGCAACATCTGTGTCTCATCAGCATCTATTTACGAGCTACCACGGTTATTGAACTACGTCACGGCACCTAACGTGATGATATGGTCTGCTGTCGCAGCATCATGCTCAGTGCCATTCGTTTTCAGTGCTGCGCCGTTGTTAGTCAAGAACCCTTTAACAGGCGAACACAGTACGTGGAATCCTACTCCACAGATGTGGATTGATGGCTCTGTCGATAATGACCTCCCTATGACGAGACTTGCTGAAATGTTCAACGTCAACCATTTCATTGTGTCGCAGGTCAATCCGCATGTTGTTCCTTTCCTTACCAAGGACGAGGGGCCGGCGAGTGCACGTTACGAGACGATCTTCAAGGAGGAATCGGATTGGATGCACACAATTACGACTCTAGCCAAGAGCGAAGCCTTGCATCGAATGCAGTTTATGGCCGAAATCGGTATCTTCCCAACGCTCGTCAGCAAATTGCGGTCTATCCTAAGCCAGAAATACTCGGGTGATATCAATATTCTCCCGGCCATGGGCGTTTGGGACTTGCCTAAGGTGCTGAAGAATCCGACGACCGAGTTCATGCACCGCTCGTGCTTATTAGGCGAACGTGCGACCTGGCCTAAATTGGCTCGCATCCGGGATCGGTGCGCCATCGAACTGGCTCTAGATCGTGCAGTTCACGCATTGCGGGCTCGTGTTGTATTTAGCGAGAGCCAAGTTGACTTAAGAAGGATGGCTACCGGATCTCTAGCGAATACGTACGGGGGGACATATGAGCATCTAACACCGAGTTCTAACCATATCGGGTTCCCTTCTACGAAGGAGAAACTAAAGCATAACCGGCGCCGGTCAAGTGGAAGTAATTTACTCAATCCGTATCACCACGTCCATACGAGTGAAAATCCGTATAAAATAACGGATGACGAATCAGATGAAGAGGAACGTCTTGAGATGGCATTGCGTTATACTGGCCCGAAACCGAAAATCAAGCTTAAGCGATTTCCAAAATACCACATATTCCAGACGGGGCCTAAAACTAGTCCCGTCTTATCTTCCACCTCGGATCCAGATTGTTTTGATTTCTCTCAGCCTATAACCCCAACCGGAGCCAGAAACACCAATGCGCCAAATTCGAAAAAGTCCACGCTTTCGGCGATGGTCACGGCATCTCCCGATGACGATGTCTATGATCTAGCCGTTGCTGAAACGGCTTCCATGACTTCACCACAGCAGAATCCTCACCACGACGCTGAACTTGAAACTAGTGACTTGCACACCTCAGACGGTGACGTTGATAGCCACACAGATGAGGATGTGAGGATACATCACAGTCGAGCCTTAAACACACCATTCCGCATAAAAACGTCTATCAGTGACTACTTTAATATCAGCCATGCGTAACTTTAAACCTCAACATTAGGGATGTGCAACTTGTCAACTAAGGCGGAGATTACCAGATGAAACATAGGTTATAACAACACACAAGGCTCGGTCGTAGCCTCTGGGGTCATTCTGGTCTGTGGTAGATAGGCAATTAATTAAGTTGCAAAGACTGGAGGGAGGAAAGCTGGAATAGTGTGCTTAACAATATATGTCACAAAACATTATACAAGACAAGTATGCTTGTTAACCGACTAGACTACATAGTATTATAGTATTGTTGCGGGAAGTTAATAACACCATCCAAAATTATATATTTTAAACTCAGGATATGTTAGTGCTCATAGTAGCCCAGATATATGGAAATTGACCACGACTTTCTCCCCTTACAAATATATAGATCTTTTAAACACATGTGTAGTAGTCCAGCTCCTTGCCGACTACTCATATTTCTAGTGGCGGAAATCTTCGTCACGGGCATATACAACGGCATCGCTTCCCTTTGCCGCACACGTATCATGTTATATCATAGAATCCCCATCGATTCGCTAGAACTCGTCGTCGAGTCCCGGAGGCCGCCCGGACATATCCTCGGTACCGGTAAAGCCCATCCAAGGGTTGAAAATCAACCCCGCATCTTCCTGTCCCGCATCGAGAGACAGCCCAGGAGATGGTAGCTGCCCATTCCCTGCCGTGTTCCATTGCTGCGCTTTGGCAGCAGATGTGGGGTCCTCGCTGCTTTGGCCGTAGACGTGGGTTGTCTGGGCGGTAGCTTGGAGGGTATGGGTCTCGGGTGGGGGCGTCGGGCCTGCGATATCGTGGCTGTCGTCGACGAAATCTGATTGGAGAAGTAGGCTTTGGACGGAGAGCCGCTGGCGCGAACTGGCGTACTGGGAGACTTTTGTTGAGGGGCGTGCTGAGGGTGGGGGGTCGGGTTCGGAGGGCGTTCCTTGCGTCTGTAGGGCGAGGCGTACGGAGTAGCTTGCTATTAAGCGTTCTAAGTCCTTTCGCTAGGAGGTCTTAGTAATTGCGTCCGGAGTTAGCTAATTGGGGGAGGTGGATAGTAACTTACTAGGGGTTGTGTCGAAGCAGAATAGGGGAAGAACCTCGTGATCAGACTGAGTGATAGCTTGGCTTTGTTTATCGCAACATCGAGACTCGACGCCGCTCCCGGTATTCGCGAGCCAAACATAACCAGGCGCGCGCTCTCAAACGCGCAGACGGCAGCATCGCGCTCGAGAAGACACTCCCCGTCCTCATAGTTTGAGAAATCGGACACGATCCGGATGATGTTCTCGGCGTGCTCGAGACACTTGAACTGCATGGCGACTCGGTCCCGCGGGTGGAGCACTGCTAGGACCGGAGATGGGGCCGCTTCGCTGTACCCGTCTAGACAGAGGCGGTACAAGTCGCAGTGGCATTGGTGCCAGGACATGTGCAGCATGATGAATTGGGCTGGCCATTTGCTGCATGTCATGTTGGATACCGAGTATTGATCGACTGGCCGGAGAGTCGCTTTAAGCGATCGAAGTTCTTCTTCGATGCGTCGGATGCTAGAGCTAATTGTTGAGGATAGTTCCTCGCCTAGTCCGACGCGGCGGTTGAACCTGTGCAGCGTTGTATAAGTGAGTTCGAGATGTCTCTAAAGGGGGTAAGAAAAGGAGTCTTTGTATGTAAGACTTATAAGACTGGGTGGGTGTAAGTTTACCTCATAACCGCCCGTCGAACAGATGTTAAACGGAGAAATACGCCGCGTAAACCCACAGTCACTAAAGACTCCGAGGGCCCGGGCCGGAGCAAGCCGGTATGTACGAATCGGCCCATCTCAAAGTAATCCTCATCGCAGGGCAGCTGGAGGTGGATCGTCTCTTCCGGACATAATTCGAACTCTCTAAGCCCCACGCAGAAGAAGTCATCGAGTAGATATAATGCCCAGAAGAGCCGCCTACGCGCTTCTTGCGCGACGTCAGATAGCTCCGGGCGCTCGTAGTTCAGACGGAGGGCTAACGCCGTTCGCGCTGCGAGCGCAGCTAACATGAATGCTGTTGGGAAATCCCCGCTTTCGATCTTATACCGGATCACGAGGAGTAGTGCTTGTAGGTGGAAGATAGAGGCCCGGCCTATTTGCTGTAGGATCGACTGCTCGGCTTGTTGGATCCATAGATCGTGGCAGAGCGAAGTGCGTTGGAGCTGTAACGCTGTAATAGCGCATATTGATAGCTTCAGGGTTTCGTTTATCGTCTGGTCCTTGCACCTTTGAAGGACAGTCGCCTTGTGAAAGAAAGAAAACGACGGCAGCGGATATAAATGCCGGAAGTAGTCCTCGACTAAACCTAGCGTCGTCTCATAATCCAGCGCAGACCCTTCCGCCTGGCCTACCATCCCGATGTCCTGACCGGGAGATGCATGCGCCGGTCTATCGTCGGTCCCCGAACCTTCGGCTGCGTCGGGGCCGCGAGCAATGATCCCGGCTCTCCTAGTCCGGGGATAGGTACAGACGCGGTTTCTGCGGACACAACTGGAGCAGCTCGGGAGTTCCCCGAGACATCGGGTTTTCTTGGAGTGGCACGGGATGCACGCCTGCATACGCCGCCGCCGCTCCGGCAGCTTCACCACGTATTGGCCCGGCGCCTTGCCGGGGGACTGCTGGAATGAGCATTCGAAGCCTAGCCGATCGCAGTTTTGGCAGAGGTTTGGTCTACCGTCACATCGGACCTAACAGGATTAGAATAAATAGGCATATTATATATTCCTACCTCCTTTAAGTGGCTCTATCGGGTTGATTTCTTTGAAAATCATGAAATGGATACCGGACTGAGACAGCCATTACTTACCTTTCTTATTCTGCACTGAGAGCAAATTGCTCGCTTCGTCAGCGGATCCGGTACGGATACGGGGTTAAGTGTCGGCCCTGGCCCGAGCTGCGGACTCTGCGGATCGTGAGCATCGCTGGAAACCTGTGCCTGCAAAGGTCGCAGAGGCCGCAGAGCCTCGGTCATTGGTGGCAACGAATCCTGCGGCTAGGTATTTATTATCCTTATTCGTTCATTGGATACCCTTTAATATAGCTTATCGGGTCGTCGTTGGTAATGCCTTTCTTTTTTTAATGACTTGTCGGTCTTGTTATCAAAGGTTCCTCGAATCCAAGGGGTTGATGGGGGTTAACATACCCAATCATCAGTAAGACAGACCGACAGAGCCGAGTACCGTAAGCAAGACGCAATGCGTTCCACCCTGCTGCAACCACACGACGGGTCGAGTCGGGGGGTTCATCTAATTAAATAAAACGCTACACCAGGGTTCCTTGCGCGGGGGATCGAGAGTATTTGCGGGGGTATCCAATAGGAACTGAGGGTATCTTTGCTTGCACAGCTACATACTCCATACTCGACTAGCTATTCTCTATATTCATACCGATACAGAATCATTATACCGACCCAACCCCTCGGAACGACAACGTTATACTATAAGATATATCGTGCCCTCTTCCCCTTTTGCTTGCTTTCTCCCCTGACTTAAAGGACCGTCCGGAACTTCACTTTACGATCAGCCTTGCAGGATCATGCCCCGTCGTGTCAAGCGAGCGAAACACAGACACGCAATTGGCCGAGGGCACAGGGGTTCGAGCTCGCAATTCTTAGCGCGAATGACACCAAGAATCCCTCTGTCCCTACAGTACGACAGCTTGTTAGCTGACATCTGACAGGCGAATGCTTACACGCGATTATTTTTTATTGCCCAGCATTTATGTGTGTACTTATTTGACGTTACCAAATAGGGACGGCATGGATCCCTACCTATTATGTGACTTGCTAGCGACCGTTTACTTACCTGTCTGAATAGTAGCTCTGAACACTGGTTGTTATAAAGAAACATACGGGTGTAGACTGATGTGTTTCTACGTATATAAGAAATATATCAAGCCATCGTATGCCTTTATTTATTGTTGCTTAGTTGATACCCAAAAAGCACTTATGAAGTTTTCATCTTTTTAGTTTTGCACTTTAGCCAATAGCCAACCTCATGTCGAAGTTGGGACGGTACTAGTCCTCCACCAGCCGTTGTTATATTCGAACAAGTTCGACAAATATACGAATAAGCTTTGCATCAAAAAGATTCGATATCATGGGGGAGAAACTGGGTACCTTCAGGGCCTGGTATCTAGTTGCTCTATGCTGTATTGGCAGCTTCTTGTTCGCGTATGTTCCCCCCTTCTATTTTAGGTACTTTAGGTACACATCCAATTCTCGTCGAGGACAATTCTTTATATATTAGAACCGCCACTCTAAAAGTTTCCGCGCTCGATTATTCATCTTCTCTTCATTTTATGTGCAACTTCTTACCCTAAGTCCATAGATACGATACGGGTGTCGTCGGAGGCGTTCTCACGCTGCCCTCTTTCCAAAATGACTTCCGCATCAACACATCTAATTCTTCAAGCGTCGGCTCCAATGCAACAAGCCTCTTACAGGCCGGAGGTAGGTTAATACAAGTTGCGCCTTTCGTAAGAGAGAGGGAAGATATGGCTAATCATCGACTAATTAGCTTTCTTCTCCTGCTTCTTCGTATGGCCATTCACAGCTCGATTTGGCCGTCGGTGGTCGATTGCGCTGGCCTCGCTCATCTTCAACATTGGAGGTATCATCCAGGTCATTAATACTCACTCGTTAGCTGCCTTCTATGTCGCTCGTGTTATTTCGGGGATAGGGGTTGGGATGGCTACCGTCATCATTCCGAGTAAGCAATATGCCCTTTCTTGTCCCTCTTTTCATGATATACTCCTCTTCTGCCGGGTAAAGTCTGCTTTGAAATATTTACGTACGATTCACCAGTTGCTAACTCTGGCATTATAGTGTATAGCGCGGAGATGGCGCCAAAGAATATCAGGGGTCAACTAGGAAGCATGTTTCAATTCTTCTTCACCCTCGGCGTAATGACATCGTACTGGGTCGACTACGGTGTGTCACAACACTTAGGTCCAACGACACAACAGTGGCAGATTCCTATTGGTCTCCAGGTCAGTATCCAATTCGTAGTTACTTCTCTCCAGTCATTTGCCTCGCTGACCCAGCTCTGTAATAGCTTGTTCCCGGTGGTATACTGGGGCTAGGAATGTTACTCACGAAAGAGAGTACCCGATGGCTCGCAAAGTCAGGCCGAACGGAAGAGGCTGTGCAGTCGCTCATATGGGTTCGCGGCGGCGATAGTGTTAAAGTACAAGAAGAGTATGACAAAAGATCAAATGCGCTTTTTCCGGCAACTAATATCTAGCGACAGATTCGCGGAAATTATCGAGGGTATCCGAGAAGAAGAACGTGTCACTGAGGGGCTCACTTGGAAAGAGTACCTCCTACCAGTGAATCGCTTCCGTTTCCTCATCGTTATAACGCTCCAAATAGGTATACGCGGGTTTATATCTACCGTTGGTCAACTATCTCTTACTAACATGAAGTATAGGCGTACAATTGACCGGAAATACCAGTCTGGCTTACTGTAGGTTCATATCATTGACTCCCCTTAGAGCCCGATTATAGGCTAACTCCTTGAAGATGCTCCACAGATATTCAAAGCAGTTGGCGCCGGTGACCAGAGTCTCCTAATCAGCGGTTTCTTCGGCGTAGTCAAAGTTGTCTCGTGTTTATTCTTCCTACTGTTCCTCGTCGAAAGGATTGGCCGTCGCGGCTCACTTCTTGGTGGATCATTCCTGATGGGGGCTTATATGCTCATCATCGCTTGCTTAACAGCTACTCATCCGCCAGTTGCGAACCAATCTCTGACTAGTACTGGTGCTGCAGCAGTAGCCATGGTTTATCTTGAAGCCAGTTAGTAACCCCTATCGGAGTTTGTAGTACACCTTTGGATCATCTGCTAATTATTTTCTGTTCATAGTGAGTTATAATATATCATGGGGACCGGTTCCTTGGGTTAGTAATCCTGTCGCCGCTATTTACATTTACCATAAGCTCATTCGTACCCCTTTTTAGCTCTACATGAGTGAAATATTTCCTTCCCGGGTACGAGAAGCGGGCGTGGCAGGTAACTCACACTTATTTCTTCGTTGGTATTGTTATTAGTACTGACATTTACCAGTCGGCACGGCCACCCAGTGGCTGTTCAACTTTGTCTTCTCTCAGGTCACTCCACATGCTATAGACAATATCGGTTGGAGGACCTTTCTGATGTTCTGCATATTCAACTGGGCCTTAGTTGTGTACACATGGTTTTTCATTAAGGAGGTGAGATGCCGTATATATGGACCGTACCAACGGAAATGCTTGCTAACAGAGTGGAAAGACCAAGGGCAAGTCTCTAGAAGAAATGGAATCTCGTAAGTTTACTAATATTGTTCATATTGCCGAAGTTTCTAACGGGTTCGTAGTTTTTGGGTCCAGCGAGACCGCCATCGATTTCGAGAAGGTTCACGAACATGTAAAGAGTGACGCGGCCCCGGCAATAAGCGATAAAAATTGAGTGGCTTCATTGCAGATGATTATTGCGTTTCTTGAAAAGGAAGGTGTTGGGTTTCGCGAGGAGATGTTAGATATTTTCTAGACTCGCAGGACTCGTACATAATCAAGATTCTTAGAGCATTTTGTCGGAATAACGCCCGATTTGGATGAGAATTCCGGGGTCAGACTATCGCAACAGGTGGATCTAAGTATTCATCGCATTAGATTCGAAGCCCATTAGGAAATTCCACCGATAAGCAGGCCGGAATATTAGATTGATAATACGTAATTTATATTTCAAATTCTCAACAGTTACTAGAGCTACTACTTACCTTTTTACTTGGTTCTTAGTTCAATACCAGGCTCTTGACCTAGAGTCCATATTTCTGGGTGGACTCATAAAGAGCTGAACATAACCCAAAATTGGTATAAGCTGAATTGAGCTCAAGCAAGACATCAGTACGATGTTACCAGGACATGGGAACCCATATTAGGATCTAGGGGAATTATATAATCTCATCGTATAGGGAAGCTCTCTGGGAGCTCCGGATATAAATCGCGATAACCTTTGATATATCATTTCAACATTTTACTTTAACTCTCGAATCTTCTTTTGCATGGACCAATAGTCTTTGACTTGAATGTTGATAGAGTATGCTTATCTGCGTATAACATCCCAGCTTGAGATAATTACGTGACTTGACTAAGTCTAAGCTCCGATAGACAGGACATATGTGTGGCGCTACCTACAAAGAATACCTTCCTAAGGACGATTGGGTCGAAATGCGACGCCGGTAGTCGGACCGAATGATTGGTCTTACATCTAGCTAGGACGCGGCCAGGACGACTTGGCCAAAGCAAGCAGCGTATACATATACTAACTATCTGTTAAACCAAAGCGATTTCGATAGCATTCCAACGGTTTGGGAAGGAGATGAGGAATAGGTACCTAGTAGGGAGTAGGGGATCACACATTAGCGCGACTGGATCAGGTTGTCTCGCATGTGCCATGCAAATCACTTGCCTATCGAAAGAACGAAGAATACAGAGAGATAAAATCTCACTTGGCAAGCTTGGCTACGCCTCGGCGCTCTCTGTAAATCATTCCCTAATCGCTTGGCGGGACTGTAAATCAAAGCTTATTTCGACGTCTATATCCATAGTAATCGAGCTGAAGAACTTGAGGCTCGTGAGACTTTGATATTCTTGATATCTTTTGATATCTTTTGTAACCTCCCTTCCATGCTGTTGCAAACAGTTTTAGAAGAATGCTGCTCCAAACCCGGTTGACTCTGGTACTCCATTCTCCCTTATCTGTCTCACGCCATACGCCCCCATCTTCCCCTATCTTCCCCCTCATTGGATAAACACCCTTGCTTCCCTCCACATTCTCGCGGGTTTCTTTCCTTATCGCAGGCTATTCCACTCGATTATCTTCTATGAACAACTTTCTCGACTACATACTTGCCTGTGCCTACCTAGTGTACACCCACTCACCCACCGGCTTACATGTCGTTTTCTTCTAGCTTTTGAGGAGCCGGCTGGGCAATGCTACCTTCCTCTACGGCCAAGGCCCTCGTGTATTTCCCCAGCCAATGACCAGCGGAACAACTGATCTTGGCACATTCCTGGGGTCGGCCAGCGTAGCTTTTCCACCCGCGTTCCAACCCATTATGAGCGGCACCGTTCAACCGGACTAGCTTTATCCGACATAGTCGCTATTGGGATAGATCAACATGGCAGACTTGAAGACTGACAACCCGCTGGTATCTCCATGAGTCTTGGCCAGGTCCCGCGCGTATATCCAAGTATTCCTAGATCAAGATGGAAGCCCACCGCTCGCTAAGTTCAATATGGCAGATGATGCCGCCTCTATTGACATGTATATACGAATAATGGGCAGATAATGGGCAGCTGAGGCGGCCCTCCAAGTATATCGGGAAGGTGTCTTTTAACTTTCATGTCACGACAACATCTGGGACGCATCACATTCTACCATCGCTGGGGGGTGATGATGCCTTGAGAGAATCTCGCAACGACTCGTCATTGGCGTGTACTTTCTTGGCTTTGTTTATCTCGCATCTAACTACGTGGGAAACTTGGGAAGCTATGCTCAGTCTATATAATACCACTTAACGTCCCCCTTTCTGTCAATCATTTCTGAATACAAGACGCCGCAGCTCTAGCTCTTAAAGCATAGCATCCTCCACATTCCAGGACATAGTTGATTTAACTAATACATACGCCGCTCGTGCTTCTCTCGATAATCCCCTCGTCAACTTCAAGATGCAGCTTCCTATTGTCGCCGCTCTCTTATACGCCAACTTGGCGTTCGCTGCTCCCGGCACGGCTGCGCGTCGTCAGCGAGCCGCTGAACGTCTTGCCGCGAGGAGGGTTTCCCGTGCTTCGAACACGCTTCAGCCCGCCGACAGCGAGTTTGCGATCGCCTCTGGGAATGACACCGCCCACGTCGAGTACAGCTCTAACTGGGCTGGTGCTGTCCTTATCGGCAGTGGCTACAAGACTGTGACCGGTAGTATTGTCGTCCCCACCCCGAAGACACCCTCCGGCGGCAGCAGCTCCCGACAGTACTCGGCATCTGCTTGGGTCGGTATTGACGGCGACACTTGCGACACTGCGATTCTGCAAACTGGTGTCGACTTCACTGTCCAGGGATCGTCGGTATCTTTTGATGCCTGGTATGAGTGGTACCCAGACTATGTAAGTGAGATTTTAAGTCCCGAACCCCCAGCTCAGCCCTACCCATGCACTCTTTCTATCTCTATGCGCCACACCTTAGATAAATTAGAGCCGCCTTTTACTTAATCAAGTTAGTACTAACTCGATATCCTAGGCTTATGACTTCTCTGGCATCCCGATCAAGGCCGGTGATACCCTTACCTTCGTAAGCGCCTACCTCATAAACACGCTATTATAGAAACAACACGCTAACAAATATGCAGACCGTCACTGCTTCTAGCACGTCAGCTGGCACGGCCGTTATCGAGAACGTGACGACCGGCAAGAAGGTCACTCACTCCTTCTCCGGTGAGACCGACAAGCTCTGCCAGACCAACGCCGAATGGATTGTGGAGGACTACTCAAGCGGTGGCAGTTTAGTTAGCTTCGCAGACTTCGGCACTGTGCAGTTCACCGGCGCTTCAGTCAACGGCGGTACTGGAGTCACCGGCGCGACTATCATTGACATTCAGCAGAGCAGCAAGGTCTTGACTGATTGCTCGACCTCTGGATCTAGCACTGTGGTCTGCTCGTACACTGGCTAAGCGAATATACTCGCTATCATGTCTGTAAGAAAAGGGATGCGGACATGTTGGCTGCGGGGTTGAAATATCTGATTGCTAGTTGCGTTACCGACCAGCTTAGTAGCATATCTCAAACAAGTATTTCAACGAGGCCTAGCCTACTAGTAGCTACTTATAATAACTAAAGAAATTCCTCGTGATAGTTCGTTATTCGTTCGATATCGCATAGTCGTCTGCCATCTCTAGATATAACAGAAATTATCTCCAACTTGGAAGGGACTCGTTACAAAATACACTGGACTTCCCTAATATTCCGAAGCTAAGGCCCCTATTCACATACACGTGGGAATATCATACTTCCCGTGATGCAATGTGAACCATTAATCCATCAAGGAACAGAAGACCACTGGAAATCACGTGTCAGTGTAAATATGCATGTAAGAAGTACTCGGGCTTACCCGTGGTTCTCCTTTATCTCTGCGTTGTCGGCTAGCTTTATATCGAAGCACAAAAGGAGAGTCGGGACAAGCTAAAAATATGTCAACCATTACGGCAAACGTATATCATTAAGCGGCCCAAATACCTTGCTGATTTCAAGCCAGCTGATATCTAAAAAAATGTTTCAGTCTTCATATCGATAAAAAGAATAGGGGTAAACTCACGTCTTCCAATACAGGTTCGAGAACCACCGCCAAACGAGAAGAAAAACCGTCCTAGAAAGAGTCAGAATTTATATGAGGCCCTTTCTACGATTTATAAGTGAAAAACATACTCAGTGTGCCTTCGTTCTCCTTATCCAACCATCTCTCCGGGCGAAACTCTTCTGCGTCGGAGCCCCAAATTTCTTGTGAACGGTGAAGGACCCACGAGCTGGTCCCAACCACAGTCTACTAAATTAGTATTCATTCGGGTTAAATTCACACGGTGTTGAAGGCTTACTCCGGCTGGAACATAGTGTCCATCAATCGTCATACCGCCCTCCGGCACATTCCGATCGAGAATGTCAGCAGTTGCTGGATATAAACGTAATGCTTCGTACATGACGGCTTGGAGATATGAACAAGTTTCGGCTTCTTTGAAAGTAACAGGGAAGCTTAACTCTCCCGCTTGTTTCTTACTTTCTACCTCCTCTCTAAGGCGGTTATAGGTCTCCGGGTGCTTCAACAGTAAGTAGAAGATCGCTCGTAATGAGGTCGACGTAGTGTCGGATCCGGCAAAGACGTTAGAGGTCATCATGAAGGCAATATTAGTATCATTAAGCTCTGGTTTCGCCTTCTGCACTGAGAAGAGCTGGTTCACAATGTCCTTAAAATCCCCGTCGCGGTTTGTTCGAGCCTTGATTTCGCGAGAGGCGAGCTCGAAAAAGTAGGTATTCCGGTCATTGCTGGCCAACCAATTCCCGATGTAGGGCATTAACTTTTGGTGTAATCGAAAAAAGGTAGGAGCGTGTTTAACCCAGCCGATAGATTCGAAAGCCCTTTGAAGTCGACGGAAGATCCCTTCGTCATCGCCACTCGCGACGTATCCGAACGGCTTCGAGAAGCTGATAGCTCCAATAACATCTAGGACAAGTGTCAGTGTGTATAGCGATTTTTGGCCTTGAGCTAGTATTTCGTGCATAGGGGAGGGTGTTATGTTTAATACCAAAAGCAAATAATTGCATCCAATATCCCAAGTTGATTGGTTGAACGCGGCTTTCCCTTAACTGATCAACCAACGTCTTCAAAACCGTGTCTACTTGAGGTTCAAGATAGGCTATAGAATCCATAGAGTAAGCTCGCGCTACTAGTTTACGCTGCTCCGAATGGATCTTCTCGTTCCTTTGACCAGCAAGGTCAAATGGTCGCGAGCCTTGAAGCACAGAGTAAGATTCGGCTTTATAGAACCTGTTACCTGCCTCTACCATGATAGTTAGGAAATGAACAAAACTAGGATGAAGTTATGATAGGTGATACTATATATTTCTCGAAAGGCTACGGGATCTATGACGCTCCTATTGATATCACATTAATATATTACCTTCATCGAAGAAAAGTCTTTGGCTGTACCTACAATACATCGGGTGCAATTCGAACAACCCTCCCATATTTCTTGTGTAAATCATGTAGGTCACGATGGATACGTCCTCTTTTCGCGATGTAGGCATAATATGTAGGACTAACTTTGGCAATGAACGGCCCCGGGATTCTAGCAAGGGGCGAAAAGAAGCATTGATAGATAATATAGACGCCGGTAGCTACGGCTACAAGCCCAATAAGAATATAGGCTTCGAAGAGCCGCTCTAGTCCCATTTTTTCTTTTACTTATTTGGAAAAAAGCAATGTTTTGGTACCTAGGAACTGAAGAAAGAGATTTATTATGGAAGGATGCTGAAGATGCTTGGATACTCCCTGGCTAAATTGGTATTACAAATATGCCTACCCACCCACCATGATTCGTACGAAGACTACATAAATAGCGGGGAAGCCGGGGCTCGGGAGTTTGTATAGTTACATCTTCCAAGTATTCTTGAAACGTGGTTTGAAATAACAGGACCAATACAGTAAGTAAGAGAGGTTATCCGACAGTTTGGCTCATTTATGCTTAATAGTCTGGCAAAATGACTGGATTTAGCTACCTTGAAGTCGGGCTAAGCTGAGATAAGATGTTTTAAGCTTAAAAGAATGACGCTGATTATATAATAAGTGTTGCGAAGTCGCGTTTCTTAGAACCGCACGGATGCGAATGAGGAGTATATAATATATTGTAGATGGTGGTGTGGTGACACATCACGAGACACAGCAGAAGGTGCAGATGGGAACTTCTGGCGAATAAGTGCATAGAGACATCAAGTCAGATGAATACCGATTTCTTAAGAAATAAGTAGTTAAGAGAGCCATAGGGTTGTATAATGTGTGTACAGGGGCCTATTCCCGCAATAGAGTACCAGCATAAAACGAATAAATTTTATGATGGCAGTGTCAACGCTAACGAAATATTACCGTATTAATAAAGCCGCGTTCCATGAAAATTATTTTCGGTTGTTGTATATCCTGCCGGTCAAGAGTGAGGATTTTATAATAATTCATTGTTGCGTTAAAGAATTGAGATGATCATATTTCAATACAACGTATAGCTTATACGGAAAGCTAAAATCACTATACTGATTTAAATACTCGCAAAGCCCACCGTTTTTGCATGACAATAGACGCTTCTGAAACCAGCGAACACGGTACTTTATAATCAAAGGCTAGATGCGAGTGAAACAAAGAAATAGCAGTAGTCTAGGGTTATTTATGGTAATTGGGCTGACATTTTTAGGGTCTTTGTCTGTAAAAGACATTTACCTACATCAATAATACACCAACCATGGCCAGTGGCTACCTCTGGTTATACGTGATATTTGATATGAATTATTTCGCATAACAATCTATAATTGTATCGTTGCCTAGTAATAATTATTCGTATTGGCGCTGTTTGTTACAGAATTAATACCGTAGTGACTCCGATATTTCCACGATTATACCTAGAACACGAGCAAAAAAATGAATTACGATCTTATAGGAAGGTTGCTCCTGTCGCTACCTGCGGAGGATGCAGAAGATGCTAGGATGGCGGCGTTGGCGGATAAGATCTCCACGTATTTCACACCAAACCAGAATCTTCTATATCGTGGTGTTGCAGGAATAGGGCGCCGTAAGTAAGCTTCTTCTCTTCGATTACGAGAGAACCGCCTTCATTATCTACGTATCAGGGGTTTCCTAGCCTAGCAGACGAATACTGATAGCCTTTCTTCTACCTAGACGGCGGTGCAATTATTTTCCTAGACAAAAGAAGACAGCCCCCTCGGAGAATAGTCGTAAAGTACTCGCTTAGCGATGAGGCGGACTGGGACTTGAGGAACGAGGCTCGATGTCTCGAATTGCTGAGAGGAGCCGAGCATATCGGGCAGATTATTCCGCTCGCTGAGGCTAATCTTAATGTATCCGGTACTGGGAAACGTCCTACCCTCGCGCTGGATTATATTCCGTATGGTACAATATTTGCCTTTCGGTGGAGGATGGACCAATATCCCTATCGACTGCCCAGTCGGTTTCTTTGGCGTGTATTTCTCTGTTGTCAGTGTTACCATTTTTCTAAAGACATTATCCTCTCGTGTTTGCGCCATATACATTCTCAACTAAGGAGCTAACCAGCATTTACACATTATAGTGGTGCGTCAGGTGCTAGCTATGGCTTTCCCTCCAGAGGGCGGACCGGATGAGCCGCTGAGACAGGAAGTATTTCACCCTCATATGCCATTAGGATTGATGCAGAATTCAGCCCATGGTAATAATGTCATCATTGGCGATTTAACTAGTGACTTGGAGCATTCGATTGTTCCAGTATTCAAGGTATGCTGTGTTAAGCCTTGTTTGAAAGGTGGAATTATTCACCTGACGTTCCTCGAGGAAGAAAACTACTAGTGAAAGATGCTAAGTTTTGCTACAGCTCATTGACTTTGGACGGGGAGAGATAATACCGGACGTACAATCCGCGGTGGAAAATAATATAAGAAATATAGGAATTGTTAGCCACCCTGGTGTAAAAGTTCATCTCTGAATATCTTGCTAATAGACCTACAGTTTTTTATTATTGTTGCCATACCTAGGACCGGTAGGGATTATCTAAACGAGGTGCCAAATGGGGGCTGGCAGTATCAATTCGTGAACAGAGAAACCGGTGTACTTCAACAGATAGGGACAGAGGCTCCCCCTCATTTTACGGAGTATAAGTATATAGATCTTGAATTACGAGACCTCGTAGCAAGGTGCATGGCGATTAGGCGTGGAGACGGCGTGTCTCTAGAGGAGCTTATACACGCAGCCGAGAGAGGTGTGGCAAAAACACACGAAGATATAATATACGAGGATAACACATCAGATAACTCAGCAGGTATCAAATATATCGAGATGGACGAATCACTTAGGATTATGGTACAACGATTTATATTCGATGCCGGTACTATACAAGAGGAAGCAGCCACGTTCGATCGACATACAGTCAACGACCATCTAGGAACAACTCTACTAGGTCTCAATGCGACTACAAGACCAGGACGAGCCCCAAGGCCTCGATTCCAGCAAAGTGGTCAAGAACAAGATACGGTAGTTGATGATGGCATCGACGAGAATTAATGGTTCACAGGTACCTGATAAGGTACTTTTATGATTAGCTACGGTGAAGGCTTAGTAGGAAACGGATGGCTGACCCATCGCAAAGCATACTTCTTGAGTGTTTAACGGCAGGAGAAAGGACCGCAACAACAGCGCCCAGATCCGAGCAGCATTTTGGCCAGAAGTTCACGCCGTGGGATTTATGAGGATCTGGGGGAGTTTATGGCGTCGAATTTTAAAAAGGTAAAATAGGTACCTATCTATAATGTTGCCATGGTATACCAATATATAAGTGTATGCAATAGTATGTCGATAAAAGTTGTACCTCGGAGCTACGCGTAGTATATTGAGAGCCCGCCTTATGTTAAGCCACCTGCTATTAGATAAATACATTCTAGCCCAGAAAGCTAAGCATCATCTCGGCCTATATTAACTAAACTCCGCCTTAGGACAGTCTTTCCAACGAAGGGGACGTCGAAAATAGCAAGCGGCACTTCCCAAAAGGAATCTCTCAAGAAGAAACGATTAAAATGGCAGAAGGCGATCGTCGTAGACCTAGCTTAAGAAAGCATCGTACGTGGCAAGCTAGGAAAAAATAAGTAAACATTCGGAAATTCACCGAGAGCTTCCCCAAGTATATTTGCACGAACTATAGCTGTCCTTCAGGTACCTAGCCAGTCGACAACCTGCTAATGGGCCTCAAATCGATAAAGCGGCCGAGCATTGCGCCGTATCACGCGTCACCGACTCATCCGCAAGTGTAACTTAATATTCGTGGTGTGAATATCTAGAGATAGTCGCCATTGGCTTTATAGTGTTGACGTCTTGAAACTAGGTACTTAATTTCTAAGGCAATAATGATTGGGGCTGTTAGCAAATTAAGTAAGGACTGAGAGCGGATATAAAACTTCTTCAGCGTTATATACCACGTTATTCCAACCTTTAAAAAATTCCATCAAGTCATGTCAGCTACCTCTAACCTATTTTTGTCCAAGACCTACTAAATCCTTCCGAGTTAGAAATAAGGTACCAAGACCATGTAAAACTTGATCACAAGAGCTGCTACTGTAGGAACTGAGCCTCGGTCGTTCTTAGTAAGTTGAATCGTGCCGGCCCTATATAGTATGCATGTCGGTGCCATTCCCACTTTTCAATCCGTGGAGTCCCCGCACCCTAAGCCGTGGTTGGGCGAATCGAAGCGCGGCCGCTGAAACGCTTTCGGCCTATTGTAACGCATCGCGAGGTGCGGAGTGACGATCGTTTCATGCACCAAGGGGCAACCTAGCTTCATCTGGAAAGAAGAAAGAAGAAACAGGGGATGAAAGACTTGGAGATGGGGCTCATGTGACTAGTATTATTGCGTTTTAAAGCAACTTTTCCCCTATTTCCCCTATTTGCTTGTGGTTCTTATTTTCTAATGTCGAAAAATATCCAATAAATGTTACTGGTAAGGATGGCGGAGTTACATAGTGACGGAGCTTCTGTCGGCCATTTTAGTATGTCGGTCATTCTTGACACTTGTACTCGGTCCGTGTACTGTTGAAATCGGCCTCTTATGAATGTGACCGGAGGAGAGGACGGAGTGGGAGTTGAACGGAGATGAGAGGTCTTGTCTTAAGTTTCATGCGGTCATAATCGTGAACCACGCCGCCCCTGTACTATAAGTGCATCGACAAACTCCGTCCTTTTTTTCTCTTTCCCTTCTCTTGAGTCATCACCAACCCTTCTAGGTAATATCGTCCTTGGGTATCTGATCGCTCGTATTTATCGCAAATATGCGCGCCTCGTTAGCTTCGCTCGCGTTTCTTTCCGAGCTACTCACCGTGGCCCTCTCGGCCGACGTGGACGCTTGGAAATCTAGGAACATCTACTTTGCGCTGACGGACCGCATCGCTCGGAGCAGCGATGACACTGGAGGCGATGCATGCAGTGACCTCTCGAATTACTGTGGTGGCACTTTTCAGGGTCTCCAATCAAAGCTCGACTACATTGCTGGCATGGGCTTCGATGCTATCTGGATTACGCCTGTAGTTACAAGTAAGTCTTTCCTTTTCCATGAGACATTTCCCCTCAGTAAACTAATCATCGTGTCAAACTAAGACAGCGACGGGGGTTATCACGGATACTGGGCGACGGATCTATATGGCATCAACTCGAACCATGGTACAGCAGACGACCTCAAGGCTCTGGTCAGCGCTGCGCATGAAAAGGTATCCGAAAGAGCCACCCCCCCTCTCTTTAATCGACCGCTAACGTAGAATTCGCCAACTAGGGCATCTACATCATGGTTGATGTGGTCGCGAACCACGTGGGCCCATCCAACATCGAGGATCACGACCCAGAGCCACTAAACCAAGACAGCTCCTACCACTCGCAATGCGACATCGACTATTCCAACCAGACTAGTGTGGAAAACTGCTGGATTGCTAACCTACCTGACTTGAACACGCAAAGTTCCGAGATCAGGACCGTCTACCAAGATTGGATCACATGGCTTGTGTCGGAGTATAGCTTCGACGGTGTTCGCATCGACACAGTCAAGCATGTCGAGAAGGACTATTGGCCGGGATTCTCTAGCGCTGCCGGAGTCTACACAGTCGGCGAGGTCTTCGACGGTGACCCAAGCTACGTCGCAGGCTACGCTAGTCTCATGTCTGGATTGCTGAACTACCCCATGTATTACCCGATGAACGCCTTCTACCAGCAGACGGGTTCGAGCCAGGCCATGGTCGACATGTTCAACCAGATCAGTTCGTTGTTCCCCGACCCTACGGCGCTAGGCTCGTTCATCGATAATCACGACAATCCGCGATGGCTAAACACGAAGAACGACCTTGCTCTGCTCAAGAACGCTCTCGCCTACGTCATTCTTGCTAGGGGTATTCCCATTGTGTACTATGGTACAGAACAGGCGTACGCTGGTGGTAATGACCCTGCCAACCGCGAAGACCTCTGGCGCAGCAGTTTCAATACGGATGCCGAAATCTATCAAGCCATATCTAAGCTGTCCGACGCTAGGAAATCGGCTGGTGGATTAGCTGGTGACGACCAGACCCATCTGTATGTTGCGGATACTGCTTACGCCTGGAGCCGAGCCGGTGGCGACCTAGTTGTCCTCACCACCAACAGTGGATCTGGATCAAGCGGGCAGCACTGCTTTAACACACAGGTCTCTAACAAATCGTGGAACAACACTTTCAGCACTGGGTCTTACACTTCGGACGGAGACGGAAATGTGTGCTTGGATGTTAGCAATGGCGAGCCGGTCGTGCTAGTTGCATCCTGAAATCGCGCACGGCCTGAGAGAGCTGAAAAATATCTTAGATGCCTGCCTATCTAGGATACGTGGGGACAAAATGTAACAGTCGCGTGTTTAATGTAGGATTTACATAATTTGTTTGAAATAAAATAACCAAGCTGAGCTACTAAATAAAGCCAGTTATCACATGGATACCCCGCATATATATGTATTAAGCTAGATCCTCCCTCCTACATATGTACCAGTCTTCCAACATCTTACGTAAGTCGTTTACAGAAATGGATTAAAGTTAGGTACCAGGTACGTATGTCTCGGGACCGGCTATGGATATGTACCTATCTTAATGGTCCCCCGGGTCAGATAAAATATCGCACGGCGCCCGGCTTACAAAACGCCCGATGAAGGCGTTCCAGCATTCCTTTAGTGGAGGTGGTTCGATTACACATGGCCATTTCCCTAAATAGACCTGTTGGTTTTAACACACGTACGAACAAACGCGCTGCACGATGTCAGACTCAGCGCTACCTAAGTAGCTGCTATTGCTAAGATACTGATGTAAGAGGCTTCGGATTCGGACTCGAGTGTCCGCCGTCCCTCCGTCGTTTGTACTTGGTGTTCCGAACCCCGAAAATAGGAAGTATATGATATATATTATGTATATATGGGAGTTGAACTTTCTTCTATATACAGTTTTATAACTCCTGAAAATGTAAGAATAATTTTAGGAACAGACTTGATTTGCATTGAGACGCTGGTTTTTCTTTGGCCAATTATTTGCAAAGATAAGCGTTCTGTTCTACCAACGTTCTTGTGTAACCGCGTCAACGGAACTCCGTTTGCTTTTCTTTTTTTTTAAAGGATTGTCATAAATGATAGTTTTGTTTTCGCTAAATCTTTAATAACTTACTCTCTCTCCTCCCTCATCCCCTTCGACCTCTTTAAGATACCTACAGCGCCATTACGAGCGCATTCGACAACGCTGCGTCGAATATGAACTCTAGAGTACTCTCTGCAGCTCGTCTATCCCGAGGTATAACTAGTGTTGCGGTTGTCGGCACAGGAATTGGGCTGTACTATACTTACATGACGAGCATGGCTTTCGCGGATTCCGGTGCGCCAAAGAAGGCCTTCGGCTCTGGCCCGGCGTTCTTGTCTCTTGAGCTCGAGAGCACTGAAGCTGTAAACCACAATACTAAGCGATTACGATTTAAGCTACCTACACCAGATACAGTCAGCGGCCTGACATTAACATGTAAGTGAAAATTAAAGGCGCATCAAATATATCGCTTAGATACCTAGGTACTTATTGTCACTTTTGCTGACATTTGAAAAAGCCGCGCTCTTAACATATTCTTGGCCAAAAGGCAGCACATTTCCTGTCGTGCGCCCCTACACTCCGATCAACTCGCTGGGTAAGGACATTTCAACGCCACTACCAATGAATATAAACTAATTCTTAATAATTAGATGAGCCGGGTGCTTTAGAACTTCTCATCAAGAGGTACCCCGATGGCAAGCAAAGCACATACATACATTCCCTGAAGCCTGGAGACTCATTGCGCTTTATCACCCGGATACCGGGATACAACTACCAGCCAAATATGCACTCGGAGATCCTTCTCATCGCCGGAGGAGCCGGTATCACTCCTATCTACCAACTGATTCGGGGCATTCTGCAAAACCCCGAGGACCACACCAAGATCAACTTAGTATTTGGCGTAAACACAGATGCAGACTTGCTCCTAAGAAAGGAGCTCGATGAGTACGCATCGAATTTTCCAAGCCGCTTTAACGTCACGTATACGATCAGTCATCCCGCGAATGGCTCGCCGTTTCGACAAGGCTACGTTACTAAGGAGTTGCTGAATGAGGTGGCGCCCCAATCGGCTGATTCTAAAGTGTTTGTCTGCGGACCACCGCCGATGGAGACTGCACTTACGGGGACGTGGCAGAAATCGGGGATCTTGCATGAACTCGGTTATCGGAAGGACCAAATACATAAGTTTTAAGCCCCTAGACGGATCCAAAGATGTTATATCAGTAGATATCGGGCATTTCCCCTCGACTAATATAAATAATTACTCTGAACCCAGTTGTTTCGGTTCAACATAACCTTGAGTATCTATATATGGAGATATTAGAGAACCCTTGATGAATGCTATACATAGAATGAATGTCAGGATACTTGAATTGAATTAACGCCTGTCCTTTTATCCTCTATCGAGGGCGCTACACGCTGCTTAGGTACTCAGTATCCTAGTATACCTACCCCTGAATTTACCCCTAACCCCTATATGCCCTGACAGGACGCCCTTGAATAACGACGAATATGTAAGGGGTAGAGAGGTAGAAATAATATCCTAAGGTACGAGGTCCCCCTCTAATTACGTTAAAAAACTTAAATCCAATATTATACTTCACAGTGAGCCACCCCAATAATTTTTGATGCCCGCCTAAGATATCAAGAGCCGTACCTTTGCCTTTTGCTCAACGGCCCCTTTAATACCAGGCGAGGTAATGTACATCTTTCAGAAGCAGAATCCAGGGGAAAAGGGGAAGCACTGACCCAGCTCACCTATATCTCTTTATGACCTTATATTACTCTTAGACTTCCGAGCCAATATCGGTATTTCTTGGGATTATCCCCGGTGGGCAATGAAGAAGCACCACATATAGCAAGACTTCGTCGATAATGTGCTGAAATTCCAATTCACGTGTACGATAGACATAAATCTGCGTAATTAGGGCGGATAGACCGGCATATCTTCTGTTCACCATGTACCTATTCATTTAGCCAGAGCTTGGGGATCGGCGTGGCCAAGATTACTTCGCGGCTGGGACCTCCAATCATTCGGCGGATAAGTTACCCCAGAGCCTCAAGAAGAATGGTTGATAGCGGAGCTCGTGGGAAATCGGGCTACTTTGCCGAGTTTTTGGCTATGACATCCGTCCCGAATGTCTTGGAGGTAGGGAATCTTCCAAGACGTAATCAGCAAAGACAGGCACGTGGAGGAAGACTTTTAGCAAATAATTATCATAAACAGCTGTTTTTTTCGTATCGAATGTAATAATACGGCAACTTCGCGTGCTCGTACCTAACACTTGGCCTCGCTTGGCCCTCTGTTGGTCGATCGCGCTCAATATGCACGTCTTCATCTACTTCCGGCCGGACCACAAAATCGGACATGGGAACGTCAACTTTGAAAAGGTAAGATCGGCTCTGGGAACATTAAACAGTATTATACTTATAACTGGCCTGTGTGACTTATAAGCCATACCAGCTGTACTCTCCGCTCTGTACGATGGTAACTGAAAATGAAGACCCGAGCCGGTTCGCTTCCTGGATTTCTCTGCACCGTGGGCCTTCTCGTACCACGCGTTACGTCTCATAGCCATATTTCTGCTGCTATCGGTCAGTGTTCGTTGAATCTCCCAGCGGCATTGCAATCCCAGGTGCAGTTAGGATGTCCACGTCCAGTTGACGCGAAGACCACCGATAGACCCGTTGACTGGTCACCATGGACGCACCCGCCGGAGTGCGTGCACTCGAAAAAGCCGCCAGGGGCCACGTACTGCGTCTACTCTAACTCGCAGCATGGTAACGGAGGTGTTAGCATAATCACAAGGCCAGAAACTGCAGCTAGCACTCTTGAAATCTTGAACGACTCCGGATACACTCATCTAAAACACTTCGTCAATAACAGCGCTGGACCAGCATACGAAATTGCCGACATTCCCGGGAAGGGGAAGGGGGTTGTTGCGACCCGCCATATCAAGCGCGCCGAAGCAATTATGGCAGATTGGGCCTCGTTGGTAGTGGACTTGGATCTCCCGACTTCGATATTGAGAACCGAAGGATATAGACTGTTTCATATAGGTGTGGATCAGCTCGCAGATCCGGATCGTGTGCTCCAGCTGGCTCGTAGCAGCGCGTTTTCAGGGGACATTGTAGAGGATATTTTGAGGACGAACTCATTTTCTTACGCACTGGCGGATGCTTCTCATATGACATTATACCCGGACGTCTCTGTAAGTACCCTCGAATACCACACCACACCACAGCCTTAGTGGTAATGGAATGCTAATGATATATGACAGAGAGCTAACCATGCATGCCGCCCAAAGTAAGTACCTTGGATGGAAATAGCAGCTTGATGACATAGAAAGAAGCTAAATGTGTGATTAGCTCTTTTATAAGGTTTACGCCTTCAAGTTTGGCTGTAAGTGTCGTGGCTCTAAGAGATATCGAGCCCGGAGAGGAAATCACTATTACCTGTATGTTCTAACAGCAAAGCCATTCTATATGCGCATCGCTAATTATTCTCCCAGACGTACCCTTAGGAAAAACAAAGGAAGAAAGACAGACGGCACTGAAGAAATGGGGATTTGAGTGTACATGCTCACTCTGCACCGCATCCAAAACCGAGATCGCCGTATCCGACTACCGCAGAGAGAAGATCAAGGGGTTGCGCAAAGAAGTCATGAACGCCGTCGGGCTGTGGGACGGAACTAGAGCTGTCAAGCTCACGCACGAAGTCCTAGAACTCATGAAGGCAGAGGATCTTACGCCGCTTTACTCTAGCCAGTATGAGATTATGGCGCGGTTGTATTGGAAGGCGGGGGATAAGAAGACAGCCACTAAATACGCGCAGATGTCTTTAGACACAGTGGTGGACCAGGGGTATATTGAGGATACCCCGGATGCATTGCCGATATTATTGCAGACCTTTGCTTAGACTTGTAGAGGATATCTCGCTCTGGTAGTCTCTCAGTTTTGGATAAGCTGTGTTGGGATCCCTTTTCGTGGAGTAAGGGGATATATCATTAGGTACCTACCTGTTGTCTTGGCTTCTATGTATCCAATAAACCAACTGTATATACAACTTAGGACTAGAATTGGGACTAGAACCTATTATACTATACAATATAATCTCTCGGCTGTTTATAAAGGTTGCACGAGATAAATTGAGCGTGCCAAGCAGGAGTGTTTGGGCAGCTCTGCCTCTATACATGCAACTACCGGGAGATTTCACGTTTATAAGAATACTATTGTATTAAACAAACCGTCCCCTCAAATTATCGGCATCTACATACTACACCCTGGCTCACATCTACCGGTTCACTCTCCGACAGGAAACCCCTACGCATTATATTTATAGTAAAATTCCAGATCAAATTGAAACTGCACGTGTTAAGTCCTTATATAAGTTGCCCGGGCAGAGGCTCATATAAGAGGTATTCAACAAGTCCTTATTTACAATCTCACCCCGCATCGACTTTCGAGTCTGGCCGATGAGGATATAACATTATTCAAGCCAACATATACTACTCTCAAAACGAGACCAAACAAATCACTATGGGCAGCACGGAAGCGCTCTTCTCAGCATCTCTCATCTCACCAGAGGTTTCTGGTTCCTTCCCCGCCGACTTCACCATCCGCCCATTAGAGAAGGGAGACTATGCCAAAGGCTTCCTAGACTGCCTGCGCGTCCTCACGTGGATGGGCGATGTCAGCGAGGCCGAGTTCAACGAGCGATTCGACGAGATGTTAGAGGCAAAAGGCACGTACTACTTCGCGGTGATCGAGCACGCGGGCCGGATCGTCGGGACGGGGGCCTTGGTTGTCGAGAAGAAATTGTGCGTCTCCTCCCTGAGTATCTGAAAACTTACGACAAGAGGTTCTTACTAGAGCAGCATACACCAGCGCGGCAAATGCGGACACATCGAGGAGATCTCGATTGCGAAGGAGCACCAGGGTAAAGGGCTCGGGCTGAAGATGATCCAGACCCTGGACTCCGTAGCGGTTAATTTGGGATGTTATAAGAATATCCTGAACTGTGGCGCAAAGAACGAGCCGTTTTATGTTAAGTGTGGATATAAGAGCTCGGGGATGGAGATGTCCCATTACTTCGAGGAGGAGAGTGAGGAGTATCACCGAGGATAATGGTAGGAGAGAAAAATAGGGGATTCTTAAATAAGGAGGCGAGAGAATAGAAAACAAGGGCTTCTGGATTTATTCTAAGGGGTTATCTAGCAATATTCGAACTTGGTTGAGTATTGCATGGGTTAATTGCTTATTGTACCCAGTGCGATCGGGATTCGAATAGGGAACACCATAGAGAAGTGGAATGCTAATAACTGTTATTGCCAACGGTCTACATCAAGAGTAAAATACAACTTTAACAATCTAGGTTAATTCCGTCGAAACCTCTTGATAACGGCGGCCCTCTATTTAGGCTATATAAAACGACAATGTCACTAAAACAATCCCTTCAAAGTACTTATATGATGACAATTTGCGGTTTCTGCGCCAGCCTTCGTGTAGTAGCGTCCCTAAAGGCGAGGCTCAAATGTTGCTCTCGGTCAAAATATAGTTTGAACAGACCAAGGCAGGCTTTGCGACATATTTCTATTATGATGCCTAAGAATCCAGCCGCGCCTTGCTTACATACGGGTCCCATCCCGAAGATGCGTTAGCCAGCAGCGAAAAAATAGCATTTTAATATCGATGTTACCATTAGACATGGGTCGCCGTTAGCCCCATGTGAGATCATCGTCCACAGGGCTCGCCGGTATTGGTGCTCTAGCGGCACCAATCGAGTAATGGTTACATATGGAGTGCACCCCAGCCCTAGGAGCTGAAATAAAAATAGCATTTGGGGATTGGCTGATCCCCCGATTACGTTCTCCGTGGGGTATGACCGTTAGGTGACCCTCTCGTGTTAGACATACATAGTTCCTGCATATATGCAGTTACCCTACCTCATGATAGAGGCGATGGTAGCGAATGAAAATGTCGCTTGCCAGCCTCATAGGAATTGGACCTGTGATAGACCAATCGATAATGCCAGAACGCCTACGTAATGTCTATTGAGGATTTGTGATGAAGTGCAAAAGATAAGATTAGATTTGAAATGTCGCTAGTAACTATACACATCTAGTAGCCCCGAGGCGATTCTGTAGTCTTCCTGCTGGTTGTCCAGCTCCTGTAAGTAATAAGAGATCCATGGTATAATCCTGCGCCTAGCCGAATAAATATTTCCGCCCAAAAGCCCGCCCTGATCCCAGAAGCCCATGCGCCTAACATAAAAGATTGAGACATATCGACTCGAATCAGCGGGATCCCGAGTGGGACTTTTTACCCGAAGCCTTTCGGGTCTCTCCTTGGCCGGATTGCCCGTAACCAGGAGATGGGGCATTGTCTTCATAGCCAGTGCCGTGGTGGTTGTAGACAGTGACACCAGACCGGCGTGTGATGTCAACAGTGTAGTCATCTTTGGTAATGTTAGCTGAAAACACGTGAATAGGATATATTCGAGAGTAGCACGTACCGGCCCTAGGAGATCGGCCATGCTCGTAGACAACAGGTGTAGTTTCAGAAGAACCACTGGGGTAAGAGGTAGAACCAGCCCCTAGGCTGGTGCGCGAAGACATTGTGTTGTATGAGCTTGCAGAGGATGAACGAGAGGAACGGTTGTCTACAACAATAGCGTGGGATGATTTGGAAGTGTATGATGCCATTGCTTGGTAGTGGCAGGTATTTGAGTGAATTGGTATAGAGTATTAAGCAGATTGCTTGATAGATATCTTGATAGAGATATAGGACTGTGCCGAACTAACTTGTCTGGTTGCTGAAGAGAGAATAGGGAATGTGAAAAAGAAAAGACGGAGGCATCCTGTCTTTATATAAAGTGTTAAGAGAAGGTACTTTACCTTACAATACTTACAGTAGAAGCCTGCCCGTACATCAAGGACTATCACACGGTGATATGAACAAGCTTAGCTTCAACACGTAGCAGCCGGAGCAAGCATGAGCAGCGAGCAGTGCCTCAGGCTGACCCAAATGGGGGCGTATCTGGCGGCGATGAGTAGTGACAGAGTCAAAATATCAAGATACACCGAAGGGGTGAGTCACCCCTTAACTTCAAGGCAGAAAGGTGGGAGAGAGAAAAGAGTGATACTTGTTCGTGGCTGTTGAGGCAGCAATTGAGCAATTGAGCAATTCAGCTAAAGAGAGAAGAGTTGTAAGTGGATGGAGTCCGAATGACTAACCGAGTGGAGACCTTTTACCAGGATAAATAAATTGGTACAGAGTCAGAAAGTATGCCTAGAAGCTATTGAAGAGTCAGGTACCTAGAGGCTGTGTGGTATCGTGGAAGTCGAGGTGAAGCAGATGGAAGAAAAGACGATAGCGGCTGGTTGATTGGAACATATTGGAACATAGGTGGTAGGTAGCTAAGGTAAAAGATGTAAGTTACATTGGGGGTTAACTTTTTGCAGTTGCAACTTGTAAGTTACTGAATAGGGTTATTACGAGGGATCATTAATGTTAGGCCTACATATGTAGCACCTTGGGGAATAGGAACGCGGAGAGTTCTAGTGGATTGAGGCACGACAGGCGCAATTATGTACATACATACGGCACAACGGCATGTGAACAGTGATAGGTATCAAGGTACACAGTGTGGATTAATATATTTTAGCATATATACTGTGTGGCTTAGGTATATGGACCATATTTCAGAAATAGGTACTATCAAAGAGTTTAACACATCCAATTCTGAAATTGTGACTATTAAGCCGAACAGAGAGGCCTACAACTACCAAGTCAGTATCTACGGGGGGCGTAAGCAGCGGCTATGTCAGCTTGGTCGACCTTGTTTGGCGGCAAATGGTTGTTGGCTGCCTATTTGCCTAAGAGTTCTAGGTTAGCCAAGCTGAAGTCCTAGATTTAGTACTTGTTAGTTCTATATCAATACCTCGATACAACTACTTGTTTCCTCATATAGGTACTCACAGTTTTATATAAATTGCTTATAAAGTTTGCTTATGAACACGTAGGTATGTTTGAGGCCCTATGTATAGGTAGAGTTATTGATTGCGTATACAGGCAAGTTGTTGTTGTTAAATATGTATACGAAATGCAGTAAGAGTAACAGTACTGCAAACATACATCATTCAGCCTTGCATGTAAAACCATGTCCGTTCAACCGCCAAATAGCTGCTAGCTGGTTGATGAAGGGGTGGCTTGTTAGCGGTACCTGAGGTTCACCGAACTGCACGAGTGAAATGTAAAAATTCCATTACCTTAAGCTCGACCGTGTGTGGCAAATAAGTACATCATAGCTGTGATGGGGGTGGCTTACATTCAATGATGGATTAAATTCAGATATACCCCCGCCATTATGGACCCTTATGACCTTGTTTGCCCAATTGAAAGGCATTACGTACATAGGAAATACCCAAAAATCTTGCCCCGGCGCTGTGCCGCCCGCAAATTGATTAAAATGAAAGCTGGTGATGATTTCATACTATATTTGTGCACATATTTAGATACAACTCGTTGATATTTCTGTATGCCCTCCTGTCAAAATTATCATTCTATACGAAAATACAACCCCAATTGTATCTTGATATAGACAATCGCATTTCCAAATCTACATCATGCGCTTCTTTCTCCCCTTGTCCCTCGTGGCGTCCATCGCCGTCGGCGCCTTGGCTTCGAGTTCTTCCGACCTAAAGATTGACGTAACCCTCCCCGTCGAATGCGACCGAAAAACGGAAAAGGGCGACAATATCCAAGTACACTATAGGGGCACGCTTGCTTCCAATGGAAAGAAGTTTGATGCTAGCTACGATCGAGGCACTCCTTTTAGCTTTAAGCTTGGAGGCGGTCAGGTCATCAAGGGGTTCGTCGCCCTTGTCCCTCGCTGCTCGCTACTTATGGGGTCTTAACACGTATACAGATGGGACCAAGGACTTTTGGACATGTGCATTGGGGAGAAAAGGTTAGAAAACATGCTCTCTAGAGCATCGGACGGAAGCTGACTGCTTATTAGGACTTTGACAGTCCCTCCCGAGTATGGATACGGAAACCGGGGCATTGGGCCAATCCCTGCCGGATCTACCCTTGGTATGTAATGGATTGGACTGTCGTGGAACGGATAACGTCTTATACTGAAACGATAATTAGTGTTCGAGACGGAGCTCATCGGCATCAAAGGCGTTCCCAAGCCGGAGTCCATCGTCACCAAGGCCACCAGCAGCGCAAGCTCGGCTGCCAGTGAAGCTGCTAGCGACGCCAGCGAAACTGCCGAGGAGGGAGCGGCTAAGGTGGCGGAGAAGATTGCGAGTAAAGTCGAAGAGGCTGCCGAGGTTATTGAAACCCTGGTTGTCGATAGCGACGACGACCAGGAGCACAACGAGCTATAAGTTATAGAGGAGGTCTTGGTTGGAGTATATATGCAGTGGAACATTGTTGTTCTTCTCAGCTGGCCTCTTGTCTTGGCGTAAGTCCAGTTAAAGAAGACGTAAAAACTCACCCACCCGTCCAGATACCAACACCTAATATACTGGACCAATCAATATATTGCTATATTTGATTCTCGCGTTATTTATTCTTTTTAACGTCTTTCATCGTATATGAGTGCATGGGTGCCCATATATAAGAATGTCCGTGTAATAAATTAGCATTTGTATCTTAGCCCTAAAGACGAAGTAATATATTTCCAGGATACAATTAACTTTCGTAGTAAGGCATATCTGCCCATTGAATGTCCATCTATTTGCGTGAGGGAGGTAGTTTCTCCAATAGGTGCGTGTTGAAAGGTAGGTAGGTACATATACAAAGGGGAGAAGGGGGGTTAGACCTACACGGTGGATATGTAGAGGCGGGTACGGCACACCGCAATTTGATATAACGGTAAGAGCATTGCCGTTGTTTGCTTCCTACCTGTATGTGCCTTCTTTTTGATGTATCTTATCTCACAGTAATATCGTTCTAGCCCCTCTGCTGCTGGCCGGGATATGCTACCTAACCTAATGTACTAATAAGCTAATCAGGACATAAATATTCTCTCTTTCTCTTCTCTTCATCTGCAGAAGGACAGAATAAGAGCAGAAAAAAAAAAGGCCTCATAAAGTCTAATTGAGGCTGAAGCCTATAATATCCGATTGAAGAACATAATTTAAGAATCTGTCAATATGTTGCTTAACTAAAGAAATTTATTTTCCGCTCGGCTAAGACCACTAGCACAAAGCCAAGTCGTTTTTCGCTGTCTTTATTCACTATTCCTGTTATCCAATTCGTTAGAATTTTCCTTGGAAAATTATAGGACGACGACGGGGGGTTTGGCAATGCGCAGCCTCCGATCACTTCTACCACCATTAAATTTTATCACTATACATTATGTATACTTTATTATTGTCCCTCTAATATCATCTGTGGTGTTCTGGGGCTCGTCGAACCCCAGATCCAGCATCAGTTATGTCGACAGTTTATTCCTGGTCACCTCTGCCATGACAGAGGCTGGCCTAAATACTGTCAATCTCAGTCAGATGACCACTTGGCAGCAGGTACTTCTCTGGCTTTTGATCATCATCGGCTCTTCCATTTGGGTGTCCATTTGGACTGTCTTGGTACGCAAACATGCCTTCGAAGCGCGATTCGAAGAGATCGTGCGTAAGGAGCGTAAACGCAGTCTTCAGCGGCGGAATACGAGTTTAAATCTCCTCCCCATCACACACCGGCTTAGGTCCTTGGGTAGGAGCAGGACAGTCCAGGACAGCGGTGAAGGAGGTCCTTTGGAGCAGCGCCCAGCCATCAATCTACCCGTCATATCCCGTCCAAGTGATAGAAGATTGGTCTCTGCTATTGTACCTCCGCACCAGGAGTCTGTAGTCCATACCGACGGTTCCTTCGCCCGCCCACACAGCGTGGCCACGGCAGAGGATGTTGCGCCAGCTTCCGGCGCTGTAGGTACTGAAGAAGGAAATACGGGGGCTTTAACCGCTACTGATCACGTCCTTTTCGCCGACGATCTTCGTTCTGGAGCTAGGTCGACGTCTATCGCCCCTAGCGGTACCACTGCGCAAAGACACCTATCCAGCACCGATACGGCTGTTAATCCTCACAGCTACCTAAAGGGAGATAAAGTCGGGCGCAATGGCCAATTTCACGGCCTGACAAGAGAGGAACGCGAGGAGCTTGGTGGGACCGAATACCGAGCTCTAAAACTTCTTTCTATTGTCGTCCCGTTGTATTTCTTTCTCTGGCAGTTTTTCGGATGCATCTCGCTCGGCGCGTGGATTGCTAACAACTTGCCGGGACCTGCCTTGGAGAATGCCATTTCGCCCTGGTGGAATGGCATTTTCAACGGCGTATCTGCTTTTAACAATAGCGGCATGAGCGTGTTAGATGCAAACATGATTCCTTACGGAAGCTCGTATTTCGTACTCATCGTTATGGGTGTAATGATTCTCGCTGGCAATACAGCGTATCCCGTCTTCCTACGATTGATTTTGTGGAGTAGCTGTAAGTTTAACTTTCTATGACCTTTTTCATATGGCATTTATACTCCTATCCGATATAATTTTCGTTCCTCTTAGCGAACATTTACGCTCTTGAGCTACTAATTTACATATTTGTATATCAACAGCTTCCTGTTCTTACGTGGCTGTCCTCTACGAATGTGAATTAATGACCGCTGACCTAAACTCTTACAGTAAAGATGTTGAAGTGGGCAACCTATGACGATGATATGGTAGAGTGGAAGGAGACGATTGGGTATATTCTCAAATACCCTCGTCGTGTCTATACCAACCTTTTTCCATCACGTCAGACCTACTGGCTTGTTTTCATGCTCTTCGTGCTTAACGGTACTGATTGGGTGGCATTTGAGGTTCTCAATCTTGGCAATTCTACTCTTGAGCAAACCCCTCTCGGGTCTCGCATTATCGATGGACTCTTTCAAGCCCTTGGTATGATCCGTTTTGTTCACGACGCGTTGGTTAGCGCTAACCTCTACTACAGCTGTCCGTTCAGGTGGCTTTTACGTTGTATCCATCCCGACTCTGTTCATTGGCCTCCAGGTGCTTTATGTCATCATGATGTTCGTTGATACCCTAAAAATTGTCTTACTTAACCCCGTATAATAGCCTCCTCCTACTCCTCTCGCGTCAATAATTATGCGCCAGTGCGCACAACCCCAAGCTGTCTAGGCAACCAAAACTTCCTGTGGATTGCGAGCTCGTGTTGACTTTCGATGCCTACAGGTATATTTCAGTGTATCCCGTTGTGATAACAATGAGGCATTCCAATGTCTATGAAGAACGATCATTAGGGATCTACGGGGAAGATCCGATCTATAACGATGCTTTGACTCGTCCTGTCTCGCGCGGCCAGTCGAGTAGTAAGTCCCGGTCTCTGAGTCGGATGGTCCGCGTCGCGTTTGCAGAATGGTACGGAGTTGGGGCTGCGCCGAACCAGCTAGAAAGTCGGATTAGCTTTATCAGCCACCAAATTCGTGGACAGCTCTCTCACGATCTGTGGTGGCTTGTTTTGGCCGTCCTGGTGATTATGATCATCGAAACTAAGCATTTCCTTGAGGACCCGATCACCTATTCGGTATTCAACGTCGTCTTCGAAGTAGTCTCCGCTTACGGATGCGTGGGCATCAGCATTGGATCGCCAAACGAAGCATACAGCTTCAGCGGTGGACTTTATCCCGGGAGCAAGCTAGTCCTTTGCGCTGTTATGATAAGAGGTCGACACCGCGGCTTACCGGTTGCGCTTGATCGCGCCGTTAGACTTCCTAGCGACGATATGCATATGGTCGAAGAGGAAGATCATCTTCGTAGGTCCATGTCGGTAAGGCGACCGAGTCTTGACGACATGGGGGTATGATTTGATGGCCGCCACCGATCAATGTGGATGTGGGTCCGCAGGTCGTTGCTCTGCCTTTTTGAGTGAATAGCTGCTTCACCAAAGATTCAACGTAGCAAGTTGGATATCTCTCACATACTATAGTAATCTAGTAGTAGCGGGCTTCTACCCTCTCTAGGTTAAATCAGTCATATCCAATGTGAGTCCCGTAGCCTCCCGCATCATATACCTCATAAGCAGAAGCAATTATGTAGAAAAGAGATTGATGGCACCTCTATAACTGGATACGAATTACATTATCCGATCTCGCCGTCTAGATATCCCGTTTCGGTGCTCCTGTATCCCGTGTGCGACAATAATAATACTAGTTCATGCCGTACTATGTGAATGGGTATAGTGACACGGTGGTAGAATAGGTATGCTTAAAGCAACCGCAGCATCGGTATGTAATAAATCGGTAGATTACGTCCCTCTGAATTTAATATCCGGGCGTGACCGCCATATTTGTTCGGTAATAAGCCGAATCGTGGCCATCAGCCACCTTTGTCCTCACTTTTAGCTTGTTGTAGTCTATTGCCGTCCAAATATGCCTAACTTATTCTGACTAAACCACAGCCACGTAGGGGCCGCTACATGCGGGCTGTGGGTACGATATATCTAATACAGGAGGCGGAGGAAGGGTTGAGAGGAACACAGAAAACAGGCTTATAGACAAATAAAATAAAGCCGCTACAGCATAGGCCAAGGGGGTGAAGGAATAATGCAACCAATATTTACATTGTTATATACAACTATCATTATAAAATATAATCATGTCTCATAACCCCCCACCAAAAAAAAGCTTCGTCTGCCTCGGATCAACCGAATTCGTCGTCCGGCTGCGCTGCTTCTTCTCAGCACTGCCTTTCCGCCTCTTGGGGGGTGGCGCGGCATCAGCTGCAGGGCTCGGGCTAGGTTTGAATTCGCGCTGCACTGTGTCGCGGATGGTCTGGCGCGAGAGACATAAGTCGATGTGCTCGTTGAACAGGCGCTCGTCGGTGGCTTGCGGCCGGCTGCAGATGGGACAGTCCCAGTATTCCTCGGGCTCAGGGTCAGGGACTGGGCGTTTGGGGTTGGGGAGGATCTCTTTGCCGTGGTGTCGGTAGGTGGCGTCTTTCTCGGCTGTGGGATGCTCGGCAAGATCTAAGCCGGGCTCGTGGGTATCATCGTGAGGTAATTGGTCTAGTAGTTCCTGTGGAATATCATCTTCTTGGGCAGATTCGTTTATCCCTCCGTCGGCCACCCCGTTAGACCCTGTTTTTAAAGGTCTCAATCCAAAAAATGTACGAGCGTCAGGCTTCTTGGTGCTAACTAGATGCGTGCATCGGAGGCCCATTAAGCGTAGCTTCATACCCGGGACCTCCTGCTCTAGCTTTGCCAAGATAGGCAATGAATAATTGTATAAGTCGTCCGCGGCGCAAATAGCTCTCGGCGTCACAACTTGCCTTGTCAAAACTTCGTACGTATGCAATTTTACTTTCAAGACAAGAGTCCGGCCCTTGCACTCGGCCCTTCGCATGTCCTTTTCCAACTCGTCAGCTGTCTGCTTCAGTTTTTCTCTCAGTTGTACTGGGTCTGAAAGATCTCGGAACGTGCTTTCGGTTCCGACGCTCTTCCGTTCGAACTCATCTACGGGCTGGATTTCAGTTCTGCCCAATCCGAGATAACACATAAGCAGGAATTCGTACGTCTTTTCACCGAAAAGCTGACGTCTGCGATAAGTTAGTACTTTGAATAAGCAGATTCCTTGTTATGTTACCGCCTAGCCTAGTCGCTGAGAGAATTATTACGGGTTGTAAAATTGAAAGGTATTTTAACATACTAAGCACGTGTTAGTCTTGGTTTAAAGTAAATGGATCATCATACCGAAATCCAGAAATGAGTCTGTGCACGTACCAAAAGCTGACGATGGGGATAGACATCGCCACATGTTTTGACTCCTATCTCCTGCAACTCCCGTTCTAAAACCCGCCCAATTCCGTTTACCTTTCTTGTCGGAAGATCGCGCATAAAATTCATTATAGCATTACGATCGTTAGGCAGAATGTACTGGCCATTAGGCTTGTTCATATTGGAACAGATTTTAGCTAGTTTCGCATTTGCGGCAATTCCAGCAGAAACCGTGATCCTCGTCTTCTCATGAATCTCATCCCGCATTTGCTGGACAGTATCCTCGGGCGTCATGTCGTGTTCGACGCAGTACTCAGTGATGTTGAGATAAGCCTCGTCGATGCTGGCGCTTTGGAACCTCGGATCGTATTGCGCCAAGACTTGCCGAACCTCCTGGGCTTTAGAGGTGTACTTGTCAAAGTTGAGGGGGAGAAGAAGGAGGTTAGGACAGAGCTTCTTGGCGACGAAGCCGGCCATGCCGCTTCGACAGCCGAATTTTCGAGCGAGGTAATTGCAGGTGGTGAGCACGCCGCCTCCGACGGCGAATGGGACATCCTTGAGCTCGGGACGGTCGAGCTGCTCGACGGCAGCATAGAAAGCATCGCAATCGACGTGGACTATATACTGAGTCAGGTCACGGGAGACCTCGAGCTGGGTTATGAGTTGGTCTGCAGCCCGGAGCTCGCGAGTTAGATCGAGCTTCTCCAGACGACGCTTCTTTTCCAGAATCTGTTCAATCTTCTGCGTTAAGATTTTGTCCTTGACTTCTTCGCGGTTGAAGAACTTGGATCCTTTGGATGCGTTATAAATGATTTCCGAAACCTTAGATTGGTCGACAGAGTCCTGGCCGGCTTTGGTGAGCGAAGGCCCGAGGAGAGAGTATTTGAGAGTGTTGTGTTGGTGGTCATCTTGCTTAGACCCTTCTTCTACCTTGGGCTCTTTTTTCTCGGTTTTCGGTGTACCAGGTCTCTCGGCCATTTCGAATTCATGCTGTAAATTTGAAGACGATTCCTCTTATCGTAACCATGATTCCTTGTCGCGGGGGTAATGAGACAAAGATACTCGACGACTCGCGGCGCGTCATCCTTTTAACGCGTTGCCACGTGATGCCTTTAATGAGGTACAAAGTACAACACACATACATCGCAAGACGGAGGCGGGTGCGACGGACACTGTGAGGGGTATTTTAGGTGGGTAATGGTAGCGGGGTCCCTTGCCCTGTATTGTACCTGTACCCGTAATCCGTACATATTCCAAATCCATCGGCTTAGACTCAGTTTTAGACTCTTTACAGCAACAACCACAACAATGAACAATATTATATCGTGATATCATACGGAATGTATCTTCCAAAATTACATATATCAAATTATACATATACCACAAGTGATCATTATACAACTAAATCCTCTTCAAAGTCCTCCACGCTTGTATGACATTCTGAGAATTCCTCTTCATCCTCCTCAATCTTCAACTCATCATCAGGCTCCGTCTCTATCTCCGTCTTCCCTTCCAAGATCCTACTCACCGAATCCTCCAGTAGCGCTCCAATGAAGCCTCTATTCTTCTGATCGTTCTTCACCATGTTAGCAAGCACCTCTTTCTCTAGGTTATCGAGCTCTTCTCGCCGCCGTTGAATATCCTGCAGTTCGGCTGTGGCAGAATACACCAGTGCATTTTTATTCATTTCCATCGCCTTGACCTTATTATCTAGCTCGTAGCATATCTCCTCGAGCTGGCCCGCATGCTTATGGTCGCCAATTGTAAACGCCAGTGTTACTGCTGACTTGAGCAGATCTTTTATACCACGGGCAGTCATCGGGACCCTATGAACCGCGCTATGTCGCAGCTTGTCTGTCGAGAATAGCACCTCTCTCAAAGGCGTTGCTCCCAATTCAAACGCGGTCTCGGGTATCTCGTCAGCCATCTTGGCCAGCAGTCGCGTCCATTTCGTCAGTTCGAGTGAACTAGCGCAGTCCAACCCGGTATTCTCGAGAAGTGCCGGCATATGTTTCTTAGTGAATTCGAAGCAGCTTTCTTCTAGCATACGTTGCGCCTCGCTCAGAATAATATGCTGTGCCTTATACGGAATGTATGTCGGGTATAGTGAAGGCAAAGTCGCTAGCTGTTGCGAAATCACGTTTCCGGTGCTTGGGAACTCGATTTTAGGGCGCGGACTATCTCTTTCAGTTCCGTGAATCACCTCGCCAGTTTGCTTGGTGGAATTCTCGTCAGCTTGCTTGGTGACGTTCTCGTCAACTTGCTTAGTGACACCCTCATCAGCATATTCGATGGCGTGCTCGTCAGTTTGTTTAGCAGCGTCCTCATTGGGTTGCTTAGTAGCATGTTCTTCAACTCCGGCATTGCATTCGGCGTCGTTTTGTCCTACGCTGGCAACTTCGTCTAGTACCTCGGCTGTCGATTTGGCAGCTTTGACTTCAGATGCTTCACGTTTGACCTCCTGTTCCGGCGGCGTATAGAACAATTCGGGAAATTCGGCCTTCGCTTTGAGCTCTGACTTAAAGATATGCCGTGATAGGAGGTCGCGAAGAATCTCGACCACATTCTCTACACTCAAGCCACGGGTAAGTGATCTTAGCACCTGTGGCCATCTCTCGATCTCTTCGCGTATCTTCTTCTGTTTTCGTAGCTCCGCTTTCTGGCCCACGAAGATGGCTCGACATGCGAGGTAAACGCGCTGTCTGTCCGCTTTGTTCGCCATGTTCTCCCCAGGATATGGGAACCTCCAGGATCTAGCCGGATAAGAACGTACTAGTTGCTGACCCTTAGTTGTTGACCCTTTAAAGAGAGGCTTCAGCTTAGTCGGGCAGCGATGCAGGCGGAGAGCAGCATAAAAACTCCGTTTCTTTACTCCAACTTCGCCTATACTTACCTCATCCAAAGCTAGTATGTGTTTCGCAAGCCATGTGTCGCCCATGCCCCGAGCGTTTATTGGTGAGACAGCTCAGCACTGTAGCCCCCCAACATGGGACAACTGGTCGCATATACGTGCTACCCCACAACTCGAGATACATATCCTCGAGGCTCTCCTATGACTTGCAACCACATCATTACGGAACCAGAACCATTCGCTATCCTATACGTATTAACCAACAGGAACCATTGAGTTGAGTTCGCCGAGCCTCCAATTCCTAAGAGCCTCTTAGTCCACGTAAATTATGTTGCTTTATCCTTTATTAATCACGCCAACAATAGAGTGGTCTTTGATTTAACAAGAATTGCCAGCAGATATTATTTATATTATATGTCATAATCTGGCATATTGGTGGCCGAGATAACCTAGAAGTTCAACCCTTCCCTGCTACCCTATTCCAGCGGCGAGACTTCGGGGGGCTCGTATCCAAGACGGCAATACTCAAGTTGGGTAACGAGAATTGAAAGCTACCAGTCTCATCTGATTGAATCGTCTTCTTACTAGTCTTAACAACATTAATACCAGTGGCTGGATCATTAACACCATACGGATCTTTCGGTCCCGTTAATATAGTTAACTCAGCAGTCGTTCCCTGTTTAACACCCTCGAAAGATAGTTTGACAGGGACATCAGCACCGTCTGTTGAGTTATAGACTGCTGCTTTGAAAATTTGACCTCCTGTTTTATTGTTCTTTCCAGCCACGTAGTAGAGAGGATCAAACTGCGAGGTTGCCGGTAGCGTCTCTGTCAGGGGATGAGCAGCCATAAGCTATTCGCAAGTGGTATAAACATGTATCCCAGAGCTTCGGATATAATGGTATAACTTACTTCCCATACGTACCAGGACGTAGATCGAGTAACATTGTCAGCAGTAAACTGGATTGCCGTGATTTCCCACTGCCAGCGGTTCACTACCACATAAAGATCAATAATGTTCGTTTGAAATAGACCATACCATCGAGACCAATAAGGTCTTCCTCACGCCAAGAAGAGGTATAAGTGATGACTTTTACGTACTGTTTCGAATGATCGGTGCCTATGGCATTATTAGTTCGAGCTATTCAAATGCCCCCGACTTTAAGAAACTCATGAAACTGTAACTTACATATGCCGCTCCAATGATTCTGTCCGCATTGCGCTCGTAGCCGATGAGTGACACTGCTTCACCAATGGCGCCTCCCCACCTATACGAAGCTTCGAGTTAGCATATATCCAAGCCCTACGGCCAACGTAGTCGTAATATTCAAGCGACGCCTGAAGAATTACGGAAAAGGAAAAAAAAAGATTTAATGAGTTCAATAGAATTATGTTTACCAGGGGAACGGTTGTTGCGGCCCATTCCAGCCAGAACCACCATTCGGATGGATCGCCGCCATCTCGCCAATAATATGCGGTTGCTTCACATTATCAAACTTCGAAAACTCAGCGACAAGCGTGTCCGGCTCAGCATACACGTGGTAGTCGCCGGCTCCCGGTGCCGGAATGTCGTATCCATCATAAACCGAGCCCGAGGATATAACTTGGATATCTGGGTACGCCTTGTTAATGGCCTCGAGGAACAGCGGGAATCGGTACTCCTTGAACGTGTCCCAGCCCTCCGGCGCCCCGGAAAGCCAGTCTTCGTTGCCGATCTCTACGTATTCTAGCTTCCAGGGCTCCGAGTGCCCTAGCTGCGCGCGGACGGAACCCCATTTGGAGTCCGCGGGTCCGCGGATAAATTCGATTTGGTCGAGGGCATCGTCGATGAAGAATTGTAGGTCGGCCTGTGGTGTGATGTCCCCGTTGAGGGAGAGGCCGTCATAGACGCCAAGGACTATCGTCACTAAGTCAGATATTGCCTAGTCCGAGGTATAAGGGTAGGGATGAAAACCTACCAACATCCATCCCCAAGTCTTCCGCGAATTCTAGGTATTCAAGTAACCCTAAGCCGTTGGTTTGCTGGTATCCCCATACCCCTGTGAAGCCAGGCCGGTTCTTCAGGGGACCAAGTGTGTTCTTCCAGTCCCACCATGTCCTGTTTGTCAAGCCTTCAAGCACTGCAGGGTACAAGTATAGTCAGTCAGTTATCAAGGCTATACCTAGAATTCGGAAATCGCACGAATAAAAACGACTCACTATTGCCACCCGGAATACGGAAGAGGGTAGGGTGAAGTTGTTCCAATGCCTCAGCTATATCGACACGCATCCCATTTTGCCGTCCTTTGAATGTGGGAGGGAAGAGACTGATGAGATTGAAGTCAAGCGACCCTGCCTCCGCGCCCTATAAGACATATATCTATTAGACCAGCAATACCTACTTCATAACCTTGATGAGCTACTTACCGAGGCATCAAAGGTGATGGCAAAAGTATTATTAGAATTCGGCGCGTCTCCCGAGGCAGTCAACTCGAAGTTATGTTCCGTCCACTTATCAGCAGTAGACTGGGATTCGACTTTCACGCTCCCAAAAGTCTGGCCCGTGATATTCGACTGCAGCGAGGCAGTAAATTGGCCGGAATATGCGCCCTTGACCCAGAACGAACCGCTATATTTCCTGCCAGCCTTGACGTCTATACCCCAGTACCCGTCATTTAGAAATCCTACCTGGCCCTGTCCCTTGGGAGCGGCAACGTTTAGGGACGTGACCAGGACGTCAGATAGCGGCGTGCTGAGGTTTTTCAACGATAGCTTGGTGCCGTTGACGGAATGCCATCCGTCGAGTGAAGCTGGGAAGCGTTCACTGATCTGGAAGGCTCGGTTGCGGATTAGCTCGGCATAGAGGCCGCCGTCGCCCGAGTTGTTGATGTCCTAGTTGAATATGCTGAGTATTATATCCCTTACTTTAAGAGTTAGCGAGTATATGTATCACTTACTTCGTGCAGGAAGCCATATTGGTGACCGTTAGTAGCGTTCCCGCCAGTCGAATTTACGGAGATATCAATAGCAGCAGCTAAAGAGGCCGCGCACGCAAAGGTGCTAGCTAACACGGATAGTTTTAGATGCATCGTGTCAACGAGGGACGATGATTGTACAACGCGCTATCTAAGATCACCTCACAGTCTAACCGCACCTTCAAAATCCCATTATATATATATATTAATTCTTATCTTTATATACACAGTAGAATACAACACATCCTCTAATAAGACCGAGGACTCCATGGCGTGCGGAGATGCACCTTGGACCTGCGTCTCGTATAATGCCGGCACAAACGACGATCCGGGGCAACCCGGCCACTCGCCATATGCGTGCCTATCGGAACTCGTCCCCGTTCCCAAGATCCGGGCACAACGAAGCCCAGTCCGTGATGCAGGGAGCATTCCCCAGCGCTAGCATGGAGCTTTCGGCTGCTTGAGGACCGAGTGTTACATTGGCTCATCAACCCGGACCGGAATCCCGCTTTCTTAATGGTGGAATTGCCGAATTGCGGCGTCCTGGGAAAGGAAGTCGGGGAAGTGGGGGTATTATCTGAGCTTGGTCTTGGTCCTGGTCTTGGAGTTGGGCTTGGAGGCTTGATCCACCCCGTCGAATACACTACGACGTATGGACAGGTTACTGGCGGATTTATTTGCTTTTCTAGGTTTCTTCAAGTATAGAGCAGTCCGTCATACCTGACTATATGGGAAAGTCTCAGCTACAAGACGGGTGAGATGATGCCATGATCAGCCCAAGAAACGCCATACATTTTTAGATCAGGTAGATTAGCTTAAATAAAACGTCAAGTGTTTCCATCTCGCATAATAATATATTTGTGGTTATATTTTATTAGATTTCACATGAATTCACAGCAAGCTTCCACCCATATAGTACTCGATATCAACCGATAGCATTTATCAAATCATCATAGCAATCCAGGAGTATCACGACCAGCAAACCCGTTTCATTCATTTAAGCACCGCCCTCGCGTTTGGCATATTCCTCCTCGATGGCCTCTTGGTATTTCTCCTCGGGCGATCGGGGGTCTTCGTGAAGTACACCATCCTTAATTAGTTTCTCAGGAGGAGGTCGGTGGGAGATCTTGTCGTTGAGCGAGTCGGCGCGCATGTGTCTTGCGAGCTACATTTTCGAGCTCGCAGTTAGTTATTTTTTTTTTTTTTTTTCGCTTCTGTGAACGTCTTGAAAGGTAAGAAGGGCATATATAAATACTCACCTCCCTCTGCTTTTCCTGGAGGCCAGGGGCGACATTCGAAGCAGGCAAGATATTCCCTATTGAAGAGAAGGCTGTGTCAGTTTTATACATGACGTGTAGGCGATGGTAATTATCGTACTCTCGATAAGCTCGGAGCGGTCAGGACGCTGCTTCAAGTGTTGTTCGAGTGAGTTCCTCCTCTCACCGTTCGGGCGAATAGGGGAAATGGGAGTCTCGTCGACTGAAGGCTGCTGCTGCTCCTTGTTTTCGTCGGCCATGCTGTCTATTTTATTGTTTACGGTAGGATATAGAGAGGTAGGAGGTAGGTAAGGTAAGGTAATTTCGAGCTTGTCTTAAGCTGTCGACCTTTGCGAGCCTAAAACAATAAGATTTGATGAAGACAACAATAAAGAGTTTGGATCTATCGTTCGACAAGGAACGGCAAGGAACAAGGGGCTTATATCATGTGGGGAGACCTTTAACTCACGTATTAGCTGCATACATGTAGCTAGTGTATGCTAGTGTACAGGTACCTGTCTGCTGTAAACAATGAAACAGAAAATGGTTCAATCAGCTGAAAGCGTCAGGCGCCGATGACATAGCAACGGGTAGCTGGTAGGCAGTAGGCCACCTCCAATGCCCCGCACAGCCCACCAAAACAACCTTACATTAGCGCCACCCACGAGTGACGTAGCGTACGATGCACTCTCATGATACGTTCGTTTAGGTACATAGTAGACAAATTGTGCCCTATATTTATGTAACGCTATTTTGTTTATATTTTGTTTACTGCCAACTTGAGTAGTTTATTATTGTTTGCATTTTGAGAGAAGCGAGGAATGAGAAACTCTACTTTATAATTGTGATGCTGCCAACAACACAATATGTAGTAGCATTGAATATAGGGCCATAGCACTAATAAAGCCTCACCGCCCCTAAGCTCGAGTAGTCCTGTTTGCTCCTTAGTGTATTTTCTAATACTATTACAGCACTATGAAACACATAGCTATCCACTCTGTAGAAAACTACGATCAGAAAGGGATAGTTAGCTAATATAGTAAAATATGTAAGGTATGCCCTATTACTCAAAATTGAATAGTTCACGATAAATCAATGTCCTCTTATACACTATTCACAAATCAAGACTTCGAAAAGACCCAATATATACCCTTTAAGAATGGTCCAAAGAACTTCGCCAATCAGATCTAAATAAAGGTGCACCGTGTCCAGTTGGCACTTAAAGGCATCGAGCATAAACTCATAACACTCCCGCTCCCTCAAGCAACTTTAAGTCACCTAATAAGAAGATGAAATGAATATAGAGATATCGACGTTTACCACTTTAGTCAAGGTTAAAGAATCGATTTATAGAATTGTATAACCTAATACAAATAGGTAGTGAGAGCAGTCTTAGTTGATTATTTAGTCTACCTAAGTTGCGTTCTACCCTCCTTAAGTACACCAGATGTGTCTTTCATCATATTGCAACATACATCTATTCTTTATTATTCCATTAATTGTATATCTATGCCTAAGGTTTACCTTAGGATGTTGTGTTAAATGCGAGTAAAAATTTCTTATTTGGGATATATGCCTTATTACCTTATAGATAATTTTCCTGCCTTATAAAGTAATAAATACCTATGAAAAGAATAAGTTTATGCATTTGTTTAAGGCTTTTTTATTACTTAGGTTTTGAGGGTATTGAGAGTATTATCTAGCCGTATAATAGTAGTAAATTTGGGCTATTATAGGGGTGTTGGTAGATAAGGTTTAGTCTATATTATACGTACGGATTAAAGGAGGCAAAAGAAAAGATATAATGCAGTAAGAGACTTTCTTGTATTTAATGATGCATGATCGTAAGATCGAGATAGATGCGGTCTCGAGGGAGATACGCATCTATATATTCGTAAGGGACGGATTATTATCTTAATAAAGGGTGCCCTCTAGTTTAATAGGGGGTAGGTTGTTAATATAATAATAATAATTATAAAAATAATAAAAATAATATAAAAATATGGTGTAGTGTAAACCTTAGGCTTTTGTGTTGCCCGGGGGGGTAACCTCTAGTCTAATCTTGGTCACAGGTAGTGAAAAGAAAATCAAAGTAGATAAACACTGCAGATCCAAGTTGCTATAAACACTCAAGATTGTCTACTGAACGAACCGTCTATAAAGCTGACCTAGTATATCTAAATCAAACAGCTCTACACTTGAACTTCTAAATTAACCCACATTAAGCACTTAGATCTCCACACATTATAGTTGAGTCTTCCTTGTAGACGATGGTAAGGTGAAATATTATGGATGCCATTAGATTTAAACCCTAAACAATGGCCAATGGCAAATTATAAATGTACCATCCCACCACACGCTTTTGCAGTTTCACGTCAGAGTGAGCTCTGTACTATATAGGCTATCAATGCTCTCCTCAAAACGCTTATACCCCCCTTTGTGTTCCTTTATATAGAAATTCTCTTTGATATATATATATTGTGAGCTGTCCACCCGACTATAACCAGCAGTAAGTTACAGCAAGTCATCTCTCCTCGGGGATAGCGGTTCATATATAGATTATATAACGTTGTCAAACCTACTCGATTACGAACAAAGCTCGAGCTCTAGAAAATATAACGTGATAGTAGGCCCTGAGTGTTATACCATATTCTGGGCTTTCATTCGTAAAAGTATAGAACTGTTTTCTGTTGCCTACAATGTGAACTTAAAAGCATGAAAATAACTTCGTTTCTCTGCAAGGCGTTGGAATTCTATGTGAAACATCTAGAATAAAGGATGCTTCCAGTATATATAGTCACAAGCTTCCGCAGCCAGGTTTAGAGTTCCTTGGATAACAATGCAGTTGTCTCTATGCTTGCTCGACCTCGTGACACGAGCTATAAACTCCAGCGAAGGAGACCAGCGGCCATCTAGGGCGCCTTTTTTATAAATATCTCATCTCACACTTTGACTTTTCCTATGAACTAGTTAATTTGAAATGCCAGAGACTATCATTATAGGAGGCAATTTGCGCAACTTATATAGAGGTAGCTCCAAAATTGACCGGAGTAGACGACTGAGTTCATTTAAATGAAATACCTGGCATGAAAGGGGAAAGGAGGTTATAAACTCCCAATACTGCAGCACAGAAGCACACTTTCTATACACTTTCTACATGTAAAAACTTCGAGGAATTGGTGTGATTACATTTGCCAATCGGAATTCCCGTGAGTCAAATAGACCCGTAACCTAGCCGAGAATAGACTAACGCTTCCTACTATTCCGATAACGACGACTATTTACGCACGTCGGTTCCCCCTGCTTGATATATCGGAGCATGAGAAGCGTACGTGACCCCGGGCCCCGGACTGCGTTCCTAGAAGCTATCGATATCACGGCCCTGCGCCGCTACCGGAACATCCTATACGACAGAACTAATCACTATTCCCGGGTTTCATGACGTGCGATATACAACCTATAATTTTATTCGTTTGCACCATTTCCACTGACCCGGAGTACGAGTTAATTCTGTGGACCTCCTTTTCATGATAGGAGTTGAGTTAGCGAGCGGTGACGCTTGACCCCCACCTAAAACTCCTACGTTGTCCCCGATTTGACCAGTTGGGGTTCTTTGTCCTTCTAGTAGGTTACATTGGGGAAAGCCTAGACAAACCTATGTTCATAGCTATGCACATTCTATGCAGAGGGGAAAGATGGGTGGGCTCCCGGTTGGCCATGATGTCAACTTTAGGTGGACCGAATAAATGTAGGTTGGACCCTGAGAGCTGCAAAGGGAGCGAGTCGGGGATTAGTCCTGTAAGGTTTGCCCAACGCCGAACCTTTTCGGTTCTGGTAAGAGGATGGCCACGGTTGTGTCACAAGCCGGCAGCGATAGTTGGATTATTACTACAGCCAGTGGCGGTATCGGAATTTTTGATATCATTGTGTATCTGGGTCAGAGAAAGCGACTTAGAACACATCGAGCTGCATGATAATCTGACGATCTTGAGTTGGCCGCGCTTATAATAACCGATAAGACTAACCCTAGCTTAGGTACACAATAGCTTCTCGGCAGGATGGAGTATAAGAGCTAGTGCGAACTCACTGGTATGGCGGACTGATCTCAATCCCCCCTTCATAGAGCTTTAGGTTCGTAGTTTATACATTCAGTATTGCTGTGTCATTATAGAATATACACTTCAACTCTTAATACGTCTCGTACCCCTTAAAAGCACTTACTATGAGTGTTGAACAAAGAGTAAACAGAGGGGACCATCCCGAACCCCCTTATCCTCTTCATCCTTCTATAGTACACCGCATCAACCCTCAGTACGAGGCTTTCTACAACAGGCATATTATCAAGAACCAGCAAGTTCACTTGCAGCCCATAGAAGCTTCGCGGGCAAGCGGCACTCTAATCCCAGGTGCTGGGCCCCTTGCCCCCGTGGCCCAGACAAAGGACTATAGTATTTCGCGGCAGGAGACCACCGGCCCGGATGTCAGAATTCGAGCTTTCACACCCAATGGATCCAAGCCCGTCGATGGATGGCCTGTTTGTCTTTACTTTCACGGCGGCGGTTGGGTTTTAGGAACTATCGACACAGAAAATGTAATCGCAACAAATCTCTGCGCCCGTAGCAAGTGCGTTGTCATCGCCGTGGACTACAGGTCAGTACCCTTTTATCCTGTAATAACTTGAACAAGGAAATGCTAATGCTCCCTCCTAAGACTTGCCCCCGAAGACCCCTTTCCCGCTGCAGTGGACGACTGCTGGGAAGCTGTGCTGTGGGCTCTAGGCCAAGGGAAAGAAGCTTTACAACTAGATACTACCAAGCTTGCTACTGGAGGCTCTTCTGCGGGCGGAAACCTGGCTGCGATCATGTGTCAACGTGCCGCCACCCTAGGCAGTTTCAAGTTCTCCTTACAGTTGCTTTCGGTCCCGGTGACGGACAATACGGCAGATGTACACAACAACGCATCGTGGAGGGAAAACCAGCATACCCCGGCCCTCCCTGCTCCCAAGATGCTCTGGTACCGAGAACACTACCTGCCCAACCGGTCAGACTGGTCTCACCCCGAAGCGAGTCCACTTCTATGGGAGGGGGACTGGTCGAAACTTCCGCCCGCCGTTATCGTTGTTGGCGAACTAGACGTGTTAAGAGATGAAGGGCGACAGTTTGGAGATAAACTGCGCAATGCGGGCGTAAAGGCTGACGTTCATACCATGGCTGGCCAGCCACACCCCTTTATTGCTATGGATGGTGTCTTGGACGCTGGAAAGGAAGCGATTACATATTTTTGTGACGCGCTTAGGGAAGCAATGTACCCGGAACCGGATTCTGTGCCTAAATAAAATAAGCGATGCGCTATGTCTCACGATTGTCTTTATGAGAAGTACCTAGATTCATGGATGTATCAATACATTGGGTAGTCATTCAAAATGTTAGACGATCCATTCTGAGTTCATGTGGTTTGGGCTAGCTTCTCAGTTCAAAACTGAACTTGTTTAACGCCAACTATAGTGTGAGAGGGCTATGGTGTGACAGATGAAGATGTAAAGGTTGGGTTACTTATATTTGATTACCTATCATAGGAACAATAGGTAGATGTAAGATGTAATACTTGTAAATGTTACTGATTGATATTTCTGTGTGCTGAGAAAAGTCTTGTAATTAAACTAAGACATACATGACTTGGGTATTTTTACCCCCCCTCCAGTTCAAGTGACACCGTAATACTTGCTATGTTCACCTAGCACTCAATCGCTTTACTATGTTAAAAAAAACCCCTGTTCAGTAAGTTGCGGTGCACTCAATCTCGACGTCCACATTGAGTGGTAGCGTCTTAACGGCAACACATCTACGAGCAATTAGCTCCTGTAAATATACCCTTCTTTGGGTGTGGTCTGATGGAACCGTCACTTACGTTCTGCAAGGCTTTACTTCACCCCAATATTGACTGTAGATTTCGTTCATGGCCGCGAAGTTGTCCATGTCGGAGAGGAAGACGTTGACTTTTACAACCTTGTTGAGGTCGGAGCCGGAAGCTTCAAGGATGGCACCAAGGTTCTTGATACATTGGTGCTATTATATGAATGGTACTCCATTAGCGGAGTTTCACGGGGGATGAGGTCGGTGCTCTGACTTACAGTGTGAGCTTGAATATCGCCGTCGACTATTTTGCCCGTCGCGGCGTCCATGGGAACCGCCCCAGAAACGAACACAAAGCCGTTGGCCTTGATGGCCTGGCTATAAATTCCGGCTAAGGGCTTTGGTGCCTTGTCCGTAAGAACGGGAGTCTTTTCGGCCATGGCGTATGGCGTATACCTTGTTCGTTCGAAAGATTACTATTACTATTGATGTAGGTTGTTTACCGTTTACCGAGGTATCTTTCTGCAGGTTAATAGTTTCGAGTTCGTGTCGCTTGGAACTTCCTAGACGTAAAAGATGGTTCAAGCAAGCCCAACATACATAAGTTTACCTAAATATTCAATGCAAGCCGAGAGGGGAAGGGTTACTTTACCACCTGTACCCCATATCGGCGTTCTTCGGACATTGTGACTTGCTGTATACGGTACATACATAACGCACTTAGATGTATGCACTGATGCAGCCAAACAGAACAGTACCTGGCACATGACTTACATTCATGGTTAACATATTCCTGGATGTATCCAAGTGGGTAGTTGAAAGGGAAAGCAAAGATGTAAGAGGATAAGATTCGTAATGTAATGGATATCTTATACCTAAACCCCCCCACCGAACCCCATCAACTCCATGATAGGTACCCCAAGATGAACCCCCCACCACATACGTATGCATGTATTATATTAACTATGAGGTAAGGCTTCTCTCCGTTAGGGCTAAGTACATAGTATCTCGAACTAGATAACTAATATATCGGTTCGACATATCATATATGCAGCCTGTAAACAAGCTCTGCATACCTATCCTTTTCTTCTACCACTTCCACTTCATTGTCTAACATTACCAATCTTATCAAACCAACCAGCCCAACCTGCAAAACCCCGTATCAGCTTGGACAGGGATATGGTTATCCTCTAATCCCAGCGTGGTAGGATCTGCTAAGGTACACTATCTACGGATTACCTACTTACATCTCATTTTATCTCGTTTATCTCCCCCAGAGTTTAGATAACGACGGTTAGTGTTACCTTGAAATGGAAAGAAGATTCGTCGTCAGCGCCGAACCGACAAGGACGGATTGGGTGGTTATCATGCGATGGAAGGTAGACAGCTCGGCTATTGTACATACATCCGTAATCAACATCCATGATCAACAACCAGGATCAACATCCTTTGTTCTTTAATATGACCTGTCGAAACTCAGCTCCATAAACTTCCCACTGCTTATGATATATCTACATTCCAGAGCCCGCCTTCTTCGAATCTCCTGTTCCACAGGTCTCTAGTTGTAGTTGCGCCACCGCTTCACCATGGCAGGTGATAAGTTCGTCGGCCTCGCAAAGTCGGACTCAGCTGGGATAAAAAAGGATATCGTCTCAAGCAATAGGAATAGCAACGATGTCGAAAGTCATGCGGTTTTCTCCGAGACGACGGCGGACCTCATTGACCCTAACGCCGAGAGGGCACTCTGTCGCAAGTTCGATCTCCGTTTGCTGCCGATTCTAGCTATCATGGTAAGTTCTTGGAAGCAACCGTCGCAAATCCCTTAGTTACTCTAACAATCTCTCCAAGTATCTATTCAACGCCCTCGATAAAGGCAACCTAGGAAACGCGCAAACCGCCGGTCTATCCAAAGGTAAGCAAACCAAAGCCAACTCATCTCTTCCATGCATCCATCTTACCCATCCCAATCGCAGACCTAAACTTCAAAGAGGGGCAGTACAACCAGATCGTCGGGATATTCTTCGTCCCCTACGTCCTTTTCGCACCGCCACTAGCCATGCTAGGCAAGAAATACGGTCCGGCCCTCGTCCTCCCCGTTCTGATGTTCTGCTTCGGCTCTCTCACGCTGCTCACCGCGGCGACGAAAAACTTCGGCGGCGTGTTTGCTCTGCGATGGTTTCTGGGCATGGCGGAGTCGGGTTTCTTCCCGCTTGTCATCTACTACCTGACGACTTTCTACCGGCGCGGCGAGCTCGCGCGTCGTCTTGCCATCTTCTACGCTGCGTCTAATATTGCCAATGCTTTTAGCGGGTTGCTTGCTTTCGGCGTCTTCCAGATCAAGTCAACGCTCGTAGATCACCCCTGGCGATGGCTTTTCATCGTCGAGGGCAGTGTCACGGTGTGTTTTTCGATATTTGCTTTCTTCTATCTGCCCCGTTCCGCCGCCGAGGCCCGGTTTCTGAACGAGGAGGAGAAGGCGCTGGCGTACCGGCGGATACAGATCGATAGTTCTTCTATCGTTAATGAGAAGTTCGTCCTGAGGGATTCTCTAAAAATATTCAAGAGGCCGACGACCTACGGCTTCCTAATCACTGAGATATGTCTCGGTGTACCCCTGCAATCAGTAAATATATTCTTGCCTCAGATTGTGCAGGGATTGGTTAACGATACAGTTACGGTCAATCTATATACCGTTGCGCCGAATGTCACAGTGAGAACGAGTCGTCCAAGCTCCCTAGTTAATATACGCACCTTTTCTAATGTGCTTATAGGGCGCGGTTATGTTACTAGTGTTGGCCTTTACATCTGATGGCTTGCGAATCCGGTTCCCCTTCGTATGCCTCGGCTTCGCGTTTACGTTCATCGGATTTATTATATACGCTTCGATATCAGACGTTCATGCGCAGATACGGGTGGCCTACTTTGCGACGTTCATGATGTGCTGGGGGACGTCTGCACCATCTGTCCTATTAAGTACTGTAAGTTATTTCTCGAGCCACCGAATAAGTTTGGCCAAACCTTGGCTGGATTTTACATCCCAATTCTCAGATATCTAACTTCCTTGACAGTGGTATAATAACAATGTGGCGCACGAGGGTGAACGTCTAACGTTGACCTCGGTCGGAGTCCCCCTGGCGAATCTTATGGGGCTAGTATCTAGTTACGTATTCCAGGAGAAAGATGCGCCCAAGTACTTACCTGCTTTAATCACCACCGCGTCTTTTGGTGCTACTGGATGTCTTGTTGCTGGATCCCTAGGTCTATACAGTAAGTCATATGTTTCTCTGTTGATTTTCAAAGTTTATGCAGGGGATCCAGAGATATATCTGAACCCTTGAAATTCTCGCCTGAGGTAACCAGTACTGACATATTGTTAAAGTGCTTTGGGATAATAAAAGCCGCAACCGCCGGCAGGGAGTGAATCTCACCGCGAAAGACGTACCAACGTTGCAGCTGAGAGACGGTCCTAAAGTTGAAGAGTTTAGATGGTTCTTATAAGAAAATGAGGTCATCTAAACACGCTGAGCTCGTCGTTGAGTCTTCATAAAGAATTGAATAAAATAATATATTGTACAACTCAACACTAGTCTGTCCAGTCAGACGTGGGTGTTTTAAAAAATCCCGCCTATTTACCCAAACCGCCAGCGAGTGTCAAGAAGCCTTCCTTATACCAACGCAGTCGTCACTAAAATAATACGCTAAAACTCCTATGAATATAGCCTCCCGATGGTTGCTGTAGCCCAAATCTATACCGCTTCTATCTCCAAGAATCCAACCCCAGAGTCAAATCGAGAACGGACGGGACTCTTAATACCATTTTGCTGGTTCTCTGCAATCCTCTTGAACTTTTCGTCATCAAATTTCCAGATCATGCGGTTAGGCCCATCAGCCGGTGCGGATTTACTCTTGACTGAAAGCTTTTCCGCTATAGGATCTTCCTCGACTTGGGTGAAGTACCGCCTCGCCCATGTTTCGCCCGCATCCTTTTCCATTTTCCGTAGCGCGCGCTGCGCGTTCTCAATCCTGCTCTTCTCGTGCCCAGTCGTGAAGATATCGTTTGCATTGATAGCGTCGACAACAGGTTTCCACGCTCGTCTAGATTCAAGGGGGTGTTGCGATTCGAGTGGAGCGACTTGTAGTGGTGTCCTCCGCAGCGATGTCAGATCAACAGTTTCCATGACCTTCCCTTTGCCATCTTTAATGGTGTATGAATCGTTCCATCGGCCCTCTACGATAAATAGGGGGTTGCTTTCATCGTTGTCCGGGTATATAGTGGCGGTAAATGAGTTGCTTTTGCCCTTTATCCAGCCTTTAGAAGAATAGTTGACGCGTGTCGTATAGCCCGAAGAGCTACGGATATAAGAGACGCCACTGAGCTCAGGGGCTATTTGGAAAGTGACAATCCCTTCGACATGGACTTTTGGCATCGTAATCCAATGGTCTTCGTTGTACTTGTCGATGTGTAAGACACTATATCCGTGTCGTTCTATATTTATCGTGGACGAAAAGTAGGCTTTCGGTGAGACATGGCCCTCAAGCTAGATATAGGTCAGCAGGGTATCAAAAAAGAACGAGTTATCTAATTAAAGACTAGAGGTTTCTTACTCTGACGCCATGCGCATCGTTCCAGATTCGGAACGCAGTTGCTGGAGGGTGATGGCTGACTTGCTCGGTTACTAGATGTGTCGTTCCGGCATCATCTAACCATTTGCCTAAGAATATCTCCCCTAAAAATGGGTTCAAGGGCTTCAGCTTCTTCCTTTTGCCATTTTCGTCCTTGCTTGCATGCTGGTGCTTCAGAGTGCTCAGAAACCACTGAAGAACTAGTACGGCCCTTCTTTTGGGACACTCTTCTCTTGCGGGAGATACAAGAAGACGCGGATGCTCAGCCCAGTATGCACTGTATTCGACTATAGACCGAGGAGCAAGCAGGAAAGGCGGCGCTGTCAATGACGTGAGATCTCCTCTAAACGTTGCGACGGACTAGAAAGAAAGAATCAGCGAGACAATTCAGTAAACAGAATAGGAACCTAGAGTCGTACCTTCATGAATTGAAGCCATGCTGATTTATGATGTTGCTCGTCTCTCTTGTCCTCACAGTTAACAGGGGCGATGGTTAGAGACATGGTTAATATTTCGTTGCTTTATTGTATATAGGTATTATATCCGACCGAGCAGATTGATTCTATTCCCTAGGTAAATATCGTATTGTTTATTTGAGACGCACGGTGATTGGAAAGTAAACCCTCCTGGGGAGACTTGTTGTTAAGATAACTAGTTGGCAAGAAAACAAGAAGAGGTGTAAAGTAAACAAAAAGAAGAAATAAAAGGTGTTCTAGTGTTCTTTACTTTTCTGGCGTTTATTTTAGCCAACTATTAGGTTTAATACTACATGATATGAGCTCATATGTAGGGCTTAGATCCCATACAATCCCGAGTGAGTGGCTAGCCACTCTTGTTTCCCACACGGGGTGAATTGAGACGTTGTCTGCTTCACAGGCCAAAACGGGGGCATGTGAAGGTGGAGTTGGGTGGAGTTTGAGATAACCTTGACTGCCCTGACCATTTATTTGGGCAGTTGGGGTTGCATTTCCAGGGACACGGGCACCAAGACTCTTGGGTAGGTATTGTACCGTGCATAAAGAAAGTCTAGACTTTCAGGGATGTGTTGCTGTGGCTGAAGTAAGTTAAGTACTTCTTGGCACTTTTCAGTGTTACATGAAACTTCCTAACGCTTTTAATATCCCCTAATCCTGTCTTTATCGCCATTCTCCAGTTAGTCGTAAAGCCCTGCTCTCGAGCCTAAGAATCAAGTTTATATAAGCCACTATGTGATACTAATATAAATCTTTAAGAGGTACATGATGATATTTGTATATGCTACAAATAATGTATTAATTGAAGATGCTCCGTGATATAACCAAAATAATATGTAAATCCGACGTTTAAATTGTAAGTCATAAATACTAACTGCCGTTTACGGTAGTGTCATGATGTTCAAAACGTGCTGCCTTAGTTCGATTGGAACACTCATCACAGACTTCACATACCCGAACCCGGGCTGGTATTATCAGAGTCTGATTGTTTGTGATCTGTTAAGTAACGGTTATTAGAACTGGGTGGCTAGAGGAGGGACAAGAGAAGACTTACGGCATATACTCATACAGGCTTCGTGATTGGCTCCCTCGTCAGGGAAAAGTTCCAGACAAGCATTATGACATGTCTTCTCTATTAGTTGTTGAAGTTGACTTATAACCTCGGATGGATTCCTCTTGAGATTCGACCCGGGAGCAAAGTCCGTATTAAGATTGCCATCAGGGAAAGGAGTGGGCCACGCCCGACTTGCGGCGATGAAGCCGAAAATGATACTATAAGGAACACGCATTGTGATAGATATTATATACCGAAAATGATTGATGTTAATTACTGGTACTCAAAAAACAAGCCACACAAGCGTGCTCGAACCTCGGCAGTATATATAGGTTACAAGCAGCGACAAAGACACGTTCGACCTTCTTGTATGTATGAATCTTATTGTACGAAAATAGTACGAATGACCATGCGTAGTATTGGGGGATAGCTATGGCCCTTTGTGAACTGTAATATAATTACACTTTATCAAGTCTGACTTACAAAGAGCCAAGGCTTAGGTGATTAACAGAATAAAGTTAACCTTGAGAGATTTGTGCGTATTGTGATTATATTTAGAATTTATCTTGTCTTTGCGTACGTGCTAGTAGGACTCTGGACTAAGTGCTAGGTACTGCTTCTTTCGGTTCGAATAGTAGAGTCGAGGTGAAAAAGGAACATCTCTATCAGTTGCCTCATACATGTATGCTATACTACCCCGAGCATGTTTCGCTTAAACTTGAAGTATTGAAAAAAAGCTTCCTGGTCTAATGATCTGTTGAGTGATGATATAGTGGTCCAAGGTATAAAAATGCATAGCCGTGTCAAGAATCGACGCTTTGAACTTGGATAAATTTAGTACGCGTATACAGCTAGGTGAGGTAAGTACAGGTACCATACGTCATACGATTTTAGCGTGGCATTCAGTGATCACCCCACCATTTATAAGTAGATTCACCTAGCAATACCAATCTATGTAGCTGAGTGGGACTCCCGAACGCCCGATTTTAGTGCTGAACTTAATACTTTATCTACAGGCGCTGAGGCGGTAGGACCGCATACCGACATCTCATCCTCACCATATATATACATTTCATACCTATCCCCAAACGCATGCATTCTTCCCTTGGGATGGCTTCGCTTTCTTCAAGGAGAAATCATGGGACAAACCCTGTCAGGTGAGGCCAAGCCTCCCTCTAAAGACCAAATTAGGACACATCTGGTAGGAATATTCCAGCTACACCGCATCTTAAAGCTCCCGTTCAAAACTAACATGACATCAACTAAATAGGCCGACAAGTTCGCTCGTAAATGTTTTGAGCCAATAGAGCTCTATTCTTTTAAAGATAACTTCAGATCCCTTGCTGATAATGAGCAAAATGTGCGTTACCTTAAGGAGGACACCATTACTCGCTTTCTGGAGCTACCAGACATCCTCGCCGTCTCGCCTATCTTATTTCATATGTTGACCTATATTGGCGCATTTCCATTTCTCAGTGATGCGCCAGTTATACTCGGCATCGAGCAGATGACCATGGTCGTGGTTATAATGACAGAGCGCTACACCAAGGTCTTAACTAAAGATGCTAGCAGCAGAAGGAAATTGCTGTTTAAGAGCTTGGCCGTGTACGATCGGAAGCTATCCGAGATCGACGCTGAACAGAGTGATGCAGGTTTATCGCAACCATCCTCCAATGGACACGCCCCCGGCTTTGCTATTGACGAGGCTGGTGATGATCTGGATGATGATACGGCGGAGGATGACGAGCTCGTTCTAGCTGCGTTTGACTCTCTCGATATCAATGACGCCTTCAAGACGGGCGATTCTCACGCCGCTACCACACACGGAGCTATGATCCCGGCAGACAATTTCAGAAAACTAATCATGTTACTGCTTCTGGTCTCCCCACTAGATGCGACGGAGCATATCTCTAGCTACGCCGACAGGGTCACGGGCTCAGCGCTCGAACACTTAAGAGCAACGGCTGAGAATATCCTGTCGGCCTTTATCGATGTTGAGAAGTCGCCTGGCATCACCTACGCTCAATTCAACAGGATTCTTCCGTCAAATTTGCCTTTTCTTTTCAATGGTTTTAATCCCCTGTTTGAACACTTCCTGTTTTCTAAGAACCTCGATTTCTCAAAACGTAAAGATAGTCTGCCTGGAGCCATGCCGTCTGCGATAGCACGGCCTCCCCTATTTCAAGGCAACAACGATATTCTAAACCTTAGCGTTATATCACAACTTTCCTTCTTTATCAATGGGAGCGAGCTATTCCGGCGACTGCGCTTGCTGTACTCTGGCCGAAAGGCAGGATACTCAATGGGCAGCTTTGAGTCAAGGGTCTTCAACTGGCGTGCGCCCACGATTCTCCTAGTATCCGGTATCAGGCTTTCAGACCCACCAAGTGGCTATAGATCAGAAGATGTCTTTCATAATGCCCTACCTTCCAAGAGATTCCCGAACGGAAGTCCAGCGGACCGGGATCGCTTGGTATTCGGAGCATTTGTCAGGAAGCCATGGCGATATACACCCAGGGAGTGCTTCGGAGACGAAGATACACTCCTATTCCAGCTTGCGCCAACTCATGATGTCTTCCCGGCATCTACCTTAAACCGTGACTATGCGGCGTTTTTAAAGGCACCATCAGCCCATCCCGGGATTAGCTTTGGCTGTCCGCACCCTAGGAAAAGCCAGTCGTCACGTTACGCGACACTACGAAATTTGGGACCCGTGTCGCTATTCATCGATTCAAGCTTCGAGTATGGCGTCTTCACGCATGACTACTCGTCCCGCGGCGGCGCATTCGCGACCAGCCCATCCCGGAAGTACGACTTCCAGGAGCGCTTCGAAATCGTCGATATGGAAGTATGGGGCTGCGGTGACAATGAAGAGGAAGAGGTGCAAAGAAAGCAGTGGGAATGGGAAGCCCGCGAGGCCGAATCCAGGAGGAGGGTCAACTTAGGCACGGGAGACATCGCTGCTGACCGTGCGCTGTTGGAGATGGCTGGGCTAATCGGCACAAATAGGAGCGGGGGGTCAATGGGTTGATTTACGGATAGGCTATAACGGCGTTAGGATGGCATGAGCGTTAGGATCTCTACACAGTATTTATTATCGTTGTCACTTCTGCTATAGTTATGCGATAAGCAAATCCAGATTTTATGTTTATTGCACAACCCTTTCCAGGGTCGCCGTTTATACAATGAGACGTGATGCTAGCTAATATATACAATGGTTTAGTGTATGCGTAGGTTCCTTTCGGATGACCTACCCATATGATTTTTCAATCCTTTGCCCTTAGATATACTCTTCCCTAGACTTCCGGTCCTGATCCGGTTTAGTCCAAAATATTTCCTTTAGAACCGAAACCGAGAATAGACACTTGCAAATTTCACAATGCATGCCACAGCCCGGCGGTTCCCATTTAGGCTTTCTTTTCCGAGCCTCCCTCTTGGGCCTTACTTTGCTCAGATGTCGTCGGATTCTCGCTTTTCTTCGTCCCAAACCAACCACCAGCACTCGACAGAGCACCTAGCACATTCGACCCTTCATCCTTCTTCTCCTTTTTCTCCCCCTCTCCTCCAACCCCCTCACCCACCTTCCCTTCCTCCACAGTAACCCGCTCCCGCTCCTCCGCCCGCCGCTTCTGTACGCGGTCCTGCCGGCGCTTCATTGCCGCCTTCAACTGCTTGTCCTCCTCGTCGCGGACCTCAAGCTCCTTCAGCCACTTTTGGTGGCGCTCCTCGGCGCGCTGCTGCGCCTCGAGTTTAATTAGTTCTTTGCGCTTATCCCGGTCGGCGCCGTAGTAGGCGCCTCCCGCGACCATGGCCATGACTGTGAAGGCTTGCGCGCCGATGCGCGCCCGGAACATCCGTTGCACTTGGGCGTGGTCGCCGCGGCGCATGGCGCGCCAGGCGTTGTATAGGGCGAAGGTAGTTAGGAGGGTTCCTGTTGGTCCCCGGATGATTAATTGTTTAGTTCAAGTCCATTGAGCTGTGGCTTGAAAGAATGAATGGGTGCTGGTTGGTGTAGGGGAACGACGTACCGAGCGGGATTAGAGGCTCCTCTCGCAGTTTGCGGCCGACCTTCTGGAACCCTGTTTCATTATGTTCTCTAGTTACTCCTTCGTAAGCTAAATACCAAGTAACCCCGATATGTGTTCGTGTGTGGTGGTAGAGAGAAGAAGAGGGAGAGGAGCGGGTGAAGGGGAGGGGCACCTGTCATCGTCGAAAGACGAGGGCATAGATCTGTCTGCCATGTTGAAGTCGGATTTTGCAGGCGAATTGGCTGCCTAGATCTTGAATTCCGGTGGCCTGATTCCGAAGGATCCGTACCAGCGGATGACTTAAATATACACCGGTCTAGGTTGAGCCGGTTTGCGCAAATTCGAGGTTGAAGGTTTAATGATATGCATCCAATTGTTTAACTCTCGACATGGAGTACGTAAAGACCCATAATGTGCCGTCAGATAAGGCGATAAGACGATAAGATAGACTAGTTTCTTTGTACATGTCGTAAAGCACAGGATTCAGTACACCTTCCCCTATTACCAAAGATGCCACCAGAGCCCCGTCATTCTTTGGAGAAAGGCTTCCACTTCTATAGATTCTATAGGCAAGCACCTGGAGAAGCTAGCTCTTAAGGCTATAGTCGCTCCTACCGGTGCCTGATTAAGGTAGCTACCTACTATGTACAACAAGCATCAAGATTAGGTGGGTAGGACCCCGCTAGAGCTCCTGCAAGGTATGTAAGCTCCAATCGATCAGTCGATATACAGGAGTGCCCCACTATCAGAAAGTCTAAAATCATTTTGGTGCTGGACAGAATTTCTTATAATTATCATGTCATTCTCTCCCTTGTTTTGTTGATACCGTAGAAGTTGCTGCTATTCAAGTATTCCAATATGCCTGGAACAACAGTTGACTCAATTGATATCGAAGTGGCTGAGAGAGCCAGGGACGGAACTAACAGCCTTCGACCACGAACACCTTCGCCGTCAGGTCTCTCTCTTACAGAGTACAGTGCAAACCCCTCGCCGCCATCGGAGCGTAGACAAAAAGAAGTCATCCCCCAGGAATTTCTCTTGCCTAATGGGCATCCTGATGTTCGTCTTCGTCACCTCATCTTGTCTACTTGTCTTGACCTACGAATGACTAATAATTGTTTCCTATGTTCTTAGTATCTCCGCCTAATTCTTACCTCGAGGGTATACGAAGCGTGCAAAGAGACTTCTCTCACACACGCCACGAACCTCTCGAACAGACTCGAATGCAATGTCTTACTCAAGAGAGAAGATGAACAGCCCGTCTTCAGCTTCAAGCTGCGAGGCGCCTACAACAAGATGGCCCATCTCGATCGAAGCCAGAGCTGGAAGGGTGTAGTTGCTTGCAGTGCCGGGAATCACGCCCAAGGAGTGGCCTACTCTGCTAGATTACTCAAGATACCAGCAACTATCGTAATGCCCTCGGGGACGCCGAGTATCAAGCACAGAAACGTTTCAAGATTAGGCGGTGCCGTGGTACTTCACGGTCCAGACTTCGACGCTGCTAAAGAAGAATGCGCGAGACTGGAAAAGCAACACGGCCTGATCAACATACCGCCCTTTGACGACCCTTATGTCATTGCTGGACAGGGAACCATAGGAATGGAGCTGCTACGGCAGACAAACATCCAGAAACTCCAAGCAATATTCTGTTGCGTAGGTGGAGGCGGCCTTATCGCAGGCATTGGCGTTTACGTTAAACGTATTGCACCACATGTTAAGATAATTGGAGTCGAGGCCGAGGATGCGAATGCCATGGTCCAGTCCTTGCGGGAAGGCAAGCGAGTGGTGCTAAAGGAAGTGGGCTTGTTCGCCGACGGCGCGGCGGTTAGGACAGTCGGCGAAGAAACCTTTAGGATATGTCAAGAGGTAATCGACGAGATTGTCGAGGTGAATACCGACGAAACCTGCGCTGCCATCAAAGATGTGTTCGAAGAGTCCCGTTCTATCGTAGAGCCAGCAGGCGCGCTAGCTCTTGCTGGATTAAAGAAGTGGGTGTCAGCGAATCCGTCCAGCAACCCGAATCGCTCTGTCATAGCCATCACAAGCGGTGCGAACATGAACTTCGATAGACTGCGCTTCGTGGCTGAGCGCGCTACTCTTGGCGAGGGTAAAGAGGCCCTGCTCCATGTTAGCATCCCGGAGAGGCCGGGATCTTTCGCCGAATTGATCAACCACGTTATGCCGCATGCTGTGACGGAGTTCTCCTACCGCTATGCAACCAACGAGATTGCCAACATTTTAATTGGTATATCGTTGACGGGTGGGGCAGCAGGACGAGATCAAGAGCTCCAGGACCTTATAGACCGAATCAACCGTGCAGGTATGACGGCCACAGACCTGTCAGGTGACGAGCTTGCCAAGTCACATATCCGTTATCTTGTGGGGGGCCGGTCAGACGTTGCAGATGAGAGGTTGTACATGTTTAACTTCCCCGAGCGTCCCGGCGCCCTCGAGAAGTTCTTAGGAACTTTACAACTGAGATATAACATCAGTCTATTTCAGTACAGAAACGGCGGCAGTGATATAGGTAAAATATTGACGGGTATACAATGCCCCGAATCAGAAGTGACCGACTTGGAGAAGTCATTCAAGAAGATCGGGTACCCATGGGAGGATCGCACGCAAAGTTCGATTTTCAAGACGTTCTTGAGGAGCGAGCAGTAGTTGTTAATTGGGAGCTATGAGATGCTACTAGCAAATTGAGAATACGTGGGATCGGCGATAGGGGGGTATAATGACGATTTCTTTTAGATCAAGGAAGTCAACCGACATACGCAAGTTATGATACCTAAAGGAAGATAGATTTGAATTTGTCCGCAATAGAAAGGGGAGCGTTTTAATTGAATTCGACGTAATAAACAATAAACATACAGACTGAGGATTGTGTCTTTAGATACGTATATGGGATACGTGCATAAATATAATTCCTTAAAATGACCAATAGGAGTGGACGTGACATTGAGTTGCCCCACATCATTCCACAGCGGATTTTCCATCTTGAACCCTGTACCGCATGTACATTCATACATTCATACATTTTACACCTTTGCATCAACAAATCCCAAACGCAGTAGGTCTTAGGAGAGAGCAATTGCGATACCCAACCCTCCTCTCCGAAATGGCAACCTCTTCTCTAATATCGTCGCTTCGGGCGCTGTCCCTTCGCGCGACACGGATACCGATAGCCCGACAAATTCTGCGAGAACATCAGCCCACTCGTAGCATCTCCCAAGCAGCTCTAGCCCCTCGATCGGCGGCAAGACCTACGCCGACTATAACGAACGCAACGAGGACGATCCAAGCCGTTACGCAGCAGCAGACGAGAGGCATGAAGGTTCATAGTTCAGTCAAGAAGCGGTGCGAACACTGCAAGGTCAGTAATGAGGGAGCAGGGCGTCCGGAACAGAGGCCCTTTTCTGTACCCTTCGATCATATTGCTCTAGACACTTAGGCTCCAATGGATATTTGCTGACATATAATTGCGATAGGTCGTGAGAAGAAAGGCTGGCAAGCGACATCGTGGTTATCTGTATATCATCTGCAGCGCAAACCCGAGACATAAGCAACGACAAGGATAAAGAAATCGAGAGACAATCCTATAAATGGGCCAAAAAAAATACAATACTTCGGGGTGTTCTGAATTCCAGACTTGTTATTGGCGATTCGCGGCGTGTACGATACAGTGTTCTAGATGGACTAGGGAGTATACCATTATAAAACCAGCGCCGAATCGGAACCTAGACTGGCCAACACTAGCCACGACCTTTGGTGTCTATATAACAGGGAGGCTGCCATTAAACACATCTACGTATTATGACGTTACATACCCCCAATATACCTCTCCATGCCCTCCCATTCCGTCTTGCCGGTCGATAAGAGATAGCGTATATGATTTATATCCGTGACATTGCGATGCCGCTCAAACTCTCTGCGCGCAAAATTGCGTGTCTCGGCGCGGGTAGTCGGGTCACTAATTTGTCTCGTACCGCGGATTATACTGCGATAGAGGGATAGGGCGCGTGAACGTAAGAGGAACTATGCAGACATTCATTAGCTTTTAAGTCAAGATGGAAATACATAGAGATTCAAGAGAATAAGAATGGACATACATGATCCAGACTCAGGGCTGCACCTAGCCGGCCCTTTGGTGAGCTAGTTGCATAGTCTCGGACGACAATGGCAGAGCGGAAACTCGATCTACCTTGAATGAGGCGCATGAGAAGGGAGGTTACTGATAATCGAGAGTTGATACGAAATTCCAATAACGCATCGCTAACTTATAAATTGTTAATTATTATGCAATTAACCTGCTGCGCCTAGAGTCGAGATAAGGGAGATAAGAGATATTCCAGGCACTGGAAACTTATAGCTTTAAACGAGCAACTTACATAAGCCATGTTGCAACTCGTAATATGTACCTTGACACCAACACTTACAAAAATATTACTTCTGAACATGTGAAAAGGAAATATTGAATCAATACTACTTCGGTCTTGTTATACGCATGATGATAACGCAGCTTGTGGGTTTTTGCAATTTTCGCCGACCGTACCAGCGTTTAAGACTAGGATGAAGAGTCTTAAGCAGAATGTTAAGCGCAGACGTGCCGCTACGAACCCTATTGAGAGAGCAAACCGGAAGGATGACGAGCTTTTTATTAAGGAACACCTATGCCCCAGGTAAATATTTTCCTTAGACTCATCAAGGAGAAATGCATGAGAAAATCCGGTCATTAACATATGTATACACGCCAGGAACCCTGCATGGCCTGAGTGGATCAACCCAAAGACACAAGACAAGTTCCAGCTCAGCCTTACCAGGTCGGGTAACTTGAGTGATGAAGACCTCGACGCGTGCTTCAAGCTAGTTGAAGAGACTAGCCGAGCCGATTATGAATCTTCTTCAGTCGGGTGGAAGCCGGGTAAAAAGCTAGCCGAGATGAAATCCCCTGAGTTAAGGTACATCCTAGTGAAGGATATCGTGGGAAGCGTCCGCGGCTTCACATCTTTAATGCCTACATATGAAGAAGGGGAACCTGTTGTATACTGTTACGAGATCCATCTCAAACCAGAGTTACAAGGGTATAATACCAACTAATTTTCATTGCCTGCTGTGCCAACTACTTACATTTTATAGGACTGGCCTAGGCAAGACACTAATGGGATTCCTAGAGAGCGTCGCTGTCAACACACCCCCTATTAAGAAAGTCATGCTTACTTGCTTTTTGAGCAACCAGAGAGCTTTTGCCTTCTATAAGAAGTTGGGATTCGAGAAGGACGAGATATCACCAGAACCAAGAAAGCTACGATTCGGCAAGGAATTTATCCCAGACTATGTTATCATGAGTAAAGTTGTCAAGAGGGAGCAATCCATCTAAACACGAAGGTAACAGAATATTATCAGTGTAGGGTCACATCGTTAGGAACACTCTAGGCTAACCTATACCGAATTTCCAGACAGAATACGGTATAAGTAATTCTTGAGACCGCGGCTAGTTGTATGCGTACGTCCGTGAGCGCTCTAAAGAACTAAACCGCACCACTAATAATGCACAGAAAATAAAATAATCATCCAGTCCCCGATCAACTCTTGCGTGTGATATGTAGGATGATATCATGTTCGTATACGAATACGATATCCAATATACACATGTCGAACCCGGGAGTTATCTGAAAAAGAATTCGATTCCATTTGCGAGCTGCTTATTAAATCCGCTAGAATTGGCATCGGTCTTATAACAGGTTACAGGTTACTTCACCCCGCTTCCTTCGCGTTTACATCATAATGACTGCTCAAGAGCCGCACCACGGTGAGGGGGCCGAATGGACCCATAGCGATGCCGAATGAGCCAACGAGCAAGGAAAAGGAATAGTCCAAAGAATAGTCTAAGTGCATATCAAGAAATGCAAATACTACCTCCTCGGCAAAACTTCTGAGCACTATCTAGGTACGCATAGAGTAAAGATGACAAGATGGTATACATAGTAGGACGACTCCATCTTTGAAGAATGGTGAGCAAGGATGAGCTTACACTACCACCATTTATCCAGGTAGCAGATGCCATCCCAGCCTTCTTAGTTACTACATACTAGTCCAGGCACACTTTAGCATGGTGGCATATCAGGTTACACTTTCGCAGCCATGGCGTCATCGTTTGTCGTCTTCTGTATGCGAGAATCGAGATGGTTGTCTTCACTACTTGAACTCAACCTGCCCTTCTCCTTCTTACGACTCATGTCTTACTCCTCCCCTTTTTAGTTTCCGCATACGTTAAACTATAACTTACCTAGTCCACACCACGTTCCCGACTGCGAGGTTCATCCTAGTATAAACCATTGAGCCTTGGGAATTACCTATGTAATTAGAGACAAAAGTGTACCCCATCATGGCCCCCCTTCTGCCAGTACCGGCCGCAGATGGCTTCTCTATCGGTCGCGTCTTAGTTCGCGAGCTTGAACACATCAACCCGACACGGACTCTCCCGGAGGTAATCTCTAAGGTCCTTACTGCTCGTCAGCAGGCCACTACGACGGTCGTCGCGCAAACCGACGGCGATTCATCGCATACCCTCTCGGGTGGAGCCATCGCTGGCATAGTTATCGGCTCCATCGCCGGGTTCCTCATCCTACTATGGATCATCCGTTCATGCATCAACTACCGCAACCCAGGGGCATGGGGCACTACGTTCGAGCCGGATAACGAGAAGCCGCCGTCTTCGCATCATCACCACAGCTCCACGCGGTATCCTCGGGAAACACATGGTCATAGATCACGCTCCCGTCATTCCCATCATAGTCCGCGCCGCACGTCGATCGTAAGTGTAACCAGGCCGGTCTACGCTGAGCAGCATAGGAGCAGGAGTCCGAGAGCCCCTCCAGCGACGTATTATTCCGACGGGAGAGATTATCGAAGGTCGAGTGATGGTCGGAGACATTCAAGGGGGCGTTATTGAACTACGAAATAAGGGAATACGTGTGACGATAGACGGTACACCGTATAGTGCTTTAGGGATAATTAGTCGATGAAAGGTAGTTACGTTATACATAACTACGGCCTCTTGCTTAGCCAGAAGACTATTGAGGAAGGGCTGGAATATCCATTGATGATGAGGTTACGGATATTATGTACCATTTTACGAATGGGTTTATGACTATTACGATATGCATGTATATATATGAATCATCAACTACGTAAATAATGAAAACATAATTCATCAAATGGATAGCGTAAACCCCTAATGTGATGATCCAGCATACAGCGCCTTCAAGGGTATCATTGTTAATTCGCAAGGGGTAATGCATACCAAGAACACCAGATCCAGACAATAATTCAAGAGGATACCACCGCCTCATCCAAACTCGTTACCCTCGCCTTTAACGCCTGATACTCCCCATCATCCCACGACTCTAGTAATTCATACTGCGGCGTCCACGCCGCCCAGTTCCCATAGGGCCGCCTCGTAAACGGCACATACGCCGACGCCTTCAGTACGAACTTCTCCAGCCCGCCAAACTGCCCCAGCACGCCATCGCCCGTCAACCAGCTCCAGAACCGTCCCGCGTTTTTCGGCTGCCCCCATACCACCGCCACCTCAACATCCAACTGTTGTAAATGCGGCAGCGAGTCCCGCAGTAGTTTCATACTATCCTTAACACTCCTCTTATGCAACGGAGAACTCCAGCTCGAAGACGGAATGATAAGCGCCACATGCGCAAAACGTACGCGCTTCATGCCCTCCGGACTAGCGTTGCGGCAGAAATACCGCGCCATCTCCACCCCGAACAGCGATATCGTGTGTTCCGCGTACAGCAGATCCAACGCCTCGACGTACACGACGCGGCTAGTGCGCATCAGGTCCGTGTAGTAGACCATCTCGTCGCGGCGGTACCGGGTCAGGCCGAGGTAGTGCGTTTCCCCGCAGATCAGCTGTGATACGCATCCGTAGACGACGCACCCGGCGCGCGGCGGCGAGACTAGTTGGCGCAGAGGCGAACCGCCGAGACCGATGGTTAGACGGAGCGCCTTGCTCGGCTCGTCTGCGTCGTCGCGGATCCCCTGTCTAGACGCCCATGCGTCGGGGCGGGGGCCGCGCACCGAGTACGTGGGGCGGACCTGCATGATGGCCGGGCCGCCGAGGACCAGGCGGTATATCATGAGGCGGATCTCGGGGGGCAAGTGCAGGAAGGAAGTTTTGGTGGGGGGAGAAGCGGGTGTTCCCTTAGATTTAGATTTAGATACGGATGGAACTACGGCTAGAGGCTTTGATTTGGGACGCTTGCGCGTCTTGACGCGGTGCTGTTGCCGAGCGGTGTATACGACATCGAGGGTTTCTTCGACGGCGCGAAAGGTGAATTTTAGACAGTAGTATACTGCTGCGCAGGGGAGGATTACTACTATGAAGCATGCTTTGCGCTTGATCATCGAGCCCCATCGCATGCTGCCAGTACGGCAGGTCAAGTTCCCTGTCTGTATGATTAATTTTAAAGGAATAAAAAGAGTAGCCTGTGTAGTACCTAGATGATATATATAAAAATGCCTCGTAGATACGCACGTTAGAAAAAACAGGGTAAGTTGATGTCCGGAAGTTTAAAGTGGTAGGTTTATACACATGCCAAGGTATGACAGGGTTTACGATCCCTTTAGTACATATGTAGTAGCTAGGACTTCCCAGGAACATTTAGGACTTGCTCTAGGAACTGTAGATGTGTAACGGGGCCTTGTTTCACGGACAAAGTCAGTATTTTCTCTTTTACTATGTTACAGATTACTATATTGCAGACATCTTGATCTCGTTAGATATAACCTATATATATAAGCACAGTACCAACCCAGCCTATATTGTCGACCGGGTTGATCGAAATAAATATTTCTTCCTTATTTAGAAGTATAAATAGGACCGTAATACCCAACTTTCTTCCAACTGAACGCCACTCACTAATATGTAGAACATATAAGTAGTAGCTATAACTAACCGATCTTTCCATCGTTGGTTTACTTGGCTTTGGCACGCCGATCCTTCACCCACAGGAAACGGGAAAATCCATCCGCGCTTCCAGTTCCTTTACCACCGACCGATAAATCGGCCGACATCATGCTCATATAAGCATCAGGCCGGAATTCGGCCAGGAAGAGATAACCACTGCGAATATTTTTAGTGGGTTTGGCATGGCCGTCACCGTCGGTTTTGCCGTCTACGGTCCCGGCGTATTTCTCCTTTCCTAGAGTCATGACATCAACAAACATGTTGGCAAGCGGCTTCATCTGGTCCGCCGTGATGCCATAGTTTCCGTCTATGTAAGTACGATAAAATCCGGCCACGTCGAGCGCGCCATGATTCGAGTCCTCACCGGTCGTTTTCGGTACGGTATAGCCCCAGTCATAGACGGTGCTGCCTTTCTTGCTCTTCTTGGCCTGCACACCACCTCCGTGGAAGAACCAGTCTATGCTAGCAGTAAGGATCGACTTGTACTTCCCGAGCAATTCAGGGTTGTCGTTGAGAATCCTATGTGCGCTGCAGAGATTCATGAACGCATAGTTGAACATCATCTGCTGGTTCCACGGGACTGGTTTCCCGCCCATATAAGGCGAGTCCTTGGCAAAGTACATCTTGTTTCCGTTTGAAAGATCTAGTAAACGTTTCAAGATATGGTTACTCATCGAGAAATCGGCCTGCTTGAGATAGGTCTTGGCTCGATCCATATAGGTAGCGCCATACTTATGAGGATCGCCGATGGCCACCTTCTGATTATGAAGCTTGTTAGTCTTTAATATGAGGTAAGCACAGTTGGCCAGGTGTCCAACCGGGTCACCCTCTTCTCCGCCGGTTTGGATTGGATTCTTGGTAACGTCGTTCGGCCAGACAGGATCAATTCCGCCCGTCCAAATCTTGTGCTGGCCAACAGGGGCCTTTGCTAGGTCATTCCTCTCCGACAAAACAGCATCGCAGAAGCGAAGCATCTGGTCGAGCGTTTCTTGTTGTCCGGCCATCTGATAGACAAGGCCCATTGCCTTTGTCTGCTCTCCGCTATGGCCCTGCACCCACTGATTCCCCTTGTTGTCGGTAGCAGGCTTCAGAGTAGCGATATAGTCGTTGAATGACTTCAGCTCTTCCTTGGTGACTGGGCCATCAAAGCTGCTGACTTTCATTTGTGCCTTGGCTCCCACAAAAAGCAGTCCTCCAAAGAACGCGCCAAGGGCGTAGGTACCAAAAGGCCCTCGCATTGTGGAAGTCGGGGATGGGATATGGGACTATAAGATCGTATACTTCAATCAAAAGGGGTGATAAGGGTGGTAACTTCAAGTCCTTCAGAGGCAATTCCCTAACACCTAATTGTAGAAGCTGCCTAGGAAGAGTGAAGTGTTTGGATTCGGACAAGAGAAGATGAATTGTTATATATGATTGAGCATTAGAATATTAGGCCTGATGACAACTTGCCTTTCAGTTCTCGAGACCTAAGCCTCAGCTGGCTTCGAGGATGTCCTCGTCGCTCACGTCATGTCGATTCTTCTATTATAGTCATAATTTCCGTATAGAGTCTTAAAGGGCGTTCCCGAAATAATCAAGACGTAGGATTATTACCAGTTGTTTAGAATCTTCTAACGGGCGTTAAAGTCGCTTATATATACTCGCAACATAAATCCTCCAGACGCTCAGCTTAGGTTGTAGTACTTATCTAATATAAAACGATTGCTTGACATATCGCTGGATACATCCCCCTTTTGTATAAGATAGTCAGCCAAGATACGGTGACCGAATTTAGATGTAAAAGTTGATATTGCTGATATTGGCATCTGATCTTGCTCTATTAGGATCCTGTTAAGTAGATCGATGGATGGTTGTATAATGTTTCTCTTTCGGAACTAAAAATATTATATTGAGTAGTGTATTTCGTAAGAACATTAAACAATAAACCTCGACTGCCATGTAGATGTTAGATACCCCTCACAGTGTGATTTACACCTTCCAACGTAGCTTCCATCTCTGCCCCTGCCGCCCTGCCTCACGTAGGCATACGGAAGTACCTATCTACCTCCTATGTAACTTTTATAACTTTTATTATTAAACACATTTGAAACGCCTCTGTGCCTTTAAGTAGTGTACGCCCTAAGATGCAAGTACAGCTTTGACCACTTCGTAAATTCCCCAAAAACATTTAATGTTAACTGGATCTATTAACTGCACGTGACAACGAACCTCTTTCGCGTTTCGACACGCTTTTAGCCTCACGCTTCTTGCATCATCTTCACCCCACTACTTACCTCTATTGAGATTCGTAGCCCGGTGCTGAGTCGACTATGTGGCTGCTAGAAAACGAGGGCGAAGCTCTCGATGGTAAGACATGTTATGTTCGTCTTCTGCTTCCAAGTGCTAACGATTGCTGCTTTCAGGTAAACGACTTTGGCTGCGACCAGGAAAGCGATATCTCTTTGGTCGAACAGTCGCTGAACGTATGTGCTTACTCTATATTCACACTTCAAACGCCGGTATCTAATGCGAACTTAGCTGGACAGCTCGCCATCAGAGGGGAAGGAGCAGAAAGAGTATCGCGGAAGCATGTCACTATACAAGTCGACGAAGTAACCGAGGGAGATGGGGTATGCCGTCCCAATTTCCTTCGGTAGTCATGTATGCGATTACTGAGATGCTTCTACTAGGAAAATGTGTCGAGTCGTTCACGAATCACAGTAGAAGACCTAGGCTCTAAAGGTGGGACGCGAATAAATGACGAAAAGATAAAAGGCGAAATGCGCGTTCTTTCCCGGGATGTCAATACCCTCCAAATGGGCACGTTCCCGCCTAAATTCCGGTATGTTCTTCGACTCGGATGCAGTATGTATGCAAAATTGCTGATCATGGATACTATATTAGCATTACTTGGTTTCCCGTAGTCCTGAGCTTCTCCTTCACTGCAAATCAACTCCGAGCGGACCCTCTATCTAAGCTTCGAGAAGACCTAGAACAACTTGATGTTAAGTTTCTTGCTCACTACGACGTCCAGTCGACGACCCACGTTGTATCAAAAAAGAGGAATGTGCCAAAGGGCCTACAAGCCCTAGTAAACGGTCGGTATCTCGTTACCGAAGGGTTTTACAATGCTATTATCGCTGCTGCAACACCTGGAAACGACAGCGATGGTACGACAGCGAGTGCGTTAGAAAGCGATTTCGACGCAAACTGGCCAGATGCCATGCAATATGTCCCGCCTCCAGGAGACGAAGCAGTGCCAAGACCGATCGAAGCCTTTGCTCCCAATCCTGATCGCGCCGAGATATTCCATGGTTATACGTTCATATTTTACAATAGGAAGCAATACGATAACCTTCTAGAACCTATAACAAATGGGAGGGGCAAGGCACTGTTTAACGAAGTAGTCGAAGGGGAAACACAAATAGACGACTTTATTAGGTATGTCAAAGGAGTAGCAGGAGAGAAAGGTATGGGAGAGTTCGAGGATGGAAGCGAGGGCAAAGGCGTTGTCGTGGTCAGATGGATTCCCAGCCCTCCTCAGAATGCCGACTGGTTCGCCGATTTCTACAGATCAGTCTCTTTAAGACTAGATCATCGACTTATCGACCAGAAGGATTTCCTTGATGCGATCCTTAATAATGATGCCAGTGTTCTACGACGGCCCCTCGAAGCCGAAGCGGAGCCGCAGACGTCACAAATCGAACCGCAACACTCGAACGGACAAACCATGGATGTAGACAAAGACGAACCTCCGGTCCAGCCGCAAAAACAGCCCATTCGAAGGCGCGCGAGAGGAGCTGTGAAAAGTCGTTTCAAGGGGTTTGACATAGATTTAGAGAATGATGATACACCAGAAACAATTCCGACTACCTCGACGCCCGCAGCAGAAGCTGTTGAGATGTCACAAGAAGGTCTTTTCGTATCGCAAGATGTTGCTTCACAAGAACTAGAACAGACGGTTCATTCAAGTCGACAATTGCAACGAAAGCGCCGCACCCCACCACTTGAACCCCAAGACACGATGGACGATTTTGCACCTACAGCTGCTCAGGTAAAGCGCCGTCGCATTGCTGCAGGAGAAGATCCGGTTCCTCGCAAGCCAACACCGGAAGAACCCGTGATAGAATCGCAGAAGCTCAAGGTCAGGGCCCCAAAGATCAAGAAAGAGATAGATATCCTTGACATGGCGCGACAGCATAGAGAGGAGGCTGAAGCTCGCGCAAAGGCAGAGAGGGAAGAACTCGCTACGGCACCAGAGGGCCTTGACCTGGCAGAGATCCGGCGCTTGCATATTGAGGAGCCTATGGAACTGCGGCAAGTACCGCCTATACGAACCAGGGATCAAGACATAGCCGATGGTCGCTGGGATCCCGCATGGAACGGGCGGAAGAATTTCAAGAAGTTCCAGTCTCGGGTGGGTCCCCGAGGGCGGGCGCCACAGAGGATTATTGTAGCACTTGAAGAAGTCAAATCAAAAGGTTTTGGCATCGGTGATGACTACTGGCTTGAAGACGAAAGCCAGCAGCGGAGACGGAAGAAGCAAAGCCAAACACATAGTCGAAGTCAAAGTACGGGCGAGAGAGAGGATCAGCAGATCATTAATACACCGGCAAAGAAAGCCGGAAACCAGAGACAGAAGCTATCTACAGAAATTCTCCCCCCAGTGGATAGCAGTGAAGACGAGGATTACGGCATGGAGGGCGAAAGCGAGGACGCCGTCATAGCCCCTCCATCGAGGACACGCACGAGTATGGCATCACAACAGACCTCGCAGTCGCAATTGCTTAGATCGACGCCCCAGAGTACAGCTCAGAAGACGCAATCATCGAGGGCATCCAAGCGTGCAGCCCCACCTCCTGCCAAAGAGCAACTAGCAAAGAGGTCTCGAACAGGATTTGTTGCCGCCAGTGATGACGAGAGCGATGACGGATTGCGGTTCAGGTTCGGGAAGAGATGAAAGGATCTTTAAGTTCCTAAGTGCTATTTGTCTTCTGCTAGATGGCATTGTATCTATAAAGGGGGTATCTCGTTTATATACCTAATTTTACCATGTGCTAAGCATGATATACCAGAGCCGTCCGACCTGGTCTGACCCGACTCAATGCAAGGTGCTGTTGCCCAATTGCCCACCGTTCTACTGTAGTAATATACAATCAATGCTATGCTATGCTATACCGTTCTCCAGTCTTTATACCACCGTTCTCTAGTTCTACAAAGTAATTTATAATTCTAGCTTCTCCATATCTAGAAGATATAGACGATCAGTCCATGGCTTCCATCTCCCCCGTACTCTGCGCCTCGTGCTCCTCAACCAGCAGCCCGATCAGGCAACTCGACAGCATCGTCTCGTAGTTAACCCAAGGGTGTATCTCTCCGAACAATTTCGTCCCGTCGCGCCCCGCCGCGCGTAATAACTCGGGCTCACCACCCGGATGGAACGGTAGATACGGAGTGATGTTGTACACGCGCCCGCCTAGCGCCGTCCACGCGTCCTTGCCCTTGCGTCCCGTCTGTCGCCGCAACAGACTCGGCGGCACTCGTAGGTACGGCGCCCCGGGGCCGAGGTTGCGCAGGTCTGCAGATGGGTTGGCGGATAAACGCGCCCAGTCTAGCGGGCTGCGGCCTGGGGAGAGGGTTACTTTGCGAGAGGGCTTGGCGGGCTTCGAGGAGTGCGTGGGAGGCGGCGCGAGGGTGGAGGTTCCGGGTTGCCGGTCGTATTGGTGCCGGTTAGGGATAGGGGCACGGGGAGGCACGCCTAGGAGGGAGGGCCCGGTGTTATTGAGGGTTGGAGGACGAGGGGGTGGTGCCATGGAGGTTTTTGCTGGCGCGAGTGGTTCGGGAGGAGGGGAGGGCGCGGAGAAAGTAGGTAGGGCGGAGGGCGAGGTATTAGCTTCTACGGCGCGGGCGATGGCGGCTGCGGAAGCAGGAGGGTCGGGCGAGAGGGAGAACGAGGGTATGCTATCGCCGTTAAGCTGGGCTGAAGCTGTGGCTCTGGGAGTCGTCTGCGGTGATGGCGAGGACTCGGTTTGCGAATTCGTTGCGGTTTCCTTCGGTTGATGCATTACGAGCTTAGGAGGTGGAGGCATGGCTGCCCTGTCAGCAGCAGCAACCGCAGCGGATCTTTGGGTTGTCGCAGTCGACGGTGTATGGCGACCAGTTGTCGTCGTAGCGGCCGACTGATCTTCCTCTTCCTCATGCTCTACCGTTATATCCGCTGGAGAGGGACGGCGCGTCGTTGGCGGTTGTTGAATCTGAGGGTCGCCGCGCCATATCGATAGAAGAGATTGGATGAAAGGCGGCCTCCAGATAGCTGCGTAAATCACCGAAGCCAAAACTAGCGACAGGCCCAAGAGCGCCATCGTCGCGATATGCTGACGATGTGCCGGATGACGTTACCTAACCACGCCTTCCACTTCTTCCTTTTTTTCCCGTGGTTTATTACCTATTACCTAGGCCAAGATGTATTACCTAGGATTGTCCCTAGAGATAGATTGACCAACAAATCAGGTGTTTGCTGATTTTTTTTTTTCTCATTCCTAAGCTTGCTGGCGCTAAAAATATCTAGTCTCCGATAATCGAAAGTTTTGTTGGTTAATGTCGTGCAGACGGTTCCGGCCGCCAGCTCAGCCGATCTCGCGCTCGATAGACGATAGGTAGACGAAGAGAGGGGAGAAAGAGCCTAGGGTAGGTGGTGCAATTGAATTCACCGCCTTGACAGCCTTAATCCTAGTTAAGATGACCCACCAGAATTAACAGGGTACAGTGCTGTCAGAGCTAGTGCGCTTTTCATACTAAAGTACCTAACTAAGTAGATACATGTAAGTTAGGCTGTCAGGCAGTAATGTGCCAAATCTTAGCGCACCTAATGTACCTATATATGCAAGTCTATACTTAATGCTCCTCTCCTATGCATACGCCTTACATTATGTACTTGGGTATGTTTGCGCATCCCGTTACTTAATATACTCTTATTATTCCCTCTAAACTGCGGGGAGCCATGGGGCATTCACAACAAGCACAACTTATGCGAACATATACTTAGTAAATCCTAGTGTATTCCGTATGTATGTAAATACCCTCAGAAGAGGAAAGGAGCGTGGATCTAAATGTATCAGACACGAGGACGTGCCAGGACGTGCCCAGACGAGACCAGACGTATGTTTTGGGACGTCATCCTTTTATTGTGGGCAATGAAATTGTTGATCCAGTCAAATTCGACAGAAGCATTTGTCTTTCATTCCAGACGATTTTCTTTTCTAACGCACCTCCTTACCGTTTCTTTTTCTTTTTTTTCTTCTCTCTGTCTCCTCATATATCTCCCACAATTGTTCGGATATACGCTTTCATAAGAAACAATCACATGCTACCTATAGAGGTACATGCAGGTATCAAGTATCGTCGCACAAGCGAACTCAATTAGTATCGGTCTACCGCCAATAGAAAGGAGTCTAAACGGGTTCGGTGGCCTACAGTCCGTTGGAAGGTAGGGTTTGTCTACCAGTAACAGTAACCATAGTACAAATTAGTGGAGACCTGAACCGCGCCGTTCAGGCCATCATATGCAATTGCGACCTTCAGGGAGGAAGGAAAGAGAGACAGAAAAAAAGACATGGGTTCGACCTACCTAACTTGCCTTTGCCTTAGGTAATTAACACTTTTAACGATGCACAACACGACTTTCATCCCTCACACATCTTCAACTCAACCACCCTCCTCCACTAATACGCGCTCCTCGGATTCGAACTATCACTCCGTAACTAAGACGGGGTTAAAACGACCACCATCTTCGGATTCTTTGGTATCAATTGGACGTAAGCCCCCTAGGACTGTTGGGAGCACGGGCACCGGTACGCGGACAGGGACGAGAACAATAATATCCACCTCCACCACAGCCACTACTATTGCCAAGACCGCCATAACAGCAACAGCCGCAGCCGCCTCGTCGTCCGCGTCCTCATCCTCGTCTTCCAGAGGCCCCCTAAGGAGACGGAACCAAAATGCAGCGCCTGTTACAATTCCCCTGTTAAAGGAGCCAGGAACAGGAAACATGCCCTTCGACGCATCCTCACCTCCGCTTGCCAGCCCAAATCCAAATTCGAGCCGATCGCAAATGCCTTCACTTAGCGCCTCTGCTGCAAGGGTCGTAAATAGGAATCCCCTAACCCCTAAGATCGCATCAAAGACAGGAACCCAGTCTCCCGCTTTATCTGCCGCAGCAACCCCAGCGGTTCGGCGTCAACATGCTCCCAGCGCGATCAATACCAGCCGAGAAGCACCATCTAATCGTTCAAGTTACTTCGACGACTCATCCTTCCCATCCCACCTTAGCACCAACGTTACTCCTCGCTCTGGTTCGAGGCAAACTCGTGTCGAAAGTGCTGGTAACACACCGAATGGTACACCCAATCCAGAAAGGTCAGATGTCTGGGACCACAGGTCCAGCTTCGGCCTGCCGAGCCCGAGGATAGACGGGGATGCTATGAGAAGGTCAGGGGCCTCCTTTGGCTCCGTATCTCCAGACACGACCGGCTATGGGAAGCAAGAAGTTGCCCGTAATTTAGAATCCAAGTTCTTTCACGCGAGCGATGTCAAACCTCCTCGCCCAACGTCGTCTTCTAAACCGGTCCAAGCGAAGGGTCCGACTATTTTCTATGCCAATGGGAATACGGTAGAGAACAAGTCCTCTCACCCGGTGCCCTTTGCACCAGTCCTCGGTCACGCGCAGGATAGCCTTTCCAGCAAATTCATCTACGCCAATGGGACTCCGGAGGCGCGAGCTAGTCCCACACCTCCTGTGTCCCGTAGTTCAGGTTCGACGGTATCGACAGCTCCTAGACCACCTTCCAGCCGCCCGGCAACAAACCCCCCGGCTGGTAGCCATACTCACGCGCAGAGGCCTGCTTCCCCGGCAAAGTTCCCGTCCCAGGGCTCGCAAGCTTCGTCCAAGGCCGCCAACATCCCATCGTCAGGACGTCCACCGGCATTATCCGCTCCCCAGCTAGCGCCATCCCCCGGTCTTCGCCGGTCCAGCACCGGCACATCAAGACCCGGCGGCCATTCTCGTGCGGGAAGCTTAGTAAAGTTAGATCATAGTTCTAGTACCACAAAGCCAACGAGCTCTCGCGTATCGCCCGAAACCTCTCCTCCTATAACTGTACCTCCGACGCCGGCCCCTTTAACACTCGCTTCCATAATTCAAGCAGCCGATGAATTTGCCGAGAACGAAGAGTGTGCATCCCCAGAAGAAGCCCCATCGGGCCTACAAAGTCCCACCAATCCAGCCAATCCCACAGAACCTATGAACGAATCCGTAGCGAACGCCAGACGTGAGCGTAAAGTTCAAGACCTACAGATCACAAACGCGTCTCTCGAGGCCATTAACCGAACTCTTGAGCGTCGGTTGCGAAAACAAACTTCAGAGTTGCGGAGGTATCAGCGCCTTTCCCGTGCGGGTCGGCTTTCTACTGCGTCCACCGCAGTTTCTACTCAAATATCACTGGAAGACACCTCAGAGCAAGGAGTAGGGATAATAGACCTTTCCGATCTTGACGAGAAGTCTGAGGCCGAAGAAGAGGAAGAGAAAGAGATAGAAGAGGAGTTATCAGACAGTGATTCACTAAACGAATCTCTTGATCCAAGTACCGTCGCAGAACGGGACGCAAAGCACCGAAAACGAGATGAGGAGCGGTTGCAGCTCGACTTATCAAAGCATCAACAATTGCTTGTTGATTCTCAGAAGATCAACCAAAGTATTAGAAGATGTCTTGACTGGACTGAGGTACTCATCAATGAAGGGAAGAAGGCACTTGAGTATCGTGTTCCGATCACCGGCGTGGAGCTAGGTGGACGAGTATTAGCTCCAGACGAAGAGGAGGATCGACCTTCAACCGCAAACAGTTTACCTGATAATACGATTGAATTCGACGAAAAGTTTCTAGACGACCCTATTAGTTTAGCAAGCTGGGGCGGTTCGGAACGACAGGATAGGGATAGCGGAATAGAACTCCAAGTCGACGGAGGATAAGAGTTGGAAATTATTATACCCCCCAACTACAGCACATCAGTACTGGTACGAGATTCCTTCTATTTTGGATACGATTCTTCACAGCATATAACCCAACCAACTGCGGCGCCTCAATATTACATTTTTGTACCGGGCGACTTATATTCACTTATCTTTCGGCCTTTTTTGTCGTTCTTTTTTATTCTTTACTCTACCACCAATGGATACCCCCACAAACTATGACGGACAGGCGTTGAGTCAATAGACCATCTCCACACCACTTGACAGATCTCTATTTTTTATATTCTTTTTCGACTCTCAATGATACCCCAAAGCAATAATGAATAAAGGAGCCAGCACTTACTTACACACACGCCCAAAATAGATGGGGTCTCAAAAACACCTAGGAGGTGAACGCAAGTTCTATCAGGAGCTACACTCGGAGATGTACATACGTGGACGTCGACTTTGCCGAGGAATTTCTTGTTTTCCTCCCGGCCGTGTGCGCGAGGCTACCTATACGCTCCCAAAGAGCAAAGTTGGCGGGTTGATAGCAACAATTGAATAGTTTAGCACCAGGAGTTCCTATACACTAGCAGATTTTGCTTCGGTTGGGATTGTCATGATTTAAAACTTCCCAGTTCGAGGCACAGCGTTATGCTCTATTAGTGTGATTTTTGTAATCACAGTTCTGTTATATGTCGAGTGACGCCGACTCAATACGGACCTGGACGTTCTGATGCCTACATCTAGCCTGGTTGCTTCTGGAAAGGGGGATAGGCGTCTACATTAATCGTATAGGTTAGGTACTCAACTTCATAGACTACCGTTATTCAGAACCTAGTTACTCCATTCGTATTCTAAAGTCCTAGCTCATCGTCCCAACGTCTCGCCTTGGTAAACTCTAGTTACGTATACATATCAAGACTAGGATATGATGAGGATTCGTTGTATATATCTACAAGCGTTTAATAGCTCAGATTTTACGAATGTTTTTCGTTAGTTACCGTTATTCTACGCCCTATCGACTTTATGTCCCTGTGTCATAACGGTGGATAATACCAATGAAGAAGAACGCCTACCTAGGTACGCAACGAACCTCTTACCGTATTACAAGCATTTCCCGACCATCATATCACAACACACCCTCGAGAAAACACTAGAAGCTAAGAGGTGGAGTGGATTATATTTCCATTCACAGAGACGCATGCATGCATATGTAATATTAAGGGGAGCTTTTTATCCCATCCTGGCCAAAGACTCCCTAAAACCAGTCTATGAAGCGTAAGAGCTGTATGATATCTTCCATCTCCTTTCCCGGATCAACTTGTCCGTCCTCCCCGCGGAACTTCATAAGCTGCTAAGAGAGCTTGAGTTCTCCCCGAATTTTCTGCCCCCTATTCAATTTCGACGTCAACTGGATAATGTGGCCGGGTTGATGCACACTGGTTTGAATCGCCGTTTCAAGGTCATCGTGCAGGAACCATGAAATTTCGAATATGCCCCCAGTCGCCTCCAAGAAAGTGCATCTCTAGAGTCCGCAACCCTGAATAAGACAGACTTATTACGACTATTCCTTGTGTGCATCGGCCTTCTTGCTATCCTTGTCTTTCCCCTTCTTCTTCGAATCCTTTTCTTTTTCCTTCTTGATAGCTGCTTCGGCTACGAGTTGTTCGAATGCCATGTACTCGCCTTCCTCCTCTGTTCTCTGGGCCTAGAAAGGTGTTAGTAGAGGGGATTTATAAAGAATACGAAAATGTGATGAACCAAGACATCATAAAGAGGGCGTTAGCGCTTACCTTCTGAAAAATATCCGCGATAATAACAAGCGCTTCTGCTCTCTCTAAACGCTTACTTAGGGGTACCTTCTTATCATGGAGAATACTGTCGCAGACCTCACGTAGCACGCTCTGGATCTCGAACTTGCTACCGCGCCACGCGGCTGTGAGGATCTTCCCAGTAACTCTACGCTCGTACTCGACCTTCTTCTCGTCGGTCCAGTCCTCGCCACCAGCCTGCTCCATACGCGCCATTTCCTCCATGGTTTGCTGAGCGTCGATGGCCGACGATATGGTGTTCCAGGTCTCCTTGACAAGGGTTCCCTTGTCCTTCATACGGCTAAAGAAGCCCCCGATTCCAAGGAACTTCTGCGACTTGAGGAGTGCTGTGGCTTTCGACATGTACACGGCGCCGATGGCATGTAGAATATCGAGTCCGAAACTCTCCATCTTGAGGTTTTCCACTTCGAGACGGATCTGGTCCTGGAAGGCCTTGGTGACATCAGGGCCTTTATCTGTCTCCGTCCATACTGATATACGATCGATAAGCTTGGAGGCGAGAGTATCGACACGCTCTTGCCGAATTTTAGCGCGCTCCCTTTCAAAGGCAGCTAGCCGTTCCCGTTGCTCCTTGGTTAATCCCTTCTTTTTTTCCTTCTTTCGTAATTCTCTCTCCTCTTCTGTCTGGCTCGCTAAATGTGTATCATCCGACGGACGGTCCATGAGCGCGGGCCGGATGGGTATCGCATGTCTCGAAGGTGTCGATGTACCAGAAGCATTAGGGCTCGGGGAAGCGCCGCGCGAGGGTACCGGTGGCTTGTCCGCGGGGGCGTCATGATGTACCTCAGCGGATGGCTTTTCAGGTTCTTCTTCAACGACTACAGCAGGCGCTGGCACTGGCGCACTGGTAGCGCCTGGAGTATCGGCGACAGCTTCTTTTTTACTCTCGCGTATAGCTTCCTCAGTACCGGGGAATTCTGTCTCCTCTCCTTCCTTCTCTCCTTCCTCCTCTCCTTCCTCTTCGCCGGCCATAGTAATGTCCATAGTGGTAGTAAGATCCTTCATAAGACTAATCTCGCCAATCCAGTCGACGAAGGCATCACCGCCGAATATACTACTAAAGAACTCGGCAGGGTCGACGAAGCCCTCGCTGGGCTTGGCACTATCTTTGCCATATTTATCGTATGCCTTCCTTAGGTCGGGGTCCGAAAGCACCTGATAGGCTTCGCCGATGGTCTGGAACTTTTCGTGGGCAGTTGGATCATTTGGGTTCTTGTCTAGGCGGTGTCTGTTAGTTAGGGGTATCTTTTAGTAGGAGCGGACAAGGCCGCGGTTGGATGCGCGTACCTGGATGATGGACGATAGCAAGTTTGCGATATGCCTTCTTGATCTCGAGCTCGGTAGCCGTTGGCTGGACGCCGAGAGCGTCATAATATGATGTATCTACTACCGCCACCATGCTTTCTGTTCTGACCAGTCACAGATGCAAATGCAAATGTGAGGGGTCCAGGTCTAGGGTACTGGGTATTGGGTATTGGGTGTTGGGTTGCGGGGTGGATTTTAAAGGCGCCGGATAGCGTGAATCCTGACGAGAGCAGTTATCGAGTCAGCAATTTGGTTCAAACAGAGATGAGGTAGCTGAAATAATAGTAAGTGAGAGATGATTCGGATGCTTGACTTGTTAAGTTCAAATATTAGGAGAAATATGTAGGTACGGATGTAGCTTAGATGGATATTAGGAAGTTATGTCTGAAAAGGAAGAGAGATAGGATAAGGATACACTAGTTATTCCGTATAGCCGATCACATACTTTAGGTTATGTAGGTAGGTAAGTACGAAGGAATACTGAAGAATACCTCATACCAAGAAAAAGGAAAGAAGAAAAAAAAGACCATCAGCTACGATGCCTTGTACCTATGACGAATGTTAGCCTACATACCTACAAGGGCTTGTGGCACAGTGTTCTAGCGCCACATTTTTAAGTAAGATGCGAGGCAAAAGTACCTTAGTAGGTAGATAGCCGCTGACATCTGATATGTACATCCATTTTAATACCAAGGCGGGGTCGATTTTTGAGTCCCCTTTCTGCCCCACAGTCTCAATCAGATTACATTATGAAACTACCTACATATCATTTATATACCACCACTATTGTGTCAGTTCGTTATAAGTCTCGACTTGAAACTTGTCATTATAAATAGTTCCAGTCTCATACTAGTTACCTAGTTAGTTACTTGTCTCTTGAAATCTTAGCATTTCTTGTCTAACAAACTTGTGAGGGGCATAACAAAACGTCACCCTCTCCCCCTTTTCTCTCTAATGTAAACTGGTCCAAGTCAGCGCAGTTTCATACCTAATCATCTAACTACCTAGGTACTAGCCATTCCAGAAGTCCATCCCGTAGCGCCATTAGTCAGTTACACGATAAAACGTAGAGTATGTGGTACATGGCATACCCAAATCAGTTTAGGTAGCTTGAGTCCAAGCTTATTTGACCCCTGCAGCTTTCATTCTCTCAAAGCACTGCCTATAAGCCTCGTGGACCTCAGGCACCGAGTAGTCATACTCCTTCAACTTCTTTTCCAGTTTCTCCGTGTCTAACAAACAATTGCTGCGGCCAGCCTTGATCACCTTGGCCTGCTCCTCCACGGTGAAGTTCTTCCACGTGAAGCCTGGACGTACTATATCTCTGAAGAGCGTCAATACTTCGTTATGGCTGATGGCGCCTGGGTTGGTGAAGTTATAAACCCCCGTGTCGTTATGTTCTGCCAACAGGATAGATGCCGGCAGAAGGTCAGTTAGAATCGTGTTGCTGTTCGGGATATCAACCACGCGCTCGTACTTGCTAATCTTGGTGACAAAGTTACGTGGATGTAGATCATCTGACACCGGCATACGCAAGCGGAGGATCAAGCAGTTTGCGTAATATTTTATAACCTAGGGATCGTGTAAGCAAACCGTTCCTAGACAACAAGCCGTATGTTGATACTATCATCTCACCTCCTCAACGTGGCCTTTGGTCTCAGAATAGAAGCTACCCGTGAAATTCGTCTGGTCCGTCTCCTTGAACCCGGGACCACCGATCGGGTGGGCGTCGTCGTAGTGGTAGATGCATCCGGTGGCAAACACGGTACAATGAATACCAGCAAGGAAGCAGCAATCGGCCAAGTTCAACGTCCCGATAACATTCGAGCGAATCGTGTCCTCTTTATGATCTTCACACCAATCGACGTTGGGGCGGCCGGTACATCCCGCACAGTTTAGTACATGAGTAGGTTTGATCGTATCTAACTCTGCCTTCACGGCCGCCCGATCTTCCATACGGATGGTCGTCCTGAAGACTTCCTTGCCTTGACTTTTGAGAAGCTTCTCGAGATGACCCGCAATCCATCCCCTACCACCCCAAATAAGGAATCTGTTTTCTCTAGATCCATTGGCCGTCGCCATGGCCGATATGCTATTCTTCAGCGTTGAAGTTCTGGGTCGGCGTAGTTGATATAAAAGACACGTAGACAGGGGGGGCAAAAAGAACAATCCCCTTGAACTTAAAGCGTGAGGATTAAGGAGTAGTGGGGTTTCGCAACGATGAATTTAAGAAAAGGAAAAAGAATAATGATAATGTTAAATGATGAATTTTATAGTTCATCAATTATTAATCGCAGCTTCTTGTTTTTTTGCAAAAATTAGAAGTTACGGTATAAGTTATTAAGTTAATATAGGTACGGCAAGTACGACACACGGGCAGTACTGATTAGGGGTCGTCACTACCCCTTCTAGCAATTGTACAATTACTGCTTTCAGGAGTTTTTACGAAGTAGGAGGGGCAAAATTGTCTTGGTGATGTACGTCGGGTCCGGTACGCGGGCATGTGCGCCCAAACTTTCCGGCTGATCGGCAACGTTAGGAAAGGCTCCATTCGGACAAATCTACACGCATAAAATCCATATTCATACCTATGAATTGGAAATAACTATGCAAACATTCTAATATAAACCAACAAGTTTGACAAATTATCAACGGGTTATGGTTTTAAGTCTTTAGAGAATATCGGCATTTAAATATTACTTATTAATAACCTTATTAACAACGATGACTCTTCCGTTTTTACGGGTTGTTTAAATACTATTAAACCACTTTATGTAGTTAAGATGTGTTACATTAAATCTTATCCCCAATACGGAATCTCGATTTCTGGGATTTCAACCTCTTATATCATAGTAACACGCCCGCTTCATAAGCCACCAAATCCGTCCGGAGTTCACTATCTACCGCTCCCCTAGCCAAGATCTGTACAACTATGTAAGGTAATTCTTGAGCAAATGGTTGGAGAATATAGGTAAGTACGCACCAATGCCCTGTGGAGGAAGCTTACGGTAACGGTGTGCCGCGCTTGCTCAATAAGTATGTACAAAAGCGTACCTGCATGGTTTATATGGACATGGCTGAAGTGCTAGCGCACGCGCGTATAAATATTACACTATAACTAGATATAGAATTGAAACAACCTCGTTTCTTTAAGTTAAAAAAATGATGTAACTCTTATTTTCCACGCACTTATGCCTGTGCATACCTAGGAGGTACCTAAGCAGCTAAGGTATTGTACATAGGTACACGTCCGACGTATGCATCCACTAAACTCAGCGCTCATACCCCGCAGTGGAGTTTTTCCAACCAGATGTGCTGAGCTAAGTTCTTTTTTTCAGCAAAGTCCAGACAGACCTGAGCTTTGTCGCCTCGCTTGCTCTTAGTGGGCTGATAAATTCGTGCTTTGATTCGCTATTCCCAATTGCTGGGGTCCTCGAAATTGGATGTGGGGACGGACTTTTTAGTTTCTTCCCGGCAATATTTTCTACATGGTGTCAGTCCCCAAAAAGTAAAAAAGTAAACTTGATTTTTTAGAAAACACATACACTTCTGTTTCGTACCAAAACGCCGTTTCCGTCCCGATCATCAATATATCTAGTCTACTATATAATATTAATTCCTTTCGCCATGTTGTCCTGAACAACCACTGCTCTCCTTTCATTATCACTCCTTCACCATCGCGTTGTGCTCACCCCAAAGTTTTATACCCGGTCTATTCACACCGACACCTCCCCCTTAATTACTCTCACACTATTCACACTATTCTCCCATATACCGCTTAATAGATCCATCCAACTGCAAAAATGGGTGGCCTCGGCGAGGTTCTGTATTACTTATTCCACCCGAACCAGCTACGGTCGATCGTACAATGGTAAGATCGCTCCTATTCCTATTCATCACCTATCCTCCCTAGTATACCTTTCACTAACCCAAACCTTTACCTTGTAGGAAAGTTTGGCATGAGCCGGTTCATAAGCGTGATCCCGCCAAGGAGGCTCCCACTCTGCGATCATGTTTTCACTTTCTGAACTTGACTAGCCGCAGCTTTTCCGCTGTCATTCAAGAGCTACAACCTGAAATGCTGGTCCCCATCGCCCTGTTTTATCTCGTGCTAAGGGGATTGGACACCATCGAGGATGACATGACCATTCCGATAAAGACAAAAGAGCCTATGTTACGCGAGTTCGACAAGTACTTGAAAATTGATGGCTGGAACTTCAATGGAAGTGGCCCTAACGAGAAGGATCGTGAGCTCCTCGTTCACTTCGACGATGTGATCGCAGAGCTAAAGAAGATCGACAAGAAGTATTATGATATCATTGAAGATATCACCGTTAAGATGGGTAATGGTATGGCCGACTACGCCGTGAACGCTGAATTCCAAGAAGGCGTCAAGTCGCTTGAGCAGTATGAGGAATACTGCCATTACGTCGCTGGTCTGGTCGGGGAAGGCCTGACTCGCATCTTCGTACAAGGCAATACGGCGAACCCTGCTTTACTCGACCGTATGGAGCTGTCTGAGAGTATGGGTCAGTTCTTACAAAAGACCAATATCATCCGCGATGTGCACGAGGATTTTGAAGATAAGCGTAGATTCTGGCCTAAGGACGTCTGGAGCAAGTATGTTGATAACTGGGATGACTTGTTTAACCCAAAGTACCGTACACAGGCTCTCCAGTGCAGTTCTGAGATGGTTCTCAACGCCTTAAAGCATGCCGACGAATGCCTATTTTACATGGCCGGCATCAAGGAGCAAAGCGTCTTCAACTTTGTCGCAATTCCGCAGACCATGGCTATCGCCACCCTTGAGCTCGTCTTTCAAAATCCCAAGATCTTCTATAGTCACATCAAGATAACGAAGGGTGACGCTTGCAACCTAATGATGCAATCAACGCAGAACCTGCGAGTCGTCTGCGAAGTATTCAAGGGTTATGCAAGGAGGATAGCGAAGAAGAACGACCCAAGAGACCCTCACTACCTTGAGATAAGTGTAGCTTGTGGCAAGGTGAGCCACACCTCCATACCTCCCCGTCGCTAGAGCTAATCATCGCTGACTCAACCTGAATAGATCGAGCAATTCATTGAAACTCTATTCCCAACGCAAGACGCAAAGAAGCTACAGGCCGTGCAGGAAGCGGAGGGAGAGGTACAAAACGCTGCCTCGAATGATTTCTGGGAAGCCTTATTATTGGTCGGATCTGTTGCATTCGTGCTTCTATTGGTTTCCAGTCTTATGGTACGTGATACGCCCACGCAAGTCTCGTTCGTCAGAGTTAAAACTAACAAAATACAAATAGCTTGGTTTAGCGTGGTTTATGGGAGCGAGGTTTGACGTGATTTTCGATAAAGAAGCCGCATCTAGTTTAAGAGATGCGGCCAAGGCGACAGCCACGACAACCACGACACTACTAGCTCACGAGGAGTTATAACGGATATATTAACCGACATGACGCCGAAAGGTGTATGATAACGTAAGTGGCGCTGGTAGGACTTCGGAGGGTCGCCGTTTAGTATATCATGTTTAATGCGGCAAGGCGTGACAGACCATGCTACGAGATGATGAAGCATCCCCTTTATAATCCTTACTAATATACACATACTAATATTGTAACTGATGCATATCCTTCGTTGTACGATATGTCCAATGCCCTCATCCAGGAATAGTCTAAGAGGCGAGGAACAACAAGCACGGATGTCAAATTACAGTCCAGTCTTTCTCAATGACTGCGGCTGTGCCGAGAAGTGCTGATATTAAAATTATGACGAGGAGTACCGGGTCCATTGTGGCTCGTAGGCACATGGCGGGCTTTGAACCTGATCAATTCCCAGATAGGGTTCCCCGTCGTGGATCGCCAACATAATACCTTTTGATACCTTTGACAGAGTTATGACATGGTTGGAAGTATCCCCTTGGGACTAGTGGTGACGGAACTATAACGCGAATCACAATAACCCTTCTACTAGCTAATCCCATGTCATGATGCATGATGACACTGACAATCGAGCTATAACCTCAGCGTTTTAATATTCAGCTTTAGCATTTCTCAACTAATACAAGATGTTATTCTTTCCACCTAAATCACTATCTACAACAATAATTAAGCCTGTAACCTGTTAAAAAGTTCTCATCCACGTAACAATGTCACGAAATGTATGTATCACAGCTGCGGAGGGCCAAACTGGCCATTTAATTGCCAACTTACTGCTTCGACAAGACGAATACCAGGACATCGGCAAGGTAGATTCGGTGGTTGGCCTAACACTACACCCGCGACACCATCATGTAAAGGAGCTACAATCCCTGGGTGCTAAAATCGTTCATCATGTTCCCGGACGAGAGAAAGTCGTGGCGAATACGCTCAGGGAGACGGGCTGCGATACTATCTGTCTAGTTCCGCCGGCGCATAAGGATAAGCATGATATCTGCGTCGAACTAATCCGGGCCGCGAAGAGGGCTGGTATACAAAATGTACTGTTCATCAGCTCTGCAGGCGCCGACTACGCGGATCCCAGACGTCAGCCTCATCTGAGGGAGTTCATCGAGCTTGAGAGTCTGGTCCTGTCTACTAAGGGGGACTCGTCAGCTCCGCTTGGACATTCACCCTGCATAATCAGGTATGTACGCGTGTTCTCGTCGCGGTAGAGCGTTGTACTGACGTGATAGACAGAGCAGGTTTCTATGCTGAGAACATACTTCTCTATGCGCCCCAAGCACAGTCCGAGGGCGATCTCACATTACCCATTGGGAAGGAACATAAGTTTGCCCCAGTAGCTCTCGGTGTATGAAACCTAGTGCTGTGAATTTATCTCTTTTGCTCGTGTGTAGCTAATATTGTATAGGATGTTGCTCAGGTCGCCGCCCACGTGTTATCGGGCAAAGGCCCGCACGGCTTCGACGATAGACACCGCGGTCAGATGATGATCGTTACTGGTAAGTCATGTCACGAACGATTTCGCCTTGTAGTCAACTCGAGCAAGGAGAACTAACGATGTTCGATAATCCAGGCCCAGAACTATGCGCGGGCGAAGAACTCGCCACGGCAGCGAGTACCGCCCTGGACAGCCCGATGAAATTCGAAGATATTTCACCGTAAGTTCTCTCTCACATATCTAATCCATTCGTTAATCCATATTTACCCTCCCTCTCTTCTTCACATGCATCTATAACTTAACTAAACATCCCAACCACCAAGAGCGGAAGCAAGGAGAACCCTCAAGGCACAAGCCTCCGAGGTCGACGAGTCGGAGAAGGAGTACCTCCTCGAGTACTATAGCCTGGTACGCGAGGGCAAGACGAATTACATCGCGACGACGGCGTTCCACGACGTCACGGGGAACTACCCGAAGAAGCCGACGGATTTCTTCAAGATGTACTCGGAGGATTTAAGGCCGAAGAAGAAGGTTAAGAAGGACCATTCGTGATATTGTGTCTATTGTGTCTATTGTGTTTAAAGTAATAGCTACCTAGCTACCTAGCCCTTACTTCGTGTGCGATTGGGTTTTCTATTAGTTATGCTATCTAGGCCAGGTACTACGCGATGCCACGATAGGGTCTCATCGTATTATACCTCGGAAATACGTGCCGAGAGAAGACGAGGGGGACAAGAAGGCGTTAACTACCTATATGTACATACGCGTATTAATCTTGGTGTTTTCTATAGGTCTCAATATAGGTTTCAATACTAACTACTCGATATAACATCTTGTTCACAATGATCATACTAACTACGACTTCTAACTAGCCACGAAACGTAGCCAACGTAAGCATCTATGAGACAACATGAATAAACACCGATATACAATCTTACCGCGATGAACATGACATTGTATGACGGTAGGGCTTGCTCGTCTCACGATCTGTTCCCAGGATGAAGACGATAAAAGAACTGATTGGTGGAATATGTTCGAGACGGTGGCGGCGGGCTTGCCAAGATACGTTTCATCCTCAACGGTCTCAGGCCCTTAGAAACTAACATCTTGGCTTCAATATCCCGTCTCACGTCCCGCAGCGTATTGCGTAAGCCCCGAGGGTTGCTTGGCGGCAGCTGCTTGGAGGTCGGGTCTACCCGGGCTCGTATAACATATTACCATCGCTTACCTCGATATCCACACACGGAGTCACGCCCGCTTTTCTTACCGTCTTGAAATTATGTGCTTGCAAGATGTATATTATAGTAGTTCCGTTATGGATCAGAAAGGGGGATGTATCATACAGAGTTATGCCCGTTGTTTTTCATCTCACTTAAATCAAGTTGGGGGGACCTTATTTGAACATGTTTATCGCTGAAGTTGATTATATACTGATAGAACATCTACCGACCCAAATATACACAATATTGATGCAGCGACAAGAAATCGCTTGAACCGCTAGCTCGTCCGTAGAACATCTTGTCATCTTCTCTATAATGCATGGTCGCTCATCTATTTTAAGCATAACATCTCGCTGCGCTATCCACACGTATATATCCTTCCCAGATGAGAAATAAAAATGAGTATAAACAAGGCCCCAACGTTCGCCTCTCGTTAAAAATCGCTATATGTAGTATTAATTCATGCTTCGCTAGATGCTGGTAACCATGTGTGCTGGTATGAGGTACGTGTAGAAAGCGATGGGGCGAGGTCATCCAACTTTGAATCGAAACACCCCGTGAATCATCAGACGTGCAGAACATCACGCACTGAATTATTATAGGTTGCCGTTGTTGGCGATGACATTGGTGGTACCCTTGATATTCCGTCCGACAGTGGCACCCGAAGCAGCACCCAGTTCCTTGATACGGTCCGAAACGGCAGTAGCGTCAGTGAGGCCCTCAAGGGACATGAGGTAGGCCGCGAGACCGGCGATATGCGGGGACGCTAGAGTCTTTGTTAGATATTTCTTTAGATAGCTATTGAACCTATTATATTGGCTAGGAATTGGGGCGTGGGAACATACCCATGGAAGTACCGCTCAGAGTCTCGGTAGCCTGATTGCTAGAAATACCGACACTCTCGACATCAACACCAGGAGCATAGACATCGACAAAGCTGCCGAAGTTGCTGAAGCTAGCGCGTTGGTCGTTGGTCTGGTCGATGGCACCGACGGTGATGGCATTGGGGCTGCTTGCGGGGGAGACGTTGGTGGCATCCTGAGCCTCATTTCCGGCAGCGACAACAGGAACAACACCATTGGAAAAGAGGCGCTCAATGGCGTCGTTAACGGCCTGAGAAGCGGGTCCACCAAGAGACATGTTCATCACAGACTTTCCCTTCTTAGCGTCCGAAGCAACAAAGTTGAGACCGTCGATCACATCGGCGTTAGTACCACTACCTTGGGCGTCTAGAACCTTGACGCCAACCAACTGCACGTTCTTCGCCACTCCGAATGTCGCACCGCCGACGGTACCTGCGACGTGGCTACCGTGACCATTCAAATCCGTAGCCTATAATTAACCCGTTAGCTTAAGTCCTGCGGTGCCATAACATGATGCTGAAATCAGCGTTATAGTAGGAGGGATTAATGCTATACCTCTTCTTCCTCGACGGCGTTGAACCCCATAACAGCTCGTCCCTGGAAATCCTCGTGCGTTACCATAATACCGGTATCAACAATGTACGCCGTGATATTCTCGCCAGCAGCTGCATCATCGAACACGTAACCCTGTCCTCCAGCCGCAGCATGGCTTAGACGGACCAGACCAGTAGGCGCGTTTGACTGGTTCACAAGGCGGGAGGACTTGACATAGGTGTTGGCTTCGACGTACTTAACCATAGACAAGTTGTTCATCTCACTCATCATGAGATCATCTGAGTCTAGGGCCATAGCACGCCAGCCTGACATGGCGAATGTACGGACTCTTGTGGAGAGGAGCTGACCGGCAAGCCCACGCTTGTTCAGGTTACGCTTCTTGACGGCTACCTTAACAGACGCTTGGTGCTGGTCGATTTCATCGTCGGTATAGTTCTTGTGGTAGACGACGATGTATGAGTTGGGAACTATATCTTTTGCACCTGGGTTGCTGACAAAGGCGGCTACAGCGTTGGATATAGTATTACCTATTACTTTACTAACTCCTGAAATGTCTGAAGAATCTGAAGAAGTCGTCGCAGGCGCAGATGCAGAAGGTCGCCATAAATTCAAAGGGCTTGCGACTGCTCCCAACGGAGCAAGGGCGAGGAGAGAGGTTAAAACGGTAGCGATGCTTGGAGCCATTTTGTCGATTTAGGTATGAAACTGTGAGTTTGGCCTTCTTTTTTTGTGAACTTGTCTTATTTCAACTCTCTTTGTACCAGACAAATCGAGAATGATCCAATACTGTGATATCGCTGGAAGCACCTAAAGAGTGATACGAAACCGAGGGCTTGATATGTACTTTTTTTTAATAAAAAAATGAAGGGCTACGATCGAATCACCGATCCGAAAGTAAAATTGAGAAGAAGTATGTTCAAGAGAGTGATGTGGAAAGGAAAAGGTAGAGGGTTGAAGGTAAGTCAAGGTTAAAGAGTAACGAAGACAAATAAAAATGTACCTTCACGATCCACTCTCACCCGGAGAAATACGAGAATAAAAAAACGTGGGGGGGAAATTGAGAGACGACAAGCAAACTCAAGAAGGTAAACCGGAAAAGAGATGAGAGGGCATTGTCTTTTAATAAAAGATTGTCAGGTTGGTCGCATATAAACTGCCTAGATAGGTATTAGATACGGAATCATACAATAGGCACAAATAATAACGTACCTAGGTACCCCATAAAGCACGCCCCATCAAGATCCACCCCTTAAAAGAATGTATGGGACCTAGGTAGCCTTGTAATCGGTAATGAGTAACTAGAAAATATTTCGAAGAGGCTTGTTTTGGACGTTAGCAAACCAACCCCAGTTTCCAGTTTGTAGAAGGCTGGGCAGGAATCATCATAGGCGCCAAGTACCGCCAAGTCAAACGTGAGCCCCTAGACCGCCGCGGTTGATCCTCAAATGCAGGGGTTTGGAGCGCCTTGCCGCATACTTTCGCATACTTTTGCATACTCGTCAGTTCGTCAATCCCAAACAAGGCCTTGCGACAGGCCAGCTGGGAAAGTAACAGGGTTAACTAGATGCGATCGCGGTGCAGCATCAGTAACAATAACAAACTATTATTGTAACGAGTGCGTCTTTGTGCGTCCTTGTACGTCTCTTTGCGTCCAAGAGAAGAAAGTCGTAAAAGAGAAATCGTCCAATCCGCCTCCCCACAACTTTGGTAACCATAAACCAGTAACCAGTCAGAACTAAGTCACTATTGTTAGCAAGCCCACAGCGCAAACTTCTCGTACGATCTTGACCTGTAAATATGTATTAAAGGATAGCTACCGATATCCATACTGCCTGTTATATTCCTCTGTTAAGAATTACAACTTATATGATCCTCTAGGATCGTAGAGCATCGGTGGATGTCGGGGGCGAAAGCCCATGTAGTATTATCATATGAGAGGTGTTTCCCGCCATTCTTCAGCCGCGCGCATGAACTCGACTGCGGCAAAGGTGGCAGTTATATGAATCATGTCTACCTACAAGACTATGATCGTTGGTAGAACCGACCAAACTGCTTGTAATAACAGATTGGGACGGATTTATCCGAAGTCGTCATTGATCCCTCCGAACCATAAATACCGTAAATACCGTAAATAGGCGATGGCTCCGCCGTGTTAGCCGTACACCGAGGACATCCGGAGAAGCCTTGGAGAAGCAAATATTCCTTCCGTACATACTATAGTATCTTGTACGTATTGTGCGGCTACTCCTAGCAAGTGGTGCTATTTCGGGGGAACTGGCGGATTTAGGAAAGGGTCAAATGGAATGTCCAGTGTAATCCGCAGAGTGGTCAACCCCTAACTAAAATGTACTTTGTATTCAAATGCCCGATGGAGCCAGGCCCGCAAATAAGAAACATATTGAGGGAATATTAGGGATTGCCGCGTTAAGCCGTTTAAAGTAATAGTGGATTCTCATATCTAAGGGGCGTTTCAGTAATATCAGGCTCTGGTTGGTCAGAGTATTAAATTTAAGTTAATTGAAACAATACACTTGCTAAATGATCTGCTGTGTTACATAATGGTCAAGCTGCTAGGTATGTATCGATTAAGGGTCCAGGAAGCATAACCTCTACGATAAATATAGGTATTAACATGGTGTAAACTCCACCAGCCTGCACAGTGAGTAACTACCTAGGTAAAGTATGTAATAAATACTCTACCCATCCATCCTCGCTCGACGATGCAGTTTGCTATCAGCTATGTATGCTCACTTTTACTACTTACAACTATGTATGTAAGGGACATTCGACACGTGATATTACAATCATCACCTTGCTTGAAATCGGAGGCTCAAGTAACCTCACTCGACGAGTTAAGTAGCCTACCTCCTATTGATATGCTATGATGTATATACGGATACTCATCCCATGTTATTGTTATCAATAACCATAAGACGATAAGCCCATCCATTGAATCGGCAACATACAACTAGTGCCAGATATCCATATAAGAGCAGCCGCTACATGTCATGTTTTGTAGTATCACCATTCATCCATAGCCCTAAACACCCAGACACCAAATATTCGAATGGCGGCCAGAAGGAGAGCCAGTCATGCAAGTAATCCCGATCAAATAGGATCCACTCCTAGGCAAGACTGTGTCTTGGCTTAAGCCATCGAATGAAGATCTACTGCAAGTGCCTGGTCCACTCAAAGCTTGACAACAGGCGCCAACAGACAGACAATGTAGCATATCAGCATATGTATAGCTCGTACACGTATGTAGGTTAGCGGAATCCAATACCCTGCGAAGCTGCATGAAGACATATGCACGAGTAGCAGCACATATATAACACACATCGAATATGCGTTCCCTGTACCGACATACATATGGACATACATATTACATATATGTAGGTACCTAGGTAAAATACATTATACGACAGGGAAATTGAAAAGTCCATATTAAACAAACATCGAACTTATCTCACGATAATATATAGAGGGGTAAGAGATGTTTTATAACAGGTTAGGTAACCTAATGTACCTAACCTACGAAAAGAAAAGAAAGTACCTAAGATGCGTACGTTAATGCTGACTGTTATTTAATTTTACGGTTGGGTCCCCAAAATAAAAATAAAAATGGAAGTATGCGTTGTCATAAGCGTAGGTACATAAACTACATGTACCTACCTACGAAGGTCCGGGCCAAAAGACTTGCCCATCTAGTCTTGGCAGACCACGTGTGAGTAAGAAAAGGACCGCACGGTATTATTTAAGCTGTAGTGGCCGACGCCGCTATACATACAGTGGTAAGCCGCCTAAACTTAGCGTACGGGCCGCTATCCAAATTTTAGCTTAGCAGGTAGCTGATATAATATTAATAGCAAAAGATGACGTTGAAATACGGTGCTAAGGACCTCCACATGTGCAAGACTTTTGGCCCGGACCTTCGTACATATGTACCTGTGATAATAAACATGTCTGGAACTCTGGGTGATTGATAACAGCACGTTATCTGGTAATTACCTAGAAACCCAGGGCGCTATCTCCAACTGGTACCAGTTACCCTACACCCAAACCGCTACAGTCCGATGTACCTACATTAGGTACCCAAAAGACTTTAACGGCGCGAAATGGAAAAGTCCTCTCCCCGGCAACTCTGCCCACGTCCTCTTTGCATCATCGGAAATCGCACGACGACTACTTTCATGACCTGTACCATACACATGTACAATACCATACCGAAATCTTCCAAACTTCCAATCTTCCAATCTCCCACTCCAACACCAACTCGAAAATCCCAACTCGTGAGGTGTATACACCTAGATTAGAACGAACCAGATAAAAGACTTGAATCCGGTTACGGCATACCAAGCCATCTCAATCACCGTAATCGCCATACCGCAATTACCACTCGGTTGCACGTGGTCCTTTACCATTTTGATTCTGCCACCATTCGACTCACTTCCATTTAACCCTGATTCTATTGACCTTTGCCCGATCTTCTCTAAACGCGATCCTTACAAATCGTAAGTTACGATTCGTCCATAAGTTAAGATCACATACCTTCTATTCGGCTAGACAAACTATCAGCGCCGAAATTGGCTGTTTTAACAATATCTCCTTTGTTCAGTTGATTATTACCTCTGTGACCATCTCGTTCGAATCGTCAATTCTTACACCACCGATATTCTTTCGCTGAATGTGCTTAAATACCAATTCTACTCAGCACGCCGAAACATAGCCGAGCCCTGAGGTAGACGTTAGGTAGTCGGCGGAATCTCGACAATACAGGTCATGAACGATCCCACCTCGTAGTTGTCTGAATATTTTTGATAGTCCAAAATGATCATGGTGGGCACTGGGGAGTCTGCTTCCTTTCATAATGGAGACGCTATTCCCGCTACTACATTCGAGGCTTACTCTCAGGGTCTTCATCTCCCAAGAGAACCGTACCTGCAGAGAGAGATATCTATCGACCGGGATGAAGATGAGGACACCGCAACGGTCGAATTAGCCGCTATCATGACTACTACATCAACACCCGTCACACCCGGGCCTACAAGCCCGCCTCTCGAGCCACCCAAGTCGACCGATTTCGTACCTCCAACGCGTCCCAGTAGCACTCCATTTCCCAATGCTCAGCAGGGCCAAACCAATATTCGCTGCTTAACCTGCCAACCATATCGCCCCGAATCCGACGACAGTCTGTTCTCGAGCCCAGTTTCCACTCCGGCTATCGTCGAACAAAATCCCGTCTTAACCCTAGCCCAATTACCAGCCGAGATCCACGAATGTATCCTTGACCACATATTCGGATATCGGGTTTCTACTACATCACCAAGTTCTTTCAACATCCCTAGTATGAATGCCCGAGGTTGGAGCACTGCATTGCGGCATTCGAGAAGGAAAGAGTTGTCTAACCTAGCCCTTGTCTGTGCCTCATGGAGGGATCTGATTCAGCAACGGCTTTATCGACATATCAAGCTAAAAGCAACAGTACACTGCAGTAATGAAGTTATGGAATTTTTCGTATGCCATCCTCACCTTCGAACTTACGTAAAGCATATCGAGATATGGTTTCCAGTGTTTCAACCCAAATTTCAAGCCACGAAACCAGGGGATATATCACTCGCCCTTCCCACCGTCTCTCCCGAAGGAATCGCATGCGCAACCTATGCATTACCAACTGACAACTCCACGCTCGAGGAAGTGTTCTATCTTGTGAGCATGCAGTTCCCCGAGGCGCGGGTAATGACGCTTGAGGGCGGAGAAAGGAAAAAGGCGCCACGGGTGAAATTCAACTTGGCCGGACCCGCATGGGTCACCAGAAATCTACCAGAAATTCCGTCGATTCGAACGCTTATTGTCAAAGGCCAGTGGAACATTATTCGGCAGCCCAGGGATTGGGAAGTCATCTCCCAGGCGCTACCGAACTTGGAGGAATGGCACGGGACTTATGCCAAGCCCAAATCCAAGAGCTATCTTAGTATGGCAAGCACGCTTGAGTGCCTCGATACAAAAATTACTAGTCTCAATCTCTGCCTCGAGTGTGACTATAAGAGGGAAATGGCATGTCCTCCTTACTATATGAAAGTTTGTGAGCAGCTTCACTGGTGTGAGAAATTGGCAAAAGCTACAAGTAATCTGGAGCACTTCTCTTATACCGGTCGTGTCTGTTTTGGGTTCTTCAATATGCTCTCGGGATATTCAAATCCTCGCACCACGAAACTCAAGACCATTGATATCACCGTCAAGAATTGTTGCCGGCAGAATGCTCAGTGGAACGAGTCGGGTTCGGGCATTACCGACATGCATTTTATTGCGGCTTTCGAGCAGCTCGTATTAAGTGGGATCCGGGCCCTAGAGCACTTGAAGTCCGTAGAACTACTACGGATCCGATATGTTGATATTGGTAAGTATATGTATTCTGTCTGCCGTTAAAATTTTCGTGCTGACCAGTTCCGTCCAGACTCGCCTGTCCCGCCTCTTAACCCCTATTTCATGATTGAGGACGGCTGGTGCTCTGGGGTATGGAGCGAGGACATCGTAGCAGAGATTAATCGTGTGCGCCCCGATATCCGCTTCGAGGAGATGGTGGACAGCTTCGGAGAGGTAGGCTATAATAAGGATGGTCGATTGGTTATTAACCCAGACTTTCCGAAATCACGGGTTCTCTCCCTTAAATTAGCCAACTACGCCATGCTTTCAGGTGGTATCTCAATCGTGTGAAATCTCGACGTTGTTGTTTTGTCGTCTCACGACTAGATAATCATGGCATATGGCAGAGGGGTTTTCTGCTGGCATAATGGCATAATCTAACGAGGTATATGACGATGCCCTGCTCTATGTATAAATGCAGGGAAAACGGCCATTTGTCCATAGGATAGAGGGCCGGTACATATAGAGATCATAAGCATGTAACAAAGCTGTGCAGCCGGCGCAGTGCTTGATGTACCTAAGGTGACCTAGGGGAGGACATGTGTGGGCGAATGCCCGTCCGGTTTCTAGGAGGGGAAGGACAGGTTTGAACTCTCAGGAAGTGAATAATACCCATTGCAATGGCTTTCTCTATCAACTGGCGTACCGAGTCTTTTCTCAGCTGTTTTAGCAATGTAATCTATTGCGTGGACGAGTGTAATGATGATAGAATAGTTCAATACACTAGAAGCTTAATCAGTATATAGATATCCTTCAGTTCCAAGGGCAGGTGTCTAATGTGAGTCATATTGAAATAGAAATACAGCTCACCCCCTGAAATAATGTTACTTGTTCGGACGTGTACGATACAGAATAGGGTTTCGAATTATAAATAAAATAACGCCTCTTAAAGCATCTTAACTATAACAACCTCCTAAGGCGCCAATGGATATACGCTTCAGGATCTTAGCGAAATAGTTCTAGGGTTCCGTTAAATAACATTATTACAAGGGGCGTACTGTATGACAAGGCAGTAAAGTGATAAAATTGATGTATCACATTTAGTTCAGCTCGTGGCTTCGCAGGGATACGACGAGGGGAAAGTATAACCGAGTAAGCTTATACTCATATTGCTACTTTCCCATTGCACATTGACGGGGCAAGTGAGCTGCAAGTGAGATGCTATATATAAAAATGCTACCAGGAATCGGACCTGTCTTAACTTTAATACCCCAGTGTGGAACTGGTCTTGTATTACGGGAACGTTATTGAATCTAAAAGGACTACAGGACTTCGTCTGTTTATATAGTTGGCCCTATGGGGCCCTAGGGGCCTCGTTCCTTCACTCGATGCTTTAACCGTGACTCACGATGATGACATGGACCACCTACCAACACCTAGTCAATTTAACTAGTTGATCTCCTTTCTTTTCGTACACGGCCTAAGTCGATCCAGTATTAAATCACCTCTTCCGAGCTGTCATGACATAAAATAAATATACGATAGTGTATCCTCTAAACCCAAATATGCATAGAAATTGCCGGTTCCGAATGCACCTCCATTTCCACTTACTAAAACAAGACCAAAATAAAGACTAATAGGTATGTATACATGCATTATCAACTTCCTCGTTGCTTGCTATTATTAACGTCAACTACTCTTCTCATGTTCGGGACTATAGTCTAGATCACCAATGATGGTTCCCAAGACCCAGCAGTTTACCAAGAAAAAGGCTAGAGACGATGTCCAGAGGCCAGGGATAAATGTGCTCATACCAAGAAACTCAAGGTTATAGGCTTGCTGCAACCACAACCCCTGGGTCGCGACCCAGAGACCGAGGGCTAACAGGCCAAGGCGCGGGTTACGGAAGAACGAGGAGTTTGGTAGGTATAAAGGTAAGAATACCATATACCAAAGGAAGTACTGTTCAGAAGTATCAGCTATATAGATAATAGACTTAGGGGTATACAGGACTCTACGTGGTTGAGGGATTCGCTAGAAGCGTCTATATCGGGAAGTGAAGACATGGCCTAGTATGGCAGAAGTGTTAAGAGATAAACGTACCTGGCTTGTACAGACCTTGTTAAAGGTAACAAAAGCGAAAGTCTGTGCCAACATAGTGGTTGGTAGGTCTTTCTTGGCCCCGGCTATAGGAATCAGAACTGTCGACAAGACCAGCTGCGGTAAAAATGCCACCGATTCGGCTTTGATTAGGGCAGTGCTTGGGTGCGCCGAGGTAAGGTAGAGTAGGATGTTGTATGGACTGAAGTTGTGGCGGTGGTCGATCCGGCTGACGTGATGTAGAAACGTGTGGGTGAGGAATGGCATCCCGTAAAGTGCGTACATGATAAAGTTCAAGGCTAAGAACGTGGTCAAGCTAGCAAGTGCAAGCAAGATGCGATCGGGTGTGATAAATGCCATGGCCTTGCCTAATAATGTTGCTGGCTGGGTAGTACTTTGGCCATCCTTCACTGCTTGAACATGAGAGCCTGGTCTCCTATTCATCTGCTGAGCATCCATCCACCATACAATGGCTGGCGCATAAATAAAGGGATAGATTTTGAAATGGACACCTAGCCCCAGCAATACGCCCGCAAGCGTGACTTTCTTCTCAAGCACTGCCCATAGCAGAGCCATAACTAACACCCCGAGAAGTCCCTCGGAGCTACCCCTTGTGCTGATAGTAGCCACCATGGGGTTTAATAACCAGATACTGGCGTACCTACAAGCACGATCTTCAGACATGCGCACGGCCGGTCCTCGCAGCACCTGGATAATCAAATAACCAGCTAGAATATCAGCTGCGGCGAATAGCACCTTGCCGAATGAGAACCAGAAGGTACCAGGCCATGTAGTTGGGTACAAGAGCCAGGCTAACAGGGGTGTGTAGCGGTAGGTCTCCCGAGTATATGGCGACGCCGACGCAGACGCAAAGGTAAACCGTGCAGCGTCTGTGAACACTAGGTAGTCGATATCTGTGTATTTAAGTGGCGAGTTGGCATCTTGCCATAGACCGTATAATAGCATAGCAGCGCGGAGTATAGTCGCAGCTGCGAAGAGAGGGAGGGGCCGCGAGATGAGAGCTCCAACTTGCGACGCCATCTTTTCAAAGTACAGGCGTATATACGGCCTCTTCTTCGGATATGATTCTTTTGCCCCGGCAGAGAAGTCTAATTAGAGGTAGACTAGGTAACCTGAAAAGTTGGGGAAGTGGCCAGCACTTGTGGGAGTAGAACAAGTTGTTCAACACTGTCTGAGTGACGATTTTAGCACAAGTGTTAACGACCCGTTAGATTCAAACATGGTCCATGCGAGAAATGGAGAAAATATATCCAGTAATGAATTCATATAATAAAAGAGATGGGAAAGTTAAAAGTTGTCCGTGACAAATGACGAAATATAAGAATGTTGTCAAGTTCAAAGTTGAAAGGGGGTATCTAATGACTGTTAATGAGAACCGGCATATCTTCGGTGAAACAATAGGTCATAGGCTACCGTCAGCTGCCTAGCTCTAATGTACCTTAGTACCTCCCTATCGATAATCAAAGTTGGAAGTTTAGATAACTACCTCCTGTTAGTGGCAATTCCATTAGTTACATGTATCGTACTTCATTCAGTACGGCACCTGATATACAATTAGACATTGTTACAGCTTCCCAAAGGAATTAAAAAATTGCCATAATAGAGGAAGCAATGTCTGAAGTAATTGTCCCCCAGAATCAGAGCCGAGCTATGGGTGGTGGCATTAAGAGAGACCATCAAGGAAAGGAGAAGGTGGCGGACAGCAGGGCTACTAGGGATATGCCTCGCAACCAGTACACTTCCATGTTCGAGACTTTTCGCGACGAATTAGACGAGCATCATGATCGCCGTATGAAAATTGGGAAGGTTTCTCGAGATGTCACAGCTCTCAGTAAGAAGATGTAAGCTAGGAAGCATTCAACCCATTTCCTTGTCTCTGATTGCTAACAGTATCATAGAATATTCTCACTACAACGGTACTACATCTATCAATATTCAAGATATTTACCCCTGACGTATATCTCACAGTGTCCGCAAGCTAAACCAGCCGCTTCCCCCTCGCATTCAAGCAGACGTCGATGAACGTCTAAAGGAGATAGCAGCGCACTTAGCTACCATCGAGTCTGACGTGACCGGGATGAACCGCTACCGTTACCCGTTGATATGTCTAGAAGAATTTGTCGAAGCAATCTCCTTCTCTCATTATCTCCAACACCAGAAGCTTCTCTCGCCGTCACAGGCCCAAGATGCCCTACCAGCTGATATAGCACTAACGGCCCCTGACTACCTATTCGGCATATTTGACTTAACCGGCGAGATGATGCGCTTCGCGACTGCTGTTACCGCACTAAGCGGAAGCATGCCGGGGTCAGGCACTAAAGGCTCCGACAATGACCGGACTATATTGAACGATCTCCAAGATGTAAGTTCCATGCTTCAGATCTGTCCGCCCGCTGGTGGAAAGCCAAACGTCTACGCCAAGAAGTTGGACATCATGATCGAGCAGGTCCGGAAGGTGGAGATAGTTGGATACGGTATCACAGTTCGAGGTAACGAGCGGCCAAAGGGCTGGATGCCGGATATGAACGAGTCTGGCGGGTTTGAGAGGGATCAGGAGGATGTGTCTATGGATTGATGCGTCGGTAGCCCCTATTCGACTCCTACCCAAAGGAACACAGCTACACTAAGACTTTTCTCTGGGCCAGAGGTGTATAATCGATTGCGTTTCCTTACCAGACACCGTCGTCGCCGAGTCGGCAGAGTAGCCATTGCCATTCAATCTGCTTTCCATCGAAGGAAGGCTGTACGAAGTAGATGCTGCGTGTTGGGCATCCTGACTGTTGTTAATGTTAGTGTGTCCTATCTCCATTCGCCCGGTGTATACCCATGCAATATGTGGTTCTACATGCACTTCATCAACGCATATCGAACAGGGAGATCAGGGGGAGCTCCACATCGTGTGAACCTCATTTTCCGAGCCCGTGATTATTCTAGGTATTTTTTATGTTCTTTTTTTTTTAAAAAAAAAAAGAAAGAAAGAAAGAAAAAAGAGGAAATAAAGGAAGAGAGCTGCCCAAGTATAATGCTGTGCTCTATATGTCTCTTTTGGTGGTGACACATCTTACTATAGGCCTAGTGGGCTACTACATTCACTTACATACCTAACGCAGCTTTAAACTACTACCAGCAACCTTAGCTAAAAATAGTAAAGCCAACACGTGCCCTGAGACTCAAGTGCATCATCTATTACTTACCTAGGCACTTGATATATTCATGTGGTGTAGAAGTGATATTCATCTTACTTCTGCAGTAAGGGCAGTAGCTATAGCGCCTATTTAAGCTGCATGTGTTTATTGATAATTACCCGAATTGACGTTGCAGGCCTCTACTTGGATTGAAATGTTGAGAACGCGCCGGTTCTCTCAATATTCAAACGGGTAAGTGTGTCAAGTTATATACCTTTACTAAGAAAGGATACAATTATATTAAACTAACACACGGCATGGCCGGTTAATACCATGCGACTAACCCATAAGGTCGATATAGACTACATTACCCCTTTTCCTTTCTACAGGGCAATTATCGACCGTATTATATGCCAATGGATTCACCGCAAGTTTAGATTCTCCGATTTTTGTTGAATGTCAATGCCGCAGTACATCTGCGATAGGAGGTCAGTCTATTATCGAGCCGCATGTCCTTTCTTTATCAGCACTGTGCCCTGACGTGTAATGTTACAGACCCTTTGTGTTATACCGTATTGACGCCGAGATGAGGCTTAAACGCACGTGGACGGTGCCAGGAAGCATCTCGATGTGGGTGAGTGCTATGCGGAGTAACCTGTTACAAGTAGATCGATATTAGACACCTAAGCATTCACTTGCTACATCATGAAAAAAATAAAAAATAAAAAAACGGGCGTATATTATCAGTCGTAAGAAGCTTCGTCTCGTTGACCCGTTTGAGTGTACGTGGTAGTATTCTTATTTGATTGGAATCCTAGCTAGTCGATCTTGGTAAGGAATACCTAATCACCCTTGTCTGATTCGGCGACTGGCTGAGCAAAAGGCCACAGGGGTCTAAATTTGATATCCTGTACACTAGATGCGACTCTGTAATGCCCCGGATATTGCATTAAACCAAAGAGCTCCGGATGGGTTCTCCGGATCGTAAGATTAGGATTTAAATCGTTTTCTCTTCGCTTGTAATCATAGTTGAATCTGACAGATTATCAACAACCAACTACTTCCACGGTATATCGGTAATGTGTAAATCAACACGCATTATGACGTGCTGTCCTCAGCTTCCTCTCGGCGCCGTGGATTTGTGGGGTATAATCCGGGGTAAGACAAAGCTACGAGAGGCCAAGCAATGCTCGTATCGCGTGGCGTGTAGATTCGCTGCATCTAGAAGATCTTGGGGTCCTCTTTAAGCTTTGCGCCATGGCAGTCGCACCAAAGGAACAACCTTATTAATCTAAGTGACTATATAGTACATCTCCCCGTCGCCACTGACATACCACGGCGGGGCGGTGAGAATTAACTATTGACGATGGTAAGTCTTGGGACGAATCTTGGAGAGATCACGATGGTGGAGGAGGATGAGGGGAAATGTTGGCTTCCCCCGCTCTTGTGGGATGTTAGTCCTCTTTATGAGCCGATGCTCATGTGTTGTTGGTACAATGCCTTGGGTATGTAGACACTTTTTCGTTCCTTTTATCCACCAACAATAGTAGCGCATGGTCTAAGATCTGAGTATCTAGAGCCTCGGGTTAGTAGCCAGGATGGCCGTTGTTGTCGTGCGAGTGCGGACACGTTATACATACATACACTAAATATGAGATCACAAGCCATAAACCCGAGTTCAGCGTCCCGCTTTGTTCTTCTGCTCTGTACAAGCCGACTCTTGCGTCAGCAGAAGGCTGAGCCGATTTGGAATTGAAAATACGATTATTACAACGGACAAATGAACTGGGAAAGGGATATTCGAGTGCTGACATAGGAATTAAACGTAGCCAATCATAGCCAATAGTAAGCTATATTGGGTATGCATGTGTTAGATATGATTTATCCCGTTTGCTTATTGTACTGCATATGTACTTCCCAACGGCTGGCAACCGAGCAATGGGGATCAAATATAATGCCAGTACTACATTACGTGTAAGCATATTTTACCTGAATCCGCATGGGGAGGAGAAAAACCACTGATATAAATTAGCCCAATTTTACTATCACTGTCGGAGATATATGTTATGTACAACATGATAACAAGTGTTTGCAAGCTATAATCAAACCTCTTACCGAGTTGCTATGTTTTCTTCTGCAAACTGCATATACGCGATAGCTAATTTTTAATCTCAACCACAAGGCAACCTTCAACTTTCATATGAACCATTTTTAAAGAAAAACATGCGGCTCCTCTCACTGACCCGCGGCGTACCAGTTTTACTGCTACCTCTTTTGACTTGCTTAGTTGTATAGAGTCGCATTGTCCCTCTTTTTCATCATCATCTTCCTATTAGACAGACGTCAGATATCACGTTTACTTATTATACCTATCATATTGGAAATATATATGTATAACTACTTACAACATATCTGACTTTTGTTTCCCCCCCTTTTTCGTCATTGGCCAAATAAACTAATGTCATGGACGACCTCGCAATAGCTATAAACTCCGTAACCCGAAACTATCTTTAAATTATTCAGCCAAGCGGCTCTTCTCAACAGATTACCTCATGGAAATAAAAAAATGAAAGGATGCGAGTGGACCAAATGGAAACTCGTCCCTTTTCTCCGGCACAGCAGGGAAAAGGCGCTACGAACAGTAGCAAAAGACTAACAGGGATCACAGCGCTGTCGAGGACGCTAAAGCATTCGTCCGGATCTTTCGAGTAAGCAACGATTTGCTAAGCTAAGCTTTAACCCCAGTTTCACGCGTCCCGATTCAAAACAGTCTGCATGACATTACCAGCATTTGTAAGGAGAGAAAAAAAAAAGGGAAAAGGGGAGTACAAGTTCCGCTGGAGCGGGAAACAATACTACTGGTCTATCACATCCAATTTTTTCCATTTTTTCTGCTGCGCAACTCTTACGCACGTTAATCTTTTAGTTTCTATAATAAGTAATGCTTTGCACTTCACGTTAATTGGAAACAACCCGAATCCGAATAACACAATAAATATGGGCTTGCTTATGCAGACTTTAGGTACTTATGTATGTGAAATTTCTCTTTTCATCCAACAACGTAGCAACGTAGCAACGTATATAGAAAAGGTGTGTCAATGCAACCCAATCTATTGGTAGCTAATAGCTATTAGTTTAAGTGATGGCAGTTTCTGGGCGTTTTCTGGGCAACTGGGGTAGCTTACCCCAAATATGAAGTGCAAAAGCCAAGAAGTGCCCATAGTACATAATAAATGCTTGGATGCAAGATACGATTTGCAAAGCTGATGAGGAGCCGGAGGGGAAAGAGGTGGAGTGAAAATTGAAAACACATACGTAAACCAAAAACACCCTTGTTCTTATTTCCCCACTGCACCGGATGCATGGGGGTTGCATGGCTGATAGCTGGATGGCCGGATGGTTGGATGGCTTGGTTCTCTTTTGCATTCTATCTGCATGAGGACTAGAATTAATGAGGACTAGATTTATCAAACCCTAGAGCTATTCAAGTTACTCTAGTTACTCTAGTTACTCAACTTCCTCGAACCTATCTCTCCTATATTATTATTCCTCCGTGCCCCCATCACCCCCAGATCATTCCCCACTGCTTGGGACCTTTCCATGCTCTTATTTAAACCACTGAGATTCTCCCCGTTCCCCAGCCGGCTTCAGGACCCTTTTTACTTTTTTTTTTATTTCTTTTTTTAGTTGCGGATTGTGAACTCGGAATCTATTGCGTAGGCTCCACCATCACCGTCCACCAACTTCACGATGGCCTCTACCGAATTGCACCAGGCGCCTACCGCCGAGAAGGAAATTGGCGGCGGCGCTACCACCGGCGCAAACCTCAATGGTTCATCTACCACCCACCGCTGGGACTATGGCGGCAACCCGCTCTATCACGCCCATTCCGGCCCCGACGCCAGACTCCCTGCCTTCGGTGGTGAGTTTCAACCCGGTTTGTACAAGCCTATCGAGCACCGCAAGTTCGCCAACCCTGCACCTCTTGGTCTCTCTGCTTTCGCCTTGACAACCTTCGTCCTATCTCTCGTCAACGTCAACACGCGTGGCGTTGCCGTTCCGAATATCGCCTTGACGCTGGCATACGGATATGGTGGTCTCGTGCAGCTACTGGCTGGCATGTGGTAAGTACAATGATGCGACTGTAGTAGAAACATCATACCCCGTCATTTACTACCTATCGTCACCTACTAACCCGTGATAAAGGGAAATGGCCATAGGCAACACTTTCGGTGCCACCGCCCTGTCATCCTACGGTGGTTTCTGGATTTCCTACGCTATCGCCCTGACCCCAGGCTTCGAGGCCTTGGCCACCTACCCTGACGATGCCCAGAAAGCGTCCGTGCTTGGTTTCTTCTTGACGGGCTGGTTCATCTTCACCTTTATCCTACTTCTATGCACCTTGAGGTCTACAGTTATGTTCTTCATGCTATTCTTCACCCTCGACCTCGCCTTCCTTATGCTTGCCTGTGCCGAATACGCGAAGTCTAACGGCGCGGCGGTTTCGGCTGTGAAGTTGACACAAGCGGGCGGTGGATTCGGCCTGCTTGCCGCATTCCTTGCCTGGTATAACGCGTTCGCTGGTATTGCCGACTCGAGGTATGTTCCTAACTATGTTCGTCTTAAATATAGAATTACGACTAACCTTGTCGTAGCAATTCCTTCTTTATCATCCCAGTCTTCCACTTCCCTTGGTCTGAGAAGGGACGCCAGGTCCGTGCCACCAAGAGCGAACGCGAGACAGCATAGATTCGCGATGGAATGCTCGAGGGCTGTTTTGGATGGTAATGTTTTATTGGTTTGTGTAAAACGAATTGTTCTCTTGATGTTCATAATTAGGTATTAAGGGAGTTTGCAAAGCAACCACAGGACAAGTGGTATGAAGTGCAATAGTCGGGGTAATCTGTTAAGTTACGAGACATGTTATACAGGGTGTAACATCGTATACATTAATTGACAATTGTAAATGTTGAAGTGAAGAAGTATGTTCAGTAAGCCTTGCAGGTGATAGTTGTACATACAAAGTTCGACAAAGAAAAACGAATATATTTATCAAAGTTTAAGACCGTACCAAAAGATATCTTCTAATGACGTAGAAGAATAACACCTCATAGTTTAACGCCCGAGGCATGGGCCACAAGGGGAAGCACTAAAAGGAAGATATTCAACCGAAAGAGAAAAATATTAATAAAGGAAAAAAAAAATCTTAACCCAATACAATTTGCTTCCAAGTAGGGGGCTCCAATCCCCGGAACAAGGCGTCTTTGAGGAGGAACCCGGACCCAACTCTCTCGTAAATTCCTAGTCTCTGTGTATGGGGCGCGACGACTAGCACGTTAAAAGCGATGGTCGGGAGAGGTTCTACTTCAAATTCCCCGTATATTTCCTTAATGTTCTTGCCCGCCGTAAAGAAATGAGTGAGGCCCTCGTCTGCGTAGGATATAATTATAATTTCTACGGATTTTATACCGTCGTCGGGAGAGGGGATATCAGAAAGATAATAGTCTCCCAATGTGCCACAGACCAAACCACCCTTGTCGCATATATCTATGTAGGTCGAGGTTATATTATGCTGTTGGGAGACAACTCTCATGTTGAATATGGAATGGACGGTCACGAATGCGAGATAAGGAAACCCTCTAGGTACCGTAGATGCGTTTAAAGCAGGAGGTCTCTCATGAACGGGCCATAGGACTGTTTGTCGGCCGAATGGGTTTTCTTCTAAAGAAGAACCGTAGCACCAAATAGGTTGTGACTTGCCTTGAAGCTTTAAATCGCCTTTGGGGCTTTGGTTGACGACGATAGTGTCTCTTGTGGAGTCCCAGACATATACGAGGTTATCAGAATCATCCACGATATACCAGTCTACCCAGGTACGGGTTGTGAGCCAATCTATTTCATCGATGAAGTAGGATGTAGCAAGATATGACGTTGCTCCCTCCCAGCCCATCCAGCTCCAGCTGGGAGCTCCTGGGCGACGAGTGAGTACTTCATTCCTGGACTTCTTTGTCCATAACAGCGAGGCATCAAAAGCACAAGACGTAAGTCCAAAAAAGAATTGCGTGCCACCAATTGCAGGACCAATGGCATTTTCGATACCACGAAATGCATAAGTAATGTCGCTTGGGAAGGTCAGAATTCGTGGTGAATAATATCCGATCAACTCTTCGAGAATTGGCTGGGGAGATGAATTCCAATTCTCGTCGGGTCTTCCTAGGAAAGGAGAGCCTGAGAAGTTAGTTGTCGGTAGTCCTCCTACCAGATCCTCGCGCCAGAGATTCTTTCGACACATGAAGTAGATTTGTCCTTCGAGAAATATTAAGCAGCGGTTAGATAGAACACCTTCCTGGTAGCTGTGAGCCAGAAACTACTTAGCATTTAATTATAAAGCAGACGGTAGGTTGTTAAACTCACGTCCATCCTCTCTGTACCCAATCACAAGTCTCAATCAGATGCCCACATGGAGGTAACACCCCTATTGTTAGATCCGGAGCAATGGTCGCGGTTAACTCCCGCACTTCCTCCCGAGACTCTCTTGACCAGCCACTTAACCCCGAGTGCGCAGTGTCTCCTGTTGCAGCCACGAGAGTCAGTGCGGCTTGACTATATATCGAGTCCATTGCGTTGATAAGGTCAAGCTTTTCCTTCGCCCGGTCTTGCACAATGCATAACGAATCAATCCACAAATTGCGAAACCCAAGAGCAACGGTAACGGCAATAGCGTCCTCGATGGTACGTGGAAGGGTCACTCGGTCAAAAGCGCCTATTTCAGAGAATTCTTGTAAAGTAGATTCTCGGGTCTGGGGTTCATTGTTTCGTCCCCATACGTAACTCAGAGCAGTGTACTTAACACCCGTATCAGCGGGTTTCAGACACTTGTCAATAACGTCAATCATCAATGTTGGAACAGGCCGCTGGGTTACATTGAGGAAGGCAGCCGAACAGTTGTCGTCGTGTTCCCGCTGGCAAAATTGGAACCAGGAGAGGATTCGGTCAATATCAACATCTATACCACGGTGGCGACCGTATAATGGCTCATCGATGACTGTTTCGTCTTCAACAAGTTGTATCAGATTAACCGGGGCATCGAACCATGCCTTTCTCACCACACAAAGACCCGAGCCCTTGCGGTGTGGGATGAGCTCGGCATCTCTGTAGTCAAGATCGTTTAGCACCCACGCAGCCTCCCACTCAAAATCTTCCACCTGATCGGACACGGCGTACGTATTTGCGTTTAGCGTCAGGAGCAGAAGTCGACAAAGGCCACATGTGTCGTACCGTTTCTGAAGCTCCGATCTGGAACCGCTTAAGACCGGCCGCCAGGTCTCCGTGTCCCACCTTCCATTCGTATCTTGTGTAAATAGTTCCCGGGAAAGGTTTAAAGTAAGGCATTTAATACAAAGTTTATATGTAGCCATATATTATATAATTAACGCTTATTATGTCTATTAATATTATTTTAATTATGTTAAATTAAATTTCGAAAGCGGGCGGGTTGCGTTTATTTACACTTGCGACTTACGAAACTTTTAACTTATATATTTATATTTTTAAAAAAATATTAAATTTAAACTTTTTATATTACGTAAAAAAATTAATAGAAAAATTAATAAAAAAATATATTATAAAAGAATAACATTAATCGTGTAATATGCTTATTATTACCCGTATAATAAAACGGGATATATATTTTATTTTTTTTTTACTTTTTTTACATTTATTTTAATAATTTTATAAATATTAATTTAATTCCTTTTAAATTTACATAATTAATTATATAAGAAAATTAATAAAAATACGGTTTAAAATACATGTAATTCGGCTTTAAATTAATTAAAATATTTAAAAAGTAAATATTTATATATATAAATATTTATATATATAAAATAACCTTTTTATTAATATTTATTAATTTACTTTAATTTATTATATAAAAATAATTATATTTTTATAAAATAAATAGGTAAAAATTTAATTTTTTTTTTATATTTTTAACAATTTAATTATTTAAATAATAAAACTTTTTTTAAATTTATTTAAATTATATTAATAAAATTATTAAAAATAAAAAATGTTAAAATTATAAAAGATAAAAGCCATTAAAAAAACCTTTAAAATAACCATTATAATTAAAATTTATACTTTTAACCGTATTTAAGTTAATATTAATTTAAATTACGTATAACCGAATTTATATTTTTATTAATTTTTTTATTTAAATTATAATTTAAATTATATATAAATTAAATTAAAATTTATAAAGTTATTAAAAATTAAATGTAAAAAGTAATTTTAAGTTATTTAATACGTATTTTTATATATTATATAAATAATAATAAATATATTACACGATTAATATTACTTTTATAAAATATATTATAAAATATTTTAATAATTATATAAATAAATTTATATATATAATTTTAATTTTCTTTTATATAAATTTAAAATTAAATTATAAACTTATTATATTAAAATGATTTTTTAATAAATGTAATTTATTAAAAAATTTATATAAATTAAAAAAGTTAAAGTTTAATTAATTATTAATTATATATACGTATTAACGTAAATTTAACATTTATTAAATACGTAATATACGAGGTATAATTTTAAATAATTTAAAATTACTTTTTACACTTTTTTTAAATAACTTTATAAATTTTAATTTAAATTTTATATAATTTATATTATAATTTAAATAAAAAATGGTAAAAGTTACGGTTTAAATGCACGTAATTTAAATTAATATTAAACCGGATACGGTTAAAAATATAAATTTTAATTATAATAACTTTTTTTAACGGTTTTTATTTTTTATAATTTTAATACTTTTTAACCTTAATAATTTTACGAATATAACCCGGATAAATTTCGAAAAACTTTGAAAATTAAAATAATTAAATAATTTATATTATAAAATGAATCTTAAATTTTTACCTTTTTATTTCGTAAAAATATAATTATATTTATAAAATATATTAATTTATTAAAAACATTTTTTACGTTAAAACTCTTAAAAATTATTATGTGAAATTAATAAAAAAATAATAAATAATTAATATATAATTCATTAATAAATAATAAAAAAATTAATAAAAGATTTAATGTTTTCGACGGATTTTCACGTGCGAGCTTACGAGCACGTAAAAACGTTTACGCGAATTTACAAGTATATGCGTTTTTTTAAATTTTAAAAATTAATGAAAACCATTAAAAATATTATTTTATATATATAAATAAAAATATCTTTAATATTTTTACCAGTTTTAAACCGAATCACGTACATTTTAAACTGTGATTTTTATTATTTTTTTATTTAAATTATAATATAAATTATATAAAATTCGGACTTAATTTTATAAAGTTATTAAAATAAACGTTAAAAAAGTAAAAAAAAATAACGGGTATATACTTTATTTATTACGCATGTAATAATAAATATATTATATAATTAATATTATTTTAATTAAATATGTAATTAATTTATTATAACTAATTTAATATAATACGTAATTATAAAAAACTTTTTATTAAACTTTTTATTTTAAAAATATATTATATAATTTTTTAAAAAATAATTATTATAATTATTTATATTTAAATAATTTTACATTTAAATTTTATATAAAATTAATATAAATGTAATTAAAATACTTTAATTAAAATAATTTTAATAATATAAATTTTATATAAATATTTATTTTTTAAATTATATATAATATAATAATATAAATTTTATAAATTTATTTTTTAAATTATATAAAATTTAAAAAAATATATATATTTATAAACTTACGTAAGTGTTTTTACGTGCTCGTAAGTTCGCACGTGAAAATCCGTTAAAAATATTAAATCTTTTATTAATCTTTTTATTATTTATTAATAAATTATTTATTAATTATTTATTATTTTTTTATTATTTTTTAATTATTTTTTTATTAATTTTATATAATAATTTTTAAAAGTTTTAATATAAAAAATATTTTTAATAAATAATATAATAATTAATATAATAATTAAATAAAGTTTTAAATAAAATTTTATATAAAGTTTTATAAAAAAATAATATTAAATAAATAATATGATTTATATTAAATAAATAATATATAAGGTTTTTATATATTATTAAATATTTTATTTTTTATATAAATTTATTATTATATATTTATATTATTTAATAAATATTAAATTTACGTTAATATATATATATAATTAATTATTAATTAAACTTTAATTTTTTTAATTTACATAAATTTTTTAATAAATTATATTTATTAAAAAATTATTTTAATATAATAAGTTTATAATTTAATTTTATAAAAAATTTAATATATTAATAATTTTATATTTTTATTAATTTTTATTAAAGTTTTATTAAAATTTAATCGTTATTTTATATTAATAATTATATTTATTTAACGAAAACGTTTTTTCTTTTTTTAATAATTGCTTTTATTATTTTTTACCATTTTATTTATTTTTTAAACGTTTTTTAAATAATTTATTAATTAATATTATTTTTTATAATTCGATAAAATTTATTAATATTATTTATAATTTATTAATATTAAATTAAATATTAAATTAAAAATATTTATTTTTAATTATTTTATTTTTAATATTAAATAATAATATAAATATAATAAATTATTATTAAATAATTATTTTTTTTTTATAAAAACTTTAATTTATTTTAAATAAAAAAATAATAATTAAAAAAATTAAAATTATTACTTTTATAATATTATTTTTATTAAAAATAAAAGTTAAATATTAAACTTTATTATTATTTATAAAATTAATTTAAAAAATATAAAATTAAAAAATATAACTTTATTTAAGAGCAACACTAGTTGCGCAGTATGCCCATTGCTGCGTGCGCAGTATGCGGGGTACGTACCTAGCTTTTTTTCCCACCCTTTTAACGTTTACCTTAATAACTTTACGAATACTGGTCCGATTCTTTTCAAAAAAATATAATTAATTATATAAGAAAATCAGCAAAAATACCGTCCAGGTTGCACGTGATTCGGCTTCGGATTGGCTGAGATACTAGAGAAGTAAGCATTTATATATACAAAGTGACTTTTTTACTAGTATTTACTAGTTTATTTTAGCTTATTATAAAGAAATAGCCGTATCTTTACGAAATAAATCGCTAAAAATTAGGGTTTTTTTTTATAATATTGGCTATTTAGGTATCTAAATATTAAGACTTTTTTGAAATTTATCCGGGCTATATTGGGAAAGTTATTAAGGGTGAAAGGTGTGGGGGTTACAGGGGATAAAGGCCACTAAAAAGAGCCTTGGAACAGCCACTATAGTCACAATTCATACTTTCAGCCGCATCAGGGTTAATATTGGTCCGAATCACGTGCAACCTAAACGGTATTTTTTGTCTTTTTCTTATCTAAATTATGGTATAAATTATATAAAAATCGGACCGAAATTCGTAAAGTTATTAAAGGTTGAATGCGGGAAGCGATTTTAGGCTACCCGGTACGTACCACTTTATACTGCGCACGCAGCAATGGGCACACTGCGCAACTAGTATTGTTCTTATTTAAATAATTAAATTATTAATATTTTTAAAATAAAAATTTATATAATTTAAATTAATTAATATATTTTTTATTATAAAAAATAAAAATAAATAATTTAATTATAAATAATTTTATTATATTTTATAAATTTTAAAAAAATATTTTAAATTTATAAATATTTTTAATATTTAAATTAAATTATATTATATATTATTACGTTAATTTAATATTAATAAAATAAAATACTTAATTATTTAAATAAATTAAACGTTTATAATTTTTAAAAAAACAATTTTAAACATTATTTTTTTAATATATATTAAAATAAAAAAAGTTTTTTTAATAAAAATTAAAATATAATAAATTTTTTTTTAATAAATTTATTATTAATATTATAAAATTATTTATTTAATTAATATTTTAAAAATAATTATTATAATTTAAATAAAATAATAAATAATAATATATAATAATAAATTTATAATATTATTATTATAATATATATTATATTATAAAAAGAAATAATATAAAATTTATTTAAAAATATTAATATTATTATATAATATTTTATAAATAATTATATTAATTTTAATAAATAAAAATTTTTTTATATTAAATATTTTTATTTAAACATTTTTAAATCTTATAAATTTAAAAATTATATTATTATTGTTAGTAATATATATTAATAAAATATATATTTATTTA